ACCCCCCCCCCCTCCCCGCCCCCCCCCCGCCCCCGCCCCCCCTCCCCCGATCCCCCCCCCCCCCCCCCCCCCCCCCCCCCCCGCCCCCCCCCCCCCCCCCCCCCCGCCCCCCCCCCCCCCCCCCCCCCCCCGCGCCCGACCATTGTTCGCTTCCGATTGATACATCCCTGCCACAGGACCGGACCCAATGCTCTCAACTTCGTTCATCGACAGAGCTGACACTACCATCATCGTCGTCTCGTCTGTCGCCCCCTTGGTCTTTCTTTTGCTGTGCCAGTACCTTTTGCTCGCAGCCCTTGACGAGCCGGTGACGCTGTACCCTGTTAGATCATGCTGCCCACCCACGGTCGATCTTCTTCTTACCTTGAGCGCGTCCTTCCGCGAGAACTGCTTATCGCAGTATGTGCAAGGATAGGGCTTCACGGCTAAGTGGATTCGCTTGTGCCTCTTGAGATCGTGATTGCGACTAAAGGCCTGGGGGCACGAGTTGCATTTGAAGGGTCGCTCGGCTGCGCCGTTGCCCTGCGCGTGCGGGTTGTACAGGTAGTTGTGCGGTAGCGAATAAGCAACCTGGCCCGGCATCTGACCCATGTGTTGCGAAGGCGCAAAGCTACCCGGCATGGGGTACGCAGGCTGTCCGGACAGGGAGGGCGGTGGTCGCGCTTGGGCGTGATGCGGTAGGTTCATGGGCTGCTGTACATAGGGCAGCGGCATTGATCCTGAGCCGCGCACGCCAGGATACATGCCCGGGTTTCCGCCTGCTGTCGTTCCCAGGGGTGACCTTGGCCCCTGATATTGTGAATGTAGAGTTGGCACTTGGGGAGATGCGCTCGGTGGCCGTGCAAATCCGTACCCAGCCTGCGTTGGCGCCGTTGACGTCGACCCCATGTGCTGGGGCTGGGTGACTGATGGAAGCTGATGCCCCGGGAAGGGCACGGAGTGCTGCGTCGTAGTTTGCCCGTGAGGGGAGAATGGCGCGTGGTGCTCATATTCGTGATTCGACGGCTGCTGCAGGCCATGGTGGCCAACAGGAGAGGGTGAAGACCTCTCTGGCGCGCCGTGGTTCATGTAGGCAGTGGAGTGCGCGAACTGATTTGCCCGCCCGTCGTATGTCGTTAATGGCTGCTGGTGATGTTGTTGCTGTTGCTGCTGGTGGTGTTGCTGATGCTGATGACCATTCGTGATGGGCCGGGCCTGTGTAGGTGAAGTATTGGCCATGTGCGGCTGCGATGGTGCCGGTGTCGGCCACGAGCCGTGGCTGTGGCCAAAGGTATAGTGACCTTGTGATTGCATCGAGTTTGCTTGGGGAGTTGTTGATCCAGCCGAGTTGAGGCCCAGGCTTGAAGGGCTGGCGCCGGTTCCTGTATGATCCTTTAGCTATGCGCTCTCGGGGGGGAAGCTTGGCGTGGCTTCAATACGAGGGGGGCCACGTACGAGGTATGCCTGCGCTGTGTATCTGGGGGATTGTGAAGGGCGGTAGGTTCTCGGCAGCAGCGCGACGCGACGACAGAGAGTGCGCCGTTGGTGTTATGCCGACTGGCAAAGAGTCCATGGAGAGCTGGGTCGCTCGCGCAAGACAGACACGGCCCTCAACGTTTGAACGAACCTAGTGCGATCCCTTTCTTGAGCACGCGAGCCTTGAGGTCGATGTCAAGTCAGTACAGTGTTCCGCCACGGCTGCCTATTTGGTCGTCCTGGCGCAAAAGTGGGTGACGTGCGTCGAAGGCTTCAGCTGAAGCTGACGTGATAGTCAGCCCTCGAACAATCTGCTCTTTGCAGGATGTGGTCGCGCACACAAACCAAATCCTGGGATAGTTCGGGTGGTATTCGACGTCACGCTGGCCGTCTCACAGCGCGGCCTCGCCCGGTGTAATGAGCAGCGCAAAGCTTGTTGGGCGATGCGCGAGCGGGATCCGACGATTTCTGCCCTTGGCAGCAACAGAGACTTTTGGTAGAGTAGAGCTAACTCAAGAGGTGAACACGAGCAGGGCTTGCTCTTTTGTCATGAACGACCGTGCGTACGTGTTGCAGCAGGTCAGACAGTGTGTGCACAACGACGCGACCCGAACTTGCGACTCTGAAGTATCCCAGTAGAGCTGGCCAACAGATCAGACTTGGTCGTCCCACAGTGAGATGATTGCTCTTTCGTCGCTAGTTCGGCGCGTTCTTTGTTCCCGGATTCTCCCAGGGTCCGGGGTTTCTGAGGCTGGTGGTGATAAGGTTGCGGCAACGGCTTGCTGATGGCTTGTCCTTGTAGTTCCAGAGTGGCGTGGGCAAAGGCGTGCGGCGCAGTGTCTTCGGGGGTCTATTGTGTTTACGGAGTGGTTGTGGGTGTCCAAGAGGGAGAGCGGGGAGAGAAATGATGATCCGGGACCATGTAATGTAAGTAATAATGAGGAAGGGCTGGATGCTGTATGGTGATGATGGTCAAAGGTGGTCCCTCCCGGAGCAGAGACGCTTGCTGGGTCTGGTAGGTACCTAGCTACCACCTAGCTTGGTCTTGGGTCTTGGGTTTGCTGGAGAGAGAGACCCAGACTCGCAGAGTTCGGGCCTGGGCCTGCAACGGGCTTGGCGTCTTTTTGAGTTTAGTGTGGGCAACAATTAGCCTGCTTACAGACAGACACAGCAGACGGACGGGCAAGAGACGAGACAGAAGACAGGCAGAGACAGGCAGAGCGTCGCGTGCATGTCAGAACTTCCTTTGGTCTCTCTTGTCTTGTCTTGGTCTTGTCTTCCTTGCCTTGCCTTGCCTTGCCTACTTATTATCGAGGCACCCGCCCGTATGATCACAACGGCACCCGGCAGTGCGGCCTCAGGCGTCCAGTCGCTCACCATCATGTCTTCATGGACGGCACGCAAGGCGTAGCGTACCTGTCTCTTCACACAGACAGAACTAATAAATCAACTCGTGGGCAGCCGTAGCGCATCAAGCGTAGCGTAGCGTAGCACGCATGCCTGCATGGGTCTTGGCCTCTAGCTCGGGAGGGCTGAAGAGCTCCCCTGTTCACCTGGCCTTGGCCTGGGCTTCTTCAGCTCTCTCTCTCTCTCTTTTGGTTCATCAATGCGTGCAGAGTGCAGACGACGGACGAGGGTGTGTGTGGGGTGTGTCTTGCATTGTTCGTTAGCATGGAGAGGGGTCCATGTCCATCTCACGCGGGCGGGTGGGTTCCTGATGGTGTTGCTGCCACGCCCCCCCTCCTCCCTGCTCAGGCTCTCCAGTCTGACATTTTGTTGGTCAAATTGTGAGGAATGGAGTCAATGGGCACGTCCTTTCTTGCATTTGCATGCAAGTCTTCGAATTAAGTAACACTACGTATTAAGACAATCAGTAGGGACGAAGTAGAAGGGCCATGCTTCATCGGCAAGCTACCGTGCCGTTGATTTTGCTTTCGCCAAGTTTAAGGGAAGGGAAGGCAGGCTAGTAGTGTCTATCTATGACAGCCCACGACACCTATTAGACTCGGAACCATCCGCAACAGCACTTGAAACATTGGGTTCAACGCTACATGTTGTCGACAATGACATTCGAAAACGTCTTGGCCTTGCCTTGGGCGCACATGGCATGCATCTACCGCGCCCACTAATAAAGACGCAATGCAGGGTAACCCGTAAACCTCGACGACAGAGCAAAGACAGCCTCCGTCCTTGGACGAGCCTACGTATCTCCATACCTTGGCCTGCATTCCCCCGAGCAAATGTGGCCTCATTGAACCCCTGTTTTCATAACAAGACACGGGACATGACCCTGCCTTGGCAGGTAAATGAAGTGACGACGCCACGAGGCATGATTATTGGTTGGGCATTGCTGCCATTAAGCAGATGAACCAAAACGAGGACCCTGTTTCACGCAATCGGCGGACGTAGAACGAGTTTGCCCCGATAACATCTTGAGACTGTGAGAGCACAAATGAAGAAGAGTGGGAAATGCATTGCGCTCTCCGGCGCCCATGCGAGCGAACTAACAGGGACGTTTGCGCTTTACTCGATCCATAATACCTTACTTGAGAGGATGTTCATTTTGAACGCTGCTAGCATGTGTTGCACAACGTCTCCCGAGGACGAGGACATGGACGTAATCTCTCGGAACAAGCGATTTTCCTTCCACATTCGGCCAGCGGTTCTTTAAATTAATTAGAGATTAAACACGTGTCGCCAGCCGCGCTGGGCAGCCAGGACTCGGCGGGCATTCCAACCCCTTTGTCTGGTCATCAATAACCCATGAGCACATCAGGCTTCTCTGCCATGTACGTACATACGTGTACGTACGTAGCAGCGACGAGGTGATCAGCGCGGCTAGAGATAAGCCATCATCGCGCGCCGCCAAGCCAGCCGCGCAGCCACGGGGGGTTCGATCTGCTCAATTAACCAATTTAGGGGGGGACCACCCAATGCCGTGGCGGTGGGGGAGGCGTTTTCCTTCTCCAGATCAGCAATGCCTGGCAGCCAGCCACCAGACGCCAGCAAACCCAGGGCAGCAGCAGCCTTGCCGAGATCGTCCTGCGAGCACGAGCAATGGCTTGCTTGCCCTTGCGTGCTGGAAGCACATGCACTCATTGAGCATTGAGTCTGTCCTATCTATGCTTGATTCAAGTCCCTATCTCAAGCCGTTCAATTGTCGGCAAAGCCGAAGCGCCTAGGGAGCCTAGCAGGTCCCCTCCTGCTCAGTCTCCTCTCCTCCTCGCTGACGACGAAGCGGGAGCAGCTGGGCTCAAGTTCCAAGGTCCAACAGTCCCTCGTCTCCACCTCCACACACACCGGAAACAAGCATATCGCCAAGGAGGGCTGGCGTATGCCGCTGGCACATGGCCAGCACTGCACGATCAGCGCCTCCCCCATCTCGGTCACCAAAATGCTACATACGTACGTACATAGCTGGAGGTGAGGCTGGGAGAGGAGGAATCCCTCCCCCGCTTTCCGTCCTGCAGACTCCATGTCGCAGTCTTCAGCAGCATCCACGGAACAACCTGGTGGGCACAATATGACATACGTAGTACAGTTCTTATCACCCAATACTCTTCCCATAAAGGCGGCATGACAAGAGCATGACGCGGGCAGACAGCTGACAAGTGCTGCTCCTCTAGCTCGCGGGTCGCTTAGTAGCCTGCCAAGCGGCATGCTTTCGCCAAGAACATGTGAAAATAATAACAAAAAGGGAAAAAAGACAGCAGAGCTTGATACTTTGCGCTAGCATTACGGGAGCGCCGACGTGAAGCTGTCATGTTTCGTCTCGTCTCCTCGTCTCACTCTCAACTCGGATCAATGTCAGTCCTCAAGGCCCAGTCGTCGTCGAATCGTCGAGATTCCCCCCCCCCCCCCCCCCCTCTCTGATGATTCTGGTCGCAGTCTGTCTCGAATCGGGCCCGCCGTCGTGCGGGCCCAGACCTTCAGCTGATGGGCATTGGCTCCCTGTCGGACGGCGGGTGGGTGGTGGTGATCCGGACGCAAGCAAACCGGACGCTCTGTTGATCAGACACATGCCATGCCCCCGGGGAATTGAGCCCCAAGACACACTCCAGTCGTTCTGTTGATGTGTCTCGCCCAGCCGGCCCCGTTCAAGCACGTACAAGTAGTGAGCGGAGTCGGACGCCTCTACTCTGCAATGATGAAGCGCCAATTGGCAATGCCGAGAGCACCCTGGAATCAACAAACTTGCGAATCACAAACGGATGAACCCAACAGACCGGGACACGCAGCAGCGCGGCACAGACCCTCGTCTAGCGCTGGCTGGCATGATGATGCTCTGTTCTTGCCGTCTCCCCCCAAATCGTGCAGGGGTCTTGGTGGTCAGCCGACCAGCTGAGCGGCTCACCCGCCCAGATTTGGATGCAGCCCGTGAACAACAACAAGACAAGAGTCGTCAATTCTGTCCGTCTATTGTTGCTTGTCAATTTCAATACGTAGTAAGGAGTGCGTGGTGCGACCATTGACGGCATGGAGCGGATGCGCGATCGATTGGTATCGCATGGCATGCCCAACCTGTCCATTTCTCCATTCCTCCCCCGTCGTGGAGACTGGACCCTCTTTTGACGCGAGGAAAATCACACACCCTCCCTGTCTACATGTACCATCCCCACAGGCCTCAACCGCGCCTGGCCTTCAAGCAAGTCCCAGAGCCTTGGCTGCAAGAGCCGATTACTTCTGACGGCTGGTTTGATGCTCAGCGCATCCCTGCCCGTGGTGCTGGGTTGGTCTGAGCCTCTGAGGAGCAGCAGAGCTCCTCAAATACGCGGACAGTCCTATATCTGTCCCGGGACACCATTATTTGGCAGATTGCGCTTTGGTGAAAATGTCGCTCTAATTAATCTCTGAGGTGAGCCTGCGCGCGCGCTTGTGCACTAGGCAGCCGGCAGCTCGTGCGACTGGACGGCCGGAAAGATATTAGAGACATACAATAGACTGGAGTCTTCCCCCCTGTGGCTATCCGAGACATGACTACCACTGGGTTCCGATTGGCTGCTGGGAGATTGAAGCCGTCATGTTCGAGTAGTTTTGCTCATCACAGTGATCACACCGCATTCCATCTCCTCCATGTAATAAATCAACTACGTACCTTAGTATCCCGCATTCCTCCTAATAATTACTAGCAAAGGTCGGGAAGTAATAGGATTTGGCTGGCATTCAACGTGGAGTTTGGGGGCTGAGCCATCCCTGCCGCCATGTCAGAAGCCTATTGTTAGTGTTGCTGACAGCGGCAGGCAGAGGCTGCAATCAGCTAGCCCAGCATTACTAGGTACGTATCGAAGATTGGAGCTCCGGTCTCCAGAGACTACTCCGTAGAGTTGGAGACGTCCGCGGAACAGACACGTGCGGGTGACAGATAGGTGGAGGCGGCGTCACAGCCTAGGTGCAGTCTGGCAGTGGGCCAACCCATTGAGACTGGGGCACAGAGGCACTCGTTCATTGATCGACATCAAGATTGTCAGTACGTACCGGCTATCATCTTGATGCGTCCGGCCTTGGGAAGGCTGGGAGCCTGGGACTGGGAGAAGAGTGTTTCAACAGCCAGGCGACATGGAACCCATGTTGAAGCTAGGTAGGAAATAATCTCTAACACAGCAGTAATAGTATTCGATTCGTCCTGGGGCGGAACCAGACCGCCCTCTCGCTCACCATCTCTTGGCGCGCGCCATATACCTTGTCTTTCGCGGAACGCGAGTGCGAAACTCGTGGAGCTGCCAGCCTGCCACTGGAGCATAGGCGAGATAATTTATTTAGTACCTACGTAGACTAGTAGAAAGAACGGCAGTGCTCTGCAGGATGCTGCATCGGATCACTGTATCCCTCGGCATTAGATCCATCTCATCAATCTGCCATCCAGTCCAGTCCAGCCCAGCCCAGCCCAGTCGACGTCGTCCTCCAGTCGTCCTCGTTTCCCAACAAGTTCCCATCTCGGGCCGAATGTTGGTCAGGACCAAGAGTCTGGTCTGGGCTGGGGTCCCATCATGCCCCAGGCGACTGATTGACTGTGATGCTCATTCGTTTGCGCAATTGTCGTGTTCGCTCGCTGGTCGATGGGCCAAGGCAGATATCAAGGGTTCGCTTGCGGCTTGCTGTACGTCTGATGGCCTCCATGTCGTGGACGCCAGTCTGGTGGCTTCATGCGGGCTGCGGGAAAGGCTGGCGGGTTCTCGAAAGAGGACATTGGCCCATGGCAGCGGCGTCCCGGCGCCTTGGGCGGGCGTCCTTGTGATTGCGAGCTGCTCCATTGGCAGTCCTGCGATGCTCCGACACAAACCTAATTAATGAATAACTTGGCGGATTGTTGTCAGTCAGTCACCTTTGTCAGTCGTCATTGACAGCCATGAGGGGTCCACTACCGTAGACTAGCGACTCACTGCGACAGGGCGGCCGCTCGCGTGCTCCAGCCTCCAGCCTCCAGCCGCCAATATTCTGTTTTCAGCTGGCCCCCCCGTCCAATTCTTCCTCGTCAATCCGCACAGAGCCTGGCTGGCCATTCGGTGACAGCGGTGTCGCTCAGGTGCCCATGCGCACAATTGACCGACTGACTGCTGACCGGGCGACGCAGGAGGCACTGGAGAGTGAGCGCTGGGAGAAGAGAGGGAAGAGAGAGGAGGGGGGGGGGGCGTCGGGCTATCGACTAGTGGAGGGATCCATGCGCCATGTCAGAGTGGAGGTGGAGGGAGCATGAAGCCACAGCCGCGCTAGGGGACTCGGAAGCCTCCCAGTGGGCTCCCATGGGCCATAACCCAGGCCAGACTCCAGAGCGAGAATTGGGATTTGGGAGACCAGAAGCAGTGTTGGACGGGTGAGATATTCGACCAACAAGTGTCCACTGTCCAGCTTCTCCTGTAATTTGGCCAAATGAGCCGCGACAACCCCAGCCCAGCCCAGCCCAGCCCAGCACGTGGGAGAGTGCCAGTGCTAGTCGTTCAATAGCGCCCCAACCCGCACGGGTCGGAGCAAACTGTCTAGCCCAGAGGACTGGAGAGGGACATACAGCGACACTGCTGCTGGAGGCTTGTCCTTGTTGTCGACTTGTTGCCTGTCCTTGCCTCCTTGTTGCTCGGGGCGCCATCACGCTGGGCGATCTCCCTCCCTCCCACATCCCTGCGTCGATCCTCCCATTGCCCAACGGCTCTACGATTCCCCTTGACCATCACTGCCGCAGGTATTCGACTGTACTGGCTCGAACTGAACAAGAATGCTGCAGGACTGGATGCTCCGCGCATGGGGCCAGCACTTGTCCTGTCCTGTCCTTGTCTCGTCTCGGAGACCTAAAATCACTACACGCATATCGATGTTTTCCCTGATTATCCTGCGTGCCTACACCACCCAGCCGCTGTAGACCCTGGCTGGACTAAGCGAGCGTGCCGCTTCTTCTTTAATTGCATTCTGATGATCTGATCATCCATTTGATGACAGCTTCCACTTTTTCCAGTTTCTCGTCCATGCACGCGCGCACGCAAACAGACAACTCCGATGTCAGTTCTGCCTTGGCCGCCGTTCCCTCCCCTGTCATCGTCATGAATGAAATAACAATCTTCCCTGTAGATACGAGTCTAGTGTCAGACCGAGAGACGCGGGAAACTTTTCGAGTAAGAGAGTATCGTGCACCCCCATTGTTCATGAATCAGCCTGCCCCCCACCCCGTTTCCTTGGGTCTTTGCTTTTCTCTCCAGTCTCTGGCTCTTCTCTGCCAGTGTCAGAGACCACAGACCCGCCCAAAGCTCTTGGCCATAATCCATATATACTATTGTCTATCCACTGCACGCGCGTGGACCGGGTGGGGTGGAGACTCGACTCTCTCAGCAGTGCAAGCTCGCCGCAGCATTGAAGACACCACAGGGCCTAGATCGCGTGGTCCGTCTGCATGGCACGAGTAGCGTCCCAGGAGGGGGGAAGCAATCCGTGGAATCGCGCATCTCAAGCCTCAACACGCCATACACGCAGTAACTAGTGATTGCCTGCCGTGCCCCTGCTTTTCCTGGGCAGGCTAGGCTGATCAGTGATAGCTGCTCCAAGTTCTCGGAACCGACAGCATCATGCCATGTTGCCTTGTAGCGGTCGAGGCTTGGGGGCTTTCGGGGGTAGCCGACACTATTGGCATGCCACGAAAATGGGAGCAGATTCAGCTCATCGGTAGGTCATCATCTTGCGGTGTCTCCATCAATACACCGAGCACGGCGTTCAGGAGATTCAGTCAATCTCACGGATAGACACGGCTTGACTCGACGCTTATCAGGGGTTGGAGGACGACGGCTTCTTGATGAGACAGGCTGTGTGACCATAAATCATGATTGATATCAAATGTTGCCTAGAGATGCAAAAGACTCCAAAATAGTGCTTGCCATGACAGAAAACCCGCCTTACCCGCCCTCTCACAGCTTAGACGCCGACCTCGGCGATCCCACCTGGGTAATCTCATCGTACAGTAGTCTGTTCACGCATCATCATCAGCATCATTGAAATCAAGACAACGTCACTCGGGTCGGGAGAACTTACGTGGTGAGGAAGTCGGCATAGTCCTCGCCAGTGATCTGTCCCGCAAAGTACTGGGACGCGAGCTTGAACTTGTTGCCCTTGGGCCCCTTGGCCGCGAGCTCGTCGGCACACTCCTTGAGCAGACGCAGCGCGTACGCCTTGTCGACCGTGCGGCCGTCCGCGGTAGACACGCCGTGCTTGGTCCACTGCCAGAGCTGACTGCGCGAGACCTCGGCTGTGGCCGCGTCCTCCCTTTTGGCCGGGTTAGCAATCACTCGACAGACATGGGAAGTAGGCGGACAAGAACTCACATGAGAAAGTTGATGGGCACGCAGCCGACGCCCCGGACCCAGGCCTCCATGTAGCCCAGGCCAATGTTCAGGTTCTTCCGGATGCCGTCCTCGGTGATGACGCCGGGGACGTTCATGTTGAGCAGATCGTTGGGCGAGATCTGGACGTCCTCGCGGCGGACAAAGAGCTGGTTCGGGGTGGGCATGTGCTTGTTGAAGACCTCGGTGGCAATGGTGGCGAGGGCCGGGTGCGCGACCCAGGTGCCGTCGTGGCCGGCGCGCACCTCGCGCAGCTTGTCGGCGCGGACGCCGTCCATGGCCTTGTCGTTGGCGGCCTTGTCGTCCTTGATGGGGATCTGGGCGGCCATGCCGCCCATGGCATGGACGCCGCGGCGGTGGCACGTCTGGATCAGCAGCTTGACGTAGGCGTCCATAAAGGGCACGGTCATGGTGACGGCCGAGCGGTCGGGCAGGACAAAGTCCTTGTTGTTGCGGAACTTTTTGATCACGCTGAAGATGTAGTCCCAGCGGCCGCAGTTCAGACCCGACGAGTGGTCGCGCAGCTCGTAGATGATCTCGTCCATCTCAAAGGCGGCGAGGATGGTCTCGATCAGGACGGTGCCGCGGATGGTGCCCCGGGGCATGCTGATGTAGTCCTGGGCGAGGTTGAAGACGTCGTTCCACAGCCGGGCCTCCAGGTGGCTCTCCATCTTGGGGAGGTAGAAGTAAGGGCCCTGGCCAATCTTGACGGTCTCGAACGCGTTGTGGAAGAAGTAGAGGCCAAAGTCAAACAGCGAGCCCGAGATGGGCTCACCGTCCACCGTGACGTGCTTCTCATCCAGATGCCAGCCACGCGGGCGGACGATGAGCGTGGGCAGCTTCCGGTCAGTCCTCAGCTTGTACTCCTTGGGCCCTTGCTTAAAGTCGACCTGGCGGCGGTTGGCGTCGTAGAGATTGACCTGGCCGTTGATCATGTTCTCCCAGGTAGGCGCACTCGAATCTGGGGGGAGGCAAGTCAGTTCGGTGCTTCTTCACATGGTGCATGCGCGCGGTCACTCACCCTCGAGGTCAGCCATGTACGTCCAGACATCCGAGTTGAGAGCATTGACGACCATTTTCCTGTCAGTGGGACCCGTGATCTCGACACGACGATCCACGAGGCCCGGGGCTGGCGGTGCGCCCCTCCACGCATCATTCTCACGAATGTGCCTTGTCTCGGGCAAAAAGGTCGGTAGCACACCGCGATCGAGCTCTGCCTGGCGAAGCCGACGGCGCTCGAGCAGGGCCTTGCGAGTGGGGTTGAAGCTGCGATGGAGGAGAGCCAAAAAGGCGAGCGCGTCTGGTGTGAGGATCTTGCGGTGGCTCTCGTCGACCTTGCCGAGGACGTTGACGCCCTGGAGGATGCTGTCGGTGGTGGCCATGGCGGCGGGATGTGATGACTACAGTGAAACCAGCAGCAGAGTTGGGAGGTTCCGTGTCAGTGGGTTGTTTGGGAGATGGTATCGAGGTCAATGGCACGGGCGAGAATGAGGGATGATGAATGAAGAACTAAAGATTCAAGATTCAGCTATGAAGAGAAGCTCGAGGCTGAGATTAAGACTGATCAGCTTGTCCGGACCAGATCCGAAGGGACCAGCATGAGCTCCAGTCATGTCGACGTCAAGACGTTGCCATTGCGGCCCCTCCTCGAGACGGGTCGGCAAGTAACGCTCTCCTGCGCGACAGTCTCGGTCTGGCTCGGGTAGAAGGAAGCTCGCTGAATCAAATTGCTGCTGGTGGTGGCGGCTGTGATTGACGCTCCAAGATGGTGTGGCATCCACGACCTCCAATTCCCACGGCACTCCGACCAAAGCATGTGCTTGCTTGCCTTGGGGGCACCCAGACCTGCGTCATCGGAGCGCGGGGTCTGTCTGGGGTTCAGTGGATCATAAGATGCCGTGTGTTACTGCTTGGCCTGGGTGGCCCTGCACAGCCTTAACAGCTACTAGCAATCCGTCCACCATCCTCATCTGCTAACAATTCCACAGCCCTGTCTGCACTGATATGAGAATTACTCCGTACAGCGGCAGTAACTCTCATAAACGCAGCATGATCATTTGAGATCGCCTTATTATCATCTCCACAGCGATCACGCTAGCCCAAACGATGTGTGTGATGGATGGATGGTCTTGTAAGTGACGGCGGGGAGCAAGCTCATTTCAGTCTAGTCAATGTCCCCTTCCTCCCGACCGAGAAGCCGAGGCTCTGTGCTCTTGTCGAGACGGACGGATTGAATTGCAGACGATCGATATCCGTTTCTTTCCGCTCACCATACGAAGCCTCGCCGAGGTTTGCCTTGCTCTGTTCTCCGGCCGGCTAGTAACCGAGGCTGTCCTCAATGCTGTGAGCTCCAGCTCTGCTGCATCGCCAACACGTGAGATATTGCCCACGTACTGGCTTCGGCTAACAGCCGAGCAGGTATTGCGACTTCGGACATTCGAGTAGACACTGGATCCTATCTTCAAAAGACCCCCGGCACGGAGACGAAGTCAAATTCGCATCAACGAACAAAATGAATATCTAGACTAGTAAACTGAGTGATGTGCGCCCCGCCAATGCCTTCCTGCTTTACAAAGTACAATGCAGCAGCGCAAGGATGAGCCGAGAAGACCAGCTGCCAAATGCAGATGACAGACCTCATACAAAGAAAAAGAAAGTAGCTATACATGTGCCTCCAACTTCATCCAAACACCAGTAACACTTTTTCAATAGTAATCAAAACGAACACGCGCAGGGATCCCGCGTGCCCATCACGACTGCAGTGTCTTGATCATCATCTTCTGCTTGGTGCGCTCGGCAACAAGCAGGTGGCGGCTGTCAAACACCGTCCGCATGGTGTCGACCACGCGATGGAAGCTGCTGGCCGCACCACGCTCTTGAGTGAAGCGGACAATGCTCAGTGGCTGCCGTTTGCCGTGCTCAATCACCGTCATGATCTCGGCTGCAAAGGACACCTCCTTCAGGTTCAAGTCTAGGGCATCGTCAGCGCAGATCATGAAACCAACTCTCCCGCATGTACTCACAGTTCTTAGCACCGACCCTGCCAAAGATGATGTTGCGCTCCTTGTCCACCTGGATACCCCTAATACCGTACCGCCGCCACTCGCGCAGCAGGATCGTAACCTCCTGGCGAGCTCGCCTGCGGGAGATGGACATGCACAGATAATCAGTCGCCGGCTTCACCCGGAATAGGCGTGCTAGCCAATTCTGCTTCACTTCAATGCTGCGGCTGCCATCAGTGGCAGTGGAGTCGCGCCAGTTGACCTTTGTGTTCGCTGGCCGCTTCGGGAGATCACCAGCGCCAACCGATGCTTCCGCTTCGTCTGCCAAGTCAGCGAGAGTGCCACATGCAGCAGCTGGGGGTCGAGGCTTACCAGCGATGGACATCTTGAGTTCACCGCTCTTGTTTCCTTTGAAGAAGGGAAACGTGAAACTCGTCTTCTTCCCGACCACAGAGCTCTGGGCTACTTCAGCGCCTCCGCCCGTTTCGGACATGATCGAGCTTAGCTGCTCCTGGGACGTTGCAGCAGTCGACGTGCCGCTCCCTGTCCCCGCCTTGGACGACCTCTTGAACCAGAGCTTGGACTTCTTCTGTTTCAGGCTGGTAGTCGTGTCTCCAGACGTGGTTCGCTGGCTGGAGTAATCATACTCGTGGCCGTTCACATCCTGCTGCCGCTCCTCACTCGTGCCTGCCATGGTCTTCTTTCGAACATTCAGAGGCTTTGGAACTCTCACTGGGTTCGGTGCGCTCGGTGAGTGAACTACGCGAATCGTGTTCTCAACCTTGGTCAAGTACTCGACCCCTCGAGCCTTGGGTGGCGTGCGAGGCGGCGCCGAAACAATCCTGGCCTTGTCGTTGCTCACGACGTTGAGTGCCTTGTCCTCACTGATGGGGGGCATGGCATCAACCTTGCGTGTAGAGTGGCTTTGAGCGGGAGCAGACACGACCCGGCGATCGCCATGGGGTACAAACTTGACGGGCACGGCCAGTCGGGCAACCTGCTCGACATCCCTCTCGTAATCCGCACTATACAGAGACGGAGCGACACTGCTCGGAGCGGATGGCCTGTGGAGAGACTGTTCCGATGGGAGAGGGGGGAGGGGTCGCGACTCCCAGGGTTTGACAGACGAGACGTCTGTGGCGGGCGTCGTTGGGCCAGACCCATCGACACTGAAAGTAAAGGGCGAGTCGCGCTGCTTCCTGTCCCCTTCCGCCAGCGAACCAGCAATGGACTCTTCCTCAATCAGTGAGCTCCGGAATGCCTCGTCGCAGTCCTTGGCAATGTTGCTGCTAAAGTGACGCAGTTCCTCGGTGAAAATCGAGGTTGGGTCCGGTGTCGACGGCGCAGGTGCACCCTTTGCCTTTTCGTACTGCCCTTGGTCATTCATCTGTGGCTCGGGAGACTGAGACTGCGAGCATCGCTCCTGATGGGCCGATTCGCTCACCAATGTCGTGCCAGAAACGGCTTGTTTGATGTTCGAACGCGAGGCGCCGACAGTCTGGGACTGCTTTCGCACGTGGGAGAAGTCGACGCCACGCTTGTGCCGCAGGCTTGGCCCTCTGGCTCGGGTGTTGTTTGGTCGAGCACCGTTTAGAGATGACATGGACCCACGAGACGACGGCGGCCGTCCACCAGGCGCAGTGCGATTGGAATTTGCCCGAGGTCGTCGGGCAGCGGAGTTGCTTCGCATCCTCGCGGCGTGCGGGCTATGGCCAGCATCAACAGCCTGGTCCCTATGGACTGTGATCTTGGCATGGGTGACATTCGAACCGTAGGATTGAAGCACTTGATTGTCCCTGTAGGGGTCGTAGCTCTGCGCGGTACCTGCTTCGGTTTCGGTGGCGTTGGAGATGACCGTAAAGCGGGATACAGATCTACCGTGACCGTTGGCGCGCGGTTGAGAGAATTCGCAGGTCGAGACACGCTTCTTCCAGGCACCGGGTTTCAAGTGGTGGTAGTCACTCATCGAGTGAGCAAGCTCGGGCTTGAAATCCTCCAATTGCTTATCCCTGTAATTGTGCAACAACCAGTAGAAGGCCTTCTGGTCATTTGGCCTGGGGAGAGTCAGTCATCCTTCACACGGTAGCTGGGAGTTCGGATACTTACGTGTCGCAGGTGAGCTTGAGTTCGAGGTCGTGCTCGCTGAACATGTGCCACATGCTGCGCAGCTGTCGAACCAACTGCGGATCAATGTCCGCCCTCAGCACAGGAGCATACTGGAAGCCCCTTCGTAGGTCCCCAGGCTGGCCGCCATTCTCCCCGTAAGGGTCGAGGTAGTTGTACTTTTGCACCAATGGGTGTCGCCAGATTTCGGCGAGCGTTATTCTGCGCTCCGGATTGACTTGAAGCATGCGGCTGACAAGATCTTGGGCCTCGAGACTGAAGTGTTTGGGCATCTGATAATGGCCTCTTTTCGCCTTCTCCATCATGGTCCTCATGTCTGGATCGTCGAATGGGAGAGAGGCGGCAAGCATCGCGAAGAGGATCACACCCATGCTCCAGATGTCAGCCCTGTCGCCCCGGTATTGGCGATTTTTGAGTAGCTCAGGGGCAGCATAGTGAGGACTGCCACAAGCCGTGGCTAGCCTATGGGTATCAGTCTGGTGCAAAGCAGCCATCCCGAAATCCGCAATCTTGATTTTGTGGTCGGCTGTGATAAGAATGTTCTCGGGCTTCAGGTCCCGGTGACAGATGTTGAATGAATGACAGTACCCGATGGCACTAATCATTTGTCGAAAGAAGTACATGCTAACTTCTTCGGTGAGTCTTCCGCGGGAGTTGATGAAAGTGAAGAGATCGCCCTGGTCGATATACTCGAGGATGAGGTAACTGTGGAATTAGTGAACCATAGGACATAGCGGGCAGTACACAACTTACATCTCTGACCGGTTCTCCCAAATATCATAAAGTTTCATGATATGAGGATGTTCGATAAGCTTTAGTATTGCCACCTCTCGTTCGATAGCCATGGGCACACGCATTTCAACGCTCGAACCGCTCGTCGCATCGTTGTTGTCCCACTTGCTCAAGGCGGCCAGACTGCTATCCGGAACCAGGTAGGCCATCCTTCTGTTGACAATCTTGACAGCAGCCAGCTGGTTCGTGACATTGTGGCGGCAAAGGCGCACGCGGGCTGAAGAGCCTTTGCCTAATGTTCGACCGAGCTGCCATGGACCGATGTGCGTCTTGTAGTTTCTCTTGCTGCTTCTACTAGATCCTGATTCGTATGATGCTTGAGACAGTCGTTTGGCCTCATCAGATTCCTGCGGCGGCCGTAGGACAGTTGGTTCCGGTGGATTGGATGTCAACGGGGAAGTAACGCGAGGGTCGTGACTCGTTGGAGGCGCGTTTTGTTGATGAGAAGCGCGCGACTGCGTATCAACTTGCTCCCCACGCGCCTTGGTGCTCTTGGTGTTATCAGACGGGGCATAGCTCGCGTTGATGCGATGTGCAGCTTCGGAAAGAGGAGAGCGAGTCTTGCAAACAGCGGGCTCAGCCATAATGATTGCCGTAAATGTGGTGGGATTAGCACATGCTACGCAAATGCAATCGCAAAGTGGAAGCAAACGAGTGTGGGTTCTCTGGTCGTATGTTGGCCAGCGAAGGTGGTGCTATGGGTCGCGATATCAACAAGAAACAAGCATCCTCATGGAGCGAAAAGAGCGTGGTGGAAGCTGAAGCGGAAGCCACGAACAGGAAGCGACCGACCGGATACCTGTAAGTTAGAACTCAAAGGTGTACCAAACGAAGGTAGTTCCCAGGGAAAGGGAGGCGGCTTGAGGGGGGAGAAAAGAGCGTTGGGCAGGATGGTGTTTGATGGAAGAACGGCCAGCCTCTGCGGGGTGGTGCAGGCTGGACCAGATTGGATGCTTGAGGAAGGTTGCGCGGACAGGATGGAATGCGACTGCCAGCCATAGGACGCCGGTCTTCGATGTACTGACAGGCCTTGGGCATTCGTGTCAGCAGGCTCAGGTGAGTGCGAGTGGATTCATCTGAACTGAAGTGAAGGGAGACACCGTGCCTTCCAACTGGTTCTCCAGGGCGCAACACCTGCCTGGCACCTCACCAGTTTGTCAACCAGCATGGAGGTTTGAAGATTATCGCACCTTGTTCAAATTTCTTCGATTTCACGTACAAATGTCTCCAACCGTCTTGAGGCTTTCGGGCGTTTCCTCAACACTCATGGATTGTCCTGCTCTGAGCATCCGTTCAAGCGAGCAGCGCTGTCAAGCCTGGTGACATGGGAGTGCAAGTCACTCATTCCAGATCATAAGACTCTGGCCCGCATCCTGGGAATCTGCAAGCCCTCCGAAGGTCTTGTGCATTCCATATCCTGGCGCATGTTTCGAGTGCTGGCCATGCCAGGTGCCCGAATCTTGGCTGGAATGCGCATTAGCAAACCGCCATCATCGAATGCCACAACAGTCCATCATCTCGATATTCATGGACTCAGGTCGGTCAATGAGTCCTCTTCGGCGGATTGTTTGATACGGCGTGTTTGATAGCTCTCACCATGTCTGTTTGCCTCCAGGCGCGCGCGCCGTATCATCTGTTCCCGTCCATCTCAAAAGGGTTGACTGCCACAATGTTCCCAGAGAAAGTGCCCCATGCTTTGATTACAGCCAGAGGCTGACTTTGACACAACGAAGCAGACGAGACAAGTGACTTCGCACTCGCCAGCGCGAAACGACGAAAGGCATCGCAAGGGATGAAGTTGGATGTTGGCACGCGTCCACGCGAGCTAACTTGAAGTAAGACACGTGGGTCCGCGCTGCATTCCACTCATCCTGCCTAACGGGCCTAGCTCCTTGGCCGTACTGTGAAAGAGTGTACAGCAGCCAGTCGAGCTTGGTCATTGCGCTGACTCTGAGCAGCAAAAAAATCTATTGCATTGCAATCCCAACCCTCGCGGTATGTTGGCAACGTTGAGCCAGGACGTGACAATCGGCGCCGTAAAAGATCTGTAAACTAACAACAAGACGAATTTCAATAACTACCACAGCGTGATTGGTTTAGTGGTAAAATTCTCCGTTGCCATCCGAGCAACGTCGGGGAGCCCTGGGTTCGATTCCCAGATCACGCATCCCTTTTGCCAATGGCGCCTTGTCCATTACGTCTTTTTTTTTTTTGTGTCCGCGTGGACGGCTTTTTTGGAGTTGAGTAATATGCTGCTACGTAGTGATCTAAACTTGCAGTCAGTGGCTAGTGATTCGGAGTGGCTTTCGGTGTCAAATTTGGCTAGCAAATCTGATGTTTCTATGTTATCATCAACTGACATCAAGCGACTGGAGCCTGTCGCATTGCAACTATCCGTCTTCCTTACACATCGAAAGCGCGAGGCTGAAATTGGCGACTATTGTCGTGAGACAAACTTAAAGACCGGTACGAGCTCTTGCAAGCTTCACCCATGCTGGCGATTCTATCTGATGATAGCTTCAATACGACGTTTGTCTGTTGCATGTTCAACCCTAGGGTAGGCGTCGTTCAGCTTCAGACAAAGACCGTCGCAAGGTTACCTTAAATAGATCTGCTCGGGGGACGGCAGACATCACTATTCAGAGCAGTAGCAGCAACAGTCTAATTAAGATGACACGACCTCTTCGAGACGGAGGTTCGAGACGCATGTGCTGACAAGACAGAGCAGCAGTTCCAACAGGTGGCGTAGTTACCAAATCTTTATCGTTGTTGCGAACTCGCGCTTGAGGACGGGATGAGCTGTCGACTGGACTTGGAGCAGGCAAGGCGGAATAGAGCCCCTGTTACGCGAGTGCTCGTGTGAGCCCAGGGCCTTGTTGCCAAGATGTGCTGATACACAGAGCATTCAGTCGCGAAGAGATGCATCATGTCATGCAATGCTGATTGGCGCATTGCCGTGCACGAACAGTACGTAGCAGACTTCAGTTCATAGCGTACCTTATTCGTACTTCACTCGCTTGACACTGACTCCCTATCGTTGTGCAGCAGCGCATTCCAAACTCCAGTGTAGTCCCGAGGGTTGACAGATGGTGACGACACTTGGACCCTCCAGCGCGCCGCTACGACCTGTCCAGACCTGTCCATCCTCCACTAACAGCTGAACACTTCAGTCACATGCGCTGCTGTTAAGACAGTCCGCCGGTGCCCGACTCGACGCTGTACACGAAGCCCACACCCCACTTTGGCTCGTTCAGTTGAGTTCGTCAACCTCTGACAGGGCCTCCAACCCTTGATCTCGCGGCCTTCTCCATCATTCTTTGCATGTTTGGCTCGAGCTTCTTCGACGGCTTTGCTTATCCCTTTGCCTGTCATTATCCTGGAAAGCCTCGGACGGCAGAGCAAACACACGCGGCGACGCCCCCTGCGAGCACTACAACCAGCGCGAACCCGACCAGTCCCCGACAGGTCAGACCCGGCCATCCTCACCTACATGCGATCCTCGACATCCTATCGTACGCACACCAAGCACATGAGTTCGACAAGTGCTGCATGAATAGCGGGCACAGAGGTCATTGACCTGACCCTTTGGATTGCCTAGACGCTCGCTACCTTGTCAGCCCTTCGCGCAAGCACACACGCCAGGTTTGCGACAACCAATCCGCCCCGCGACCGACTCCATTCGCTCAGGCTGACAGGCCCAAGCGAGGCGCGCCGACCGACGAACCGAGACCTGCACTACGATACACAACTTTGAAGTAGCCATGTCATTCCGTGACGGCCAGCGACGATACGGCCATGTGCCTCCGGTGCAGTATCCTGTAGCTGGGCAAGCGCAGGATAGGGATGATCAGACGGGCCTGGGACTCGGTCGACGCCCGAGCTTCAACAGCGGAGACGACAGAGCTCATTATGCTCAGTCGCAAACCAACGCGCCCACGTACGATGGCGCAGGCTATGGAACGGCCGGAAATGACGAGCTTTTCTTAGCCAGTCCCAGCTCTACCTCCTCGAGCGTTAGGCCGCCAACCCACGGCTCCACGAGTGCTGCCTTGTCTGGATTCCAGCACCAGTACCAAGACCCAGCCGCCTCGACGCCCCAGCAAACATCTTACAATCCTCAGAGCTTTGCTCAGCCAACCTCTCCTATCTTTGCGAGGACACAGTCAACAAGCCTGCCGTACCGCCAACCGCAGGCATCACCTCAATACCCAACGCATCGAACTTCATTTGCCCCGTCACCAACCAACTATACCCCCCAAGCGTACAACCCGGCCGCTTACGCCAGTGCGACTTCCCCTCAACGGCAACCTACATATCATGGGTACAACAACTACACTCCACAGGAGCAGGCCTACACCGGAGCCCCGGGCCCCTCCCACACGTCGCCAACGTTCGGGCATGGCCAGTCTCCCGCCTTCACCCATCCAGCGTCATTTCCGCAGCCTGAACACGGCTACGCGCAACAACAAAACAATAGCGCTGGTACATACAATCCCTCACAGTACGCTGCAGGTGCGTATCCATCGCATGGTTCCAACGGAAGCAGCCCTGGGCAGCCGGCGTACACGCAAGCGCCATACCCAACCACGTCGTACATGCCTGTTGGGCCTGCTAGCACTTCGATGAATGATCACGGCACTGCTGCCTACACCAGGGGTTCCAGGGCCAATTCTGCCAATTCTATATCATCGCCAGGAACGACGGCGGGGCTGCAAAGACACCCGACTAATGCGCCGCTCCCGAGGCGCCCTATGGACACAGACCCGGGCTGGGACCGAGGGCATGCCCAAAACCGCAGCTATGATCAGGATCAAGAGCAACTCATGCACGATATTGAGGCGGAACTAGGTGCTATTGGTCCAAGAGGAGGCTCGAGGGGATCAAGACCACCCTCACGACCCGCTAATGGCTCACACGAGGCACAGTTTCCCGATGACGGTAGCGAGCATCTACGGCGGTGCAACTCCTCCGCGACCACATTGGCGCACTCTGCGAGCATGGCTTCGACACGACGCCCCTACGCGAATTCGTCATTTGACGAAGACGACGATGATCCTGAGGGAACTGCCGGCGTCATAGCTATGCAGCAGGCTGAGCTTGACGATCGGCGCTTCAGTGGAGCAACTTTCACCTACAACGACTCTACTCCTCCAGCAATGCCCTCATCTACATCGACCCCTCTGCCGCCGCCCCCAGAAGAACAGGACCGAAGCAGTAGCGGCGGAAGCGAGGTGGGCGGTGGCATGGTAGATTTGGGCATGCTGAGTGGTGGGTACGCGGGCAATCTCACGTATGGGGTATCACCCCCGTTGGACTCGAACAGCAGCCGCCCTTTGCCTTCACCGAACTATTTCGATAACCAATACGACAGCCGCAAACCAGAGCCTAACTACAGTGGCGCCATCATGGACTATGGGGGGACCGGTGGTCTCCAGCCACCGAGAGAGCCCCGACTCAGCTTTGACGAGGGTGATGAGCGGGTATCTCTTCATTCAAAGCAGAGCGGTGACTCGGCCGGGCCGGAAGACTATCAAGACCTCTTTTACCATCCTGGTTTGTCTAATCGACCCCTGCCAATAGTTCCGCGTGGCGGTGCCGGGTCCGACAGTAGCTCAATGCTTTCGGTCAATACCAACAATCGCGGACACTTACAGCACACATACTCTACAAGCACCGACTCGCGGTATCATTCTCATGAAAATCCCGAGGCCTTGTACGACACCACGACACCGGGCTCGTTGCAGCCAGAGCGATCTATCTCTCTCGTGGGCCACAGCAACACGCCGCAAGTCTACACACCCGCCAGATCCAGGACAGACGCTGCCGAGGAACGCAGGAAGTTCAATCGCCATCAACACATTGCGCCCAACACAGGGCCGCCGTCAATCGACTATGACGCGGGTAGTGTTGGCGCATTTGATGGCATCACTCTGCCCAGTGGCCGTAAGAGGCGGTTCGTGCCCTCGAAGCTAAGCTCCGGAGACTTCCGGCGATGTTCGGAGCCATGGGCGCTCAGCAATGTCGAGGCCTGGATCCGGGACATGGCTGACGGGGAGGTGGACTTGAGGAGGAAAGCCGTGGAAGAAGGCTTGGTACTTCTATTCACCTTCAAAGTTCCTACGATGAACGTCGCCGATGCAGAAGTTTTGAGCAGTCGAGTCGTATCTCTCATGCTCGATGCGCAACTTCTCCTACCCGAGGAGGAATGGGTCAAGTTTGGCGACGGACATATCTCCGGAGTCCTGTGGCAACTCACAGGTTCAGGCTGCTACGCCCCTAAGCTGCACGAGCACGACATACCCGGACGATGTTATTCTACCCACTGCACTAGGACCGTCAAAAAGATTGACCTAGACGAGCTTGATCCCGAGCAGAGCAGAGGCCAAGAGTGGCACGTTTTCTATGGCCTCACAAAAGAGGACATTGAGAGCAGGGACAAGAAAGAAGTCGAACGGCAAAATGTTCTGCATGAGATTGTGACGGGAGAAGAGAATTACATCAAGCAGCTCGAATTCTTCCGTCTCGAGTATCGAGATGACATGCGTACCAGGAGACCACCACTCATCCCGCCCGAGCGACAAGAAAAATTCTTCAACTCAATATTCGGCAAGTTGGACTCGGTGCTTACTATCAACAAGGACAACCTGCTGGCGCAACTCAAATATCGCCAACAAAGCCAAGGCCCTTGGATCGTGGGGTTCAGTGATATCCTGCGCGAATGGATTCGGAAAGCCCGCACTCACTATGTCGAATACGCATTTGGCTACCCCCGTGCTGAATACATGATTCGCAACGAAAGGGACAGGAACCTCACCTTCAGGAAGTTCACCGATGAAAAGGTGAAGCTCAAGTCTTCGGGCAAGCACGACTGGGCTCACTTTTTGATCGCGCCGATCACGCGACTACAGCGCTACGTGCTGCTTCTGGAGAGTGTCGACAAATTGATGAAAACCGAGAGCGAGGAGAAGACCAATCTGCAAAAAGCCATGGCCGAAATCAAGGCCGTCGCGCTGGAATGCGATGCCAAGGTTGACGAAACCAACAAGCGGGTAGAGATGATGCAGTTGGATCGGATGCTGGTTCTCAGGCCATCTTTTGAGACGTCCCTCAACCTCGACCATCTTGGCCGCCAATTGCTAATGCAGGGAGAGCTTACGCGGCTGGGCTCCAAAGGTGTACGCTGGGTTGATATGCATGCGTTGCTGTTTGATCATTGCTTGATCCTGGCCAAAACAGTCTATACGCACACCAAAGAAAAGAAGTACGATGTTTCGAAAGAGGTATGTGACCCTATGGACACTGGAAGTACGAGACGCTGACAATGCACGAAGCCAATCTTCATGCCCCTGCTCTTTCTGGAGAGTGTGAACGACGAGCCCATCCAGAGGCAAAAGGGTATCACGACACCCTTGGGCCGGACGACCACGTCATCAGCATCAAGCAATCAGATGACGAAAGTGGCTACGAACAACAGTGGCAAGCCCATACTTGAGCATGTTAGCACCAGCTCATCTCTGGGTACATTGACGCCTGCTGGATCTGGCGATGGCGATGGTCGCATCCTATACCCCTTCAGACTCAAGCATTTAGGACACGAAGTGTATGTGCTGTATGCTTCATCGGCAAGAGACCGGATGGAGTGGTGCCAGAAGCTCATCGAAGCCAAGACGAACCATGCAAAGGCCCTCCATGAGCAGAGCGCAGAGCCCTTCCGTTTGCGTGTTTTGGCCGATGCCGCGTTCAACTACGAGAGCTCGCTTCTTTCCCGGACACCCCCTGTGGCCGTCAAGGGTACACCACTAGACCGCGCCATCCAAGATCTTGAGAGTGTGCTTGGCTCGGCGCAGGGCATAGCCCCCGTTTGTCGGGCGCAAGTCAACTGCGCCACTGGCTTCTCGGCGTTCGGCAAACCCGTGATTGCCATTGGAACAGACTATGGTGTTTACATTTCCGACCCGTCTAACCCTCGCGGGTGGGTGAGGGTAAGTTGTTTCCAAAAGGCACTGCAAAACCTTGGCTAACCATCTTCTAGACGGTCCAGGCGACCCGCGTCACTCAAATTGCGGTGCTCGAGGAGTTCCAGGTGTGCCTTCTGATATCGGAGCGCTCCCTCATATCCTTCCCACTTGACGTGGTAGCCCCAGTGTCGGAATTCGCGCCTCCAAGCAACGATAGCACTCGTCGAGCGCCGCAGAGACTGGCAAAGGATGTCACGTACTTCGCCACTGGACGAATGAAGGACCGGACGCTGGTATTCTACAAGAAGAAAGAGGGCCTCCACACAACGTTCAAAGTCCTGGAACCCATCTACCACAAGGCCACGGAGAAGAAGCGCTTCTTCGGCGGGCGTAAGGGCGGCCTTGGCAGCACGGAAACCTTCCGAGACTTTGACGACTTCTTCTTCCCGACCGAATGCTACTCGCTGAGCTTGTTCCAGACATACATTGCTGTGGCAACGTCCAAGGGTGTTGAGATGCTGACGCTGGATAAGAAACAGCCCATGTCGATTCCTGATCTCAAGGGCCCAGCCATTGCGAACATTGCCAACCGCATCTCCAATCAAAGGCCTCTGGGTATGTTCCGGCTGAACGAGAACGAGTTCATCGTCACATATGAAGACTGCGCTGCATACGTCGATAAGCACGGCGAGATTAGTCGCACCCTCATTATGGAGTATGCGGGTAAACAGAAAAAGGCCCGCGGTGCAACCATGTACGGCCAATACCTCCTACTCTTCAACGAGGATTACGTCGAGGTCCGTAACGCGGAGAATGGCAGATTGCGCCAGATCATTGCCGGCAAGGATGTACGTGTCCTGGACTACGGTATCAGAGGGCCAACGGGCAACAGCGCTGCCGCCGCCAGTCACACGCAGGGGCGCAATGGACACTTGCCCAACGTGGGCGACGCGTCCAAAGGCACGGTCAAGATTGCCATGTGCCATCCCGAATTGCCAGGCAGGCAAATTGTGCTGGAAATGCTCCTGAATGAGGGGCACACTGATTCATGAGCAGGGTCGCCAATGTGGCCGATATGGAAACGGGGCAGGACATATTTGTATATCAACTACAATCGGGGGACGGTTGCAGGTATTGGCGGTACGCACATCCAAGTCGTCTTGGATTGAAAGGGTCTGTTGGTTAGTTATGGCATGGCGTTGTGGTTGAATCGAGGGGCCGTTTTGGCCCTTGATATATATTGATGAAAGCGAGATAGTCGAGATGACTTGATTTGACGTTGACGATACTACGCACCGAGTGTGACTTTGTGACACGCCAGCGAACAAGTAGTTGATTATTTCCAACCGGGTTTGATATTATCGACGCAGGTCTACCGACTAGAAAGCGGACCCAATCAAGTGATACATGTAGCATCTTCCTCCGCGACAGCGTGCCCCTGATCCTTTACCTCGCATGACCTCTCTTGGCTCTAACAGTGTTACAGGTTTAGTTCTTGATCTCCTTCTTGACAACCTCGACGTTGTGCTTCACCTCCTCCTTTACGTCCGCAACGGCCTCGCCGGCAGACTTCTTGCTGGACTCGTACAGGCCGATGCGGGTGAGCTGGACGATACCAACCATCGCAAGGAAGAAGTTGACGGTAGCGAGCCTGCGCGCAACAATGTTAGCCTTCTCTCGTAGTCTCGCTATATGAGGAGACACTCACAGGATGTTCTTGGGCTTGATGATCATGCACCACCTGGTCCAGATCAGACCCGTGCAGGTCAGGGCAAAGTTCTGCGTGAACGAGAGCTTCTCGGCCGGACGGGCCATGTCGGCGATACCCGCAATAACGAGGCACCACTGCGTTTCAATCAAGTCAGCCTTGGATTCTCTCCCCATTGTCCTCGCCCCCACTATTGGGTGTCGCGAACCTTCATGACAGGCGCCCAGAAGTGGACGGTCTTGATGCCGACCTCACTCTCCCACGCCTTCTTGAACCAGCTCTGCGCCTGCTGCTGCTGGGCACCAGCCTCGGAGCTCTGCCATCGTCGTCCGCCCTGGTAGAACTGTTGGCTGCGGAAGGGGGTCTGTTGGCGGAAAGCCTGGCGGAAGGCCGGTCGCGAGGCGCGAAGGATTGATGATGTCGCAGACGAGGCCATGGTGTCCTGGGAGCGAGACGGTCAGAAAAACTTCCTAGGAATATTGCAAGAGAACGAATGATACGTACCAGTACTGAGGGTGATACCAAGTCGATTGATGAGTAGACCCGTCGCTGCACGGTTCAGAAAGTTGAGTGTTGAGGTCCGATTTGCGACCGATAACCGGAGATCACCCGGCTCCGCCATTAATCCCGAAACGTATGCACACTGCATAACCGTGACTTGACTTTATGCAAATTTTATGCAAGGACTAGTTTTCAGGCGCCCAATCGCAGGACGCCAATTGCAACGACGACGACAACTCCAGTCGTGCTGCTGCGCTCTTCCGAGGAACACAGTCCATCGTCATCACAGCCACGCACGACACAGCAGCCATGTCTGCCCGCTACGCGTTCACCAAAGGCCTCAAGGAGGTGCGCTTCCTGTTCTGCCAGACCTCGGAGCAGAGCGCCGCCGTCCGGTAGGTCAACCGATTGACGAGATATCCGCGATACGTGCCGCAACTGACCTTTCTACTTGGACAGATCATTCCTCTCGAGAGCCTACCCTACCATGAAGAAGAACAACCCCAACGTCCCCATCTTGATCCGCGAGGCGTCAGGCACGATCCCCAAGGTGTTTACACGATACGGTACGATTGAACGAGCGCAGCCCATTGTCGACACACGAGCTAACATGTACGGTCTAGAATTCGGCAAGGAGCAGTCGCAAATCCTGGAGGGCCTGACAGACAAGCAAGTGGAGGACGCCGTCACTGGCTTGGTCAAGAACGAGTCGTGATAAGAGAAAGAGGACGATACTACAGACAACAATCCCGAACTGTGAATATAAGGCGTGCTGGCCTGCAACAATACTGTGCATCGGACACGGTGATGCGAAGCTTATCGCATTTCTTGCGCATTGCAAAGATATCCCACAGTTTGAACAGGTGCAGTCGGGTCATGAGAAGGTTATCTTGAGCGCAGTGCGGCCAGGTACTCAAACATTTCCAAGGCTGTTGCTTGTATCTTGCTACTTGTTGAGGCAGCTATCTACTCGTACAATCGACACAATCCAATTCTCCTGCTTGATTAAGTCATTTGGCGTCACTAATGTCTAGCTCGTCTACTCCGTGCGCGCCATTACGCCCTAGCGTGATAGTCGACGCAGTCGACGCTGAACAATCGATTGGCCGATTCCGAGACGGTGAGTGAGGTGGCCATGGCTCATTGATCCCAATGGCATCCTCCCCATCGTTTCCGGGATCCCATTCATCGTCTTCGCCGATGTCCTGTGTGATAGCACCCGACCCGTTGACCCCAAAGGGAGTGATCCATGGGCTGGGAGAGTGGTCCACGGTATGAGGCCGCAGCAGAAGCCTCCAATCATCAATGTCACACGGTATACCGTCGCCTTCATCGGTCTCCGCCTCCGAGCGCCCATCAGACTCCGAAGCAGCTGCTTTGCTTTCTTCCAGATGCTGCGACGCCCCCCATTTGTCGTTTTCCTTCTTCTTCGCTGCTTCCTGAGCACGGGCTTCTGCTTTCTTTGCTGCCTCCATGTTCTGCGCTTCTTCTTGATCGCAGGCTTGCAGCGCTTTCTTTTCCCTCTGGGCCAATTCGTACGCCTCTTGAAGAACCTTCTCGTCTGAAGCTTCGTTGTCCTTCTCCTGTTTTCGGTCTGCTTGCTGCGGTTTCTTCTTTCTCTTCTTTTTGTTGTTTTTCTTCACAGGTTGTTTAGAGCTCAACTCCAAAGTCGTCGCCTCCTGGGGTGCAGTAGCAGACAGCGACTCTTGGTCCGTCTCGGCAGCCGGCTTAAGCTCTGGTTGAAGCACCCGACCTGTGCCGCTATCCGTATTGTTAGATACATCTTGGTTCATGAGGACCGGCGACGACCTTAGCCCAACATCTGGCCCTTCAGTACTGTTGGCGTGGGGACCCTGCGAACCTGCGCCTGAGGACAAGGCTGCATAGATGTTACTCGACACACGATCGATAGCTTGCGGCTCGCGGCGGTGCTTGAGCGACCCAAGCTCTTTGGTTGTTATCCGAGTGTCAGCGTTTCCAAAACGTGTAGACCCCCGCTCTTGGCGTACGTTCAGAGTCTTGACTCCCTCCTTGTCGTCCTTTGGCAGGCTTTGCTGTGAACTTTTCGGCTGTCCAGCTTCAACTCTGAATTGACTCTCGCCGGCATGCTCTTTGCGAGACGTCTGTGGTGCCAAATGATTCGTACTGTTGTTCTTCTTCTTGCCTTGCTTACCTTGCTCCTGTTCCAGCAAGGTTGACACCACCCCTTTCCGTGGCTGCGGTCGCTTTCTTATCGTAAAGGAGCTGTACTCGCCCCGTTCCTCAACTTCCGAGGACAGCTTGTCTTTTTTCAGCGGCTCGAGCTGCTGCTTATCAATGACCTTTCCAGATCGGTCCAGGATGCCGACGAGGCTTGGGCAAAAGCCGTCCGAATGATCAGCGGCCGTAGAGACGTTGGGCTGGCTTTCAACGGGCTGCCGCAATATTACTGGCATAGGCTGGTTGGGCGATGTCACGGTCTCGGCGGCAACATTGACTGGTGAAGCCGGCTTCATGCTGGATTTTGGTCGTGATAACTCTTGCCCATGGTCTCTGGGCCCTCCAGTTGCGTCACGGTGAGCCTGGCCTTCGCCCGTCCTCTGTGCAGACGGACGAATCTTTGTAACACCCACGTCGCCAAACTGAATAGTTGTGGAACGTGAATCAATAACCGCCATCTTGTGATCGTGGTCAGCGCGGCTGGTACTGGTAGGGTTATCGGCATGCTCTCCGTCAGACTGTGCCTTCACTGGGGGGTGGCCCATGTCTATCGTGGCAGCTTGCTCAGCTTCGTGGTTGTGATTTGTGGCAACGGTAGCCTCGCTGAAAGGTTGACTGGTCCTCTCTTCCTGAAGGCTTCGAGAGGGCTCATACTGGCGATTCGGTGCATCGACAGGGGCTTCGGCCCCCGGCTGGGTTGTAGGCCCAGTGTGCAATGCAGGCAACGCAACCCGGGGCTTTGAACTAGAAAACGCACCACTCAGGGCATCGATCGCTGGCTCCCTTGTTTGGAGGCCATCGCAGGTATTCGAAGAGCGCTGGCTGACTGTCGAAGAACGTGTCTGCCTCTTGTACCTTTTCTTGCAGGCTTCCTTCTCGGTTGATTGCGGGTCTGTATGAACCATCATGCTATCCCCTTTTGCGGCTGCGACGCGCTCTGCTGGTCGCTTTTGAGCGGTTGCTTCATTTTGCCCAACGGCATGCCCCGAAGTCGGCTGGAAAGGTAGCGCGCCAATGTTCAGGTGGCTTGCAGCTCTCGGGTAGTTCCGCTGAGAATGTGATGGTGTCGGGGGGAGTTGTAAGGGCTCAGGGCCTGTTAGATATGCTGGAGGAGGCCCGCACATTGTTGCCGCATGTGGGTGAGGAGGCGGCTGAGGATAGCTCATAGGGGGCCTGGCGGCATGCTGTCTATCATTGCTTGGTTGGTAGCCCGTAGCTTGTTGACGATGAGCAGTCTGCTGATGAGTTCTGCTGTACGGCTTGTGAGAGCGTGGCGTTAGAGCTGTGCTATCCATGCGGCCATCCCATCTGTAGAGCATGCCAGATGCCGAATGAGTTGGAGATGGGTAGTGGAAGTTGTCTGATACATTTCTGCGGTTGAAATTCGCCCGCGGCGTTGAGGGAGGATCATCCGCCTCGTAGCGCGAGGTGCTTCGATCCCCGTGATTGAATTGACTGCGATTCTGACTCCTGTACAAAGCAGTTTCTGAATGGGCCACTTGTCCAAAGTTGTGGTTCTCTGGTTGGGGTGCAGGTTGACTTGGGAGAAGTACATCTGAAGGCCACGGAGTCTGGTGGTCCCGAGTACGATTCAAGGTCCGGGTCTTGTCAAGTTCAAGAGCACCGCGCTGAGCCTGGGGGTTGCTCGTGAATGCAGTTGTCTCGGCTGAGGCTGGTGGAATTTCCCCTGCCGTGGTCGCTGTAGCTTCTGGATGCTGGTCTGATGGTGCGGTAGTTTTCTAGACGTCGCGCGCATCTCCGAACATCGTTTGCGGCGGGGGCACAGAGGATCCCCTACTGTCCTTAAGAGGGTTAGTTCCAGCCGCCGTCCTATGGCTCATCCGCGCGCATCTGTCTTCAGAAACAGTGGAACGAGATCGTGGTTCTGTGAGAATGGACTCCTGAACAGACGTTGGGGAGGGCGATGCTTGAGCAGGCGTGTCATATTGGTCCTGGGACAGAGTTCGGGCTTTGTTATCTGCGTCAGAGCTTGGAGTGGTTGAAGATCCGAGCCATCGAGGTGGACAGTAAGAGTTTCCCGATACTATGGTTATGCCATCATCCGTCACGTATCCAGACCATGTTCGGGTCGACATCGGGTTCGTCTGTGTTGAGAGTGCTATGAAGCTTGTTAATATTCCTGCTATTCATTCTGCCCACACAGAATACGTACCTCGCTGTGGACCATGCAATCCCATGTGCCATTCCACCAAAAGCCTCTTTTGTTCTGTGAGAGCCTCTTTGAGACGTCCATGCACTTCATCGGTCAGAAGACGATGTAGGTCAAAGCCAGAGTCATGCTGCGGCAGGCAGGCAGTGATGGGAACGGCAGGTGCTGGGAAGTGCAACAACTTGTAAGCATTTCCCGGCTGAGACGCCCATGAGCAAACCCAGCTGTGGACGGCTATTTTCAAGGAATCCTCAACACGCTGCAAATTGCTCAGATCCATGTTGGATATGCCAGCGAGAACATTGGCCAGGTTCACAGCTCCACAGTGGTACAAGTCGTAGCTGTCGAAATAATCGTAGAGTTGTGTGTTGATATCAGGTCCCCTGTTCTTCACTTGCATCACAGCGCGCCACTGCTTGCGGGCCAACGACTTGCACACCGAGTGGACCTGCGAAACGTTCCAGTGGAAGACATGACGCTCGGGAAGGAAATGTTGCATGAATCGAAAGGGTCGTCGACCATCGTTCCGGGAGAACAGCGCAACCGAGCCCGGTGGCACATGGGTATAGAAGCTGCTGGGAACGTCGTTCTCGACGAGTTCGGGTGCTTCAGCTTCAGCACGGTATCTCTTAATGGCCGCAGGATCGTCTAAAATCGGGAGGCCATTGCTGTGAAAGTCTTTGAATCCTCGTGCTCGTGGTCTCTGTGCTAGCTCCTTGTCAATTATGGCCAGCAGCTCTTGTTCCAGAGACATGGTGAACGGGGTGGCGCTGCCCAGATATCGCAGGATGTCGGAGCTCGACGCAGTTGGAAGCAATGCTGCAAAATTGAGTAGTAGAGAGCGATATTACGGTGGAGGGAGGAGTGAAAAAGAGAAAAATCTGCTCCGGCTAGGTCAAATAAAGATGAAAGACAGATGGGATGAATGCGAGGTTTCACGTTGCTTTCATGTCCACTGCCTCACTGGTCGGGTGAGTGGTGGCTGATCAGAGATAAAGGCTCCCAGTTACCTGTGGTCGCTGCAAATCATGAGGCAAATTTGATTGCCTGATGTTTAGATGATTGTGCAGACACTGCAGTGGCAGCAAGGCAAGGCCGACTCGGCCTTCACGGTTGATTCACGTAATGAGGTCGTGCCTTCTCTCTGCTTCCACTGGTGGATTGTAGGATGTATGCTTTACCAGCCCGATAGCTGCAAGAATTGAGCGTTCGTGTCAATCGTGGAGATCTGGTACGTTCGTAACACACCCAAGCCTCCTCGTGTGATCTTCTTCCGCCAGGCAAGACGTCGTGGGTCATGGGCACTCTAGACCAGGCCACGACCTATTCATGAACATGTCAGCCGCGCGGCGGCACGATTGTGCGGCAGGAATTGGTGTGTTCATAAAACTCGAATAGCACACGCTCCATGTGTGGCTCGTCACGTCGCTTTCCGCAGCCTTGCTTCGCACAGCCTATACTTGCTAATTTCAGCTTGCCTGGTGAACCGGTAGCAGGACGCCTTCAACTCATGAGGCGGTTTCCAAATATCACTTGAGCCCGGAGGGAAGAGTAAGCTGTATTAGTACAGGGGTATACACTTGCGATCCTGAATAATGACCCGATATCGATCCCCACTGGTTACCAGTCACAGGACTCGCCTACTTTGTGGCATTGAGAAGCTTCAGAATAGCCGACTCATTGTCTCCAGATATCGCCTTGCCGTTGTTCCAATCTACGACCTACATAAAGTCAGTTGCTAACCTTGACAGACGCCAACCTTGTCCAATGGGCAACATACCAATGGCCTGCGCAGGCTCTCTTTGTTCTCCTTGAATTTCTTGAGTGCATCCTTCTCGTCCTGGGCACCCTCAATGATGGTGGAGATCTTGTTCTTGCCCACGTACTCTAGGATCGTCTGGACCTGGTCGGCGGTAGGGGGATCCTCTGTAATGTTGAGGTCGAACTGCTCGCGCTGGGTCTGGTGGGTGTGGTCGCTGGCCTGATCAATCGTTGCGCCGGCAGCGGCGCTGGCTGACGCCTGCTTCAGAAGCGTTGCGACGCGGGTCGAGGCAGGAGATCCAGCCTTGTGGAAGAGCGTGACGATATCGAGCGATTTCGACTGGTCTGAGATTAGCCATTGAAGCCCTCGCAGACCTAAGCGGGTACACCTACAAAGCGGAACATCTTTTAGAATCCTTGTGACAGCCGAGTGGGTGTCAGTAAGGCCTGGGTTGTGGTGTGGTCGAGCAGTGGTCGTTGTTTGATGTCGGAGCTAAGGTATCGTGAGCCGCTGCTCCAACTACTGCATGATGACTGCACGCCAGTGCCAAGACTCAGAGTATAATGGTCCGTGCATTTTTAGCTCCGTCTAGAAAACTCCGCCGGGGTTGATGAGCTACCCTGCACTTTTCGGTGACTGTGATGAAATGCATCATCCAGTAAGTAAGTTGAATTCCGTAATTTTATATTGCTTCTCGATTAAAAATATCTTAATTCAATTCTTCAGACGTGTACATGTAGACTGCGCACGGTAATGAGGATAACTTTTTGAAAGGGAAGCAAATTGGATACTTCGTAGTGGGGATAGAACCCTGAAAATACAAACAACAGCCAGCTGGTTGACAAAGACAATGCAATGTATCACGAATATCATTTCAAAACATGTGGATTTCCCAATGCTTGATTAGACACTGGGTCCAAATGTGTTAATATGAAAAGCTAAGACCTCCGTCATCAATTGGGCTTGATACACAGGGCCGTGAAGTAACGTTAGACACCACACGGCCTGGGACGCAGGTAGTTGTCTCCTTGTCATTTGTGATTTAGGAGCACTTAAGAGTCGACTTGGTCATATCCGGTCGAAAAATCAAACACGACTCCATGGAGCAGCACGATTTATGATAACATCTCAAACAAATCTCCTAGCCTCAATACTTCCGTACTCCACGGTGTGTTAGACAACTTGCCCCTCCACCCAGCCTTGCCTGGCACGCGAGCATCTTGGAAACACAGGACCAAACCTCCGCCTCGCCAGCACAGGAACGGTGCCTGAGCACCACACAATTGCGGCCCCATTGCGACCAGAAGCTTCCTGCATGACGTCGTTGCGTCAATTGCGGGAGACAGCGCTTGCAAACATCGATCACAATCGTGATGACGTATGACGTCTGAAGCAACAACTTGTGGAGAATGGCGCAAACACTCATTCTCACTCTTGCCTACAAAACTGCTTTTCTTCCCTCCTCGATCAGTTTGTGACATCAAACAAGCACATCTCTGTTCTTACGCAAATACCCAAGCCAACAATCATCACCATGTCTGGAAACTCTTCTGTCGGCCAATCTGGCGTCTACGAGGCTGGCGACCAGCGCAACTACAAGGACTCTGAGCTCAAGGCTGCCCAGGAGCCCTACAAGGAGGGCAAGGAGAACTCCCACAAGAACCTCGACTCTAGTATGTCATGTGGATGATGCGAGATTGCGCCAGCTAACAAGTCTGCAGAGGACGAGCGTTCCATTGCCAACAAGCTGGCTGCCGAGGAGCGTAACAAGGGCCCCTCTGATGACCCCGAGACTGCGGCTTCCAAGAAGGACCCCACTCTGCCCGTACGTCTCGAAACCGACAATGTCATGATAAACGGTTACTGACTATGAGCAGGCAACACTGCACGGCAACGAGCCCTCAAAGGGAGCCAAGCTCGACGCTGAGTTGCAGGCTGAGGATGAGCAGCGCCTCCGCGAGAAGCAGGGCAAATAAATAATGATACCAAGCATTGTCGGGAGTTTGGGCCAGCGGCGTTACTTGTAGCATCCACGGATAGCCACAATTCACGATAATGAAATGATATACTTCACGTTGTCTGATGTCTAAAGGGATTTGGGTAGCTGCCACATTGGATTTCCTTGGAGAGGCTTGAGGCCGTTTTCGACAATATGCGCATGTTGGCGGCCAGAAGGTGGCAAGTTACGGTACGAGGTATAAGGACACCCAAAGACATTTAGGGCAAAAACACATCACGTTCAGCGTACATGGGCGCGTTCGTTGGATGCCATGAACATGAGTCGACTGGAGCAGACCCGACACGCACATGCACTCAAGGCGAGCTGTACAGCAAGTGGAAGCCGAGGAAAGAGCACGATTGAGCTCTGGCGGTTCATGGGAGTCGCTTCGAACGACAGGCCGTCGACATGAATGTTCGGAAAGCCATTTATCTGCCTGAGACGAATGTTAGCCTCTTGCTGCTGACAAAAGTCTGGAACAATAATGTTGTGATGATAGTATCAGAATATGTAAGAATTAGATATCATATGACTACTCTGATATAGCGACTCCGGCGAGAGTGCCACCAGGTAGAATCAAACGCAAATTACCTCATCATGAAAGGAATCAGATATAAAGAAGATTGTGACTTACCATTCGTAGCTGTCCTCACTCTGGATGACCTGCAGACGCCAAACGCGACTGAGGTTCAATGTAGAGAAAGATCCAAGTGCAAAGAGTTGCAAAATTTCTGAGCTTCGCGACATGGTCAATTGGAGGCTCAAATGGTCCGTGCACCATACTCACACAAAAGTGGGGTCGGGGCCGGCACAACCTGTGACCGGAATTTTGCTTAGGGCACCGAGATTTCTGCCCGCACACTCGCAAGGTAACAGCGTGCATCAAAAAGTCCCTGGCGATATCTCGGCTCCAGAACACATCCACCAACGACCGACGGAAACGACACTTCACGACAACAGGTACGACAATTCGCCAGCGAGACATTTACTTGTCGCGCGCAATACTATTTTCGATTTCGAGATCCGAGGCTGACGCCGAAACAGAATACCGTCAAAATGGGTGATGCCACGATTGAGGGTTCCGCCTGGCGCCTCGTTGAGGTTGGCCGTGTCGTTGTGATCAACGGCGACCACCCCGACGCCGGCAGGCTTGCCGCCATTGTCGAGATCATCGACCACAAGCGCGTATGTTTTGGATCCTGAGAAGTGGAAATGTAGGACGTGATGGACTGACATGGCATGCAGGTGCTCGTCGAGGGTCCTTCATCCAACCCCGAGCTTGCCAGCCGCCGACAGCCCCTCCGCCTCTCGCGGGCTCTCCTTTCGCCTCTCGTCGTCGAGGGCCTCGAGCGCGGCGCCCGCCACGCTACCCTCAAGCAGCGCTGGGAGAAATCCGAGATCGACTCGAAGTGGGAGCAGACCAACTGGGCCAAGAAGCGTGAGCAGAAGTCGAGGCGGGACAACCTTACCGACTTTGAGCGCTTCAAGGTCCTCCGCCTCAAGAAGCAGCGCCGCTTCGAGGAGCGCAAGGCGCTGGCCAAGGTCAAGGCCTCGGCGTAAATGGGGTTATTCGCATTTGGAGTCAAAAGGGCAACTACGGAGAGGTGACATTAGATCGGGCAGGGAGGACATTGGGAACCATGGCGGCCAGAGCATAGCCACGCCGTTTGTGCCAGCCTGAGCCTTGGAACCATATAATCATCCCAAAGGGCTGTATGTCGCAACGCATTTTCGCAGACGGACGGCGTCAAATGGAAAATTCCACAATCATCTGAATTCAAGGCGCAGGGCGGTTCTTTATGCTACTCATGTGAGTCATCATACGTGAATGCTTTGCCTCCTTTCCTGATGACGTTGAATTCCCCAATCCCGCTTCATCGACCGTGAACTCCAGTTAGGGTTGATCGGGGCAGACCGGGGATAACCCACCACATTGCCGTGCAGGGTAAGCCTTTACCACGGCTTTTATCGGAACGCGATTCCGACGCTGATTGTTTTCTTCCGCGATGGCAAGGGGAAGAACCTCAAGAATTTCCCAGTGACTTTCTGTCGCGAACCTCTTTGAGCGCGCCTCTCAGACCAATTGCTCTCAGTCTTCGCCTTTTAGCCTCTTGTGCTTCCCAAAGGGGATTTCACTCGCTCTTCGAGAACACATAGACCATCCATTATGCTTCGCACAGCGTCGGCAAGAGCGGGAGCTGCGAGCTCGTGGCGTGCCGCAGCAATGCCGAGGACGATAACTGCTGCCACCACATGTCAACAGCTGCGATCTATCTCCTTCTCGACCCCGCATACAACCTCAGCATCCCGAAACCCTTCAGCTACAACCCCGCGATACAGCAACTACCGCAGTTTCCATACGTCCAAGCCCACCATGGTCTCTACGCGAACCGAGAGCGATGCCTTTGGCGAGATCCAGGTCCCTGGGGACAAGTACTGGGGTGCCCAGACGGAGCGCTCCCTCGAGAACTTCAAGATCAACCAGCCTCAGGACAGGATGCCCCCTCCCATTGTCAAGGCCTTTGGCATCTTGAAGGGAGCTGCGGCTACTGTCAACATGCGCTACGGCCTCGACCCTAAGATCGGCAAAGCTATCCAGCAAGCCGCCAAGGAGGTCGCCGACGGCAAGCTCATGGACCACTTCCCTCTTGTCGTTTGGCAGACCGGTTCCGGCACTCAATCCAACATGAACGCCAACGAGGTCATCTCCAACCGCGCCATCGAGATCTTGGGCGGCCAGATGGGCAGCAAGAAGCCCGTTCACCCCAACGACCACGTCAACCGCAGCGCGTCCTCCAACGATACCTTCCCTACAGTCATGCACATTGCTGCCGTTCTAGAGCTCGAGGGTGATCTGCTGCCTGCATTGAAGACCCTCAAGGCAGCTCTTCAAGCCAAGGTGGACGATTTCGAGGCCAAGAAGATCATCAAGATTGGTCGCACACACTTGCAGGATGCTACACCCTTGACTTTGGCTCAGGAGTTCTCGGGCTACGTGGCTCAGCTCGACTACGGTATCAAGCGCGTCGAGGCAGCACTCCCTGACCTGCGCCTTCTTGCACAGGGTGGCACTGCTGTTGGCACTGGCATTAACACTTTCGAGGGGTTCGCCGAGGGCATTGCCGAGGAGGTGACCAAGATGACTGGCACCGAGTTCAAGACCGCACCCAACAAGTTTGAGGCTCTCGCTGCCCACGATGCCATTGTCCACGCTCACGGCGCCCTCAACACCCTGGCAGCCTCCTTGACCAAGATTGCCCAGGACATCCGTTACCTTGGCTCCGGTCCTCGTTGCGGCCTTGGCGAGCTCAACCTGCCCGAGAACGAGCCTGGTAGCAGCATCATGCCTGGCAAGGTCAACCCTACCCAGTGCGAGGCTTTGACGATGGTCTGCGCCCAGGTTATGGGCAACCACGTCGCGACCACCATTGGTGGCATGAACGGACAGTTCGAGCTGAACGTGTACAAGCCTCTTGTCATCCGCAACCTCCTCCACAGCTCCAGACTGCTGGCTGATGGCATGCGCTCCTTCGAGAAGAACTTGGTCGTTGGCCTGGCCGCGAACGAGGCCAAGATTGCCAGCATCATGAAGGAATCGTAAGTTTTACTTGTCTAGAACACCGGCCTCAAACTAACTTTGCTACAGTCTCATGCTCGTCACGTGCCTCAACCCCAAGATCGGTTACGACATGGCCAGCAAGGTCGCCAAGAATGCGCACAAGAAGGGCCTGACCCTCAAGGAGTCAGCCATGGAGCTGAATGCCTTGACTGAGGAGGAATTCGACCAGCTTGTCAAGCCAGAGCTCATGGTCGGCCCCTCGGCTTACAAGGGTTGAGAGAGGCGACATCTAGACTATATATGTATAAACATTTTGAATAGAAATCAAGACTATAATGAACAGAACCTGCTTGCCGCAATTCGTTATACAAAAAGTCATGAAATCCTGGACGCCAGTGTCTGGGCAGCTGTTGAAGTTGATGAACATCTTGAGCTCGACTGGACCCCACGTTGAGCGATTACCTAATCGAGCTTAGCCCGCCAACCACCAAACCCTAGAATTTCGCAACGGAAGTTTCGCTTCACAAACAGACGAAGAATATCGCAACGAACGGCCCAGACGAACGATATCTAGGCTCACTTCCAAATGTGAGTATACAGTATTGCTGAATTTTTACGACATGCAGCGCCCCGAAAAACATGCGTTGCCAGCCGATTTTCAGCTTGCTCGAGCACCAGCTAACGACGAAACCCCTCCTCTAGACCACACAACCGCAATCATGGCCAACCCCCGCGTCGAAGAGCTCCCCGATGAGGAGCCCCAGAAGTCCCGCGTCGAGGACCAGGATGAGGACTCTAGCGACGACTCCGAGGTTGAGGCCGGTGGTGAGGGCGAGCTCCCCGCGGGCTCGACCACCGTTGTCACCTCCAGGAACGAGAAGAAGGCTCGCAAGATGCTCGAGAAGCTGCACCTGACCCGTGTCACTGGCATCACCCGCGTCACCATGCGCCGCCCCAAGAACGTACGTACATCGATCATGGGCAGGATTGGAAAGTGAGGGAATCAAAGGCTGAACGTAACCCCACAGATGCTCTTCGTCATCAACAATCCCGAGGTCTACAAGTCCCCCAACAGCAACACCTACATGTAAGTCTGTCGGCTGGACCGTCCATGAGCGGGCGACTGACAGGGCACAGTGTGTTCGGTGAGGCCAAGATTGAGGACATCAACGCCACCGCCCAGCAGGCCGCCGCTGCCCAGCTCGCTGCCCAGGGTGCCTCCGAGGGCGACCACGCTGGCCACTCCCACGCCGAGTCCAGCAAGGGTATCGAGTCCTCTGACGCCAAGAAGCCTGCTGAGGAAGAGGAGGAGGATGATGACGAGGAGGTTGACTCTGAGGGCATTGAGGATAAGGATATCGAGCTCGTCATGACCCAGGCCAGTGTTAGCCGCAAAAAGGCTATCAAGGCTCTGAAGGAGAACGAGAACGACATTGTCAACTCTATCATGGCATTGAGTATCTAGCATTGTTGAAGGTTCCTTGGGTGGTCATGGGAAAGAAGTATCACGAGTGTATTCATCTCCGCATAGTATGGAGGCTTGAGCACCTTGATGCATGCTACAACAAAAATAAAAGGTCAAATTGCTGCGGCCAGGAAAAAAAAAACTCGGCTTCAATCACTGTCATTTATCGTTGATCATGATTTCGACTTCAATGCCTTCTTTGAATCCATGCTCGACTTGGCCATCGGAATCGCACGGATCCTGAGCGCTGTCACGTGATCTGTCTCCCGGCCTCAACGACCCGCCTTTGGTCGGCAAAGTCAATCAACACCAACGCTGACGACCATCTACGCTCACTCAAACCACCAGATACCATCAAAATGGCCACCGTAAGTACCCTTAATCAATTGATCCTCCCTGCAGAAACGATACGACCGCCTTTGCGCCCCCCCCTGTGCCGCCTCCGCTCCCTCAATGCGACCGAACGATTGAGCTAATTTCTCCTCTCCCAACAGCGCAGCGCTGCTCTCAAGCTCGACTGGACCAAGGTCACCAGCTCGCTGGGTCTCCGCGGCCAGACCGTCTCCTCCCTGCAGGCCTTCAAGAAGCGCAACGAGGACGCGCGCCGCCGGGTGCAGGTCCTGTCCGAGCAGCCCACCACCGTCGACTTTGCCGCCTACCGCTCCCAGCTCAAGAACACCGCCATTGTCGACGAGATCGAGAAGCGCTTCAAGGACTTCAAGCCCACCACCTACGATGTGAACCGCCAGATCAAGGCCATCGACGCCTTCGAGGCCGAGGCTGTCAAGAACGCCGAGCAGACCAAGACCGCTGTTGACCTGGAGCTGAAGGACCTTGCCGCTACCCTGAAGAACATTGAGTCCGCTAGGCCGTTCGAGGACCTCACTGTTGTATGTTGGACCGCTTCAGCACTACGCGGATGGTTACTGATGTTACTGTGTAGGACGAGGTTGCTGCTGCCGAGAAGTCGATTGACGAGAAGACCAACGAGCTCGTGTCCAAGGGTCGCTGGATGGTGCCTGGTTACAAGGTATGTGTCTTCTTTCTTGTGTATTTGGAGACGTGTGCTAACCCCCCGAACAGGAGAAGTTCGGCGACCTTGCTGTCGTCTAAGCGAATATCATCGTTGGCTTGCGCTACGCTATACGGAAAGATTCCCTTTGTGTACTCTAGCATTGTAGGTACGAGAAATCGTGTTGGTGGAGTCAATCGCTCTACTTGTATCTCTAAAAATGGTGCATTTGCCTGTGACGCTCCTTGTACTTTGATTTCCGCGAAGGGTGCATGTATGAGCCTCGTGGAGCGGAGCTTCGCTTGTACAAAGCCGTGACCATATCCTAGCAAGCCAGTTCCAATGCTGGAACCGCTGTGATACTAAGTACAGGTAGTTCTGTAGGCTCCGGCGGTGGTATAGCGCTGCCCGGCACTGATGCGTCAAAGAAGAATGTTGCACGTGGAACCGTGTCGGCCTATACCTGTAACACGAAAACATCGCTTGCGACCCTATCAAAGTTCACCTGAACATTTCCCATGGTATTTCTCGTCTCCGCTCCGCTCCATGCCTGCCTGGTGTCCATCATGAAGCCGGCTGAGGCTGAGGCTGTGCATATGTTCTTGTCCATTCCCTGGCCTTTTCAATAGCCGCCTGTTCATCAGCCTTCCAATGCTTGGCTACGTCGTCGGCCAGAGGGTCATCGGGGTTGGGGGCGCCCAGAAGAGCCTGAATCGACAAAAGGATTGTTCGGATCTGAAGAGCAGGAGACCAGTTATCTACAGTACGTTAGCGACCCCCGGACATTTAATCGTTTGTTTCCCGAGGCTCCATACTCTTCAAGACGTCAAGGCAGATGCGGCCAAGCTTGTCAACGTTGGGATGGAAAATCTTTGTGAGAAACCGAATCTTGGGCGCAGTCATGGGGTAGTCTTCGGGAAGGAAGAGCTCGAGTTTGAATATCCCGCCTAGGTAGGTTCAGTCAGCCGAGCCAGAACGCACAATGCCCATCCGCCGTACCTTCATAGGGAGAGCTAGCGGGCCCGTGGATTTCGACATCGAAGTAACGGAGGTTATCCTCGTGAGGAATGGCGCTGATACCGGGCACACTGCGCGAGGGACGGTCAGTAGCTCGTTTGGCGCAGAGCCCACCACAACATGTGTAACTTACGGCTCGGCCATCAGGCGCTCCGTCTCCTTGATGATTCGCTTGGGTAGGGCCATTTTGGTGCTCTATATATATGTGTGATAGTGCAGGACGGGGAGAGCAAGCGGTGCAAGAGCTAAAGTCGGAACCTTGAGACTTCGATTGCACGCGAGGCGGGGCACTGCTGGGCGGGAGGAGGGGCCATTTGTGCATGCGACAGAGGTATGAGATAGACGATTGCTCGCGACAATGCGTGCAGAGTACCTTCGCCAAAGCAGCAAGTCAGGAAAAGACCTTCTCTACAATCACATCTGACGAGGGCTATTCAGTCAAATAATTCATCGTGTAGCCTTCACAGTTGTAATCATGAATCAATCCAATTGCTTGATAAGTTAATACGATACTCTTGGTATCGGGTAGGCAAGCAAGTGCAGCACTTGGCTGGGCCCGGGATGAAGCTAGTGGCCTGCCAGGGACGCCAGGTAGCTAGCTAGTGGAGAGGTAGTTTCGCTAGAAGAGCATATGGCGAAAGCACTCGATCCCTATCACGTCTGACCTCATTCCCTCGACACTGGTTCACGTCGTCGCGAACTCAGTCCAATGGATTAACCAACATTCACAGACTGGATCGTGCGCGGATGCGGCGCCTTAGCGACTACACTCAAACGACACGTACCGTGTGAGACGACAGTCTTGATTCACACGCAGCCTACATCTTGATTGCCAACAGGCCACACTCAGCGCATGCCAAACGGGCAACGCGATCCCGACATGAAGGGCCACATGAGCCACCACTTCTCAGGCCAAAGAGATGCCGTTTTTCGACCAGACGCTGGATGCGCCAAGGAAGGGCAAGATCATCAAGTCAGCATACGATAGTGAAAGCTTCGAATCTGATGGTACAATCCATGTGGACGGCCTAGTCGGCTCGGCGACAATCTCCCCTTCAGGTCGCGACATTGCGCTTGCATCGCCGGATGGTCTGGCCATTATCGACCTCGACTCGCCTTACAATCCCCCTCGGCGACTGCGCAGCCATGGTCAGCCTTGGCTGGTCACAGACGTCCAGTGGTCACCCTTTGCTGCACGAGACTACTGGGTGGTGTCCACAGCAAACCATCGCGCTCTGGTATGGAATCTGAATCTTAGAGAGGATTCGGCGTCTGGCGCGATCGAGCATTCGCTTCAAGGCCACAGCCGTGCCATTACCGACATCAACTTTTCTGCGCACCACCCCGATATCCTAGCAACATGCTCCGTCGATGGCTACGTGCACTCTTGGGACCTTCGTCGCCCGCGGCAGCCAGTGCTTACTTTTTGCGACTGGTTTGCCGGGGCCTCGCAAGTTAAGTACAGTCGACAAGACCCCCACGCTCTGGCATCTTCGCACGATCGTTGGCTTCACGTTTGGGATGAGAGACGGGCATGCGAGCCAGTCAAGTCGATTACGGCCCATACGTCCAAGATTTACGGACTCGACTGGAATCGCCTGAACCCCACCTCTATTGTCACATGCTCGTTGGACAAGACCATCAAGTTCTGGGACTACTCAAAGGATGTCCATGAGCCTGAAAAGGTGATCCATACTCAGTATCCTGTTTGGCGAGCGCGACATACACCATTCGGAGAGGGCCTTCTGGCCATGCCCCAAAATGAGCCCGGGGACCTGTATCTGTACGATAGGCAACGCCTAGATGAAGGGCCGAAACATACAACCGCAGAGCCTGTAACGGTCTTCCCAGGCCATGGCCAACACAAGGTGAAAGAGTTTCTCTGGAGGAGTAGAGGCGGCATCGACGCCAACTCCATCGACACGAGGGAGTTTCAGCTTGTTTCGTGGGGCGCTGATAATGAGCTACGGCTCCAATGCGTTGACGCAAGCATACTGGCGGCTGTGGGATATACCAAGGGTGCACCAGCAGCCAGGGGCATCAATCTGACCCGGAAAGGCGCAACGTACAAGACGTTCCGCACCATTGATGAAGTCTCGAGCCGAGATCGCAAACATGGGACCATGAGCGACCCGCGTGCCGCCGTTTCCAACCAAGCGAAGCAGAGCGCACTTACTATGGGCATGCGCTCGGGTACACAGGGGCGCCACGCAAAGACTGGCTGGCGAGGGCCCTCCATGCGAGCCAAGGTCACGTCGAAGAAGGATCGCAACCAATCACAGATCGGCTGGCTCAAGGGCATTACCATTACGAAAAGGACCGCCTCTGGGCCTGGCATCCTGCCAAAGAGACAGATGTCCAAGGACTCGAGCGTTTTCGGTCATGGATACCCTGATGACGAATGGGCAGGGCCTGACACGATACAAGACGAGGTGTTGCGGATCAGCATGTCGATGCCCAAAGTCAGGTGGGAGAATATCGACTTTGATGAGATGACACTTAACGCGTCTCTAAACGGACCCTGGGGACCGGGCGGCGACACAATCTTCATCAAGGTCAGGATATACATCCCTGAGGACTATCCGAGTGCGAGCGCGCCAAAGTTCTACATTGAGAAGACGTCCTTCTTGCCCGAGGAGACACATCAGCGCATGACCCGAGAGATCCATCTGCTCGCCGAGAAGTTTCTGCAGAGAAAGAAGAACTGTTTGGAAGTTGCCTTTATCTACCTGCTGGGCGAGGTGGACCTGGAAACGAGCACAACACTCTTCAAGAATGTGGATGATCTTGACGATGGGATTGGCGCACTCGTCGACGAGAGCTCGAGCAGTGAAGAAGATGAAGACATTCCCGCTGGAGGCTCAGCGGCCATGTCGCAAGAGCTGCCGCCTCATGCCGATGCGGACACGACTCTGGCGCCTCCGAACAGGTCGATCATTCCACCGCCAGCGAGGACATGTGGCGCTCGATTCTCCCACGATGGACGTCTGGTTTGCTTCTTCCCTAGTAAGGAGGAAAGGGCCAGGGCGTTATTCTCCAGCAACGCAGAGCTGCAAAAAGACAAGGCAAAGCCTGAGCCGTATTTTGCCGGCTTTGGGAGAATTCCATACGAGCAGTCCTCCAAGTCAAAGTTCGCAACGGATGAGCCCTCTGCGACAGAAGATCAATCTGATTCGGACGAGTCTGATTCATCGACTTCATCGAGTGATTCCGAGTCGACTTCCATTCACAAGATGAGCCTCTGGTATCACCCGCGACGACAATTCAAGAAGACATGGAGTGAGGACAGATCGATCAGATCAAGCGGCGGCGACACTGGAACTGGAATTGGGACGGGCACAGGTACAGCGTACAGTCGACGTCGCATCATCGGACGGCCGCGCAACCTCGTCACGATCCATGATACCCGGCCTCTCCTACCCTCCAAAAGGGAGCTGGCCAAAGAGTATGCCATCTTTGGCGACGGCGCTGAAGTGTGCGAGCACAACGCCGCTGTCGCCGACAAGCATGGATATAAGGATATGGCTGACGTCTGGCGGTACTTGACGCTTCTCCTGAAAAAGGGCATACCGCTGGAGGTCATTACGCCAGACAGCAGGCGGAACTCGATTCTTGTCATTGCGCATCAGATTGTCTCCAAGACGCGATCGTACGAGTCGCCAGACTCAGGGTATGACTCGGCCGAGTCTGATTCCGGGCTCTGTGGACGAGTCAAATGGGGCGAGCATCCTCTGGCGCGGGATTTCATCGCCGAGCTGTTTGACTATTTCGAGAAAATCGCCGACATCCAGATGCTGGCCATGTTGTCGTGTATCTTCAGCGAGACATCGGCTGAAGATAGTGTTGCCTACGCGGAGTCCCATCTCCCGCAAACGGAGACGCCATTGCCTCTCAAGGCCCCCTCTTTTTCCCTGGAGTACTTCCCTACAGACGCTTCCGTGTGGAATCTCTTTGGCAAGACACGCAATACAGCTCTCACGACGACCCCAAGAACGCCCCGCACGCCTTTGACACCCTATTACGATGGTTCACAAGCGTCCGAAGACGTGGCTTGGAATGAGGATCCAGCGTCCAACTCGTACTCCTGCGGCGAGACCCCCCCTGCCCGTGGTAAGGCCCCCGTTGCAGGCCTTGATATCGCCCAAGGAGGTACGCGATCACCGCACTCGCGATCGGCACACAAGGCGAACGCCAGTCTCGCATCATCCTTTACAGGTCTGTCCCGATCGTTCACGGGTGGAAGCTCCGCGTCACCACCGTACACCAAGAAGAAGCCCAGCCCGGTCGAGACGATCATCAATAGTTTGGCCCCTGGCATGAACAGCGCGGTCTGGGGCAATGCGTCCAAGACAGTCACCAGTGACTCGAGCGTGGGGCGTATTTCGGTGGACGGCGACGAACCTGTACCCGAGGACACTCTTCCCCTCGTGCCGGTCAGCGTGTCATTGTACGTCGAGGATCAAACAATGTTTGACGACGACGGGTGGCTCAGTGCGCCCATGTTAGAGCCTGCACGTGCAGAGCTTCACGCAAGCTACCGCTATGCATACGCCGAGATGCTTCAAATGTGGGACGAGCCACTCTCCCGCCTCGAGATTATGAAGTTCAACATTATGCGATCCGATAGCCCTCGAACTTTGTACCACAGGGACGGCAGCACATCCGAGTCCTTCACCATTCATGAGGGCAGCGTTGCGCATGTCAAGACCGGTTCATCGCCCATCGTCATGGGCAAGAAGGATCAGTTGCATGCGCTCATTGCGTCCGGCAGGGGGCTCGACGTGACGGGAATCTGTCGCATCCACGAGACGCAACTTGATCCTGCACGCTATACCTCCTCGGATTCCCATACGGGCGGTGCAGTGGGTACATGTGATCGTTGCCATCGCATGCAGAGCCAGCTACGCTGCGTGTACTGCCTGGAGCCCGTCGATGCACTGTTCCCACCATGTCTAAGCTGTGGATGTGCGAGCCACGAGGCGTGTCTCGCCGAGTGGCATGCCGCCGGCGAGGAACTCTGCCCTGCCGGGGACGAGTGCAACTGTGTAGAGGAGGCTGCGAACGGCCAGGTGGAATCGTGGGCGGCACTGCAAGGGGCCATGACGAAAGGTCCAAATAAGATTCTGAGACTGCCTAGTCCCGCGGTCGCAGAGCCAGACGAGGAATGGGGCAGAAAGACGTCGACGCGGTCTGAAGAGGTCGCCAGTACTACGAATGAGACGGGTTTGATACCGAACGCATCGACGCTGACCTTTGGGCGTCTGAGGAAGTCGGCCGGCTCATGGTCGAGAGCCAGCAGCGCGCGTCGCAACATCAAGAAGACGCTATAAGCCATGTACGTTCTAGTTGTATATATCGATTGATAATAATGTGTCTGTCTATCATTTTACTGCATGTACTCGGCCTGTGCCTCATCGCGCGTGCCAAGAACTTTCTCTCTAACAGTACAGGTATCCCAGGTCCTTTGCAAGACCAACCAGGTCAATGCGACGAATACAGACCATGGCTGTGGCCAGTGTATTCCAAGCGGTTGCGCTTCCTTGCCACTCCAGCCATGTCCATCGGCCAGTCCCAGCGCAAGAAGAATGTGAAGCTTCTCTCCACCAACGACCATCGCAGCCTCGCGGCCGCAGCACGACACCCATCCACCTCGCACCTTGTCTCCTCGGATAATCGAACATGGTACCATTCTCGCCCGTCGTCCGGTGGACAGTAGTCGCCGTCCATAAAGTTGACTTTGGAGAGGATGTGTGTCCTCCCCACATTGTACCTCTGGCAATTGTCGTTATCGCATCGTCCTTCTCGCAGGACCAGTCGCGACATGGCATCCTGGCTCAGGTCCAGCGTCGCCACTTCGACGACGTTGGCGTCCACCCAGTATCGATACTCGCGCGCGGCTTGTTGTATGCGCTCGCTGCAGGGCGCGCTCTTGTCAAAGTTCACGTGCCAGCTTCGCGCCACATCGCCCACTTTGACAGACCAGAATTCCTTCACGTTGGGGAACCAGAACCTGTCGAGCGTGACTCGCCCGTCGACGTCCTGGTCGCACCACTGAGACACATAGTCAAAGTAGTGTTTTGGTAGGGCGATTCTCTGCTCGTCCGGGACACAGTCCCAGAAGACGACACGCTCAGCGCGCGATGCAATGTCCTCGGCTACCGAGTCAAAAGTCGTCCGGTCCGCGATGCGATAGTCGCAGACCAATATGTCTCGTGCAAAGTTGAAGTAGGATCCCTTGCCTACCCGCTCATAGCCACCGCGTGCTTCAATGCGTGCTTCTGAATTGACTTGGGTGACCGCCGGCAGCGGGTGGGCGCACTCGACGTCGACGAGATCGTTCAGCAGCAGGAGACGAGGCTCGATGGCGCAGTTGTAGATGCGCAGCCGCAGCTCTGGCGGTAGGTATGTGAAAGGGGGCAGTCGTGGAGATGATATGCTTGGGGCTGCTGTAGATGTTGGCGCCGTCTCTAGAGGTACTATTCGACCATGACCAGACGCCTCGTCACCGTTTACGATCCGCCACGATGGCACCGCCATGACCCTAGATTGAGTGGCAAGGACAGCATCGAAGAAGGATACGTAGATGGGATGGATGATACACGGACGGCGACCACGGTCCCACGAGCTCGAGGTCTGCTGTGTCCTCGCGCGTCTGGTCTTATGAGCTACCGTAGGGCGGTGTGACGGAAACGGCAGAGGGCGTCATTTCGACAATCGCGTGAGCCCAGGGACCGCACGCACGCAAGCGAGCGAGGGAGCGTGCGAGCAAGCTTGCCTTAGCTCGCCTGTCCGTTTGCGGTCTGGCCCGAAGCCGGCGACGGGGGTCGAGCGGTTGATCCCGTGCGAGGCCATCGTGGTCGTGAGTGGTGGCCCTGTCGCCCGTGAGATGCGGTGGCCAGGTTGCTGGTTGCTGGGAATTCCCACACCGACGGTCTGTGGGAGGCGGTTAGCTGCAGGCACACCTCGTTTCCCACCCTCGGTGTGTGAAGTCCCCCGTGCATGTGCGTGCGCGTGTGACGAGGCAGGGTGATTACTCGCCCGGCGCTCTGGGGCCTGGGGGTGGTCGGTCCAGTCCAGTCCAGTCCAGTTCAGTCGTCCCAGGACCAAGGCTCATGTATCCCGCTGGTGATGGTGAGATAAGCCGCAGCGCCGCACGCAGTCTGAGACCGGCGATTGGATTCCAGAGGACAGGGCCGGGCCCGGGTGACTGCAAAGCTGCCCGCGTGAGTGCCAGGCCAAGCTGGTCGCGTGCAGCTAACGCACGAGGCAGGCGCGAGTTGAGCAAGCGCGACGCATGCGGACGGATAGGGGGATGGGCGAGGGAGGCCAGTGAGCCTGTGAGGACGGAGGAGGTTGGGGAATTCGACATGCTCCGCAGCGGCATTGCTGCATGCGGGCCGCCACAACGTGGGACAGGAGATGGCGTCAAACCAAGGCGATAATCCCCGAAGGTCGGAGTTGGGCCGTTGGCGGCCTACGATGAGTTCAGTCCATCGAGGGGCGAGCCAAGTTGACAGAGGCGTTGTTGATGTCGTGCGCTTCCTCGTTCACTGTCGCGAGAAGTGTCGCAAGACGTCTACTCCGTAGACAGCTTTCCACCCATCAATTCCTCAACAGACGTCGGCGAGTCGCAAGGATCTGGTCGGCCGTCGCAACGGTTCGCAGTGTTAAAATTACCCTGCATTCACCTACATGTTATGTATTGATTAGGAGCAGGCATGCCACGTATGCGACCAGGTTTGAGGTTGGCGGTGAGTCGTGACCGGGAGTACTGCCCAGCTGGGTCTCCACGCGAGATCAATCAACAACGAGATCTTGATTGTTGAGTATTTGTTGGTAGTTGTTCTTGACACCCTGTGGGTTCGCGGAGAGCATTATGGGGAAAGGCGCAGTGACTCTATCGACTTTAATCCCAAGGGCAGCGCCAGTAAGCAACTTGAAGCATTCTCGACGTACCAGGCACCAGGCAATGTCATGTGAGCACTGCGCATCTTTCAGGCTTCCCCTCTTGAATTCCAGCCTTCGATGAGAGGAACAAGTGACAAATTGGCCGTGTCGTGGCCCGTGAGGCGCCTGCTTCCAAGTCTTGCCATGCGCAGTGCGCAGGGTATTCCCAGTTCTTCACCGTATGACGCAAGCCAATCCTCGACGTGTGCAACCAAAGCACACATGGAATCGCGCAATGCGCGGCGTATAAGTGGACAGGGTTGACCAACAGTCCGAGGTGAAGCGAAGCAGCGCAACCTTGTGATTCTACCGATAAAACATCCAGCCTGACCATCATGAAGCCAAGGAACAGCGCGGACAGCTCTCCCTTGGCCAGCCCCAAGAACTCGCTGGAGAATTGGGAGAACAGGCTGATTGGCAAGACGCTCCATGCCACTGACACTGGCCCAACTGTGAGCTCGATAGTCCCCTTGATCCCACTGCTCAGGTGCTGACTGACTGAAGACGTTCTGCATCAAAGATCTTCCTGAAGAGAGGCGAATCATCAAACCCAATGACGCTATGACAGAAGATTATATTGAGGAGAGGCTGAATGTGTATGTTGACGAGCATTTTGTCGTCTCCCAAGTTGAGTTTGGATGAGATCTGGGCCACTGCCGTGTAGATGTTGCAATTGAATCCTGTTGAAATAGTGATCCAGCAACGGCTGTTCAAACATGGAAGCGCCTTTTGCTGCTCTATCTAATTAGAGTCCAGGTCGTAATGAATCACTTCCTCCCTCGCGTGGTGTTAAATAACTGTTCTGTTCTGAGGTTTGGAGTAGCACGCAGGAGCTTCTCCCGCTAGCGTCACTGCATGGCTCGAATGTGGATGCGGCGCGTCGCAGGTCTTCCCTTGGCCTCCACTTCACCCAGCACTGGCACTGGGCACTCACAACCACCACCACCATGAAAAGGACGCCTTGACAGCGATGCCCTCGCACACCGACGACGATGAGAGCGAGACACCGTTTCCCACGCTAGACCTCCACGTTTCCTCCCGCCTCGCCAGCGGCCTCCTGTCGCCCGACGATGCCTTCCCCCCGCCGCACCGCGCCCCCTACGCGGGCGACAGCGCGAGCGAGCTGGGACGACCGCGCCTGCGAAGGCTACACAGCGAGCAGGGCGGCAGCCGGCGGCGCAAGAGGTCCTGGAAGAAGCTCATGTGGGTGAAGCAGTCATGTAAAGAGACCCTCGCCGCCTGTCCGGCCCCCCAATTGGCACTGACCGTGATCAAGACCCCGACAACTACACCGACCAAGCGACCTTTCTCGGCGACCTCCAGCGGAACCCGCGCCTCAAGCCGTACGACTTTTGGCCCCTCGTCGCCGACTCGACCGTCATCCTGCAGCACGTCTGCAGCGTCATCATCTTCGTCGTCTGCTTCGCCTTCATTTTTCAGGACCGCGTATCGCCCGTCTCCATTGTGAGCTGGAGCAGTGGCGCCACCGTCGCGGGCTGGTTCGTGTGGGAGTACTGGGTGTCACGCGAGGACCAGAACGAGGACCCCTCGTCCCTGGGCACGAGCGTCGCGACCGTCGTCGTGGGCCGGAGTGGAAGTCTGAACCGACGCAGAACACGCGCGGCCAGTATACGTCGGCAAACGCCCCTGCGCAGCGAGTCCACGGCACGCTACCACCCTCCCTCGGGCCTCTCCGCGCCCCCGACCAAGCCTTCCTTGACAGACGTGTCGGCCAACAGCTCGACGAGCAATCTCTCGTTAGCAGGCCGACCGCCACCGAGGACAGTGTCCACGCCCAGCCTACGCACGAGGTTGAGCCACGAGATGCTGCCGTCGCCCAGTGAGACGATTCCCCCCTTCAACCCGGGCGAGATCAACCATCTCCACGAACGTCTTGGCACCCTCAAGTCCTCGGCGCTCATCTACTCGACGCTTCTCGGCCTGAGCCCCATACTCAAGTCGCTGACCCGGTCGACGAGCAGCGACAGCATCTGGGCCATGTCCTTCTGGCTCCTCGTCATCAACATCTTCTTCTTTGACTACTCGGGTGGCGTGGGCGCCAAGTTTCCCGCCTCCTTGTCGACCAACGCCGCGTTGATGGCCTCGACCGTGCTCGCGAGCCGTCTCCCCTCCACCACGCAAGTGTTTAGCCTCACGCTCTTCTCCATCGAGGTTTTTGGGCTTTTTCCCGTGTTCCGGCGGCACGTCCGTCACCAATCGTGGCAGCTCAACGTCGCGCTGACCATCCTGCTCGTCCTGGGCGCGGGCCTTGGGGTGGGACTCGTGGTGCGGCAGAGGGAAGATGGCGGCTGGAACTGGACGAGCGGCATTGTGGGCATGGTGATCAGTGTGCTGTTGGCCGGTGTAGGCACGGGCGGGTGTAGCTGGTGGCTGATTGGGTTGCAAAAGTACAAGAACGAGATCCGAGGACCGTGGGATCCTGCGAGGCCGATTATAATGAATCGGCAGAGGTGGGATGATAGGTAGCTGCGAGGCCTTGTCAATAGTTACGATGAATATACGTTGTCAATCATGAAATGAGAACCCAATGGTATTCACTGCCGGGTACGGAACTGTAGCTACAAGAGTCTTTGCTACATATACATGGCGACATGGCTCACACATGATCATCTAGGAAGGACAGCACAAGTGAAGGAATGATGAGTAGATGGTTATTCTTCATGGATGTAGTGGTATTAATGGTATTATATCCTATGCTTTCGCATTTCACTTTCCTCTCGTTTCCGCTTGTGCTCTATACATTGATTGTATGTGGTACAAAACGCCAGCATCCACACCTCACTCCAACAGCAGTGGAATGGGCGCGTTTACAAGGCAGCGAGGACGGCAAGGCCAGCGGCCACGAGGCCGGCAACAGGCTTGCCGACACCGCTGTCGCCGCCGTCCGTGCCGGAGGCGGTGGGCTCCTCCGTGCGGGTGGCCGTGGGGTTGCCGTTGGAGTCGGTCTCGGTGGTGACCATGGTGGACATGTCAGACGACATACCCGACGACATGGGGGTCGTGGAGGTGGTGACGGTCACGGGGGTGGTGACGGTGGTCTCGGTGACGGTCGACGACATGGTCATGGTCATGGAGCCCGAGGAGGAGGACATCATGGACCCGGAGGAGGTGCCGACCAGGTTGGCGCAGAACTTGGTGGCGGCCGACTGGGCGCTCTGGAGCTCCGAGGAGTCGCACTTGCTGGTGAAGCAATCCTTGGACGACTGCATGATCTCGTCAATGGAGCCGCAGAGGCACTCAAAGTCGGTGATGCCACTGCAGCCGGCGTCGGGGGCGGCGGTGCTCAGGCACTCAATGGCGCACGAGGGGATGTTGGGGAGAGACTGGGCCTGGGCGACACCAGCGACGAGGGCGAGGAGGGCAGTGGACTTGTACATGATGACGGTTGTTGGTGGTGAGATGATGTACGGCTTGAGGGTACGTGGTAGTGAGAATGGAGAGAGTCCGTGTGATGTCTTGTTTGATGCTACCGTGGGATAGATGGGGCGAGGAAGGGGAGGACAGAGGTTTGGAGGAGCGTGAGAGGCGACGGCGTGCTTCTTATTCTCGACGAGGGCAACATTCCACGCCAGGCCATCGTCCTGGAGACGCGACAGCCCCAGGGTTTCACTTTCAGGGATGGTCTAGCCTCCTGAGCTAGCCGCGATTCATGGATGGATCGCCCACACCAAATCTGGAGCTTGCGTGGGAAGATCACAGCCAGGCTGGGCCCACGCCTCCACCTTGAGTTTTGCCTTCACTTGCAATAGTCCGCAGCCTGGGCCTCGCTTGCGACCTCCCAGAGTCAGACACAGCCTCCGTGGGCCTCGCGCGCTAATCGAGCAATCAACTAATTATTACTACGTACGAACATTATGACCAACGAGATCAGAATGGGAGCGCCATCGGGCCGTCGTCCAATGAGCATCCCATCCGCAGCAGCTTTGAGACAGCCACCCAGGCACCCAGTTGTTCGATCGGGGAATAACTGTGTCGCAAGACTGACCAGAAGCCGGCCCACCAGTGCCAGTGGAATTCGCAAGTCCCTGAAAATGTCCGTCGTTGGGCTGTTTGCTGCTTAGCATTCCGTAATAAAGAAGCGTCGCATCATGGGAAAGCCAAGCATTGAGGCTCTACGGAACAGCAGGGGACCACTGCAGGCCAAGCAAGTGCTTGTGTTGATGCGGGTGAGACTCGAATCCTCGACGGCGGAAAGCAAGGCGAAGACTAGTAGAAAGTTGACCGTCCAGTCGCCCATCAGCAACGACAACAAATATAGCACGGCTGCTGAACACTGCCATCACGGACTCGCTACTTAGGTAAACTTGGGTGCGGTCAGCTCCGTGAGACGTCACGCTCACCTCATCGGACTGGATGCCGACACGTCCTGTTCCAAGGTTTTGGACGGCTGACGCGGACAACCTCACTGACTGACTGTCACTGTGGCCACAAGACGGGGCGCCGGCTCCACACGCTTTACTTCAGTCGTACGTACCGTTGTACACGTTCCTTCGCAGTTCGCAGGAACTTTTTGGGTTAGATTTCAGAAACGCGGCAGTTTGAATCGAATCACGACCAGGCTTCCATTTCCTTCGCTCCCTGAAATTGAAAATAGAAGTCCCCCGGCTTTTCGGCTATGCAGGGGACTGGACTGCCCGCCCCCAACGGGGGGCTATCATGTCTTGGGTAGATCCCCACATTCCATCGACTTCACACTGCGCACTTGTCACGGCCCTTCTGGCCCCTGCCCATCCAGGAACAAGCACGTTCTCGGTCTGTTAGTCGCAGGACGGGAGGGAGATGCGGAAATGGAAGGCGAAGGGGGGAAACAAAAACATTCCCATCCATGACCTTCAAGACACGGGAGGAGCTGGGAGCCTGGACGGAATTGGTGAGACCGGCACTGTTTCGTAACCTCGAAGTCGCAGTCCGCGGGTCTCGCACTGCATGAAAGAACTTGCGCTAACCCCGGCCCTGCTGTGGAGCGAATCATGGAGCACGCATCCGCCATGACGTTGGTGGGCTCAGCACAGTGCTCGTCGAAGGGACTGGAATCCCAGGTCCCAGTCAGTATTACTGCAACAATGCACTGTGGTAATAATTAGCATCTGCCGTCTCTAGGACTCATAGAGTAGTGATCAACAAGTTGCGAGAAGATGGAGGGATACAATCCGTCATTTGCACACGGCATGTACGAAGACACTGCAAATTTGCTTCCGACAGCCAGGAATTACTCCGTCTCGGATTCCTGAGTCGGATCCTGACTGATCAACCAAGACAGACGTGGCTTTGAAACTCGATGGTGCCAACGGCTGGACAAATTTGGGTGCTCTACGTACATACTGTAGGTGATGATATGCAAGAGCATTAGAGGCATCATGGAACCACAGGTGCCCAAACTGAACCACTGCCACTGTACATATTTGTAACAAAAGCCAGAATTGTTGGCCTGAAACCTCTCCCATCACGTGTAAGGGACTTGGTAAACACAACACAAGCAAGAAGTGCTCGTAGCTATGTATTAGAGTGTCTTGATACTTATAGTCGAACAAAGGCTATACTGCTCATCTATCCTGACTCCTTCTGTGGCAGATCAATGTCCACAATCCAGGGGCTTTGCACAGGCCTGTACCCCAAATCCATGACTGCTGCGTTCAAAAACAATGTTTGGTCCTTCCCGGCACCAGACGCCTCAAGTGCTGTGAGGTCAATTTCGATGCCGCCCTCTCTCCTGATCTTCTTCAGCATCTGAACCCTCGATGCGTACCCCTCGTCGTCATCGGCCAACACGGGCCAGAAGTCATCCAGGTCCATGATAGTCCGGGAGGCAGACTTGAAGACGCCCTCGGCGGCCCCTTGATCGCCTCGCTCGGCAGACTCCCCCCACTTGGCCAGATAGGCGCCCCAGGCCTCGTGGATGTGCCCAAAACAATGAATCCGTGGCTTCGCTTTCTCTAATGCACTGAGCAGAAACGGACATCCGGCATGATCGTGACCCCTGGTCAGGTCCAGAATCCCCTTGGCCGGCCCGTGTGTCATGACAACATCTATACCCTCCGGAATATCGAAGCTGTGGCCCTTCTGAACATCATACTGGAAACCCCAGAGTCCATATTCAGGGGTCCATGGCGAAGCATAGAGCCGAAGGACGGCGCCATTGTCCAGCGCAAAGGTGTGTGTGCCCTCGTCAAGAAAACGTACATTATCCTGCTCTGCTTCCTTGATGATCCTCCAGGCCTGCTGGGGCATAGTATCGTCTCCCGGTCTCCCAGATTGCTCGTCTGCGTACCGGTCCCAAAACTTTGCGTCCAGTGCCCCGTCGTGGTTTCCGGCAATGACGAGTTTGAGCTTCGCTGGCGCGTCCCGCAACATCGAAAAGGTCGCCTCGAACTCCTCTGTACGTGATCTCTTGGTGAGATCGCCACAATGAATGAGAACATCGGCCTCTGGCAGTGGATGTCGGAATCCAGTGGGTAGCCGCATGACAATCCGGTGATTTTGGGACAACTCTGTATCTGAGTCGGGATCCTGGGCTGTTCTTGGCTTGGGTTTGGCCCCATGCGTGTCCGAGAGAATGACGATTCGTGTTTTGATTTTGGAGGAAGACATGATGGCACGCGCAATTTTTTATGCTGGCTTTAGACTGCACGTCGTGACTCTTGATTTTGAATTTGCGATGGCTCGGGCTGTAGTGGCGGAGAGGTAGGTAGGCACCCAGCTGCAGCTACGTGAGGTGCGCTCAGGCTGCAGTGGGAATAGGCGACGAGATAAGATGCGTCCCTGGTACATGTACTACTCTTTCATATCAGGGCAGTTCGGAGCTCGTGCGGCCGTGTACCAGTCAGTGATATGTATTTAGGGATCCCAATGAACAAAGTGATGTTAGGAGGTCGTTGCTGAATCCCAAAAGGCACAGATGTCAGCATCAAAGTGAACGGATAAAGTGAAGAGGGAGTGATAATTCGAGCAATGTGTGCTCAGTCCTACCTTATGGGCAAGGTTCCCCAAGTAATGTCAACAATTCACCTTACTGCGAGTGTTGGGAGGATAAGGCCTGTTGCGTTCTGCAGTTACCTTACCTGACTCAGCTCCCCGTGCTCATTATCGCGACAGGCTTCGCTCTTGCATCAACAAGCTCCAAATACATCACCTGCACCATGGCCACCACCGAGGACGACGTGCCCATGCAGAATCCACCCGAGATCCCAGCGTCGAGCAATGAACCCAAATATGGCGGTTTCACGCGCTTTGAGATCGAGCTAGAGGTATGAATGCTCTCCGCGCGTTGTACGTTTACCCGCTGATCTGGCCACTAGTTTGTTCAGTCGCTCGCCAATCCAATGTACCTCAACCATCTAGCATCGCAGAAGTATCTCCAAAATCCGCAATTCGTCGCCTACCTCGCCTACCTCCAGTACTGGACGCGCCCGCCGTATCTCAAATATCTCAGCTTCCCCGGGCCGACGTTGCGAAACCTCGAGCTCCTGCAGCAGGAGCGTTTCCGACAGGACATTTTGAGTCCGGACTTGGTGGGGCGGTTGATGGAAGAAGGCATGAGAGCGGCAGTCGACTGGCACAAAGAGGCATAGGAAAATTGGTGCACAAGTCGAGACGCGTCGCGAACAGTGTCTCAGGGGCCTTAAGGCCTTGCGCCCCATGCGGACTCGTGGGCAAGAAAACCATTCACATACGGAGTCACCCACGACATATCAACGAAGCTATACCTCACGACCGTCATACTATCATTGGAAGCCGACTATTGGGGCTACGAGAAAGCCACTGAACGCCAGAACCCGAACTCCAGGCTACCCTCCGAAAGAACAAGAAAAAGCAATCCCCCTCGGTCCATCCTCAATTCTCTCTCCATCGGTGTCCGCACGTCATACACTTATAGAAACTCGTCATCGGTTCGTCTGCACTGCGGATTTGCACCTGGAAGAAGGCCGCCTCATCGCCATCGCAACCATCGTTGGGGCATTGCACGCGACCCTTCTGTGCATTGTCCCACGCGCCGGGACCGCCAAAGACATCTTCACGCTCCTTGCGCTCGAATTCGCGTCGGGAGTATACTGTGTCGACAATGGCGTGCTCGTAGGGACAGGTTCGGCACTCGAGGCGATTGGTGCCTCCGTTTGTGAGGGATACGGTGAGGATGTTTGCGCAGTGGGGGCAGACTGCACAGTCAGTAACAAGCAGTATACAAGCGAGCGGGAGTCCGTACAGAGGAGCATGATGGGCGGTTTGCAAGGCCGATCTAAGCCTTGTCTGACTCTTGCAGAGATTGGGGAGGAAAGGTGAAGTTTTCGGCGATGAATCAGTCATGGGTTTGGATATTTCCAGCCACGATAAGATAAGATGGTGGGGTCCGACTTGTCACGTCCGTCTCGTCGGCTTCAACGCATGACTGTGATCGAGCATATGCCCCTTAGTATGAGACAGAACGACTCATTAATTAATACATCTATTACAATTACTAATAGTCTCCATCTGCCATATAGGAACAATCCTGGACATGGCTCCCACTTTTGCCATAGAACCCAATTGACCTGCAGGGTAACTCAGCTCAATCCATCACCGGTAACGCCGTCAGCCTGGTGCCCCTCGCTAAACACGGAACCCCGCCGCCCTCAAACAACTGGAGGCGCTATTCTGAGGTGAGCTCATGTCCCAGACCTCACCTCACTCCGCCACCTTGACGCGACACACCAGCGCTTCCACGCCATTCTCTCTTGTCTTGATTCTGCGTTCGCCTTGCCACTACGATCTACATCTGTTTATCACCCAGATCTGTCATCATGCCTGAGGAAGAGCACGACGTACGTGACCGTACTTCGCTCCATAGAGCTCAAGGAAAGCTAACATGCGCAGGGCGCCTCTGTGAAGGAGCAGCTCGTCGCCGCTTGTCGCGGCAACAACACCGAGCTGCTAACCGAGATCCTCGCTGACCGTCCCGACGAAGAGATCACCAAACTGCTCAACGAGACGACCACCGTGCTAGGGAACCACTTGTACCACGAGGCCGCTCTGCGAGGAAACTGTACGCCCGACAACCCCCCCTTTCCCTAGCCCGAAAGGCTATACGACGCCAGCCATTTCAAAAGGGCTGACAAGACGCGTAACATGACAGATGAGATCATCGACCTCCTGCTCGATCAACCAGACTTTGAATGTGATCCCATCACACGTCTCGACGCAGACACACCTCTCCATTCCGCGATCCGCTGGCTCAACTCGGAACCCGTCGCGCAACGGCCCTTTGGACTGGCACTCATTGAGATGATGCTCGAAGCCGGCTCGAACCCGCGCCAGAAGAACAAGGGCGGCATCACCCCTTTCCACCTGGTCGATCCGGGGAATACGGAACTCAGGGATTTGATCCGTAAATTTGAGTTTGCGACACAGAACAGCGGCGACTACGTCAACGTGGAGCAGCCAAAGGCGGCGCAGGGCATTGTGCAAGACGACGAGTCCGACGACGATGCCGAATTTAGCGGGAGTGACGAGGAAGAGAGGGCAGAGTGGGAGCGGAGACAAAGTCAGAAAAAGAAGGCATAGACCGGAGGTTGATCCATGGGCTACGGCGTTCAGGGCGCACTGATTTCACGGGTTTCAATTTTGCATGAGCGCGATAGATGTGCCAAACCGAGTAGACCTGGCTACCTTTCTTCTTATAGTCGGATGCAGCTGGGGACAAATCTCGCAACATTAGCAACGGCTGTGTAGGGGTATCCAAAAACGTCCAGAAATTCGCTGACCGCCTCTCGCTCGCTCGCTCATCTTCCTCACATACTCAGATCGACAATGAAACCATCAGCAAGACCGACAAGACGAGCCATGTCAGCTCCACAGTCAACCCGCTTCCTGCCCCCTTATCCATGTTGATAAACGTGGTATTCCGAAGACGGGCCAGCACTTCATCAGAGAGCTCACCACTGTCCGCCAACCCAAACATCACATCGCCCAGTTGGCGAAGGATGGTGGTCGACCGCCCCTTGGGACACATCACAACCTCCCAGCCTCCACCCTTTGGGATGATAAAGGTTGACTGATGGTCGTCGTAGGCAAAGCTATACGCGTCAGGGCAGACATCCTTTGCCGTCTTGCTATACCGCGACGGCTTGCAGACTTTCGGATCGTTGTATTTTCCAGCACAACAATCCTTGTCTTTACCGGAAGCCGCGCAAGCACTGTTGCAAGGCGAGAACGCCGGTCGCTCGATATTGTCGTCGGGATACGGAAAGACACCGTGGCCTGGTTTGGCAGGTGGGAACTTGAGGTACGGCCACGGGCACCAGGAACTCACGCTGTCGTTCGACTCGTCTGTCTCCCACGGGACTGGGTAGGATGTGTTGGAGTAGATGGTGCTCGTCGCATTGGTCTCATACAGCCAGCCGGCCGTGGCAATGCAAGCGAGATTCGTGAGATTGGGCGGGATAAAGCTCGTGTTCTTGGACGGAATGTGATTGACGGCAATGGGAATATTGTAGCCGTCTACGAGAGAAACGTCGTAGAAAGTCTGCATATTGTTCTCGCCGCCAGCGAGCGTGAACTCGGCCAGAGTCGCTGGAGGTACGCCCTACTCTGGTTAGTCCGACTCTTATTTCTTGGATATTGACTTGGTGTAGGGAGACATACGCTGGACTCGCAATCCAACTTTCCACACTCGCCTGTGTCGCAAGAGGCCATGTCGCCATCGACCGTGCAGTTTGTCCGCCCCCAGATCCTGCCTTGCCAGTCGGGCGACACCCACAGCTCAGTTTTGTTCCCCGAAGCGAGTTCAAAGCCCCCTGTGCCGGGACCTGTGCCGGCTTGGGTGAAAATACCAGGCCATATCGTGTCCTCACAGCGATTGTCGATTCGTATAGGTATGCGGTCTCCGTCCTCGCTGGATGGTGGGCCTCTCCTGGCAACATTTACCGAGCTCGAGAGGCTGTGGAATTGGGCTTGCCAGTTGGTCTCAAACTTGAACTGCTGCCTGGCGACGACGGATGGGAGGGTTGCGCCTATCGCGAAGATGGAGAGTAGTAGATAGCCGCCCCTCCCCGGGTCTCTGCGAGATGCCTTGCGGTGTTGGTACATTCTCCTCTTCTTTGTTTACTTCACCTGGGTGTCGAGTCAAGATGGCGCTTCGCTTGTCAATGACCACTTCAGTATGCCAGATTCCAATTGCCGCACAGCGAAAGGTACTCGCACAGAGCGAGGTCGGAATTTCGATCAAGGAGGGCGACACCGTTGAGGTCCAGAGCGACGCAAGGTACAGCGATGTACGGCACTTTTGAGTGTTGTCAAAAGAAGACATGGGACAGAGGCGAGGAAGCGGTACACTCCATATTGAACTCTTTGCACTCATAATAGCACAACCCATGTCAGTTTGTTGTTCCCGCTCGTCAGAGCTGAGAGGAATTGGTGTGATGTGGCATTGGCGATGACGCAGGAGCGATTGGCTGTCAGGCCAGGGTCTGGATGGATAACGCGCCAGGAGCAGGGAAGCGGGCGCCAAGTTCGCCAACCCATGTCTCGGCAGAACTGTTGACGGTCCTACGACCAATACCAAAAGCGCCTCGACACTTGTCAATGTTGGGATTGGCGGTGAAAGTGCCACAATGATGTAGCGGCGCCCACCAGCATTCTGCTCGATAGCGCAGCGGGATATCGAACACACCCATCGTGACCTGCTTCACTTCTAGCCAGCTGCCAAGGCCTTCTGGACAGACAGCGCATCATTCACCATGTCACGTCGCCCCCCGCCAACATGGCAAGCTGGTTGCCAAAACCCAAAACGAAATATGCTCAAAGATATCGGTAAGATCATATTTATATCATGCCAGAATCAATCATAGTAAAGTCCTCTTGCAGTGGGACCTCGCCTCTATGCTTTGCGCCAACGCCAGCCCTCTGTGCCAACCAACCTGATTACTTACTGCCTTTCGCTCTGCCTTATCTGAAACGTGCGCGGCAACGACCCATGACCTCGCCTTGGCAGACGAGCTCTGCGCTGAATTCCGAACCGTCGAGTGTCAAGTAAATATCGAAATAGACACGGTAGAAGGTGCCTTGTGGGGTATCCATGCGCTCAAAGTCCTTTTCGAGGTTCTTGCGTGAGAGGTCCGAGGTGAGCGTGACGACCTCCTTGATGCCTATTACTTGGTCAGATCGATCATCTATAGATACGAGTTCTCGATACTTACGAGGGTCCTTGGTGTACTCTGGGCACACATCGTCGTCGCAGGCGTACAGCACGTCCTCGTACATGAGTGTAGCGCCGGGGGCAACCTGTCGGAAGAAAGAGACCCTGACAGGCTCGCCGTTCTTGACCCTTTGCCCTTTCTGAACAAAGATCTGGCGTGTGAACTTGCAGCGGTCCTTGCCGTCCAGGGAGGGCACACGGTACGCCTCGGGGTGGTAGCCCTCCTTGAAGGGCTGCAGGGTGGCCATGAGGTAGTGGCGACGGGCGACACGGTGGGTGACGATCCGCTCGGAAATACCAGATGTGACGGCACCCTTGACAATGGCAGCCACCGAATCCATGGGACGCACAACCTTTGACTGGAACTGCGGGGGAACGTGTAGCTTGATCTGCTGGAATAGGTACTCAGAGGCACCGAAACCACCGACAACCAGGATGTTCTGAAGGGCGCGGTTCTGTGCCTGAATGGCAATGATTTGGTTGCGGACCAACTCAAGGATACGGTTGACGACAGGCTCGAAACATTGCAGAATCTCCTCGTTGGTAAAGGTCATGTAACCCTCTTCAATGCCAGCATCGGGGTACTCTGCCTCGATACCAACATCGACAGCCCACTTTTGACCATTGTTGCGGAAATCAGCCTTGATGCGGTTTTCAAAGTCCATGATGCACTTGGCGTACACACGACCGGCCGTCTTGGAACCATCTGCCAGCTTCATCTTGCGAATCTTGGTGCGCAAAATGTTGCTGAAGTTTCGGTTGAGCGCCGTCGAACCGCAGGAATCGCCAGAACCAGCTGTGCACTCGGCCACAGTGAAGGGGCTCTCATCTTCGACCTCGTACGCAATCAAATCGACGGTACCACCGCCGCAATCCACAATCAGCACAGCGTCGTGCACCTTGAGGTTGAGTAGACCGGTCTTGGAGCAGAACATGGCGGCCGCTTCAGGCTCAGAAATGAGTGTTAGGCGGTTATCGTTCTCGTCGCGCAAGAAACCGGCTTGGATTGCTGCCGCACGTGTGGCGGCCTTGCCAGCATCGTTCCAGATGGCGGGCACTGTGAGATAGTATCGGATGTTGCGCTCCTCGCGGTTGAAGACTTCGCCCAACGTCTTCTGCAGCGCAGAGCGCATAGCCTGGCGAAGCTTGAAGAGGTAGTCGGCAGCCACATCGATTTCTGACTTGCCCGGAGGCAGAGGGGGCAGGTTGATGGGGTCGATATATGTGTTGCCACTCAGCATCAACTGCAGCTTGAACCACTCAACCTTTTGCACGCCTGGCTTGGGGTATCCTGTCGGCGCCAGCGCGTCTGCGATATCGGGTCCCCAGCCGACGACTTTCTGGTACTGATCGTAGTAGAGAACGGTGGGGATCTGCAGGACTGTTGATTAGTGGTGCGCCACAATAAAGCCAGGGAAAACCGCCCACCTTTTGCTTTGTGTAAGAACCGGCGCCTGGCCACTCTGAAATAATGTCCTCTTTTGCTTCGTTGTTAGTCGCAAAGGCGAACGCTACACCCGAGAAGGTCGTGCCCTGGTTTCCATGTCAGTAACGTGTACCCCGCCTTTCACGGATGCGCTGAGGGGCAGCTCTCGAGAGACTCACGAAATCAATGCCAACAATCAGCTGCGCCTTGCTCTTGTTCGAGCCCTCCACCTCCGCCGTAGGGTTTCCGCGCCCAAACTGCTGGGCAAGAGGACCGCCGGGTGGTGGCGGCGCGCCTGGAGGGTAGCCAGCCTGGCCACCGAATCCGGGAGGGCCACCCTGAGGAGGAGCACCCATGGGTGGCGGGCCGCCTCCCATGTGATTCATGTTCTGAGGCGGGTACATCGGGGCGCCCGTGTTGATGGGCGGAGGACCGCCGACCATTTGGCTTGGAGGCGTGCGATTCTGGCCCTGCGCAAGAGGGCTTGTACGGTCGACACCTGGGGGAGGACCAGACGGGTAGCCTGCACTGTAACCAGGAGGGTGGTTCGCGGGTCCGGGGTGATTCATCGGAAGACTGGTCGTGGAGGATGTGGGAGCGCCGAGGGGAGGTGTGGGATGCTGCTGAAGCTGAGCAGGAGGCGGGGTTTGGCTGGTCGGTTGGCCGTCGATTGGATTCTGTATGCTAGCGGCAGATTTCCGTTTCCCAAAGCCAAAGCCCTTGAAACGAGCGTTCATAGAGCTCATAGGGAAGAGCGAGAGGGGAGAGAAGGGGGAAAAGGAGGGAGGGAGGAGAATACTGCTAGAAAGGAGAGGGCTGGGTGGGAAGATAAAAAAGGCCCAGGTCGGGATGCGGGAGCGTCGCAAGGACTGGAGGGTGGCAGCAGAGGATCCCAGAATGGGGAAAGCTGAGGCCGTAGGGATGGCGGGTGTTGGACCTGCTGCAGAGCGCAGACGCAGCCCAATAGTGGGGAGAGATTTGGCTGTGCTGGATGGAGCCTGGGTCGTTGCTTGCTGCCCGTCAGACTTTAGCTTGGTTTGTGATTATTATATGGCCCCTGTTGCAGATTCGCAAAGATGCAACTGAGTCCTAGATTGAGACTGTCGGGGTCTGGTCCTGCGATATACGCGGGATTGTTGTTTGAACCGAGGATAGCGACGACGCTGATGTCGACTGATAGTCTGAGACGTAGTTCCAACAGAGCTGTTGCATTGGTAGGCCAGTAAAGGACCTATTCATTCACTGGTTCCGTATTTGGTCAAAGCAGCCCAGGCTGTAGTAATTACCTGTTATTTAACAAGTATCTTAGATCACTGTGCTGAGGCAGCTGATGCATAGAGCAGGCTGCGGGGGGTTGAGGACCTGAGATGGTACTACTCCTACCTCATGCTAAGGTACGTGATATGGTGAATTCGATAGCAACCAGGCAATGGGATTCTTTCTGATAATAACGAACAAGCAATTTGACTCTTCTTATGTTACCAGATTGTTGTACTTGCTGGTAGTACTAGCCGTTTACCACTGTCCGTGTCAAGCACAGTACAGGATCCTTGGATTGGCCCATGCAGTGCGGCTGTGTCGACGAACGTCGCCCTGGTCGATTAGCGGCGCATCGTGCAGCTGCGGCCGCTTCATTGGTTGGGACGACACACGATGGTCCTTGTAAGGCTGAGAGCTGGGCGTGTTCGAGCCTCGAGGGGGAATTGTTAGATACCAAGCCGGTAGGACACAGAAGCTATCTAGGCTCGTCGTCCCGCATCCAAGGATATACGGGCTATTTGGGTAGTTCCAACCACCTCTTCGCGCCAATTTGCTGGGCGTTGAGAACGTACTTGTATACTGTCAGCATCACAAAATGAAACCCCTCTGAGCTGGATGTCAGCACAACACACCGCAGAAAGCGATCGCCCTGTGCAATCTAAGCATTGTCAGCGTACATGCGGACCAGATATGCCTGCCAAAGCGAACTCGCCACAGTCATGATCGGTGTCCAGTCCCTCAAGCCGTCTGTGCGACTTGTTGAAGTCCTGTAGGACTACTAGTATATGGTACTAGTGGGGCCGCAGGACTTTGACTGTCAGTTCTGCTGCCTCTTGGCGGCAATCTATCACAGGTGACTTAGCTTCCCATCACAACAAAATCCGTCAATCTGTTAAATCATAAAGAGTAGATGCCATATGGTTAATCAAATATCACTGCGTGCTGCACAATTCCAATGATTGAATTTAATCTACGCCTCAAGTTGATGCAAATGCTGAACCAGACGTACAATGATTGTGGCTTAGCAAAAGCAAACAGTGGCTGGGATGAGCTTTGCTAGCGTTCGACCAAGGTTCATCTATTTTTATAAATGCTGCCTCTTGCTCGTCGACGTACGTATAAGTAGGGCACTTGTACATATGTCAACGCAGACAATCTGAATGATTTGACTGAATCGCCGAAATATATGATCAATGTGCTATGCAAGGCACTCATGCCAGCGCAAGCATGTGAGAGAATAGTAAAGTTGCAGGGTGAGCAGAACTGAGCTTCACCAGGTTAGCTCAATGTCGATGAACTGGATGGAGTTGATCGTTTTGAAATACAGCAACAAGTCTTCATTACGGCTTTTGTCACTCCATGTAGACTTTTTATTCAATGACTTGATGTTTCCCGGGTTTCTGTATGTCATACATCTATAGCTGCTCAAAATGTTTCGCGCCGTGGCCGCGGCGGTACAATGAGTGGGACCTCACGAGTCGGACCTTCTGTGGGCAGCGACATTGGCAACTCAAAGCCATCGCGATCTTGACGTCACCACGGGCCATTACGAAATAACGCATTTATTGATCAAATACAGACAATCTCGAGGGACCCAATGCCTCAAATCCAACAGAAGCAAAGAGGAGTCTTGGAATTTGATCAGCAATTTCTGGGTCCTATGGCAGTCATAAATGAAGTCCCAAGTCGCCCAGCTCCAACCTCCAGCGGAGCAATTGGGGCAACGAGCCTGCAGGCTGGGGAGGCGGGGTTGGTCTCCGCTCTCCATTTCGCCAGGCACAGACACCCAACGTCCAAGTTAAGAGACATTAGGGCCATCTTCCCCGGCGGTTTGACACAGCATCTTCCTAGATAACGTCACTGCCACACTCTGCACACTGTATTCGTTGGCAGCCTTCCTGTTCTGCGTCGACATAGTACGGGCCTGTGCATGCATACTCGAGGCTGCTAGGCCTAGCAATTTCGGCTCCTCTCGTGCCGCCTCGAACGCTCGACGGGCCGAGATCGCGGCAAGGTTGGGATTCGACTGAAAGCGGACAGCCGTCGCTGCTCTCTAGCGGCGACAGCACAAGTCTTGTCACCCTGTGGTCCCTTTCCAGCCGCCAGCAGAATGCTGGAGGGAGCTTCACTGTCAAGCCGCCAATCTCCCCACACACGCTGTGGCCAGGAAGAGTGTTCACGGTATTCGTGGTAATTGGCCTTGTATCGGTGAGTACCTTAGATTGGCATTCCCTGTCAGTAACAATTCCCTCGGCGGCTCCTCGCGGCAACCAAGGTCCCAAGGTAGACTGGAAGGTTTGGCACTCGGCGAATCTCCAGTCCCCGCATGATGGATGATACCCACCCCTGCAACAAAGGTTGGAGCTACGGTCAAGCCACCACTGACACTGGTCCGTGAAATGCGCAGCTCGTCCAGCTCTTCCTCCACGACGTCAAGCAGACCCTGTTCCAGCTTCAGACATACACTTCTTTGGACACTTCTATCTTCTCTCTGTCACGGAGGGCCCCTAGTATACACTCGTCTCGACCAAGCAAGCCTGAGCTCGTTTGCGACAATCTTGCGCTATTCCCGAGACACCCGTCCACATCTTCAGCTCTACCCAACATGGCGCTCGCGGACGAGGCAAAGCGCGTTGCCGCGCAGTTCGACTTTACTGACGCGAACCTCAACGCACATGTCCAGGAGTTCCTCAAGCAAATGGGTGCGTTTACTGCAATTAGTGCCGCGATTGACCAGCGAGCTGACAGTTGTCGTGTGCAGCCGAAGGGTTGGAGAAGGATGGCACGAGCATGTCCCAGATTCCCACCTACGTGACCGGCGTTCCGAACGGCACTGAGAAAGGGCTGTACTTGGCTGTCGACCTTGGAGGCACCAACTTTCGCGTGTGCTCCGTCACCTTGAATGGCGACACTACCTTCAACTTGACGTACAACAAGGTGGCGATCCCCAAGGAGCTGATGGTTACGGATAAGGCGTCGAAGCTGTTTGCTTTCTTGGCCCTGCAGATCGAGAACTTCCTCAAGGAGCACCATTCCGAACATTTCGAAAGCCATCGCAGGCGGCGGGCGACAATCTCCACGCCTTCCGGGTACAGGGAAGATGAGGTCTTCCACCTGGGGTTCACATTCAGCTTCCCGGTTCAGCAATTGGCGATCAACAAGGGCAATCTGATGAGATGGACAAAAGGCTTCGATATTGAAGACGCCGTTGGCAAAGACGTCTGCGCCTTGCTGCAAACAGAGATTGACAAGCTCAAGCTTCCAGTCAAGGTGGCTGCTTTGGTGAATGACACTGTCGGTACACTCATGGCCCGCTCGTATACCTCTACAGGCGCGCAGCGATCAACCCTCGGCGCCATCTTTGGTACCGGAACCAACGGCGCATACATTGAAAAGACGAGCAACATCAAGAAGAAGATCGAAGGCGAGTACGACGAGTCGACGGGCGAGATGGTCATTAACACGGAATGGGGCTCCTTTGACAACCAGCTCAATGTCCTGCCTACCACACCCTGGGACAAGGAACTTGACACCAAGAGCGTGAACCCTGGCTTCCAAATGTTCGAGAAGCGTATCTCAGGCATGTTCTTGGGCGAGATTACCAGACTGGCCATTCTCGAGATGATGCAGTCCAAGGACTCTACTCTTTTCCGCGACGACAATTCCAGCCACAACGACTGGACAACGACGACGACAGTCGCGTCTCAGTCAGGACTCTACAAGCAATGGGGTCTTGATACCGCCATCATGTCGGTAGCCGCTGCGGACAGCACCCCTGAGCTGTCCACGCTGCGACAAGAATTGGAAAAGGACTTGAACATCTACACGCCTTCGCTGGAAGATGCTCAGGCGTTCAAGACGGTTGCCGATGCCGTTGCGCGCCGCGCCGCGCGGTTGTCTGCCGTGGCCATTGGCGCCGTCGCTATCCAGTCTGGTCTGCTCAAGGATCCCGAGGCTGAAGTGATCGATATTGGCGTCGACGGTAGTCTCGTCGAGCACTACCCCTTCTTCCGGGACATGATCTACGAGGCCCTGCGCTCGATTGATGAGATCGGCATCCAGGGTGCCAGCAAGATCCGCATTGGTGTCGCGAAGGATGGCAGCGGTGTTGGCGCCGCCCTGATTGCCCTCGTAGCGGCCAAGATGGACAAGTCCAGCGGCTCTCTGGCCACGGAGGTCAAGCGCGAGCTAGACTCGATTCCAGGTATGGAGAAAATCAGTAATATTCCAGGAGAGAGTGTTGGCTAACATAAAGCAGCAGAGACTGGCCTGTCGAACACGGCCTTGACTGTGGGTGGTCTGCTCGGCGTGGCGGCTATTGCTGCCGTCTGGTGGACCCGGCAGCGGTAAGCAACATGGAGTTGGTGTTCCTCGACATGATGTGGTTTCATCACTGGAGTTATGCGTTCTGGGACGAGAGTGTACAATGTATCCGCGCGCTTCGACATGGCTCGTGCTTTTCATTGTGAGGTAGCGGATCAAGGAGTTGCACTGTCGCCAAGTAATATTAAGTATATGTGTATCTGGCGTATGATCTATTATATTCATAGTGAGTGTCTTGAACGCTCGCATGCGTTATATCATACTTCGTTACCGCATCTACGATTCTCGTCGTGGTAGAGACTTCTCTATGGCGGCGAAGCCCTTTCTACCCCCTGTACGCCTCCCAATCAGCTCCCAAAGGCTGCCGCAGGGTATGAGCGATCTCTCTTCTTCCTTGCCGCCGAGCTACTCCTAGAGCTGGCGTTCGACTTCGGCTCGCTGGCCACCCTCTTGGGGGGCACCAATAGGCCAGATGCCATGTCCGCCGGCAAATCGTTCCACTCCGTTTCGGCTCTTTGGTTCTGATATGACTGACCAGAGCCGACCCGAGCAGGAGCTGGTCGTGGCGGGCCACCTGTGGGTGGTCCTGTGCCGTTTGTGATAGGAGCCAGATTTACTACCTCAGCTGTCGGACTCGCGACTATGCTGCGAGAAGGCGGCGGCGTCCGAGAAGGCAGTGAGCCTGCGCTCTGCTCGCGTATATCTTTTTTGACAAGCCACGCTGTGTCAGGCCGTATTTTTCGATAGTATCCTTCGATTGGTTTTGTGTCCTTGGTAAAGCCACGTGCCTCATACCACTTCAGTCCATCTGCGTTCTCCGTCCAGACATGTGCGGTCATCCAGGAGATCTCGCCTGGCAGGCTTTGAATGATATTGTTTAACGCAATTGCGACCAGCCCCAGGCCACGGTAGGGCGCGAGGATGCACAATGACCGGATGTAGATGCTCGAGGAGTCACCAGGCTCGCTGCGGCAGACGATCCCACCGACAACCTTGCCTTGATATAGTATAACTCTTGTCTGTGGCATTGCAAGCGCTTGCCGATAGAATTCCTCTGGGTAAGGAACCGGTAGGAGGAGAGCATTTATACGGCGGAGAGGTTGGATATCTTCTGGAAGAGGGTGGCGTATAGAAGCTTCAGCTGGCATGGAGGAAGGCAGTGGTGGGATCGCCGCGCCATCTTCATTGCTCTTCGAAGGGACAGCTGGAACAGACTCGTTCAACGGGGGCGGCGGCGGCGGCTTTGCTTGCACAGAACCTGGCGGTGGCGCATACTGAGGAGCTTTCGCTGTGAAGAAAGACCTGATCGAGGGTTGCTGAGCTTCTTTACTGGTGGGAAGAGACATGTCGATGGTGCCCCTGCGGTCTCCGGGGTGTCGATGATCTGTGTGACGAAGAGGGTAGCGATGTGGGACAGCTGTCGTTTTGTAAGATGGCCAGAATAATACAGTCCAAGTCAACCTCCAGGCCGAGGTTTCACAATCTGTCCAGAAGTCAGTCAATGGTGTTCGTTCGGCTGGACTCCAGGCGAGACCGCACGCGGGCTGGACCTTCTCATCGAACGGCAACTGCCAACAGCCCCCTAGGACGTGCGCTAGCTCAGGCACATCAGTGATCTCACCCCACCGGCGGATAGTGGTTGCAGCGGGAGGCTACAGGGGAGTTCCAGGGGGCGTCTTATCGATAATGCAAAATTTACCCCTTTGCATTGGCGAGGCCAAAAGGGCGATTTCAAACATCGTTTCGTCATTTCCCGGTTCCTGAATTTCTTCCACGCCTCGGCCTCCAGCGGATTAACAATTTCTTGTGTCACCCGGTGCTGCCGGTGTTTTTTTTTCTCTCGCTTGCTTACGCATCTTGATCCGTGATTAAGCTGTGGAAAAGATAGGCGCATGCGGCGGAGCTAGCCGAGCAATGTGGCCTTATTAGTGACGACACTGCAGCGCTATACGGGGAAAACCGACCACGATCTGGGGCGCGGGCTTGAAGCGAAGCGCACCCAACCACCAACTACGCCATTGAGCATTGCCATTTGCTTGCGTGCATCATCATACGACCACGCGCAGACGATTCCCACCTCGCTCTGCTTTCTCCTCCGGTCCCTCGAGTGTTGCACCCGTGATCGCCCCGAAGACTCGATGGATGCGACATCGGGCAAGGCGGGCATCATCCGCGCGAGCGATGATGATGGCACCATGACCAAGCTGGTACGGTTCTAACAGGCAACCCCCGTGGCACGCATAACTAACCTGGAGGTCGAAAAGTCCGCTGCCGTCCTCGATGACTTATTATACAATATTATTTCCGATCTCGTGCTCCAAACGCACCGGGAGGAAAAAATCGCAAAGGCGAACACGGCCGCGATACGTGTCGAGAAGCTCGCCTCCGAGGCCTCAGAATCTGGCACCGACTTGGCACCCGACGTCCGGATCGAGACCGATGCGGCAATCTTCGACGACGGCAAGGTCTACCTCAAGGGCAATCCATTGAAAACTACAAAGGAGATTCTGTGCCCGAAATGCCACCTGCCCAGGCTGTTCCATCCGACCGACGGCAAGGGCGCGCGGAAACCCGACCCGACGATACTGTACTGCAAGAAGCACCCTTACATCGACAAGCCGAACTGCGATATCTACGGGCAAATGTGGCAGGGCCCCGGGCCCGGACGAGGCAAGAAGAAGAAGGACATGGAGAAGAAGGAGGAGTCGGCCGCGGATCGTCCTGCAAACGTCCTCTCCTTCCCGTCGGCGACGTGCAGCAAATGCAAGAGGTGTATTCTGGTGACGCGGCTGAACAACCACATGGGCTCGTGCATCGGCAACAGCGGGAGGAACGCCAGCCGTGCCGCGGCGCAGAAGATGGGCAATGGTAACAGCGGCGAACCCACGCCTCCGTCGTCGCAAAAGGTCACCCCGGCGCCGGGCTCTCGCGCGACCAGTCCTCGGAAGAGGGACGTGAGCGAGGAAGGCGAGGACGAATCGGAGAGCAGTCACAAGAAGAAGAAGCACAAGTCGAGCTCGGTCACGTCGAACCCCAACCCCAAGAAGGTCATCCTCAAAACGAAGAACTCGTTCAAAAAGGAGAGCAATGGAAGCACCCTGCCCAAAAGCTCGTCGAACTTGAGCCAGGAGCAAAAGGCAGAGTACGACATACCCGACCTGGGCTCTGTCGAGGTACCACCCAAGAAATCGACGAACAAGGCGAGCAGTCCTGCCAAGAAGCTCAAGGCCGTCAAAGCCGCGCAGCTCCCAGCAACACTGAAGAATGGAAGAGACGCGGATGGTGAGAGCGAATCATCTGGAGGCACACTGTCCTCCCCACCGCAATAGAGGGCGCGCCGTCCTTGGGGCTGTGGTAAAAGGACAGTCTTGGTTTGCTCAGAAACTGATGGGTTGGATACATCAGCCAACAGGTCAGAGGCGAAACATGGTCGGGCAGCAACCATTCCTATTGTAACATCTATCTATCACACAGCATTGGGCAGCGTTCAAGGTGGCTATTTTGGCCACAAATCATATTCCATAGCATCATGGTACGGGATCAGGGGCGATCAGGAGCGGTGCTCTTGCTATCATGGAGTTGCTTCTTTGTTTTTCAATACCTTACGTTTCCAAATCGTTATTCGCCGCCTGTATGATACCCGTGATTGTCCCCAACGCCGTGCGTGAAAATCATCATCAAATCTCATCATTTCCTTCCAGCACTTTTGCTTCGACAATCTTGATCTCCTCCACCGGCCTGTCCTCTGCACCTGTCCTAACGAGACCCAGTCTCTTGACGGTGCTCATGCCCCCCTTGACGCGCCCAAAGATGGTATGCTTCCCGTCCAGCCACGGCGTCGGCGCAAGCGTGATGAAGAACTGGCTGCCATTGGTGTCCTTGCCCGAGTTCGCCATGCTGAGCACGCCGGCGCCCGTGTGCTTGAGCCCAGGGTGGATCTCGTCCTCGAATTTCTCGCCGTAGATCGAGGTGCCGCCGCGCCCGGTGCCTGTGGGATCGCCGCCCTGGGCCATGAAGTCGGGGATGATGCGGTGGAAGATGGTGGAGTTGTAGTAGCCGCGCCGCACGAGCGTCGTAAAGTTTTGGCAGGTTTTGGGCGCGTGCGAAGTGTACAGCTCGAGGGTGATGGGGCCCTGCATCGGGTGAGCTATGGTCTTCAGATTGTCGTGATGGCGAGAATACGTACCACCGAGGTATTGAGGAGAATGTCTGTCGCCATTGTGAGGGTTGTACGGGCGGCGCAAAGGTTTGTGATGCCGATCGTGGGAGTCTGATGTTCACCAAGATGTTTGGCGGGTTTGGCCTTGCACGAGAGCCCCCACCTTTTCAGGGACCCTTGGATTTTGATTGCCGGGTTGCCCAAACGTCGTCATTGCATCCCGCTGGCGAGGACACCTGTCGACCTGAGTATCTCGCATTTCTACTTGTGTAACACAGAGTCAGGTTTTTCACTTGCGTCTGCTGGTCCCTCTCTTAATCACCGACCTGAAATTTGGCCGCCATCACGCTCACTGCCCTTCCCACAGCTGGCATGAGGACTTGCGCACGTTAGCTTAGTAGTCCTCATCCTCACCACACCGGTCCAAGATGGACAACACAACCGCGAGCGGCGCCCTTAATGGCACACTGGACGCGCACAACGCCACCATCCCTGCCTCACCAGAGACGGTGTGGTCGTTGCTGCAGGACTTTTCATTCCTGGCGCTCGAAGCACAGCTGGTCCTGGGTGCCTTGGGGATCATCTACGTTGGGGCCCATGCCTCGCTGCACCGCCCACCATCCGCTGCGGCTCCCGCCAGACAGAAGGGCACCAAGAAGAACGACGACCATGGAGATGAGCGGGACGACGAAAGGATCACGCAAGGACTGGAGTTGAGCGACGCCATCATGTTTCCCGTTATGGCAGGTATCATGCTGGTCGGCCTGTACTACCTCATCCAGTACCTCCAAGACCCTGAGATTCTCAACAAGGTTCTGAGATGGTACATCAGCACCATGTCGATTGTCAGCCTCTTCAGCTTGTACGCCCATGGGATGGGACTGGTCGTGGGTTTCATCTTCCCCCGATATTGGCGAGGCAGAGATGGCGTCTTGAGAAAGGCAAATCAAGCAACCCGCCAAGTCAGTCTCTGTGATGACGTGGGAAACGTCTCGCAGCCTGGAAAGGACGGAGACAGTCCTCTACCTGGGCTACTATCCTGCTTGCCTCTGGGGAAGAGGGCTGGCAAGGCGGCATGGGACGCCCGTGAGCTGGTCATGCGACAGTGGCTTTTCAAGTTCTACGTCCACGGAATGGGCGACGAGAAGGCCAAAATCAAGCTGACGCATATGATTGCCTTCTTTGCATCGATCGCCACAGCACTCATCTACAGCTCGACCTCATCGTCCTTCCTCTCCAACGTTCTTGGGTATGGCTTGTGTTACGGATCCTTCCTGGTCCTTTCGCCAACAGACCTGCTCATTGGATCTCTTGTTCTCTCTGGACTGTTTGTCTATGATATTGTCATGGTGTTCTACACGTGAGTTGAGATGGTAGCGCCGAACTCTGTCACTGTACTAATCGGAACAGGCCTTACATGGTCACCGTAGCCACAACCCTCGACGTCCCGATCAAGCTTACCTTCAAGGCTGCGTCGCGCCAGTCGATACTCGGACTCGGCGACATTGTTCTACCTGGTCTTGTGATGGCCTGGGCGCTCCGTCTTGATCTGTGGCTGCACTACCAGCGCAAGGTGAAATACGAACCGACAGAACTGCAGATCCGCGAGAAGGATGCTTCCGGTATGGTGGTCATCAGAAAGGAGACAAAGCACAAAGAGATCAAGGCTCCCTATGTCACTGCCCAGGGTGCCTGGGGCGAAAGGTTCTGGACGGGCGTCTTTGGCCGGAAGCCAATGCCCGCCGAGATCAGTGCATCAAAGTTCCCCAAGACCTACTTCTACGCCACTGTTGTCGGGTACGCCCTAGGCATGGCTGCTACGCTGTCCATGCTCCTCGTCTTCAAGCGCGGTCAGCCAGCCCTATTATACCTCGTCCCAGGTGTTCTGGGCTCACTCTATGTTACCGCGTTTGCCCGAGGCGAGATGAAGCTGATCTGGGGCTACACTGAGGACGGCAGCATCGATACCAAGGATGTAGTCGTGGAGGTTGATGCGGATGGCCGAGCTACCAAGCGAATCGGGGAGATGAAGGACGGCGTGGTGGATACGACCAAGGACGACAAGAAGAAGAAGGACGAAAAGGAACAGGAGGCGAAGAAGAAGGACGATGAAGCGAAGAAGATCAAAGACGACAAGACGAAGGAGAGCCATAAAGTCTTCAACATTTCGCTAGAGACTATGCCTGTTGCGCCGGTTTGAAGAGCTGGAATCCGGCCTCGCGGCACAAGATAATGTCATAGAGTTTTGGAGCCACATAGGCCACGATTTAGATTTTCATCGACATTTTCCTTCCAGCGGTATTGTGATTCCTCAATTCGGCTTGTATGTTTGGCTGATGTGACAGATTCAACTGCCTCTTCAATGGTACACGATTTTCTGGTCAGGTCCTCAGTGCACCGAGGGGCGTGCGCGGCCATGCCAACTGTACGGATTTCCCTATTAATACTATTTTGTGAAGGGCACGTCGCTCCTCATTCTCCGTGAGCTTCTCTCCCGAGACTGAAGCTGGTCTGACCCCTGAACCAAACAAACCTACGCTGCGGAAACATTCCATTCGAGTGCTTACACCGAGCTGACACTTTGTAGTGTTTTGGATACTTCTTGGCGAATGAATTATTTGCTCTCGGCTTGTGGTATGTCTTGCTTTGTCCAACACTTTCAGGGTTAGTCGGCAGGATGTTTCACTGCGTTCCGCTGTTCGTATTCCGAGGCGCACTCTTGAATCCACAGAACAGTTGAAGCATCTGAGTAAGTCTCTAATGGTTCGGATTGAAGTCCGACAAGAACAGCAATCCAGACAGGAACATCTCGAACAAGCCATGTGGTCGAGTGAGGTCACCTGGATATTGCGGTTCATTGACAGGACATTGCAGAACTCACTCTGTGCTAAACACATTGGATGCAAAGACTGGAACTAAGTTGAACAATCTCATAACTAGCGGAACTGGTCAAGTGAGGGTTTGGACATGGCAACGAGGACTTGTGAATGATGCCGAGGGATGTACGAACACACATCAAGACCACAGAACTACACGCAAAGCGACATCTTCATTCACTTCTCGGAGAACTCAAGAACATAGCATGTGGTTTCTGGGATTCTGAGAAGTCGCAAGTATTTAATATCCGTTGATCATCCCAAAGTTGCTTCATTTCCTTTCTCATCCATCACAACAACCAACAACTCGAGCAGCAACCAAAGACACATCGCATAGCTTAGCAACAAGACCGCAACACCGAGACCCAGATCCCACAGGCATTCAAGATGCCTGGGATCACCCGTGAAGCTGTGCAGGCCTGGCTGCCTCGAATTGCTTTGATTTTGGCTTTCGGTGGTTGTCTGACTAGCACTTGGCTGCTCCTCGTTGACACCAACATCTGGCTTGCGGTCTTTTGCACTCTCTTTGCTCTTCGCTATGTACGTCTTTTCGGCCACCTGATCGGCTATTGGTGCTACCGCCCTCCTCCTGTCAACCCTGATCCCTCTTTCACCCGCAAGGACGTCACTGTCATCCTCCCCACGATTGACCCCAACGGCCCCGATTTCCAAGAGTGCATTCGCAGCATTTTGACTAACGGAGTTGCCAGCATCATTGTCATTACCGTCGGCGCCGAGCTCAAAGCTGAATGCCGCCGTGTTCTTGGGGCTCTGGTCCCTGAAGCTGGAGAGACCTCTCTTCGCGTCTCTGCTATTGCGAAGCCCAGCAAGCGCCGCCAGATCAACCACGCCATGCCTCACATTACTACTGCGATCACCATCTTGGCCGACGACCATGTATTCTTCCCTACCCCCAACTTCATCCCGGCCGTCCTTGCTCCTTTTGACAACAAAAAGGTTGGTGTCGTTGCTACCAAGAAGCGCGTTCGCCGTACTACCCCCGGTAAGTGGACTTGGCACTCCATTGTCAACTTTATCGCCTGCAACTACCTTGAACGCCACAACTGGGAGCTCCGTGCCTCCAATGCCATTGATGGCGGTGTCTTTGTCGTCTCTGGCCGCACTGCTGTGTACCGCACCGACCTTCTGGCTGATCGAGAGCTCCTTCACGGCTTCTGCGAAGAAAAGTTCTTCTTTGGTCGTTTTGAGCTGAACCCCGACGACGACAATTATCTGACTAGAAACACCCTGGAGAAGGGCTGGTTGATTCGATTCCAAGACACTGAAGACGCGACCATCGAGACGACCCTGGGCGAATGGCCCAAGATCAACGGCCAACTCCTTCGCTGGGCTCGCACGACCTTTCGCAGCAACCCCATCATGCTCCGCAACCCAGACTTTCTCTACCGCTACACTTGGTCTGCTTTCCAGGTCTACCTCGCCGGCATGCTCAACTTTGCTGCTCTTTGGGACGCTCTCCTGATTTTCACCCTGGTTCGTGCCTCGCAGGCTGCCTCGACCTTCTCTGCCGCTGTGGTCGTCTTTCTCGTCCTTTGGATCATTGCCACCAAGGCCATCAAGCTCATCCCCCATTTTTACCGCCACCCTGCTGACGTTGGACTTTTTGTCTTTCAGGTTCTGTTTGCCTATGTTCATAGCTTTTTCAAGCTTTGGGCTCTCGTCACTTTTTGGGACTGCGGCTGGTCTGGTCGAAACCTGGACGATGTCAACGTCGATGAAAATGACAACGATGTCACAGCTTTTGAGGTTGTTGCTGTTTAGACATCCAGACACTATCTTGCCGTGCGAATATGACGCTGACATGCAAGACACAGGTATATGTGGAGGAATATGTCCTTGGACCCCTTGGCATCAAATGTCAGGGGTCAGGACAGAAAAAAGGGGCTTGTTTATTTTTTGGAGTTGGTGTCTGTCCATCATCAGTCTGGTACTGGTTTGATGAGGATGCTCAGCAACGCAACTGAGACACACTGCAGGTTGTCAGTGGTCTCATACTGGATTTGCGAGGATACATGAGTGCGAAAATTTGGGGGACAGTGCTACATAAGTGGCATAGTCCGTAGACAGGTAAAAGAAATGTCAATTTTTGCAACAACACTTCAAGTTTTCTATCGTGATATGCACTGACTATCAGAGTAATACAACATTCTGAGTGATGAGCCTGTATCGTAGCTATGAGATAGACACAGTGAAACTTGAGTCTCAATTTTCAGGAGACGCTCCATGTCCTCTGCGACGTGAAGCCCAAGTGACAGTTACAAAGGCCCTGTCTGATGAAAATTTTACTCAGTAACACTGAAAACAACATGCGGTCTGTTTTACCGTGCTTGAACCTCACGCAATGGCACCCTTGTGGCACAAAATCTCGCCAATGCTCCACACGACCACCGTACTGGGTCACCTCGCCCAACTCCAGACGATTGATTTGAGGCTGTGTGACTCAGTTTCTATCATTTAATGGTCAACATCATGCTCGCACAAGGGTCTCGACCCATCAAAACAGGGCTTAGTGTGCTTGTGAGCCATAATGAGCCGAGGGTGAGGCCGGGATCTCCCCCCACAACAAACCACCGGGTTCGTGGCCCTCCTGAGTCCTGGTGTCTGGTACGTGTAATTTAGGGACTAAACACCAATACAATTTGAACACTGTTCGAGCTGTTTACTGTTCGCGGATGTTCTCTCTGGAACTCTGTACGAACCGGTTGTACGACTCGCAGTGAAGAGACAGACCCCCAACGTTGAACGAAAGAGAACATGGCGGCAGCCAGAATACTCAACAACCGTGGGTACATGAGGCCATTCCTCACTGTTCAGACGAGATCTGGAACGAAAGGCAAATGGAGGCGATGCACAGGTCCTGTACAACCATCGTCCCTTCACTTGGACTCGGACAGCGAAGAACAGTGATTCGAGCTTCAGCCCCTGAGTTTAAATACTTCGACCACGGACGAAGAATTCGATTTTTTCCTTTTCTTTCTTTTTTTCTCAAGACACTCTCTCAAGACAGACACACAACAACTACAGACCATCGTCCAGACTTGCATCAACAGAAACAACAACATACCATCGTTCAACTTGCACACGGAGAAGCCTCGCAGTATGTCTGGACCCAACAAGGTTGCGTTTGCCTTTGACATTGACGGCGTGCTGGTCAATGGTAAGAACCCCATTGCCGGTGCCCGTGAGACCCTCCGTTATCTACAGGACCATGGAATCCCATTCATCTTCCTGACTAACTCGGGCGGCGTCACCGAAAAAGTCAACCTGGAGAAGCTTGCGTCTCGCCTCGGCGACATCACCTTTGACGAGGCCCAGATTGTCCAGTCCCACACCCCTTTCCGCGCCCTCGTCGACGACTACAAGGACAAGACTGTCCTTGTCCTGGGTGGCCATGGCGACAACATCCGCCAGGTGGCCAATGAGTACGGCTTTCGCAAGGTTGTCACCTCTTCTGACCTCATGATGCAGGATGAGCACGTTCATCCGTTCCCCGAGATGACCAAGGCTCACCATGAAGAGTTTGGCCGCAAGGGCGACGACACCCAGCCCCTTCGCATTGCCGCCATCATGGTCTGGTCCTCCCCTCGCGACTGGTGCCTGGACCTGCAGGTCACCCTCGACCTTTTGCTGTCCTCCAAAGGTATTGTCAACACCCGTTCCGACAAGAACAACAACCCGGCTCTTGCTAACAAAGGTTTTCTGCAAGATGAGCAGCCCAAGCTGTTTTTTTGCAACCCCGACTTTGAGTGGTCCACCAAGCACGAGAACCCTCGCCTTGCCCAGGGCGGCTTCCGCGAGGCCCTGCTCGGCATTTGGCACCACGCCACCAAGGGCGCCTGTGAGCTGGAGTACACCACTTGCGGCAAGCCCACGCGCACGACCTACGAGTACGGAGAACGTGCTCTGAAGGACTTGATCGCTGCCGACCCAGCTCTGGACGGCGCCAATGTCACCACTGTTTTCATGATTGGCGACAACCCCGAGTCGGACATTGCCGGCGCCAACACCTTCAAGAACCTGGGTAGCTATCACTGGCGCTCCATCCTCGTCGAGACTGGTGTCTACCGCGCTGGCACCATTCCAACCCAGACCCCCGACCAGACCGTCAAGGACGTCATCGAAGCTGTTGAATGGGCTCTCAACTCCCCTGAGAAGGCTTTGCCCATCCGTGGCGGCAATGCTGAGGCTGGAGATACCGCGGGTGAAGTTACTGAGGGCTAAAGGGTGCTCTACTCTCCCAGCACGGGGTTCTGATTTTGCTGGGGCCTTTGACAAGAGATCTACGATAGACCACCATGACTGGCGATTTTCTTTGTTACGGACAGGCGTTTTTTGCTTTTGATAGACGGACGGGACGTAATGTGGATGGATCAGAGAGTGGGGGACATGATGGGATATTGTGGCCTTATGCGGTCCACGTGGTACGTAACTTAGATAGGTAAATAGTAGACGAGAAAAGTCAATTGCTTTCTCACAAACAAGCTCCCCCCTTTTCGTGACCTACATATTTTGTGACCTTGCTACAATAGTTCCAGTCCCTGTCCAGCACTGGCACCATAGGCCCTCTCTAAACGCCAGAACAGGCCAACCAGCTCAAATATGCAAAGACCGCAGGTCCAAGAAGAGCTTACTCTCTCGACGTGAAAAGAGGAGATAAAAGTTCAATTTCTATACATGCGCCGGCAGCTGGAAGCCCTCCGTCAGCGGCCGCGCCAAGATCGTCCACCCCCACCTCCGCTTGATCTGCCCCTCCACCAAATCTCATCGCTACATGCATTTCGTCCGTGTCAGCCATCATCACCTCATGTTGTATCCTACAGCGCATCACACTCGCTCACTCAGTGAATACGAATCGAGAATCGCCGTATACAAGCTGCGGACTCCCCGTCATGTCCACCCGCAGCGGTAGTATATCGTCTGCGCCTCCACGGCCTAGACAGATTCATCGGCGCGTTTCGTGTCCCGTTCTCTCACGGTCGACGCTGTCTTCCATCCTCAAACCGCCGACGAACCACCTCGAACGCAAGCGGCGCCCTAGTATGAGCGCAAGGCGACAAGAGGATGGCACATTGGTGATACAATGGGTCGTCGACACCAGGAAACTGTGGCCCAAAGCTCTGCGGACCGTGCAGCTGACAACATACGTGGGTGCTCCTACGCTGAGCATGGTGAAAAGTGAAGAGAAAATGATTGACCTGGGCTTAGGCAAAGCGAGCTCTGGATCTGCTCCCCAAAAAAGAGCAAGTCGACGTGCTCAAATACGTCCACGTCAAAGACGCCAAGATGGCCCTTGTCTCACGCCTTCTCAAATGGTACCTCATCTCGCGCTACGCGCCATGCGCCTGGGACGCCGCGACGCCAACACGAAACAAGAACACGAAACCAGTCTACATAGCCCCCGACGGCTCGGAGCCTGTGATATTCAACGTCACGCACCAAGCTGGTCTCGTCGTCTTGATTGCCGCGGTGCGGCCAAAGCCTGGCATGAGTGTTGGCGTGGACATTGTGTGTCCCACAGAGCGGCGTGACAAGGACCTCGGTTTGATCAGCAAAGACGGATGGAAGGAGTACGTCAGCATGCACGAAGAGGTGCTGAGTCAGCCAGAGTGCACCAGCCTGAACCGTCTGCCGTTCAAGGACCTGGACCACCGCCTGCGGTACTTTTACACGCTGTGGTGTCTGCGGGAAGCCTATGTCAAGATGACCGGCGAGGCGCTCCTCGCCCCGTGGCTGAAGCGGCTGGAGATGCGGTACTTTGCCCCGCCGGAGGACGCGCCCATCAGCCAGACGGAGATTTGGTTCCAGGGGCGGCTGTTGGAAGATGTCGACCTGGATCTGGTCAACGTCTTGGACGGTTTCATGATCTGCACGGCTACCAAGAGAGACAAAAAGGGGAATCGTCTTGAGTTGGGGCAGTACGAGCTCTTGGACATTGAAGACGCCATCGCATTCGGAGAGAGGAGTCGCGAGCCCCCTAGAAAGGAGAGCGAGACCCCAAGGCCCATTGTGCAAAAGGCCATGACATTCAGCCCGAGCGTACTGACAGGATAGAGAGGCCGGAATTCATGGGCTCATAATGTATCGACGAATGAATGAACGAATGAACGAACAAACATACTTTTCAGATTACGCTTATCAAATGTTGTCACAGAAGAACTGGCAGACAGTCTTGTAGCCACGCTCATACTCCTTCTTGACCTTGTCATCGTTCAGGTCCGCGCGCGCCGCCATCCATCCATGGATCTGGTCCGAGAAGATCTCGACGTGCTTTGTCGTCTGACCCAGCGCCGTCTCAAACTTCTTCACGTCGTCGGCCGGCTCGTCGCCCGAGGCGAGCATGACAAAGGGAACCTTGATGCCCTCGGCATCCGCGGGGTCGACCATGGCGGGGTGGGCGCAGCCAGCGACGGTGAAGGGGTTGGTGGATGCCTTGGTGGCGAGGGCTGCGACCTTGCCGCCCCAGCAGAACTGATTTTTGTTAGTATGTAGGACACAGCATGTTTCAATGTCTTGGAGCAACATACACCCAGGATGCCAAACTTAGAGATGGAGTCCTTGGACTTGATGGCATCGACGTAGCCGGGGACCTGGTCGGCGATCTTGGGAGGGGGGAAGGTCTGGAAGAACTCGCCCAGCTGCTTCTTCTTGTCGTCGTTGTCAGGGGGGTAGCTACAAGCTGGCGTTAGCCTCAAGTCCGCCAAGGAGAACCACGGGGAGAGTCTCACATGTCAATGGGGCAAGGCTTGCCCTTGAACCAGTCGGGGATGTACACCTTGAACTTTTGCTTCTCGTCACATGTGGCGAGGATGTCGGCGCCCTGGAGTGTCTGCTCGAAGAAGCCGAAAATGTCCATGATGACCACAATGGCCTTGTCGGCGTCCTGGGGGCCGGTCACGTCTGCAGTCTGTCAGCGCCCGCCAGTCTCGGCTTGGTGGTGAGCCAGCATGATTAACTCACAGGTCTTGTAGCCGCCGATATCTACATAGGAGCCTTTGGCCTGGTAGCCCTTGCTGACGACAGGAGGGATGTTGCAGCAAGGCTTGCTGTGTCCGTGGGAAGCTTCCATGGCCGACATCTTGTGTGCGATTGAGGTGAAGGGTATGGTATGAGATGAAGTCAGAGTGCTTTGTTTCTGAAGAGAGATGTTGAGTGAGCGTGGACGGGTCTGAGAGACGGATGTACGATGTAATAATACCCCAATAGCTTCACTAAGTCGGCGAGCTCCAAGTGGGGTAGCTACTAGCTTTGGCGGGGGGAAGATGTGCTGATGTCATTGTTCGATAGATAGACGGACCTATGCGCATTTTCTCCGATGATGATGATGATGATGATGATGGACCAGTGTCGAAATCATAGACTCTTAACGTTGGTTTGGATGTGCTTGCGACTGTTTGATCGGATGCGCCGCAGCCGATTGATTCATGGCTCCTTATATCCGCAGCCAGTTGCAGACTTGCAGCCCTCTCGGGAGTGGCGCGAATAGCAGACTCCCAGAAGGTTGTCTGAACTTTGAAGGCGTGTAGCTCGGCACATCGAGGTCCGACTAGGAAAAGCCAAGGAGCTTTGCGAGCCTGCATTCAAACTATTCAAACACTACATGCTCTTGCTTCGAGAGCGCCATTACCAAACGCGCCTCATTCGACAGCACTGCTCATTGCTCGTCCGCCTGGAAGGTGTCGCCTCTCATCGCCAGGTCAAAGTCCTGCCTGCCTGTCAAGCACCGCGCAACATAATCGCAGTAGGGCCCCTGCTTGCCCACACCTCGTGGGAACCGTTGCCTGTAGTTGTCTGTATCGGCGATGAACATCCGGATCGCTTCCTTCTCTGCCTCGGTGGCACCCTCGTGAGCGAGGCAGAACGAGCTCAGGTACAGCTGAGAAGCGAGCGCCCCCTGGCGACGTAGCCACGGGATGAACATGGCCATCTGGGAGCAATATTGCCTATGCTCCATAGTAGCCCTCGGGTTGGGCTTATCGCGTATTGAGGACAGCGCAGCCACGACCTTGACGAGGATGAGACAGATTGTGCAGTACGACAGCAATATCTCAAAGCACTTGTCTGTTGGAAAGTCGTATGCGTAGCCGCTGGGCGATGTCGGGTCAGCGACCTCTTCAATGCCGCCGTTTGCGTGCATGTACTCGATTCGCGGTTGGGAGCTCTCACGCACTTCGTCGAGCATCTGCTGTATCTCGTCTTCTTTACGAGCGGCCTCGAGCTTGGCGGCTTCGCGATCGGACATGTTGTATATGGCGCGTACATCATGGCATATGTCGGCCCAGGAACCGAGTGCTCTGTCGACCTCGTGGAATGGCGCCAAGTTGAGCCCCCCGTCGTCACCTGCCGCTGCAACGACGACTGCACATTGCTTAAAGACGTCCGACCAACCTGACTGATGCACAAAGTTCACGTCCCGGTGGACGAGCCAGTGAGACACCATTGCCGCTTGCATATCCACGAGGAGGTGCGTTTCCAGTGGATCGTCGAGATTGGGGTACCCCTTCTTCTGCAACAGGCCGATGAGTCCCTTGGCATGGTTCGAGACATGCGAGCCTCGTATCAAGTCGAACAGAGTCTCGATCCGGTGCAAGATGACAATCGAAGCGAGGGTCTCCACTTTGAGCTGTTCTGGCCCATCTATAGCGGCCTGCAAGCTTCTGAGGGCTCGGCCATAGAGCTTTGGATCGATGAGCTGACGCGGTGGGAGCCCTGTCTTGTAGTTCAACCAGCTGTTGCAGAAGACCGTCAGGCAGGCACATAAGGCCTGACTGTTGTCCAACCGACTGGGAAGGTACTTCCAGTACGGCAGGTTGAGAGACATGCCTGTGATAGGGCCCACCTGTTTCGCGAGGTATGCCCCCAGGCGATCCCCTGGGGTCGGACTGGGTCCTGGCGAGATGCTCATGGACTCAAAGGACACGGAGGAGGACAGACTTCTGGGCCCACCATTGCTCAATAACAGATTCGTGGCGGCAGAAGACGGCCCCTGTCCGGGCAATGGGTACGACGGGCTGGTAGCGTATCCGTCGCACTTACGGCCCGTTGATGTACACTTGTTGCAGGTTGGTCTAGCTTCGTCGCATCGAATGCGACGGATCCTGCGAGCAAGAAAGGCATTAGCGGCACATCTTGGCTGGCACAAGGACAAGGACGCACGTACTTGCATGTCTTGCAACCCGTTCTGACTTTCTTGTGTGGGGCTCGTTTGGGGGCGTTGCCTCCTGGTTGCCCCTGACCCTTGGTCTTGACCATATTGGGATGTTAAGGTAGGGCTGAAAAATGAGCGGCGGTGGCTGGCTTGGAAAGATCTTGGCTTTCCAGCTGTATGTGAATATCCAACTAGCACGTAACAGGCTTGTATTATATCATCCAGATTCCAATATCGCCAATCTCCCCAGGCTGAACAGTCGTCTGAGGACTGGACACAGACTGGTTAACAAGGACGGTCAGCCCCGAGAGGTACAGCCACGAGATGGACAGATACGGTCGATCTGTGCATGTGTTCTGGCTCACGATGGACCTGGAGGACCCGACAAGGCTGATTGAAGGCGAGAGAGCTTTGTGCATAGGTAAGGAGGCGATGGCAGTGAAGTGTTCTGCCTAATTATACGTAGGATTGGCTGTGTCGTACTGAACGCACGGCGATTGGACATTTGCCATTGCGTCATGCCCACTCGGAGACCGGGGACGTCTGCCGCCCGCGCGCTGATCTCACGCTTGTTAGGGGCAAGCTGTCGATCATCCTGGGCCCCGATAGTGTCAGACACAGAAGATGACAGAGAAGGACTCGGAGTTGGAGCAGATAGATGTTGTGAGGTTGTCCCAAAGAGTGCAAACATACATAAGCAACAATGGTACTCGAACATTCGTTCAGCCCCTTCATCATAGTCTAATCCTGCTCTAGCTTTCATAAACGTGGGCTCGCCCTAGTGTACAGCTCAAAGTGATCATAAACGCCGTGGTTTTCTTTTACCATTCCCGCCAACAGCATTAGTGAATGAAACAAAAGATGGGCCGTCGTCCGGCGATGCTTGTGAATTACAAGTAGAAAAATGGTGAAAAAGCGCGATATTGAAGCGGACGGTCCAATGCATCAGGCATAGAAGCCCTCGATGAGGTAGATGAATCCAAAAACGAGAAATGCCACTGCGCCGCCAATGGTAACTGCACGCTGTTAGTTCAAGTCTCACAATTGCCAGTCCCTCTGGCGCAGACTGCTTCACTCACCAACTTTAAGGCTGACTCGCCCTGCGATAGCCCTGCCTCCAATGACGGCCGCACCTGTGCAGAAGCAATGGCCAACCATGGCCCCCAGCGTCACCCACCAGTAATCCGGTCCAGCAGCCATGGCAATGGTAGCAATCTGGCTCCGGTCACCCCACTCGCCCAGAAAGGTCATCACAAACGTCTGTACCCACGCAGGGCTGAGCAGCAGAGAGCACAGGTTTCCCATGCCCTGCAATGCTCCCGTGAGAGCGCTGGCTCCGGCAGACGTTCTCGGGGGCGATTGAGACGGAGACCTTGGGGGCGACGACATTCTAGTCTTGGATCGTGACCTGCGTCCGTTGAGCCCCATTTCCAGCGTGTGGGGGTCCTCTGGACCGTTGCGACCCATCTCCCTCTCCTTCTCGGCCAACTCTTGCTCGACTTCACTCATCTCGGCGCCGACACCCTCGTTTGGGTCCATCTCCATCCCCTCGCGAAGCAGCTTGCCGCCAAACACAAAGAAAAGCAACGCAGCAGCAAAGCTAGTCAGACGTCGTGGGAGGAGAGCCGGCAGGGTATGGCCAAGAACAGCCGACAGCACGGTCATCACCAGCAGAGCACCGAAAGCAGCCGAGAAAACCACCATCCGGTCGTGTTTCATGGCCATGAGGGCTGCGACGAGGAATGTCTTGTCGCCAACCTCGGACACCAGAATCATGGTCAGTGACAGCACGAAGGAGTGGAATGGCTGGATCAAGCCATCGTCATCTTCTTCAGGGGCGGTCGTGTGCGTGTCAGGGTCGCCCGCGAGGTCCAGGTGGGATTTCGTTGCCGATTCAGGCACAGGGGGAGGGTTGGCTCCTGTCTCGGGCAGGTCGTCCGGTTTCTGAGGTAGTCAGCATTTTTGGGCATCCGTCAAGCTCGCTGGCAGCTCGTACCTCGAATCCGGTGTATGATTTCTCGTCGGCCACGGAATCTTTGCCCTGCGTTGCGCTGCCCGCCATCTTCTCTTCCTCGCTATGCGGCAACGGCGGCTGCTCCTTGGGAGATTCGGGTTGCGCTTGCAATCGTGCGCCGAGCTGGCTTTCTCGTTCCTTGCGTGTCTTTTCTTTCTCTGTGACGCCGCCTTCCGTGCCCGTGGTGCCCTCTTGAGGTCGATCGCGGTTTTTGTCGAACATAACGCCGTCGTTCGTTTTTGGTATCTTCTTCCCGTCGACGACAGTGTAGTCATCCGGACGACCCTTTAACGGGGGGAGACCCTGGTCGCCATTGCCAGTGCTGTCCGAGCCGACGAATGGCCCTAAATGGGGCTTCCCATCTCTGCCATCCACGGGTGCATCTTTGGTTGGCGTTTCTCGTCGGTCACTGGGATCGACGTGTCCAGCGGCCTCGTCAGAAGCAACAATGGCAGACGTGTCCAGATCGCGCGCGTCGCCGATCGGGTCGCCGAGGGCAGTCGCAAAAGCTGGTAATAGGAGAAGAAGCAGTGACGAGTGCTTGACAGGCTTCATCGTGGTGAAGTTTGGCGCGTTGACCTCGTAAAACGACTCGCGTGCTTAGTCGAGCTTATTAGGGGTCGGCGCTAGGGTTGAGGGGATGATGCCAGCTTCTCACGCAGCTGCTGGCTCTGGTTGATGAAGCGTCGGGTATCGTCACTGCTCGTGCAAGCTCGAAAAACAAGAAAAATTGAGTGAAAGACAGAACAGAATGCAAAGGTTACCAACAAGGCTCGGCGCGATCAACAATTCGAGCAGCCTTGAGTCTTGGGATGGGAGAATATCATGTTCTGTCTAAATCAGGGACGAAAGAAGGATAGAGAGGCGCACAGCCACAGGTGGGTCCACCTACGCGTCCTGCATCTCCGTAGAGTACGCGCGCTTCAAGTTGCGAAAGTCTCATCTACGGTGCGCATGGGAGGAAAGTCTTTCGCTATCGAGCCCTACTTTTTTATTTATGTCTATCATTGACTACTTGATTGAAACTCAATCTCTCAATGGACTTATGAAAGCTTTTCAAGTCTTCTCGAAGCTGAGATTAGACCCCTAACTAGGGCACTTATACTGAGGCACGTTAGCGCGTGGCAAAGCAATCTCGCCTTCAGCCACACATATGGTCTTGGGAGCGAACAAAGGGTTCACTTTGGTACCTGATTACGCTGCATCAGATTTTCAACATTCAGTCAGTTTTTGAAATCACTGCAGCTCCGGGCTTGATGCTGTATCTCAGTCGGTCGGGTCGCGTTATCTCACACGAAAGAGTAGTGCGTAGGTACCTTAGCCATATCAGCTGTCGTACAAGGCGCTACCCGTCATCCCGTGTTTGCCAGTTGGTATTGGGAGGCTGTAATGTTTCTCAAGCTCAAGAAACACGAAAGGTCGCTCGCAGGTCCAGCCGTTAATTCTACAAGTATAAAAACCAGCTCCTTGCAGCTTTATTTCGCTTATGAAGCAAGCTGACATCGGAGGCGGGCTTATCTCCGGGGAGAGCTCCCCGCCGTCTCCAGCGACTCCATGGCGTCAGAGCCCCAAGCATCTCCAATGGCCTAACTAACATCATGCGTTCACCACTTTCCTGACCTCGTACAATGCGGGATGCCGGGCATGCGTTCTTCATGATTAGCGGACATTGAAATCGCTGTTATATATTCACGCTACGACGTTCCACCGCTGATTTTGCGAGTCCGTTTATTCTGTGTTACACAGTACACTCACCAATCGTAATGAGCGGTCACCCGCAAGATACCAATCCTCCGGGCGGAGCGCCCCGAGGCAGCAGCGCCGCAGCATCTGACAGCGAGGTTTCGTCTGAATATCATGATGTGGACGATAGGCTTTTGCCACACGAGCAGGCAGATATGATGGCCGTTCTCGCTGGGTCAGGCGAGGATGAAGAAGAGGATGATGAGGATGAAGATGACGAGGATTATAACCCTGCCTGGTTGAATGCCCCAGTCTCCCACGAACATGACGACGACATTATTGACTTCTTCGATGCCGAGGAAGGCGACGAGGATGAGGAAGACGAGGAGGAAGACGAAGATGATGATGACGACGACGATATGGGCGACCTCAACTTTGAGGTCATGGTGGGCGACGCTGGAGACGAAGATGAAGATGATGATGGGATTGAATTACAAGGAACAGTTCCTCTGTTGGCCATTCTACAAGGTGAGCTGCGAAGTTTTTATCCAAGGTATTCCTCTACTGACACCCCGTAGCTGCTAGAAGCGGCCACTGGAGCAGGAATCAGATTCTCACCCTCTTAGGGGATCCTGAACAGCTCGCAGCCGATATAGACAATGAAGATGACCCATCGCCGTTGTCACAAATCTTGAGAAGAGGCCGACGTCAACCCAAAGACCCCAATCGCTTCCCCAAAGTACCCAGTATCGAGGGCGAGAAGCTTATGCGATCGGGCGTCTTTGGCTCAAACGAGAGGGCATACGACCGGCGCATGCGGAAACAGGTATCAAGGCGCATACTTGACCGAGAACTCGGGACCGTCGACTACGACGCTAGAAGACGAAACAATGGACTCCTGGCACAGAGCCTCCTACCCACCACACAAGCCGAGAACATCATTCATTACGATGATCCTGTCTATTCGGGACAATTCTCTGACGACGGTAACTTCTTCTACTCTGTCTGCCAAGACTTCCAGGTGCGAATGTACGATACGTCGAATCCGTACAATTGGAAACACTACAAGTCGGTGCACTATCCCTGGGGCCAATGGACCTTGACAGATGCCTCCCTCAGTCCGGACAACAAATGGCTAGCATATACATCCATCTCGCCACTGGTCTGCATCGCACCCACAGACCCCCTGGATACCGGAGATCCGTACAACCTCGATTTGAGCGAAGACCATCCAGCCCGGCGTGGGCAATGGGACCGAGCAAGAGGGTTCACGGGTATTTTCTCCGTGCGTTTCTCTGGCGACGGGAGAGAGCTGGTAGCTGGAACCAACGGCGACTCGATAGTGGTATATGACATTGAGTCTCGGAGGGTGCTACATCACATCGAGGGCCACTCGAACGACGTCAACGCTGTCTGTTTTGCGGACAAGTCCTCGCCGCACATCATCTACTCCGGCTCAGACGATGCCACAGTCAAGGTGTGGGACCGCAGGAGTATGGGTGATAGACGAGAGGTCGGCGCCTTTGTCGGACACGTCGAGGGGATTACCTACATTGACAGCAAGGGCGACGGCCGATACATTCTCAGCAATGGCAAGGATCAGAGCATGAAGCTCTGGGACGTGCGCATGGTCATGTCCAGACGCCAATTCCGCGAGTTGGATCCAATGAGACACACGCGCTACAGCAGCTACGACTACCGCATGGGTCGATATGACGAGGAGGATTGGGATCCCCATCCCCACGACAACTCCGTCGTCACGTTCCGGGGGCACAAGGTGCTCAACACCCTCATCCGCTGCCATTTCTCCCCGCCTAATGCGACCAACTCGCGCTATGTGTACTCGGGCAGCAGAGATGGCAAGGTGTACGTATGGAACATGGATGCCACGCTGGCCCGGGTTATCGACGTCCAGAAGGCCACAAAGAACTCGCGCCAGCGAGACGGGGGCCGCGCCCGGAGATATTACCGCTTTGACGACGGCGGTTCGTGGTCAACTTGCGTGCGTGACGCCAGCTGGCACCCCAATGCGCCTTTCCTCGTTGGTAAGTAAATCGTGTCTTGAGATTCAGGTAAAGAAGCTGACAGAAGTAGCATCCGCGTGGAATGGATACAGCCTTGCGAGGGGTACCTGTTCGCTACATTCCTTCAATGAGGGCTTGAATGATGAAGGCGACCCGCCAATGTCCGTCAACTATGATCCCAAGATGCGCGAACCTGAGTGGGAAGAGGCCTATTGATCCGAAGCCCCAGTGGTTGCGCAAATGGAGACCATATTCTACATAGCCTGTGTATCAAGAATGGGATGTAAGGTATACATGCTTGATCTTTCAGCCCAGCATGAATCTTGACCGCGAAAAACAAATGACATGTATTGAATGGAGCAGTGCCGAGGTTTCGCGCCGCCCGTATGCTTCCACCTGTAACCCAACGCCCAGTCTCCGCACATGGTATTATCGCCCCGTCGGATGGGCAGTCCTCGCCCGAGTTCGTCACAACATCCTCCTTTCGTTCTCCCTTACGCGCCACCGACTAGCACTCGGTTGAGAGGCATGTGAACTGAGCACGTGGGTTAGCATAGATCGCGCAACGTGGCGAGAAGGGGGAGGGCCGCGGTGCCGTACTCAGCTTGACAATGTATCCGACAGCGCCCATGATCACCAGACCAACACCGACAGCCTGGCAGAGACGCAGGTATTCCGCCTTGTCAGCTACACCGCGTTAGTCCATGTTGCAACTCGGGGGCCATGGTAGGGGATTCGCATCGTACGCTTGGTGCAGCGGCGCATGAACTGGATGCCGCTCTTTGCAAATTCAGAGGGAGCCTCGAGGAGCTCTTGAACCTGATCGCCGGCCATTGTGATAAATGATGGAAAGCTTCGTTTGTCGCGTGGTGTTTGGGAATTGGGAGGTGGTGGTTTGGCGACAGATTTCAGGGACCTCTGCAGCGGTTCTGGGGTTAATTTGGCCACCGCAGCGACGTGTTCTCAAGACTGGATCGGCCAGTGTTGGGGCCCCCTGGCGTCGGGCTTAGTCCGGTTGATCCATCTGAGACCACTTGGCTCGACCTCGAATTGGAGACATGGGGAAGGGGCGGATCATCATTGCTCCGAGCTATAGCTGTCCTAGCGCCCCGCTGCCCAGATTGGGGGAAAGAGGCATGCAACGAAGAAGGCTCAACGGAGCAAGAGCTGACCTGAGTTGGCGTGAAATTGTCAAGTCAAGAGCTTGGGGCCCATTGCATCTCAAATCTTGTCGAATCGTACCTCGTACACATCAATGCCAGGCCGTTTCACTATTTCATATTTGTGTCCTCATCAAGCCCCCATTAGCGAACTGACTGGACCAACAGCATCTTTCGCGCTGGGGTTCCAGACACACGACACCTCTGCGAGACTGCGATCCACTCCAGTCGTCACCCGGCCCAGTTCCGTCACCGTGATCAACTCCGCAAAACTGCTCCTCGTTCAATGATCGTCAATCCCCAAGTCTAAACTGCGCGCTTGCTTCTCACCGAGACCATCACGCGAACGGCATCTCACCGCATAACCCACTAATCCAGCTCTCGCGTCTGCAGAGCTTCTCACCTGCAGCGCCTCCAAATTCTCTGCCTGCCGGAAGATAGACCCCGGTCCCCCAATCGCACACGGGACGCTCGTCACCTTCCGTTATCTAAGGTACCTAAAGCTTGCTTTCCATTTGACCATCAAAACCCATTTTCTGCATTTCGCTCGACAAACGGCATCCGCCGCCACGACGACAATAGCGACGCCGATCGACATTGAGCAAGGTTGAGGTTCGCGTATTGGGCTGCGAGAAAAGCATTTGTACCTATTCATCAGAGCAGCGAGGTGTACGGTAACACTAAGAAGAGCCCACGCGGCCGAAAGCTGTGCTGCAGCCGCATCAAACCTCCCAGCGCGACGCCAGTTCGAGCTGATCCTGTATCATTATTGTTGCGCTTCTTCTCAATCCTTTTTGAGATAGGACAGCCTGGGAGACGCGGAGCGAACTTCTTCGTTAGAGAGCGTTGGGCCTTCCTGTACGTATTCTGCAACGGCGAACTGAACACTCCAAGGCGAAGCGCACTCGACATTCGACGGAGAACACGGATTGCTGATGACCATCAAAGGTTCCGGAAAGCCTCATTTGTATCTCGCACAGGAGCACACATAATAACATACATATAATAACTGCAGCCAACCTTCTTGACCTCACCAGTCGCCTTCCCCTTGCAAAGCACTGTTGACAACCAGTGTTTGCATACCAGCCTGCATCATGGCGGAGGAGGACTACGAGATCGATTACTATGGCGAGGCTGGTAATGACCAACAGCAACACAGCTCAGGGGGCGATCAGCAACACCATGCAAACGGCGAGCACGCCGATGCGCATCACGAACAAGCACACGAAGACCACGACCGCGACCACGAGCATTCGAAGAATCAGCAGACCTATGATCAAGGCAATGATGAACAAGGGTCTATTGATCCCAACGCCACGACCGCGCTGATGATTTCCGAGCTCAATTGGTGGACGACAGATGACGATATCCGCGGTTGGTTGCGACAGGGTGGATGCGAAGCAGGCATCAAAGACATGTCCTTCAGCGAGCACAAAGTGAACGGCAAAAGCAAAGGGTTTGTGGCCCAGAACTGTGAGCGGTTGGAGCAACATGCTAACAAACGCAGGCAAATATACCTTGAATTCAACTCCGCTCACGACGCGACATCGGCGAAACACCTGATCGACAAGATGCCCGCGGACGGTGGCCATCTCGGCCAGAAGAAGATCTCGGCACAGTACTGGAACCCGAACATGAATCCGTTCCGAACCCTGCCCAAGGATGCCCCCGCCCGGGGTAAGGACCAGCAGAGGTCAGCCCAGCCAGGCTCGTACAACGAACGGGGGAACTACAACTCTGGTGGAGGCTTCCGTGGGCGCGGGGGCTATGGCGGAGGCCGCGGCAACATGGGACAGAACAACTACAATCGCAATTTTGGCGGAGGCGGCGGTTACAATAACAACATGGGCGGCGGCGGCGGATTCGGCATGGGCGGCGGTGGTGGTGGTAGTAACTTTGCGTTCAACGCTGGCCGCGGCAACATGATGGGCGGCGGTATGCGAGGAGGCGGCATGAGAGGTGGCCGTGGAGGAAACATGATGGGCATGAACCCCATGGGCGGTATGAACATGGGAATGCCCGGCGCAATGGGCATGGGGATGATGGGTGCTAACGGTATGCCTGGTAAGTGAGCTTCTGCATTGTCATTGCCAAGACGGGCGGCAGGATCCTTTCGCACCGGCTCTTGTTGGAAGCCAGACCTATCTGGGCAGCTCAGCTCGGATGGTGCCGCCGCGCATGAGAGATCGCCATTTACCGATCTGGAACGGAGGGGAGAGCTCGCTGACTGACGCTACTGCAGGATTTCAAGGCATGCCCGGCAACTTCAACAACTTTGGTGGCTTTGGCCAGAACCAGGGTGGTGGCGGTGGTGATTGGGGCAACCCTCACGGCGCCAAACGCCCACGCCCGGAATAAGCAGATCTTTTGCACAGCTACACTGAAAGGTTGAAATGATGATGATCTGGAGTTCCGGTTCACACGTCAAGCGTGGGTCGGAGCTCTTGGCATATTTGACATGACTTGTCATCTATGGCGACAAGAGCAGTTAACCCATGTATAAGTAGGGCGTTTGCATCGTGAGAGAGTTATTGGCGCCACGACCATATGGAGCATTTGGGAATTTGAATCTTTGACATGAGCTCATGCTATCTCTTTCACCGTGGCTTCTATGAGATCTTGGATCTGCTGCCAACGATCTCGCAGCGTGTTTCGTGTAATGTCACCCGTGCTTGCATCGTTGACTTTTGCCTTGACCACCTCAATGTCCTTCAGATATTGCCTCAGTGCCTTGAGCAAGATGGCATTGACAGCGTCTTGGTCAACGTCCTCCCCCCTCAGACCATCAAGCACCATCAACCACTGGGATTCTCTCAGTACCAATGTTCGCAAGGCAATTTGCGTGCGGTAGCACGCTCCATCTCTGCCAAGCATGTATCGCCCCCAGTAGCCACGTCCGTCGAGCATACTCTTCTTCTCTTTATTCAGCAGAGGTTTGATGTACTTATCCAGACACACGCTATCCGAGGTGTTAGACTCAAGGATGAATCCGTACTCTGTCAGGAGAAAGTCATTCGAGTGAAATCCATAACGGATGAAGAGCTCCTCGCCCTTTGAAGCTGGCTTTGTAGTCGTGATGGTGAAGCCCTGGTACGAGTACGAAACGGTGCAGCCGTCAGGAGAGTGGTTAAAGAGGTCGGCGACCGGCTGTAGCGCGATCCTATCATCTTTGAGGAGTGACTTTTTCGTTCGTGGAGTGGTGTGGTAGAATGTCCGTGTGTTGATCAGTAGCCATGCGTACTGGTAGTCTTCTCGTGACATATCGGGGTAGGATTTTGATACGAGCGCCCAGTCTTTCTCAAATTTGGCTCTTTGCTTGGATAGAAGGTCTTGTGATGTGTCTGACAAGAGGTCTTGCAGTTCCAAAGGCCAGCAAAGCGGCATGAGCGTCTGGATGTCGGCCTTTGTGGGAAAGACGGCTTTCCAGGGCAGAAAGTCCTCTGGCGGGTTGTTCATGTCCAGGGACAGAGCCGTGGCGAGGATGGCGTGGACAGTGGCCCCCGCGAGACGAGAGACTATTGTCTTTGGAGTGCTGTCAAATGTGCGGAGGAGGGGTGTAGGCACCTGTAGAATGTCTTCGCCTGCCTAGATAGGTGACTGTCAATGGTTGGTGTGTGAGATGGGGCCAGGAGGGTTTCGTTACCTTTATGTCCCGGGTTGCTAGTATACCAATACCTCTACCTGGCAGAACCTCTGGCTGTATGCCATTGAGAGTTATTGAGTTATTCGAGGCCCATTTCAGCAGGGTCTCGATGGATTCGTCGGCACTCATGATGAAACCGTGGTTCTTGGAGAAAATGTGCTGATTGAGTTCACGTATACATGTAAGAGCGGCTGATCAACTTTGGTGGATGTGCAATTTTGAGGATGCGTGTTTGGTAAACACTGGCGAGACATGAGAAGCAGTGAGAAGCACGAAGATTTCTCCGCTGATGATGTGATGGCAGAGTGCCTTGTTCAAGACTTCCGTGGACTTGAACTGGATGCAATTTTGATAATGATGACTCAAGCGCCATAGGGTAGGCTGAATTGGATGTCGCCGATGTCGCAATTTAGACTCGCCATGTTTCTTCTCACATAGGTAAGGTTTGTTGTCTTAATCAGCTCTTCTTGCTCTTTTCCATTCGGCGTTTCTGTACTCATTAAGCATTTGGGCTTCGTGAGCAGGTTGCGCCCGTGTTTGTGGGAGTTCAGAAATCCATCTTGCTTGTCGTGATCTGCATACCCTATCTGCATTCTCGCGCTTAGCCTAGTAGGCATCCCGAGCTTCAAACAGCGAGTTTTTTGTATTGGTTGTAGGACATATTTTATATCTGGGTGGAAAATTGAAGTGGTCTTTGGGTTTTAGTGGATTTAGGATTGTTTTCTAGGAAGCTGGTCCGATTTGCTTGTAGCTGTCACATTATTCGCAACCTCGGTTCGCTTTGCAACTTTCCAACATGCAATCCGCACCACCTTCGCCTCTTACATGAGCGCATCTCTGGTACACGGTACATCGCACCGGGGACTTCTGTCCAACTGGAGACACGAAATGGGGTAGGCCCATTCCCAAGGTTGGCCATGCATGCTTCATGCTCTGTGTGTTACCATTGCTGTGGCCCATAGCTCAGATGAGGGTACCTACCTGAGATGCATGCCAAGCCGGCATAGCAGGTCAAGCGTGAACGAGTGCACGAGCGGATTGCCGCATTTGTCGTCCACGCTTATAAGTCGTCTCTACCCCACACTTCTGCTACCGTGACTGTCACGGCGCTGAAGAGTGAAGACATTGTCTGACCTCCAAATCTCTCGTCAATAGGCTTCTCAAACGCGTATTCGAGACTGGATTGATCATTGGAAGAGACCGACAAGTGTATTCAAAGAACGTTGCGCAACATGGCATCACCACCTGGCGACATCACTCATGTCCCAGCACCCTGGAAGCTCAAGGGCACAGTGTACCTGTTTCCATTCTGGACCAACAAGGACGACTTTGCGACTGCAAAGTCAGCTGGCCTCGCCTTCTCGCCCCTAGAGGCAAACTCGGACTATGCTTTGCCAGAGGGCAACGAGTACCTTGGTGGGCTCGGCATGGTGCAGATTATCCGCTATACAGAAAGTCCAGTCGGTCCCTACGATGAGCTCATAATTCTCCCGGGCTTCTGGAATCATGTGGTCGAGGAGAATGGGAAGCGGGTGAAGAAGAAGAATGCCAGGATCACCAGGATCTATGTGTCGCAGAAGTACACCTGTTGGAACGGAAGGAAGAGTATGTATTGAGATGTGAAGCTTCTCCGTGAAGAGGGCATTGCTAACCGTTTTCTATCAGATTGGAACATCCCAAAACATCTAGCCTCTTTTGAGTTCAAGGAGACGCCAGATGGCAGCACAGCCATCAAGGTCTTCCACCACGATGTGCCATCTGACCCGACCGAGGCTTCACCCTCAAAGTCTCCCTTGTTCCAAGCCTCCTTCAAGCCAATTCCGCTGGTCCCGTCATTCCCAACATCCACAAACCTGCTCAAGTATTTGGGCTTCGACGCGACACTTGTACAGCCGCCTCTTCCAGAAGGCAAGGACGCAAGTCAGGGGGAGTTGCCTGGCACGGACAAGTGGTGTGCCATTGTCCCGGGCCAATACACGAGGAGGGCGACTGTTGGCTGGATGGATCTGCAGCAAAGCCAAGGCGAGACCGAATTTGAGAACTTCTGGCCGGGCATGAAGAGGTGGCATGTCGGGGTGAGGATGGAGGATGCCGAAATCACCTTTGGCGAGGGTACATATTGGGACCCGCCCAAGTCCCAGCTTTGATGGCGGTATTCCGTTGCCTCCCGTTGAGTTCGAGTACCATTGTTACGGAGGATTGAAAAATGTGGTCCGATCAACCTCTACTCCTTTTCAGTGACGTGATCGTTCGATGGCCTCTTTGCCGGATCTTTTCGATTGCTGCGCTAGCTCATTGATTATGTCTTCAAGCCTCTTGTTGCCAGGGCGGATGTCGAGTAGACCATAGCCTGACGGATCCTTGGCGTCAAACTCGGTCGGATTTGCCCTGAGAAGGATCTCCACGGATCGCAGGTCGTTATCGTTGTTGTCTCCCACATGACGGGCTGCAGCTATGAGAGGAGTACAGCCATCCTCGTCCTCATGGTTATTGCAAGGTTGGTCGCCATCCATATGGCCACGAAGCTGGTAGCATTCTGCCGAGCGGCCGTTCTCGAGGAGAAGTTTCAGCACCTCATAGTTTCCGTTCTCTGCCGCGTAGAAGATGGGAGTCTTGCCGCTATGGTCCCGCGGGCTCAAGTCGTCTCCAAACATGTCCGACTCCAGCAGCAATTTCATCGTTGCCACGTCGCCTAAATGTGCGGCTGCATGGAGTGGTGTCTTCAGTCGACGGTCTGGAGCCAATGGGTCCGATCCTCTCTTCAGTAGCAGCTCAATAGCCTCAGTTGCGGAGGGCCTCTCAAATCTTGTGCTGATCGCACATCGGAGGGGAGTTCGCCCCAAATCATCCCTCTGCTCAATGTCTGCCCCGAGTTTGAGCAGCACCCGGATCGCTTGGGTGTCGTTCCGGTAGGCCGCAATATGTATGGGTGCCAGTCCAACCTCTGGGTGACGCATATTACAATCGAACCCCTTTCCAACCAGGGTCCTGATTAATGCGGAGCAGTCCCACGGGTGCGTCCTCAGGATTTCAGATAGTAACCATGGCTCTTGAGAGCTCAGGTCGACGCCGTACTTAACCAAGCCACAGGCTATTTCGGAAAGTTTCTGAGCGAGAGCACGGTCTAGCAGCCGCGTGTTCGGCAATGCGCCGGCTTCAAGAAGCGCAAATACACACGACGAATGGAAAAAATAGGGTGCCTGAGGCGGCCACGCATTTTGACCCTCGTTCAAGGATGAAAATAGGTGTTCAAGAGGAGACAACCCAGTACCGCGAGGGTTTGCCTTGGCCCCTGCTTGGAGAAGAAACCGAGTAGATGCGAGATTTCCGGCCCCTGCAGCAACCCATAAAGGGGTACATGTAGTGTCGGAGTACGCTGACTCGATCTTTGCTCCATGGTCTAGGAGAAGACGTATGACCTCGACGTGATTAAAATCAGCCGCATAGTGAAGAGGCCCGTAGCCATAGCGTTCGGAATCGACCCGGCTTCCTGTATCAACAGTGTCCTCGGTCGGCGGGTTGACATTGGCTCCATTGGCAAGAAGAAGCTTGACAATGTCGATGTCGCCATACATGCATGCTCGTCCCATGGGTAGCTTGTCAATTCCCAAATCGGGTGCGTCGACTTCTGCTCCACGCGCGATGAGTAGCTCAACAGTCTGCCGGGGCAACCCACCGCTTGTGCTTTTGTGCGGGCCCACGGCCCAGTAGAGGGCTGGATAGCCGTAATCATCACGCTGTTTGATGTCCACGTCTTTTGTGGACAGCAAGTACTCAATAATGGCAATATCGTGATTTTCAACCGCATTGAGAAACAAATAGTGAGGCTTGTCAACTCGTATACCTAATTCGTAGGTTCTCACAAAAGTGGACAGGCGATTCATCCTCAGTGCCCAGTCCTGAGCATGCTCGGGACCACCCGTATATGGATCTCGGCCGATCCGATAGTTGTATCGATATAGCTGTGCATTCACACAATGGTGTAGATAGCGGCTTGTTCTGGCCAGTGAGTTTACATCAATCTGCCATGTGTCCGGTTCGCATTTGGCGGCAATATCTTGGATGAGCTCGGGAGGCAGTGCCTCCAAAGTGAGGGGCCGAAGAGCGTCTGAATCCATGTCGGAAGATGGTACTGCTTCAGGGCCTAGAAGAAATTCGAATTTGGTCAATATATGCTGATGCTGGTTCAAAGCCTTGGAGACTAGACAACAGGCTTTTACTTCGAGAGTGTAGCGATCTTGAAGACGAAACAGGAGGAGGGTTAGGCTAGATACTTGGTGTGGTCCAAATGGCGTTCGCGCGTGATGGGATTGGACGCTCGCTGCGTTCCAGCGTGACTTTCCAGGACGCTAGGTCACCGGTACCAGGAGGGAATTCAGTGCCGTCTCATCAAATGGCGTCAATACAACGAAAAGAAAACAGAGCGGTGGTTCATGCCAGACATATTACATGTTCTAGTCTTACTATGGTAAGGTAGTAGGCAACAGCGGTTGCCTGTGAGCACATGCAGGGATATTTACTTATGCAGCTGGTCAAACTGACAGGGGCTTACACGCTTAAATGCATATCTGACATGCACTTGGTACAACCATGCTGAGGGTGCGTGTGACTGTGACCACATCGAACATCAAGCGACCACGACAAGGTTTCCGTCCTCATCTCCAGCATATGTCGATCTGCGCAAAGATGCAGAGGGTGAGACTATATCACGCAATCACCACCTCTGTTCGACCAGACCAGACAAACAGTGCTCCTCCACGATGAGCGTTCAGTTTCACCAAGAAGCAAACATGGTGTCGCCCGAAGGAGCAGGCGGCGGCCACGGCAAGCGAGAGCCGTCTTTCAACTTGGATAATTACCGCAGGAATTGGTCGAGCTGGTAGCCGACAACTTCACCGAGTATCTGTGGGCCTCGAATGTCAACTCCATGGTCAGGACCAGCCAGGTGCTCTCACGCCAGCTGAACGCATACCTGTACCGCCGTAACCAGCGCAATACTCTCTTCTACGAATGCCGGCGCACTGTTTGCGACTGCAGAGGCAGTGCGTACTATTTGCGCCACAGATGGGACGCAGTTGCTTGGGCAATTGACCGCCAGCGGACATCCACCTTCCGCCGTGCCCTGAGCCTCGGGATCATTCCACATCAGAACCTTTCGGCTGTAGTGAAAAGCGGACACCTGCCAATAATTCATCACTACCTCAGATCATGCGCTTTCGACGTTGATGCGGTAGATCCCGAGGGCTGCACGGCGCTGTACTGGGCAGTGGCAAAGTCCAAACATTTCCGAGGCATAGAGTTAGCCAGAACTCTTATTGAAACCCATGGGGCCCAGCTGAATTATCCCATTGACTACTTCGACAAGATGCCCCTTTTTGAGGCGTGCCGCTTGGGCCACAGCTCGATGGCCAGTCTCCTAATCAAGCACGGCGCATGGGTCAATCCACCGGAATATGCGCTCAACAGAATGAAGGAGACACATCAAGTATCAACATTCAACAAATTTCTCCCATCAGAGGACAACCGTGGACCTCATGCGGGAGTTGTTTCTACACGGGCCAAATGCGATCATACGCCGCTCCAAATGGCATCTAGATACGGACATACACACATATGCGAGATCTTGATGGGTCATGGAGCCTCTGTGAGAGGTACTTCAATATCACCGGGTTGGACGCCACTTCACTCTGCTACCCTGGGTGCATCGCCAGATGTTGTCAAGCTGCTTCTTCAAACTGGAGCACATGAACGAAGTCATGCAATGGGTCTCCGAACACTCGCCATCCCTAATTTTGCCATTGATGCTTCCGGCATGGACGTCGCAAACGAGGGAGCAAGAATCAAAGACTGGACAGAGTGCATTAGGCTGTTATTGCGGGCTGGTCTAAGGCTCTACTCGACTTGCCAACTACTATGGAATATGGCGGAAAACCAAAAAAAGATGGCAAATGTGATTACGCTGTTACTGCATTATGACAGCGCATTGAAACCCTTTGAGGGGTCTGCTGCCCGTGGGAGTGTTTTGTGCGAATCCTGAGCTCGTGCAATGCCTTCTGACTCTAGATTGGACAAAAGTTGGGCCTTGGGAAGAAACAGATAGTCGCCAACTGTTGTTGATGGCAATGGACAGGTCACTAGACGTCGCTAATCTGTTCCTGCGAGCTGGGTTTGACATGGATCAGCTGAACGACGACGGGGACACGTTACTCTACCAGCTTGCCGAAGAAGATAACGCTCCGCTTTGTCGCTTTCTGGCCGCTGCCGGGGCCAACACAGGCTGGCAGAGAGAAGATACTGGCTTTGGTGCTGTCCACATCGCCGCCAATCTTGGGAGCATCCATGTGCTGAGGGTCATGGTGAAGGACCCGCTGTTCAATATGGCATCTGCAGACAATCTTGGCAGAACACCACTCTTCCATGCTGCGAGGAAGGGTTACTATGAATGTCTTGTTCTTATCTTGAGCAGAGGCCGAGCTGTCAGCCGCAAAGGCTGGGACATGTCGAAGGCTGATCTCTCTGAGGACGTGCCAGATGCATTTGGTACTCGTCCTGTCATTGCAGCCGCGAGGAATGGGCATATGATGGTCGTTCGCGTCCTTCTCATGGTCAATCCGGCTAACCTACTCGCCCAAGACGCCCAAGGGCGCGACGTTCTCTTCTGGGCTAATGTGAACCCCAACCTCAAGATGAGAAAGATGGTCCTCGAATTTGCTCGGCGACGAAAGGTGTGCTTGGACGAAAACCTAGGAAGCCTATATCAGGCCCAGTGGTATCCCTTTCACCTACCGCCTTTATACAGATTTCAATATGATCGATACGATCCCGTATCGGAATGGACATATCAAAGAGAGGAACTAAGGCTTTGGGGAGACCTACTTGGAACCCGCCAGGATCCGCACTGCAGCATCTGCACGCGGTCCTCCGTTGGCTATGGCCCAACCGAGCTGGGGACCTACCAATGTCCTGATTGCTGTCAGGGGAAATTCGACATTTGTGGCGAGTGTAAAGCCGCGGGAGCTACGTGCTTGGATCCCTCGCTCGAGTGGCGGGAGTTGGTACTGCCATCTGACGATATGAGAGGCCTAGCGTGAAAGTATTGCTGCATGCAGTTGCTCACATGCTTCTAGTACAGCTACTATATGCTCATAAATAAGTCCAAAAGCGCTTCATAGTCTGGGCTACCCAGCCCCGTCACCGGATCCCAACCTTCAGCCGATCGGAATGCTTCGTCAACACCGCATCCAGTGTTGTAACCCTCCGTTACGTCATGGAACACATGTTTGTTCGCGTACAAGGTGGGATTGATGAACCCAACGGGTCCCTTCCCAGAGCGCAGACGCTCATTGTTGATCTTGGTCACTATCGCCGCAAAAATAGGGGCCGAAGACGACGTGCCGGACACCGAATGGAATCGACCACCCGTGAAGACTTGGATGAACGAGGCCGCCGCAGAGACATCAGGATAAGTTCGGCCGGACTGGTTGAACTGGCCTCGGAAGCTGTCGAGATGGTCCGATTGTTGCTCGAGGTACCGACTCACGTGCTGTGCCTGATACTCAGGGGTGGCGAAAGCATTGCTCATACCACCGGCGCTGCTACGATTACCGTCGTCGTTGGGGCGGAAGTAGGCAACCTCGTCAGTGTCGCGCTCATGTGGGAGTCCTGTGGACGGCAGATTCCTCCACGAGGTGACAGTCCCCTCGTCTTCGGTGGCAACGAACTTCGTACCCCCCACCGCTGTGACCCAAGGGCAGGAGGCTGGCCACGAGGGGACAAATTGTGGTTTGGATGTCTTGTCACCACACTCCCCATCGGGATGTCTGCCTGTGCCCATATCTCCAGTTGAGACAATCACGGTGACCCCCTGAAGACCAAGTTTGAGGAACTCGTGGCATTGATGGGCGAGGTACTCTGGGGGAAAGTCTGTCTCTGCCCACGCATATGAAATTGACAGGACGTTCGGGGGTTGGATAGTGCCGCAGTCGACATCTTTTACATCGACGATTGGATCGAGTACGCCATCCAATTGGTCGCAATACGTATCGTCGAAAGCGGCAAGCAACGTATTGACGTTACCAGGGTGGGTGCTATCGCCAACCTGGAAGTTTGTGACGTTCTGAGGGTACGCCAGGGTCACTAGAAAAGAGTCAATGATGTTTCTGCATCGCGTATGTACTGCCACTCACTTAGAAGCTCGGCATCCATGTTAGGCTCGAGGTTGAAAGGGTCAGATTGAACGTCTGTCTGCCTATATCCGTCGTTTATCGGAACCACCGAAGGCATGTGTCCCAGAAGCTCAGGCGCGTGCGCTGCAAAGTGCTCGTCGAGATCGCTGGAGATCCACGATGACCAACCGGGCGAGAAGAATCCGATCGAGTTGTCGGGATGAGTGTAGTTGTCCTGTGGTATCTTGTAGATTTCGCGCAGGCAACTAGGAGTGACATTGGAAACGCAGTCTTGTTCGCCTCTGACTTGATGAGACGAAGGGTGCTGAGTGCTTCTACTTGCTTCAGGATGATCAAATACCGGCGCAACCCAAAGTACATCCTGTTCTAGCTCGGGAGGTATGTGGTAGCTGTCCTGGAACCGATACGTGGTCGCTCCCGTGGACCGGTGTCTGTAGTGAAGCAGGCTGGTTCGAAAGACATCTTGCACCTGCCATGCCGGACAGGTCAGGTGTATCAAGCCACTTCTGTACCCGGCTTTGTACATGCTTAATCCTGACGCGGAGATTTGACGCAGGACATTTCGGACCGTGTCCTTTGATGGGGAGAATTTCTCCTGGACATCTTTGTTTCTCCAGTGTATCCCATACTTTGGTGACCCCGGATCTGAGACTGCCAGCAGCTCGTTGACTGCCTCTTCTCGTTTCGGGTTCGCCAGGGCTATGGTAATTGTGATGTTGGTGTCTGTGGAAGGATCAGGCTGCCGCACCCATGCGCCCCCTTCGTTGAAAGTTTGGCCGAGTACAAAGCGTGGGGGCGCAGTCAGTAGAAAGATGCAGAGCGCCAGAAAGTTACAAGGAAACATGCTAACTCTTCGTGCTGTCGAAGACACAGAGAATTCAGGTCCTACTTGCTCTGATACTCGCGAGGACAGTGGAAGACACAGCTATACCGCGAGCAAGATCTGAAAGGGGCATAACAGCCCGACTGGCCTGCCCCTGTGACCTCCGGGGAGAACATTCCCCGGATCAACAAGCTTAAGTTGATCCTTCAACTTAATTAGTCGCTAAGAACTCAACTGGCGACGAGCCGCGCCAAGACGCGGCAATCTATGCACTCGTCGTCACCATGCACGGGCAATCCTAGATGCCGCAGCCGCTCCTGACCGGTTGGTATGTTCTGGCAGGGACATTTATCGGCGATCTAGCCATTTCCCGCCATCGGGTATCGGGAGGGCTTCTCCTTTCGCACATAGTGTGGCGATTCTGCAAGCCAAATGCTGAACCTTGTAGGACGGGGGAATGCAGGTCTGGGGTCGAATCCCGGCAGGTTGACTTCAAGATCCACTCGTATACAGACACGTGCATTGTCCAGAACTTGTAGACACTTGCCTCGCAGTGGATCAATTTGCATTCACTCCAATGATCAGTGGTCATTGGATTTTTAGGTCCTTGCTTTGGTTCTGTCATGTCGATCCTCAAGCGCATGCGGAAACATGGACCTGCTGATCGTGCCAGTAGCCCATGTCTCAGTGAAACTGTTGAGCCGACTCGGGCCCGAGAAATGTTGCATGCCCGAGAAGCAATTACCTTTCTAACTTCACTCATGCCTGAGATGCAACGTCTTGGCGGGCGAGTGGATTCATATGGCAGTGCCGGGAGTGCTGTAGATATCTGATCTGTTGGCGCTTAGTTCCTGGCCTATATGGTGTCGGCGATGTGACAGAAGAGTTCAAGCACAAGTCAAAACCATGCCTTGTTACTAGATACAGAACATTTGGGCATGCTAGTAATATTGAGTTGTGTCCTTTCCTTTTGGCGCTTTGTACGCGTCTCGTGATGGAACGACGGAACATGGACTGCAGATGGTGTGTCCGGTCTTCAAATTACTGGGCTGCTCTTTCCAGCGCGCAAAGTCGATGAACAGGATCTTTGTGTTAGTCTCATCATCGCAAATCACTGATCATTCAAGCCTGGATTACGTGGAGCCGCCACACACTGACGTGGATGGTCACATCCCAGGGGTCGTTCTGTCGAGTCTGTTACAGACGAGCGTGTACATCTATCGGCACTCGCGGGGATACAGGAGACTCCGCGTTGCCTTCAAGCTGTATGTGTATTGCCTTGTACATATGGACCACCACTTCATCCGCGTAATCGTGCTGGTGCGAAAATTGATGCATTCCAGTACATGTACGCCGAGCCGTCTTAGTCTAGTGGTTTGCTATCAGCCTAGATCTTGTAAGACAAACATGCTGTGCAAAGAGGTATCACTGCCGTTAAAATACTGGCTTGAGGATGCAAAGCCGAGTCTATACGGGCAGTCACTTGGGAACATGTCATGTGGAACAGAAACTTCTTGGAAGATTCGGAAAAACAAACCACATGTACAGGACCAGACGCTCAAAGTCATAAACTGTGATGCCCTCCAGGTAGCAGCTCGTACCGAATGCAAGTGGCAACCCCTACACAAAGCAGGAGGCTTCTCCTTTGCAGCGAGCTCCCCGAAATCGTCAACTCGATGTCGATCGGGACTTCTGAAGCTTATCGAGAGCCACACTATGTAACTTCGCAGGCCAAGATCAGCAACTGAGGGAGCATGTTGTCCGTGAAAGGGGTGACTTCCGAATGATACGGGGCTGGTTGACACGCAACACTCCGCAACTGGACCGTCATGTACGTCAAGGTGCTTGAACATTGTTGAAGTCTACCACTTTGGGTGTACAGATGCCATCGATGGCGAACCCAAGACTCGATCGAGTGCATGATAGCAGTGAGTTCAAACGTCATGGTAGCACATGCCTGGACATCCAGACGAACATAAAAGGCTGGCTTTTCCCTCTCTACAACATGTCTCTCAACTCACAACAACCAAGCTCAGAACAACAACTTCACAGTCTACACACAGCAACGATTTTACCAGAACACCCAAACACCCATCACTCAGTCAATATGCAATTCTCATCCATCCTCTTCACTCTTGCTGCCGCCGCCGGCGTCATGGCTTCGGCCATTCCTGGCCAGGACAAGGTCGTCAAGCGAAACGATGTTGTGAGTCTCGGTGCTGCGGTCACTTCAGGGCCACGCTACTAACACACACTGTTCAGTCGGCTTGTATCACTGATTGCCTGAAGAGCTGTGCCGGCACGATTAGCTCTGGCTGCCCCACTGGTACGTGGCCTGATCCGATGATGTTACCAGCCTACGTTACTTACCGATACAGGCTGCACTCTTGGCTGCCAGGGAGCTGGATTCGTGGATGAAGATGCCGAGTAGGCTTGCAGCCAGGGAGATGGACTCGTGGGCGATGTCAAGTAGGCCTGGATTGCCTCTCTGTAAAGGGAGACATGAGAGTGTCTGCAATACTGTCCACAACAGAAAATTGCTATTACCATTAGTGTTACTCAGGGACTAGTGTCAATCAAACAATAGCAGAAACCTCCCCTTTCTATGTGAACTATTGCCGCATAAGGGACGCAAAAAGGAACGAATGCCCGGAGCAAGATGTCAGAACATTGTATCATTATACATTACAAAGCGTCTATAGTTCCCAGTATCGATTGACCATTTCTAGATGATCCTTGCGTGCTCTCTCGGGGTCCCGCATTTCAAATGCCATGCTCCAGACAGCTCGGGCTTCGTCCTCATCAGTATGTCTCGCCGAATCCAGGCCTGTCAAGAGTCAGTCGTTGCTTTTGTGATGAACTCGGAGGGAATCTTACCGATATGCTGCGCTTGCACCGGGTAAAAGGCATAGCGCATCAATTTTGCCCGCCTTGCTCGTCGGTTGAGCAGAGTGTCCATCTGACCTTCCTTCTCCCTTCGCAGGAAGGAGCTCAAATCTGGTATTTGGTCCCTTGGCATCACCATGGCTTGCGCGCAGCAGCCAAACTTTTGGGCGTAGATGCCGTCGTGCGGTGGCAGAAGCGAAGCCTTGCCGCACTGATAGAACAGTATGACAAGAGATGGGATCAGGAACAGGGAAAGGACCATGATACTCTCGAGATGAACCCGGAAGAATCGAAATCGGGAGCGCAAAAAGTAGGTTGGAGCGAGTATGGCCCCGGACAGGAGGGCGATGATCGGAAACTCGTGATTCCCGCCAATATGCTTGCCCGCCCAGCCAATCGAGCGCTCCTGGTTGAATAGCCGCATGTAAAGCCAGTCTTCAGCTCGCTTCTCGACGTCACGCAAGCCAAGCAGAGTGCGGACCATCCACCCGTCGGCCATCAGAATGTCGTCCTCGAACACGGCAACGTACGGCGCCCCTGATTCGTAGCAGTCCTCCAGGGCGGTCCGGTAGTCAAAAACGCCCTTTTCGAGAAAGCGCTCCTCCCGTTCCATGTCCTGGAGGAGCTCGAGCCTGGGCTCAGACACGTTGTACGTGTGAAAGTTGTCCACAACTCTCGGGATCCATCTGCTCCTGTAGCTCGGATGCTTCTCAGGGTCCGTCTCGGAGATGAAGACACTGAGATAGAGTGCACCTCGTTCCTGTGGTGTAAGGCCAGCGAGAATTCCGGCAATGGTCGTTTCGAGATAGTTGTTACGCTGCCTCTTCACTGAGCTGATGGCCACGCACAGGGTAGCATTGTCCGCAGCTTTTTGATATTCGCCCGCTCCCTCCTTGGCGGCGCGGATGAACTCTTCAGTCTCGAGTAGACGGTGATGTGAGTAGACCTGCTGGTAAGCCCGTGTCTTGTCGAAGAAGATGCTCCCAGGATCGCGATAGAAGTGGGCGCGTGCATAGAGAATGAGTGTTAAGAGAAACGATGCGCAGAGAAAGAGCTTGCGGGTAAGTGAGTTCATCGTGTCACTCCTCGTCTTATGCACAATGTACGTGTACATAAGATGCGCGAGACAGCTCTGGAGAGAGAGTGTGTGTTGACCGCGAAGTTGTGCTGCCGACCAAGCTCGAATGTGAGAACAGAAGTGGGTCGTGAGTGAATGACAGCCCCTTGATCCTGTTGTCGTGGTTTACAGGATCGCGCTTACAACGCCCTTCTCGGCAACAGGCGAGGGGGAGCTCTCGTTACACGAATGTGGCTACCAGACACCTTGTCATCAGTGCTTCGGCTCAGCACCGGATCGAGGAGCACAACGGTTCGTCGTGCGGCAGGGCTAGACGCTTATAGAGCTCGTCGACATTGCACATGTACTGCCAGGCGTGAATGTTGTTTCAAGCAGCGACGGTCCATCCACGATCACAACAAGTGCCGGTAGGGCTGGCGGCGCTCCTCGCAATCCGAGGGTGCGTTTTATCTTGTCGTTCTACACGAAGCAAGGCAATTCGGTGATAAAGAGGAAGAGGTTTCGAGTCGGGAGTCGTCGCATTGTGAAGGGGATCTAGGATTTAAGCACTATTATAACATCATGCCAAAGCAAAGAAAAGGCGTGAAGCTGGATGAGGCTGGTCCCACCTCACGAAGCGTGCTGGATTCTTAGTGGGGGGAACGTGCTAAGTGGACGGCTAATCGGCACCAACACGGGGGATTTTCTAAAGGACGGATCGTCCCTGAAGCCCCTGAAAATCCGGACACCGCCCTATCAGAATTTAGGACAATCATCGCAAACACGAGCGCATCCTGACGCGCCTTCGTCTTCACATGCCAAGGGCTTGAACCGACTCACGGGCATCAAATTGTTGGCCTGTCTGCAATCGGACAGGTGCTGCTTATCATTATTATACTACGAACACCTTTTAGCGCAAGCTCACACCACATGAATGAGACTCGGGTTCTCGGAATCATCTGCCTGTTGCTGGAGCTTACGTACAAGTACAGACTGCAGCGGCCACACGAGAGCTTGGCGCTCTCTGGCCATGATCGTGCCTCCAGATTAATACCCTTGCCTCGCCCGGGTGTCTTTTTATTTTTACCAAGTCCAGCTCAGATAATCAACCACCGAGCAGGTCAGCCGCGGGAGCATCATGGTTGCTTGCTTTGTGCCAGATCATGCAGATCAGCACGCTCGCCTACCCGGAAGCCTTCTTCTGTTTTCCCCTGAGCTTTGTTCTCCGCAGAGACGTTGCCGCTCTGGCTGGCGGGTGTGTTCAAGAGGTCATCGACGCGTTGCGTGAGGCCGTCCTGGCCTTTGCTCGTGCTAGCATCGATGGCTTGGCCCAGATTGCGGTCCACGGTGGTGCCTGTAGTGGTGTTGTTGGTCTCATCGATGATGTTCCTGAGATGTCAGATTGCCTCGTTCATTGACTTCTTGCGTATGACTTACTGTGCTTGGCCGTGTTGGTTACTGTCGAGAGAGGTTTGCTGGACCCCACGATCGTGGGCGTGGCCACCGGGGGCAGGATCAGAAGGAGCAGTACCGGACATCTTGAATATCTCAAATGGGGTGTATTTGAGCACTCTTCACGCGTTTGATGTATTATTCAAATCACTGAGTTCAAGTTAGTTGTCAACCGGCGGATAGTATCAAGTACCTACTTTCAAGCTATACTACCACGGTGAACCCTTCCTTCATCATGCATACGTCATGTCTGCTGTCGATGATGCTACAATCCGTTGAACTCGTTTTCAAACAGAGTGCTGCAAGCACAGTATCCAGACTTGAAACTTAACCTAACTTAGCGGTCAAAGCCGGGGGGTTGTAAATAAACCGTGAAATAGTGCCTACAGTATGAGTGCCAATACAATGTATACTGATAAATCCTCATGGCAACACGTGAATCCCAAATCTAATTCACAACTCAGAGCCAAACTTGCAAACTGGTCGTCAGCCAGGGATCAAGGAGCTTTGCTATGATCGATTCTTTTCAAGCTAACAAACAATTGCTTTCACAAGTCGTCACGCGAAAGCACGTCTCAGTGGCTATCGACTACAGATGTAAAGCTTCAGGGTAGGTATGTTCGCTCGGGAGTCCCACTTGTAGACTAGGCGCGATGGTACGATTTATGACCCGGAACTGGCCCTGCTCAACTCGCCCATCGCAAACCAACGATCGCCAGCCATGAAGATAGCTGCGAACCGCCTCCGGTCGACGTGCACTTTGCAAGCCACGGCGCGGCTAGCGCCCAAGGTCTGCGCAGCCTGCGCGACAGACCAATCTAGGCGCTTCTCATCACTCAAGCGCCCACCACCCAACTATCCCGGCCATGTACCTCTAACTCGGGTCGAACGCGCCGGCCTGGCAATTGGATCAGGTGTCATGTCTCTGATCAACCCTTACCGTCATGGTCAGTAACTTCTGTTGTACCTCTTGAACAAGGCTGACTGACCGCCCAGATCTTATTGCCGCCCTGGGCGAAGCTACTGCGACACCCTACTTCATCTACCGCCTGCGCGACGCCATGCTCGCCGACCCAACCGGCCGTAGAATCCTGCGTCAGCGACCTCGGATCTCTTCCAAAACCTTATCCGTCGAGAAACTACGCCAGATGCCACCCAACTCGGTCGGCCGAGCCTATATTGACTGGCTCGACCGAGAAGGCGTCTCGCCCGATACACGATCGCAAGTCCGCTACATCGACGACGAGGAGTGCGCATATGTCATGCAACGCTACCGAGAATGCCACGACTTCTTCCACGCTGTCACGGGGCTGCCGATTGTCAAGGAGGGAGAGGTTGCGCTCAAGGCGTTTGAGTTTGCGAATACACTGATCCCCATGACGGGACTGAGCATGCTTGCCGTGGGCACCATGAAGGCACAGGAGAGGAGCCGTTTCTGGAGTATATACATGCCCTGGGCCGTCCGAAATGGCGTCCGCAGCAAGGAGGTGATCAATGTCTTCTGGGAAGAGGAGCTGGAGAGAGATGTGGACGACCTGCGGAGAGAGCTCGGCATCGAACAGCCACCGGACCTGAGGACCATACGCAAACGCGAACGGGAGGAGAGGAAACGTATGAAGGAGATGCAGAGCCACCAGCGGTGAAACTGGCGTTTCCCGACGTAGTAATAGCACCAGCACATAGGCAAGTGTTCTGTGCAGGACGAAATGTACACATTTCCGACCCTCATCCTGTGGGTATCAATGTTTTTTTCTCTTACAGATCGAGTAGATCGTCATCGTCATCGTCCCAGCCCTTCCGTCTGCTGACCACAATCTTCTCCTCCTCCTGCTTCCCTGCAACCGCGTTCAGGAGATCCTTCAACTGCTCCTCGGTGACTTTCGATCGTAGCTGCCCGGACTGCGCAAGCATAATCAGGCGGTTCTCGACGTCGGTGGCGCGCTGCTCTTTCACGAGGCGGATGCGGCCAAGGCGATCGGCGGCCTCGGGGTGTAGAATCTGGTTCAGAATGTGCTGGCGTGCTTCATCCTGCTGTCTTTGAGAAGGAGATCAGCTCAAGATCACGATATCTTATATACGGAGCCAAAACTCACTGCCGCTGGCGATCCTCATCCTGGCCTCCAGACTTTGAGGCACCGCCGCCGCCGCCGCTGCCGCCGCCTTGCGACTTGAGCTGCTCGAGGCGAGCTTTGCGGATCTATGTTCGGTCAGCGATAGCGACAAACAAAAAGACAAGTGCTCTACCTGATCGAGCTCCGAGTCATCCATGTTTTGCGATGCTGTGTGTTGTCGGACGGTTAGGAAGGACCACTGGTCGCGGGGTGTTTGGAAGCTCTGGGAAATATTGGAGGGGCAGCGCAGTATGCTGCATCACATGACCCTGGACTACGCAATCCAGGGTCTTATACAAACTCACATACACGCGAGCAGCATACAATTGATAAAAAGAACAAGTAGCTAGGTCGTGAGCATAGTATTACAATGCGTACATACTATACAAAAAGAAAGAAAAAAGTATCCAAAGGACCGCTCTTCTATGATGCCTTCTGCTCCCTGCGATGCAACGCTCCATGTGTCATGAAACCCAAGACAATCAATGCACTTTACTCCGTACGACGCCCTTTCCGGTAGGTTTTTCTCAAAGATTCTGTTGTCCGCAAGCGATGCTCCTCAACGGCCGGTAGCGAGGTCGCCTCAAAAGGGACCAGGGTGTTCGCCTCGTAGATTGCGCTGCCATGCTTTGCTTCGACAACAGTCCAGACTAAGCGGTGGCTCGGCATGTACACGCCGAGTTTCCTCCCCTTTTTGTAAAAGTAGCCATTCAAGTATTTTGCGTCCGTCGGCACCCCCTTGTCGATACATTGTTGATAGGTCATGGTGCTCCTGTCCCTTCCTCTGTGGATGTAGCCCTGCAAGACATTCTGCGCGTTGAGATCCTGGGCGAATCGGGAGATGAGCTGTGATCCCCGCACTTCAGGCATCTTGAGCAGGACCTTCTGAATCTCCTTTAGCAGCCTGCCCATGATACTGCGGGCCGGCGGGTGATGCACCAGGTCTTTGATCGGCACCCCCATCATGACGGACACGGGCTCGGCGACGGCGGAGTATACCAGGGAAGGGAGCTTGGCCCTCAGCCAGGTGTCGTACTTCTCAAGGCTGGCGTTCACCACGCTGGCCGTCTGCAAAGTCTTGACGAAATTGACTCGCTGCTCCACTCGGTCGGGATTCTCTTCCGTAGGATCGATCGCATACGGCGTCGTCAACTTCATGGCGCCGCGCTTCACGTATTCCACCGCCCAGTTGTCGCGTGACAGTTGTAATGTGTGGTTCATATGGCCGAGCAGGAAGTCCGGCCGACTGCGCTTCGCGCGGAAGAAACTGTTCCGCACATCCTCCAGCACGCCCAATCCATGGCTCATGAGACACACAGTCGAGTTTTCGTCAAGACGGTCCTTGACCTTGTGAATGCTCTGCTTCGCCTGAGACCCAGATCCCGTCACAATGAGATGCTTTATAGGCTCTGGGTCTTTCTCCTGTTGTGTTGTGGCTGTCAAAGTCCTGTTGGCCTCGACAGGCTTATTCCGCACTCGGTCACGAATGTTGGTGTATCGCGTTTTGCGCCCTGTCCACGCCATCAACTCGACCTGGTCATGGACCTCGGACAGGGCGTGTGCTATCCATTTCGATTTGATGTCTTCCCCGAGGATATGAATCTTGTGGACGAGCGGTGTTCGGGCTGCAGCTTCCTTGGACACCAGGACCGAGGGCCGACCGCTGGTGGTGTCAAGGCGGACAGAATCGTCTTTTCGTGTGTTCGTTACGGCGGTGGATGTCGTCGATGTCGTCTGTGAATAGCGCGGTGTATCGGGAATGTCCAGAGCACTCGGAATCTGTCCGACACTGCTGCGGGTGTTGGTGACCGTGCCGTAACACCTGGGTAGGCCTTGCGAGATGTAGTCGCAGCTACATAGCGAGATCGTTCGTCGCGCTGACGCCGCTGGGCGCAGCGCTAACCGGCTGGCCATTTAACGGCGAGTCGACTGGGTGTTCGCGCACGATATCACCGCTGCGCGTGGTCGGCTTGCCCGGTGAAGTGTCGTGTAAGGTGAAATTGCGCCTGCCTGGGCCCTGGAGCGAAGGAGGGATCGAACCCGAGGTAGTAGTCCAGTACACCAGGGGGGCGAACGTTTTCGGCTGTAGTACGTAATGTTGTTTCAAGCTCCGAGGGGTATTAATATGAACAAGGGTAATAAACGGCCGGTCGGGGTCGTGAGTTCGCCTTTGGGTGATTAGTGGTAGTATGTACAACAGTCTATGATCCGGAGAAGGGACCAGACACTTGCGCGTGAAATTCCCGGAAATGCTTGGATGGATCTTTTTCGAGGTGGATCCACAGCGCTACGATAGGTAGTGGGGATAAGCTATCAGCGGGACCCGATACGTGCATACATCTCATCGCTTAGCGCGTGGTCGCATTCAATGAAAGTTCTGTCGATGAGAGTGAAACCTATCAACAAAGACCGACAGCACAACCTGAACAAGATCAACCTTGAATTGCGGCCAGGAAATCATCGAGAGTCTCAGGATGGCCGACGTGAAAGATTTAACGCCTGATCTGGCGAGGCTGGATCGCCAGGTGGACAATCTCGAAGGCGCCATGCAGCCTCTGTTCGACAATCTGCAGGAGATGTCGTCCCAGCTCCCTCTACTCGACAAGGCTAAGCTGTTCTCACTCACTGCCTATGCGATCGAATCATTGCTTTTCTGTAAGGTCACCTATCTGATTATAAGCAATCATGCTAATCTTTTTAGCCTCACTGAAGCTGGACGGCGCAGATGCCCAGAACCATGCCGTCTTTACAGAGCTGAAGCGCATTCAACAATACTTTGCAAAAATCAAGGCCATCGAGGACCCCGAGGCCCCGGCCCAGCGCACACATACTGTGAACCAAGAGGCTGCGGCCCGCATCTTGAAGGCGGACTTGGTGGGTTACCAACAGGCTCGTGCATGGCAGCAACAGAACTGACAAATATCTCAGGCCGACAACAAAGACCTTAGCAAAAAGCTGGCGGAGAAGATTGCTGAAGAGCGGGCCAAGGCCCTGCTAAAGTCGATGGAGCACAAGAAACGCCCTGCCGAGGACTCGCCACTAGCATCGGGCACAGAGTCATCACAAGGAAAAGTGAAGAAGGCAAGGAAAGACAAGTCAAAGAAGAAGAAGAAGAGCAAGGAATGAGTTGCTTCATCGCATTGTTGCCCGCCCTGTGAGGCTGGTGTGGGGTTTGGTGAATGTTTTCTTTTCCGACATGGCGTTATCGGATCAAGGAGCCTGGCGTTCATGGAACAGTTTGGTCGAGGGATTACAGGCCTAGTCAAGGGTAGGTGAGAAGCGAGTATCAACATGATCTGCCCATTTCCATTTGCGCAAACCAGTCAAGATGAAAGAGGTCGTATTGGATCAACAGAGACTCGATGACTCTACCGCCGACAGCCAGGTCTGAATGTGTGTCCATGTGGCTATTTGCACTATCGCTGAGGCCCCAAATTGACCAGCGCCATATAGATAGATTGCTACCTGACACATCACACTTGGAGGATATTCATGGTGTTGGCATCTGCCTTCTGTCGTATCAGTAACGCCTTTTGCAAAGTTCACAAGATCGTCAACGATGAGCAGCATTCTCCCTAGCTGCCTGTTATGATTTCACGGAGCACTCGCTTCTGATTTCCGGAGAAGCGGGTGCAGACGCACTCAATGACACCCTGCAGGTGTAAGCCTGCTATTGAGCTGAAAACGTTGGCGACGTCTCGACGATATCCCGTATAGCAGTTGGCGACGCTTCGTTTGACGCTGCAGCCGGATAACTCAATCGGGACGTGTCTGTGGCATCTAAAGGGGTATGCATTAAAAGGAGCGTTCAGCGTAACATCCCGAATTCCGTGCCCCATGATTGGTCATGTGTTGGACGTCCATAGAATTTCCAGACTGCCATCTCCAACAAGCATCGCCATCTTCAACATCCATCCGGTCGACCGTTTCACCCAGACACTCACTTTTCTTCCACCCAACCTCACAAACAAAGATGCCTCGTCAACGCTCATCCGGTGGCCGTGCGCCCGCCTCCCGCGCCCCTGCGCGACCTACACCCGCTACCTCGGCCCCTGCTCCCCAGCAGCAGCGCCCTGCGACCACCATGGCTGCTCCCCAACAGCACGCTCCCGCCCCCCAGGCTGCTGCCCCCCAGGGCCCTGGTCTCTTCGGCCAGATGGCTAGCACAGCTGCGTAAGCTATATATCTATATACCTCTCGTAAGATTTTGACTGACTTTGCCAAGTGGTGTAGCTGTCGGCTCCTCCATCGGCCATGCCATCGGCGGCTTCTTCGGTGGCGGCTCGTCTGCCGAGCCCGCCCCAGCGCAGGCCAACGCCTCGCCCGTCGCCCAGAACGATCAGGCCAGCCAGTGGAACCAAGGAAGCAACAACTGCGCCGGTGCCGCGACCGAGTTCACCCGCTGCATGGACGAGCAGAACGGCAACATGCAGATCTGCAACTGGTACCTGGAGCAGCTCAAGGCTTGCCAGGCTGCCGCCAAGAACTACTAGACCGCGAGACTACGAGACGATAATATGGGGAGGAGGCAGAATGCTAGGATTTGATATGATCTGTATACTACATCAAGGCATCCCCACTCTGACTGGGGCTTTATGAGCATGTTTATTTATCCTCATCCTCTGGCCGAGGCTCAAAGTTTAGCTGTGGCGTGTTAGACTTACTACAGTGCAGTGAAAATGGGACAAAGATACTCACAGAGTTGCCGTTGTATAATTGCTGATCCCGTCTGCGGTCCGCAGAACCGGCTTCTGTAGGAGAGCGAGCGTCTGTGCCGGAGCTTGATGCAGTTGTAGCTACTCCAGGTTGTGTACCGGGCGCCGCAAAGCCAATAAAGCTGAACAACCAGTACAAGAACCCGAGGAGCAGCTGAATAAGACGTGTGAAGACGTTGCCACTCGCGCTGTCGTCGTACGCCGAGGCGAAGGACTTGACAGGGATCAAAACCAGCGTCGACGATGGCGCGAGGGTGAGCTCGGCGAGATCCTTTGATTCCTCGGTGGCATCAATATTGCGATTCGGCAGAGGCGTCAGGACCTGCTTGAAGGTGTAGGGAGCCTTGCCATCGTGTCGATTCTCATCCACCCATTTCCGCACCTCCTTCAGGCTTGACTTGGTCTTGAATCGTGATCGTATAGTTGAACCATCAAATAGCCTGACTTGAAGCGCTGTCATGTCACTAATCTTGGTCGTCGAGGGGAGCTTGGTCTCGGGAACGCTGGCCAGTGAGGCGGCCACATCACCGATCTTGACATTGTCGATTCGCGCCCGCTCCCGCTCCGCAGCCCGCTCACGGCGCGCAATCTTGTCGTTCTCAATCTGCCGTAAAATGCGCTGGCGCTCCTCGTCGGCTTCCCTCTTCTTCTTCTTGACAAGTTCGGCCTGCTGGTATGCCTGCGCGGCATCTGTCTTTGCGCCTGCTTCCGCTTCCGCCTTGGCCTTTGCCTTGGCTTTGGCACGGTCGTCCTTTGCTTTCCTCTCGGCCTCCTCTTTTTCAGCTGACAGTCGGGCAGCACGCTCTGCCAGCATCCGTTGCATGTGGTCCGCTCTTTGTGACTGTGACGGCGCCGTGGCCTCTGCAGTGGCGGCAGGTGGTGCTGGCTGCGATGGTGAAGGAGAGGCTATTTGGGGTGCTTGTTGGCGACCCGAGGCGTTTGTGGCGGAACTACTGAACGAATTTTGGACACGACGTAGGAATTCCTCTTTGCTGGTACCACTTGTGATGTACTCCTTCAGCTCTCCATCCTTTATGAGGACAACCGTTGGTGTTTGGGGCAACGGGAAGATCTGTGCCAAGTATCCGGCTTCGTCAGAGCCTGCCTCCAAGCGCAAGGCAACCGCTTTTGTAGAAATTGACTCGGCGATCTGACATTCGTATAAGCGAAGTGAGGTATGCGCATGCTGAACGGGAACTCACCGACTCATCCGTCAAGAACTCATTTCCCCAAGTCTGACTTTCCGAACCATTGTTCGTTACGAAACATAGTACTATTTTCTGCTGGCCCACTGCCTTTGAGATCCCCTCTTGTATCGTACCTTCAAAGAACATGGTCGCGTTTAAGAAGGGGTATGGCACGGTGGCTCTGACGTAGCGAGTGTAGCACTGTGGTTCCAGTTGAGAGCGGAGACAGAGCCTCAGGGAGAAATGTGATAGGTTCGTGTAATAGGGATCGGGCTAGGATATATAAAAGGAAGCGAATATCTCTGTGACAGGGTGTTCCTAGCGGACAGGATGATGGCAGCTTGATGGCGTCTGGATGATGAGGGTGAGCTTGATCCGGCGGGGCAATAACAGGCAGACCTACTCAATTTGGAAGGCGGTGGGGTCAGGGACAACAGCCATCCACGGGAACGTCGTCACATCAAGTTTGACCATTATCTGAGTATACGCACAAGAATGCTATTGATGTCATTTGAGTTGACAGCTGTTGTGCAATGGCTTTGAGCCGCCGAAGATACGAAACCTCTGTTATGGCGTGTCCCAAGGCCGCCTGCTGAGGTACCCTTTAAACCAGTCCATTGTCGTCGCCGTCTCATCTGCTACCAAGCTGAGAAACAATCAGCGCAATTACTTGCTGTTTATGGCCATGGTAGAGCTTTCTAGGAAAGCAAAGTTCCATGCGCAATGTTGCTAAACGTTCTCCCTCAACTCATAAGGCTTCACGATACAGAACTTCCTGTAACCCCAAAGGCCAAACCGCCGGCAATCGGAATGGGCGCCCTGAAAAGATGAAAGACCTCACATGAGAGACAATCTCATTACGTGGCAGCTTCAGGAGGGAAGCCCCAAGTTACACGTTGAAATTGCTGTTCAGGTTCAAGTCGTCGTCGATGTACTAGCCCCACGTCCCGTCCTGAAAGAAGAGTGGGTCCCAGAAGTCGAAATCCGACGACATCCAGAGCTCGCTCGCTCACCAGCTTGCCATCATCTCCGTCCATCGCACTCCTCCACATGGTGCGGCAAACGTTATTATGAGCGCGCCTTTCTCCTTTTTGCGCAGCTTGCGTTTCTCGCAATGCGCCCGTGCAACAACTCGCGCCAACGCACCGAAAAGACCCTTCTCCATAGCCCGAGCCTTCAGGCAAAGAGAAAACCCCCAGCCCGTCGACTCGCCCGAGTTCGTGTCCATCCTCGATGGCCCTCCCAAGATTGTCCGCAAGGGCCGCCGCCACGGCCCTGGACTCATCATTCTTGCCATCATTCCCGTCACTGCCTTTGCGCTCGGATCATGGCAGGTCCAGCGGCTAGGCTGGAAATCCGAGCTCATTGCCAAATTCGAAGATAGACTCGTACGAGATCCGTTGCCGCTTCCGCCCATTATTGATCCCGACGCGATCCACGAATTCGACTTTCGGAGGGTAGTTGCGAGCGGTGTGTTCCGACATGATCAGGAGATGTTGATTGGACCGCGCATGAGAGACGGTCAGGATGGATACATGGTCGTCACACCTCTCGAGCGAAAGGACGCTTCGACGATTCTGGTGAACAGAGGCTGGATCAGCAAGAAGCATCGCGATCAGAGGACGAGACCGGATGGCCTGCCAAAGGGCGAGGTGATGGTGGAGGGGTTACTGAGGGAGCCATGGAAGAAGAACATGTTCACGCCGGAGAACAGGCCGGACAAGGGCGAATTCTACTTTCCAGACGTCAAGCAGATGGCTGAGCTGACAGGCAGTCAGCCGGTCTGGGTAGAGGCCACGGCTGGTAAGCTTTTCGTTGGTGGCACTCCTTCAGCCGTAGACTAACGTGGGCAGAACCCGAATTCATGCAAATGATCGACTACGAGAGGCGAGGCATCCCGTTCGGCCGGGCTGCTGAGGTGAATTTGCGAAACAATCACGCTCAGTATATATTCACATGGTATCGTAACTCCCAGACCCCTTAACCCTTAACCTATACTGACAAAACCAGGTACGGCCTTTCCTTAGCCACGAGCATCATGCTCTGGATGGTCATCAAGAAACCAACCACCGAGATCGCTCGCCGGGCCAACCGCGCCAGCAGGCACTAAACATGGTCCTGCTGTCTCCATATATACAATCAACCTGTAACTTCATTCTCGTCATGATCGGCATTATCTCGTGGGCGTTTGGTGCGGCGTTTCTTGGCAGGTTGTGGTGCTGGCATGCGCAGCTCTTGTTGAAGCTCGCGCGGCAGATGTTTCTGAGCCAAAGAGAAGATAGTGGAGGAGGGACCGATTTGTCGTTGGCTGTACGTTGTTAGCATGTATCTAGACATGATGCACAATCAGGTGGCATCTTACCGTCGCATGAGTGTCACGACATCACTCTCCTCAACCGTCTTCCTTTTGGCATGGCTCGCGTACGCCCCCAGATCATCGCCTAGTTGCTCAAAGAACCACTCCGACGCTTGTGTGAGTGCGTCAAGTGTATCAGTCGAAAGTCGGGGGTTGCTCAAGCCGGACGACTGCAGCGCTCGCTGAGCCACCTTTTTCACAAATGCTGGTGGCAGTGATGGATATTCTACCCCATGCCGTGATATGCGTGTCTTTTTCCTTGCTGGCATGGCGTCCCTCCCTGGACCATCCTGTGGCGCTGTGATGTTCTCCGTAAGGTCGTTCGTGGGATCCACTGAGCCCTCTCGATCACTCGGGGCATCATTCATGGGTATACCTTCTTCATCACTGCCACCTGGAATGTCTTCAAACGGCTCTCGATCGTCAAAGTCTTCGAAAGGAGCTGGTTCGCCGTCCGAGCCGGCATCAAGCTCGAATCCGCCGGTGGCTTCCTCCAATATTGGCGCCGTTAGCTCCGGATCCGGGATAATCGGCGGAGACATTGCAAATGTCGAAGGCTCATCCATGCCTCCTGGTGTCCCCATTTGAAAATCATCACCTCCCATCGTTTCCCTTCGTATAGTATCGTCATCGATTCTGTTGTACTCGTCGTCGGCCGGTCTGTTCATCAAGTTCTCGTAGAGTCCCTCGTCGAAGAAGTCAGACTCCCTCTGTCCCTCCCCCCCTTCCTCGGGTGGTAAAGTGCCAAACACGTCGCTCATCCTCCCACCAAGCATGGACAGCCGTGCCTGGTCTCGTTCTGGATCGGCTCGACGAGGCATCTCGACTGACTGCACCGTGTAATTCTCGGACAGACGGGGCGGTGGCAGATCCTCCTCTTCGTCGTCGTCCTGATCAATTGGTAGCGAGAAGCGCGGTCTGTCGAGAGGGAAGTTGTCATCCAGTCCATCATCCTCTTCCCATACACTGAGACGCGGTTTTTTCTTCGAATCTTTGCGTTTCTTGTCCGTCGACTCGGGCGAACCATCCGACGAGTCCATCGACGACGACGAGTGGATCACTTGACTATTAGGCGCCAGCGCCTTTCCAAGGTGTCGAAGAACATCCATGGCGTCCTCGCGCTGGTCATTTTGGCTCTTGCGCCGCTTCTTGCCAGGCGTGAAGATGGCGGTTCGGCGGTCCATCAGCTGCCGACGAGCTGCACGCCCGTGGGGTGTTGGGGCATTGCGTGAAGGTGGCTGTTGAGAGGTCCCACGACGAACACTATTCAAGGCATTGTGAGCGCCGGTGCGATCGAGAGGCGTGTGAACAGAGTGAGCGGACGGGGGAGGTTCGGAGCGAGATGGCGTCCTGTGAGCAGATGGGGTGGTCATGTTCGCGATGCGCGAGGCGCGATGCCTCGCTCAGTTTGTGGCCGACACTTTGGCAGCAGATGCTGCGCCTACTGAAACATTACTGACAGGGCTGGCGATTGGCTTCGTTGTCGAGTTACAAGACCTGCTCGGGTAGCAATTCGAAGGAGTCGTGGCTATTGTATTATGCGGTCGCAAAGATGACGCGCCGCTCAACAAGGCCTACACGCGACGTGGGGGCTGCAGGCCGTGCTGTCGATATGCACTTAATGGATCCGCTGGCTTGACAACTGATAATTGAGTTTACCTACGGTCCACGGATAGTGTGCAAAGCAAAAGGCAATTACTATGGTCTGATCAGAGTGCATAAAAAAACAGTTCTTTGTACCTGGCAGCAGTGCCACGAAAGAGACCAAATAAACGTGAACCCATTTCACCCGAACAGCAAAAGAAATGCGTGATCTGGGAATCGAACCCAGGGCTCCCCGACGTTGCTCGGATGGCAACGGAGAATTTTACCACTAAACCAATCACGCTTGGCAAAGGAGCTTCACTTTGAATTATATATACCAAGACTGCATTTAGCAGTTGCGTATTTGACAATCCAATTGTTTGCTTCCTTATATACCATTTTCTATATTCGCTCATCGGCCTGCGACATATTCTAAATATCTTAAACTCTTTGTTTTCTTCACACAGACCGAGAAGACTGCTGAAGTTGACCTGTTTAAATAAATGTGATCCAATGGCCTTGCCCGGCCTTGCTATTGCAAATCTAACCTGCGTCCATCATTCCCTTCCTTTCTCTAAACAAACACACCTCACAACACGATGAAGAACAATCTCAAAACCCGTGTTGTATCACCCAAATCCTTCCCTTTGGATCCCGGCTATGAACAAACACGCACCCCTATCAAAAGTCTGCGTCCTGGCCACCGTAGTACTGGACACCGTTCGCGCGATTCAAGCCTCCTTCTGAACCTCCCCAATGAAATTCTGTGGCTTATCGTGGAACTGATCGCAGAAGAAAACCAGGGCCGGTTCTTATCCCAATTCGCGCTGGTACATCGGCAATGCTGGCAACTTGCTCGGCCGTACCAGTTTGCTGACATCTGGATCACTCGCAGCGAGCTATCATCCGACTTCCTGCGCCACCTGGAGACCGAGGTTAACAGTGGAAAGGAACCACTCATCGGAAGTTACATCCGATCTTTGACTATCAACGTCCATGAAGACTTCATAAGCATCGACTTTATATCGGGACTTCCAACCTCAGACCGCTCTTCCGTGGAAGACTGGAGGTATAAATGGGAGTTGTTCATCGATAGAATCGGTATCGTCGTGAGAACATCACTGCCCAACCTTCGTCAGGTGTATTGGATGAACACGGGTGAGTTGAATCCTAAGAAACAACTACTCCCAGCAGTACTTGAGCGTGCTACACCGCTCGGACGCTTGGAAACGCTCTATTTGGAGGATTTTGAATTCTACTTCAACAATACAGACGAGGTCAACTCTATCTTGCATCCATTCCACTCATTTTGTCTTCGGGATTTGGCTTTTGGATTCTGTCGATTCCCGCCGTTTCATATCAGCTGGGGTGGTGCGACGATACTGATCTACGAGTCCCTTTTGCGTCGGTCTGCACCCACTCTCGAGTCTTTTGTCTGGAACTCGTCGGCTCCTGTTGCTCCCATTACGGAAGACCTGCAAGGAATGCAGCTCATTTTTCGCAACGGCTTTATTCCCTTTGAGAGACTCAACAAATTCTGGGCTTCCATCACAGATGAAATCCAGGTGACCGTCATAGAGTCTTTCTTGGCCGCGCCCTTGCAAAGCTTTGCGCCTTCGAGACAGATTTGCTCCTTGATGTTAGCAAACAGTCTGCCCGAAAAGTATTCTTTACCTCACCCTCGCATAGACGCGGTAACCGGCGTGGAAAATGCAATCCAGTACGACAAACGAGTGGAGTACGTCGACGAAGTTATGCAACTGGGGCGTCGGTATGGTCCGCAACTAGACGAGCTCTTTGTTTACCTTCGAGGTTTCGTCGACGAAGACTTGGATCTGTTTCGAACTCACTTCTCAAGTGGGAGCTTCTCTAATCTACGCTCATTGTGCTTCTCCTGGACCAGTGATGTCGACCTAGGGATGCTGCAGGCTGTTGGTTCAAATCTATTGGCATTGGAGGAGCTGTCTTTTGGCTTTCAGCCCGAGTACGATGAAACTGCAGCACTTGCACCTCACCGTCCTCACTTCGATCATTACGTTCGTGACCCACCATGTCACGTTGACATCATTGCCGCCATTCAACCTCTCCAAAATCTGGAGAGGCTGAGCGTATTTGGCGACGAATATGTTGCGGATTGGGCTGGTAACCACTGGGCGTGGAACCGTTTCTTCAAAGATCACGTCTGGTTCCATCAGGGGCGCAGCTTTATCCAACCAGAGAGAAGGGGTTTCCCCGGAGAAGGCCAGACCTGGTCCGAGGCAGAACGCGGCCACAAAAGGCCTGGAGATGAAGTGGAAGACTGGCTGACGCCTTGGGTCACTGGGACTGAGACTCTTGACGACGCACGCCATGCTGTCGCTGAATTGGCGGCGGAATATGCAGAGGCGTTACCCAAACTGAAGGAGTTCATGAGCGGAAGGGTCTTGGTCGACATCACAGGCAGATGAGAACAGATGTGCCAGTTGACCGGCTTTTCTTACTGTTATGTTTCCTCGATCCGCACTCATGTCTTCTCAGAGTGTGAATACCTCGGCTCAAACAGTGCCTTGGTTCACTATGCCACAGCCAGAACCGGAATTACACACCTTTCTGAGAGGCGCCGTCTTTCTGTCTTCCGTCTAATAGTGTTTTCTCAATCCTCTTCAGACCCACATCAAGGTATTCTGTCGGATGAGAGAAAACGATTCTGAACCACCCAGGCTCCTCAGCACCAAATTGTGCACCGGATGCTAGAAAGATCCCATGTTCAAGCAACGCATTCATGACCGCCTCGCTGATATCCTCGACCTCGCCATGGGTTTCCTTGTATACCTTACCCAGATTCACCCAGAGAAAGAATCCTGCATTCACACCTGGGGCGTACTCGATTTTGTTTCTTCTCGCCCACTGCGCCACGTATTCGTACTGCTGGGAAAGAAGCGCCCTGTTCTCGGCAATGTAACCCTCCACCCATTCCGCGTCGCTGACGACATTGTCAACCACATGGTCGGTGAGCGCTGAGGTAGAGCTCATCAGCGACACAGGCACAATTGCTGCGTGTAAAAGCGGGTTGTTTTGGGATATGATGGTGCCCATCCGAATGCCATTGGCGCCAAAGTCCTTTGACATGCCCCAGATGATGTGAACCAGGGCTGGATCGATGACACCAGTGGTATCGATCGAGGCCGCCGAGGTGAACGGGAAGAACGGCACGTCCTTGTCCACATTGTTGGTGAACACAGATAGAGCATAGATCTCGTCGCTGATCAAGTGGATTTTGTACTTTGCACATAGACGCATCAGTTCGGTGATGGTCTCGCGTGAATAACACCGTCCCAGCGGGTTATGCGGCTGGCAGAGAATGAGGCCTGCGACCCGCTGTCCTCGTGCCTGAGCAGCCAGGAGCTCCCGTTCGTAGCATTTCACGCCTTCTACACTCATGGGATCGATGTCGTTGAAGTTGACGGTCAAGAGCTTGGTGCCAAAGCGACCCGTGACATCGTCCACAAAGGCCCCGTAAAAGGGCCTCCCCAGTAAGAAGCCATCGCCAGGGTTGCCCAATGCCCAGGCCATGTGCTCAATGGCAGACGTGCAGCCATTTGTCACGGCAATGTGGTCTGGTTCGATGGGCGTAGCAGGCTTAAAGTATTTGTTGAAGAACTTGGCCAGCGTAGCACGCAGCTGCTTCTGGCCATCGCCGTACGTCAGGTCATGTGTCGGCAAACGCAAGTTCTGGTGAATATGTTCATTCAGGACGCTGTGCATCAAGGTGTTCTCCGCAACTCCAAGACTGATGTACCCGTCTGGATTCGTGGTGGGATCGTAGAGGTTGGCAAGAACCTTCCAAAGACGGTCCAGGGGACCCGGCTGTGCATGTTGTTCTGCGCGCAGAGAAAGGGCCATTTTGCATCAAATCTCCGGCTCGAGACACAAAGAATTTCAAGGCATGCGTGAAATTTACAAAACTGTTTGGTTTGATGGAGGGAGTGCGAAGTTTCCTGGCTTCCCCGCATCGAGTGGGTGCCGCGGTCGGAAGCCAATTTCATCGCCGACGTGAGTCGAAAACGTCATTCGTAACGGGTGTCGACAATTCCTCATCTCAAAGACAGGCGCTTGCCCTTCACAACTATACCGAGAATACGGAGTAGAATAGCAGACTCGCCTGAGCACATTAGCTTGGCTAAAATGGTTTTATTCACGGCGTGCTCATAAGCTTGGTAGCGGCATGTCCACGGTGGCTTTGACCGATCGGGCGAGTGTGTTCTGCGGATTAAGTCAATGAAACTCTTGACACCAAACAAAGGGACCTATACGCCAATATGTGTTCGTGCACGGAGGACTTTTCTGTTCATTGCTTCGTGTTGAAGAGGCCGTCTCGACTGCGCCAAAGACACTCTAAACCCCTGGTGCGTGCCAGAAGCGAATGAGATGTGGGCATGGTAGGGGTGGGTTGCCCGATGCGGCAAGTGCCCTGCAACATAGAAGGGTTTGCCAACAGACACGACACAAGATCAAGGGTCATAGACTCTATAAGCGAATAAAGAAATTGCCGTCGCAACTGGTCACTCTGCAGTGCTACCATGAATCATGATCCATTTCGCATCATCGCGGTAAATGAGAAAGGCCTCGACTGTTCCTTCTCTGTTGTCGCCCTCCGCGCCAAGACCAGACTAGCGCATCTTGTGGGCCACGTGGTGACACTCGGTCTTTATCGTACGCCTGATTTCTTATCGGAATTTTCACATCCCGCATTTTTATCTTCATCGACTTTTTTTTGTTTATAGATCTGGTGAGATTACCGCCATATCTTTCATTTTCAAGCCCGTACTTCTCTTGGGATTGGACCTGCTGGCCAGGGTAGCATCAGATGCTGTCGAAGGGGTGCCCGCTGCCTCCCTCGAGCAGCTTGCCGCCCCTACGCAAAATCGAACTCCTGACTGAGGCTGACGTGTTCGCAACCCTCGACAACCTCACTCGTCTATACTGCCCACTTGTGTTCAGCATCGAACCGGGGAGGAAACACTCTGTTGGGGACGTGCCTGTAGATTCAGGTTACGTCTCTGATGCTGAAGGAGAGAATGGCGACGACGCGCTCACCGCCCTGCGAGCGGACGGTTTCGAGAGGACATTTGCGGAGCGATGGTTGACGGGGTTCATCGCAAGAGTAGAAGAGCTCTCATGTTTCGAAACTGATGAAGCGCGCGAGCGGGCGCTAGATCAGGCGTCTTGCGTCTTGGAATCATTCTTCACATCCACCATCGATGAGGAGGAAAGGCTCGAGCAACTGGCGCAATACTCGCGGGACTTTACATTTTCCACGTCTTCAAGGAACCCGAGTCTTTCCAACAACATCGAGGTGCGACTCAATGACGGACTCGCCGGGCAGAACTCTGAAGAGCCGGATGATGTTGGATTGCAGAGCTGGGGCGCTTCGATTGTCTTCTCCAAGTTGATGTGTGACCTGCCAGAGTGGTTTGGTTTGGGAAAGGAGACACTGGGCAATTCACCCCGCATCATTGAGCTCGGCGCCGGCACAGGGCTTGTCAGCTTGGCTTTGTCCGCGCTTCTGCCTCGCCACGACATCACCGATGCTACGATCGTAGCCACGGACTACCACCCAGCTGTCATGGACAATCTTCGTGCCAACATCGCTGCTAACCCACTGCACGCACCTAGTATCGAGGCAGCGACTCTCGACTGGTCCAAGCCGTCACGCGCGTCTCCCCTGGATGTCGAGGCCGATGTTCTCCTTGCCACCGATGTCATTTACACGACTGAGCACGCTGTCTGGATTCGGGACTGTGCGACCCAGTTTCTCAAGAAAAATGGCACCTTCTGGCTGGTAGCGACTGTCAGGGACAATGGGCGGTTTGAAGGCGTTAGTAATACGGTCAAGGCGGCTTTTGGGGATGAAGGTCGACCATGTGCTAGCCATGGGAAACGACTAACGATCTTGCACGAAGAACGACTGGGAAAATTAGACGGCGTTGGACGAGGTGATGAGAGCGGATACAAGATGTTTAGAATTGCATTTGCATAGCGTTGCTTATAGATCTGCTTTACTGGCATTGTCCGTCTCTGAGTGCATGGCCAACGAACATGAAGGCAAGCTGTGTGAGGTCAGGCTAAACTTTGCGCTTCTTCGCAAGACTGATCACCTTGAGGTCTGGACGAACCCATCTACGGCTGCGGCAGTGCTATACCGGATACTAGGGTACTTTTTAACTTTAACCACCGGCACTTCGAGTAAACTGAGAGAGTGTGTGCTAAAATGCGTAGAATAAATAAATCGCCATTGAGCGCATATAAGTAGGTACCTACCTATCTTGCTCTCCTCTCCCACCTCTCCATCCTCAAAGATCACATCTTCTCTCCTTATCCCAAACATCCTCATTCCCCCATCCTCCAAGAACACATCGTCACTCCTCAAATATGGCTCAGAAGACAGATCCACCATCCCCAGCTGACATCCTCACTGAGCGTCGTTCTTTTGCAACAGAACAATCTCAGAGCCCCCAGTGCCCCAATCCACGACTTACTCGGGGTCATGCCAAGCTCGAAAGCAGCGAATGCTAAACAGATGGAGTGCTGGTCCACCTGCCGATGGAACAATTCCAGCGACAGAAACTACTTCTCTTAATTCCATATTGATGAACATGCCGAATGAGATTCTTGGTAGCATCGCCTAACACGTCCTTGGCTGGGGAGACAAGCCTTTGATCATTGCCATGGCTCGCACGAAAAGTCTCTCTATCTATTTCCAGGCAACGTCAAACAGCGCGTGCAAGAAAGACCTACGATCACTGCTCCTCGCCAACCGCAGGCTTCGCGATGTGGCTGCGCACATTGTCGCCCGCGATTACAATTGGTACGCGGCCGACGTTCAGGATCTCGAGTCCATGATCAATCCGCTCCATGACGATGCGCTTCTCGTTTCTCTCCAACAGATCCGCAAGCTTTTTGTTATACTACCCTCCAGCTTCCGCATCGAGTTCTCGGGACAGGCGCGAGAGGATTTTGACAACGCGCGGTCTGTAGGACGCGCACTCCGAAGAATGCCCAATCTAGAGACATGCATCGTCATGGAAGAGGGCACGTTCCCGGATGGGGAGAGATTGCGCCAACAACGGAATTCGGGAGCGCCTGTGTCCAGTAGATACAAGAAGCTCGTGGTCTGGTTTGGGATGCGCGAGAACGTTGAAATGATTGAATATGAAATGAGCGGCATGGGAGACCGGATTTCCACAGACTTGCGGATGCAAATGTGGGAGTCCATGTGTATTTGGAAAGACGCGCATCGCCACCTTTTTAAGAACTAAACTCCGGTGGAATTGGTCCGTCAGCTATATTGCTATGCAAAAATCTGCAGTGTATCTTAATATATAAGCTTCTCCTATCTTGCCATTCACCCGCGACCCTGATTCGCTAACCTCTGTGACGTTGTGAGGATGGCCAATTAGCATTACCCATCAACCCTCAGTCTTCGTGTTTCGGACAGGAGTCTTTATATCGCTATCATTGCCATACACACCGCTCACAGGACGCAGTGCACAGATTAGCATGTTGTTTATGAGGCGTCTGTATCAGTGAACAGAATTTCACCAGATATAATGGAGGGTTTGACAGTCTATACACTAGGAGCTAATGATCTACCGGTACTTTCTTCTTCCTGCAATGCCCTGGCCACCTCGAGAACGAAATCGACATTTCCAACCAGCAGATCTGGATGGTGATGGTGATGCCCCGACTGCGTGACAATGACCGTGTCCAGACCAGGGATTATATGGATTGACTGTCCATATATCCCCACTGCTGCGAAGGCCCCAAGCTCAGCCAGTATCCCCGTCCTTCCATCCCTTTGAGGTGTCCACCAGCCAGTCTGGTAATTGAAGCCTCCCACTTCCTCATCCAATGGGCCCGGTGGTCTTACATATATACTCGCGTTTGCGGCCGAGATGTCCTTGAACCACCCTTCTGGCACTCCTGGACCCCCCTTGCCATCCATGTTGTTGAGAATGGACCGGCCAAACCGAGCCATGTCCAGCAGCGTGACCGATAATCCACCGTGGCCATCTACTTGGCCAGCACCGGTGTGTCGAATGTAGCCATCATATTGCATCCCAGCCGGCCACCAGATCTTTTTGCCGAGGTACTCGTGAAAAGGTTCCCCCAGAGCCCTTGAGATGCACGTGGTCAAGACGTAGTAATTAGGGTTGTAGTACTCAAATCTCTCCCAGGGCTTGGCGATCTTCTGGAACGTCTTCAGCCAGTTCAATACCGCATCTGGGTTCTTCGATGGATAAATATCCTTCGCAAAATCCGGTTGGGGAGCGTTCATCGGTTCGTGTACGCCCGACGACATGTTGATGAGTGCTAGCAAAGGAACATCCGCCCAGGCCGTATCCTTCAGTTCGGGAATGTATTTATCAACACGATCGTGGATGCTCAACTTCCCATCTCGATGCGCGATCCCCAGAACGGTACTAGTGAAGGATTTCGTGCACGACTGGATGTCATTTCTGGATGATGGGCCATTCCCATGACGGTACTCTTCGAGGCGGATTGATCCGCCCTGGACGACTGCGCAGCCGGTAATTACATACTCTTCCAGGAAAGCGTCGACATGCTCCTTGGGGAGTAGCGGACTCAAAGATTCGTCTCTTTTGAAAGTGCGAAGATATGATCCATGGCGAAGCTGCGCAGTGCGGCTGTAGAATGTCTCTTCACGTTGACGGTAAAGGAGGGGCGCATGTTGCGCATCAGCAGGGTCGAGCGACGAGAGGCTAAAAGCCTGGACTAGGTTGGGCTTGGATGGCCCTCTGGAACCCATTGTCGATTCTTGACAGGATACAAAAGTTGCAAAACCATCGATACACTCAAAACGCCAAGCCGTGCTGTGTCTTGAATTTGTGATTGCTCCATGTGATTTCGGATAGCCGCCGATCCATGACCGGACCCACAGAGGTGGGAAGAACGCTGTTCATCGTGGTGTACTGTAGCTGGTAGCTGCCGCTGTTGCATTAAGTATAAAGTATCAACCTTGGTCTCAAGATTTCTTTTCCATGCCTTCTCTTCTGACGTCAGGGACGAGAAATGCATAAACTTGACTGTTCTTGGCTACGTCGGCTGTCTTGCGTCTTGCTTGGCCCATATCCCATCCTTGCGCCTGGTGCAACCTACCCTGAAGATGTTCCCAGCAGGACGCGACTCGTGGGAAAGCTCACTTTGAATGTAATAGACCGTTCATAACACATTCTTAACAAATTGAATTGGTGGGGCTAATCTTTCTATCTCAGATGGATGCCAACAAGGCGGCACATGCATGTTCGTGTTGATGTATTTGTAGGGCTTCCATTTGGGGGGTCAAGCGACTCAAGCCTCCAGTCGTCATTGTCACACGCGGCCTGTGAGTAACAGCTTACTAGTCCAAACCCAAAAGACACGCACGGTTCTAATCTTAACCTCGCTTACCCAAAGCTTATTACCCTAACTTGACTTCTCACTATTTCTCGAGCTAGCCAGTATAGAGCACAAGTTTGAAGCAATTTTCATCAAAACCCAAGACGCGTGATTGGTTTAGTGGTAAAATTCTCCGTTGCCATCCGAGCAACGTCGGGGAGCCCTGGGTTCGATTCCCAGATCACGCATTCTTTTGCCGACCGAGATGGTTTTCTATTTTTCTCGCCCGTTGATTTTTTTGATCAAATTCACTCACTAGTAAAGTACCGGTAGTGCGATTGGCTGACTTGCGCTTGGCGTCAATGTTAAAACAGACTTTCATGCTTAATGCCATTTGTTTACTTTCTGCATTCAGGGGTAAGACGATTCTGTCTCGACAAACCTCCAGCGACTCTGCACAAAACAGGACCCAAATCCAACACCGCCCTGCAATCGCACTAACAATGAATCCTCACAATTTGCGCCATTCCCTGCAATCAAAGACACCAATATATCCCAATCAAAGGCCACCATGGTGACATGCCCCAAACCCACAGCGCTCGACGATAACCGCCGACAACTGCTGAATCGTCTTCTCACTCAGGATCTCGAAAACAGACACCTGCACATTGCAATTTGTGTACACCCAATTCCTCACCCCGACGGCGACGAGCGAGTCGACGCCATACGCACTAGGCTGCTTTCTAGGGTCCATTTCCTCGAAGAGCATGTTCATCGCCTTGGCCAGCGTCTGCATCAGGCCAGTGCAGACGACCTCTTTGGCGACAGAAACATCGAGATCCTGGCGAAGAAGAGACTTGATATTCGTGTTGGATGTGGCGGAAGGGCCCTCCTCGAGATTGGTAGGCGGCATGTCCACCAGGTTGAGATAGCTGTACATCGCCGTCCGACTCCAATATGGGTCGGCAGGCTTGTTCTGACGAATGAGACCGCCGGTGCCGATACCGAGAGTGACCTGCGGTGGCATGGGCACCCCGGGCAGTGTTTCCATTGTGATGGCATGCTTGATCACCTGCAGAAAGTGGTCGTGGCTAATCCCGTAAAACCCATTCGCGAGGAGCTTGTTCAGTAGATTCTCGTCATCAGCCAGCATACCAGCGCCCAAAATTGGTCCAAGGTCAATGGCGACAGCATTCTTGCCTTTGAGACGGAGGTTCCGCGCCAGTGCGTCTTGGAAACAATTGCCAGCGGCATAGTTGGCCTGGCCACGGTTACCCACCACACCAGCGGCGCTGGCCAGAAAAACGAAAAAGGGGTCGTAGTTGGCGGCGTATGCAGCATCAACAAGATTTTTCGAACCAGGCACCTTGGGCATGAGCGCATCTTCCCAGTCGTCCAATGTCATTTTGTCAAACATAGCATCGCGGATCACAGCCACACATTGAAAGATACCCTTGGCAGGGGGCATTTCCCAACTGATCCGCGAGGTGAACAAATCGACCATGCCCTTGTCAGAGGAGATGTCCATGGGATAGACCCTGACACGCACGCCGCGTCTTCTGAGGTGAGCGACAAATTCCTGTCTCACCGGGGTCTCCGCACCGCGGCGCGAGAGAAACACGAGGAATCGCGCGCCATTTTCCGCCAGAAGCGTGGCGATGCTGCGACCCAGCCCCCCGAGCCCACCGGAGAGCAGGTACGTGCTCTTGGGGTCAATCGTCTCCTTCAGTGTCCTTCCCTTGACGCGCGACTGATCATTGCTGCCGCTGGTTGGCTCGCTGCGCAAGGTGATTGTGACACTATCGAGGCTGGGTGACTCTCGAAGCTGCGTCAGGGAGTCTGGAGTGTCGGCCATCTCAAAGGTGCGCTTCCCCTCACAGACGATATCGCCACAGCTTGCTATTGCCTGGTATGTATCGAGGAGGAGATCGGCTACAAAGTCGGGCGCCTCGCTTAGAAGGTTCTCAAGATCGAACTTGACGTACGTGCTGTTGGTCGGAAGCTTGACAGGCGTCGTTCCTCGGCCGGTGGTCTGATGTTGAACATGCACAATGGCACCGCCTAGAGAGTTAGTAGAGTCCGAAGATCAATGGCGATAGAGATGCTTACCAGGCTTGACACATGCAGCGGTTAGCTCGATCGAGCTTGGACTGGCGTGTAAAACCACATCCATCCCTTTTCCGTTGTTGCGTTGTTTCAAGATGTCGCTCAACTCCACGGAGCCTGCCTCCAGTATTCGCTCCGAATCGACACCAATGCGTCGCAAAGCCTCCTTATTCCTAGGAGAATCTTTGTTGGCAATGGCAAAGAAAGCTTTGACATTGAGCTTCTCGCACAGAGAGAATGCTGGCAGGCAATATCCAACGCCACCTGAGATCAGCGCCGAGGAATTTTTGGGCGTTGAAAGAGACATGGATCGACCAGGCATCTCAAGCTTCCCGACGTGACAGAGCGCATAGAACGCGGTCAGGGAGCTCGAAGCGGTGAACCCAGCCAGGTCCGCCAGCACAAAGCGTGCATCAACATTGACCAGAGTCTTGAGCGAGCCGTTTGGCACAAGGGCGACAACCTTGTCACCAATCTTGTGGTGACGACTGACGTTGCTTCCCGTGTTCGTAATCGTGCCGCGTAGGTCTCTTCCCAGCTCAGAGGAAGTAGACTGCCCCAGTGCAATTTCCACATCTCGATGATTGAGCTCGGCCTGCTCGAACTGGATCTGAACCTCGTGCGACTGAGGTGCTTGTACTTCATACTCAAAGAGTTTCACCGAATCCCTGGATGTCCCAGCCTTGACCATTTCAACTTTCACGCCTTTAACAGGCTCAACAAGTGAGGGGACAATCTCGTCTGTCGCACCGTTCTCGATGATCTGGTTGAGGCTCTGGATAGGCACAAGCCGCGGAATGTACAGCTTGCCATCGGCTTCGGAGAACTCCGTCTCCTTGGGCTCCATGTGCTGATCGTCGCCAATCTCGCAAAACGTCATCAAAAAGATTGTTAGGAGCATAGCAGCGATGCTTCCATCAGACAGACTGATTTCCATACCAAGATCCAAAGTAACGAAGAGCTTGCGTGGATCTTCCGACATCAAGGTGCGCGCAAGTCCTATGATAGGAGCTACCAAAGGGGCTTGCGGATCCTTGTTGGCGCCGCATGTGATCCAGATAATGCCCTTGGCATCCGCATGCACATGTTGAAAGAACTCCAATTCGCGCTCGTCCCAGACTTGCACGAAACCAATGAGGTCGGTCTGCGCATGCAAGTCGAAGAGGGGAACGACGACTTTGTGTGCCAGGGCTGCACGGTTCTCCATGGCCTTTCCGAGAGGCATTGACGAGACTTTGTAATCGTAGTCACCTTCTCCCTGACAGTGGGAGAGTCCCTCGATGAGGGACCGAGCAAGTTGCTCATGCCCATCGTGATGCAGAAAGACCAGTTCGACTGGGGCGGCGGTCATGTATTTCCCGGGGATCCGTGTCATGACAGCGTTGTGATCCAGCAGCAGATTTTGCTGAGAGCCGGCGGGTGTTCCCACAACCCACCCGCCTGACTTCGCGAATCTCTGGTACTGCATAGGGTCTATGTCAGGCAAGGTGCTGACAATGATCATGTGGTACTTTTGGTCGGAAGCGATGGCATCAAGTGAGGTGTACTCGACATATGGCTGCACGCGCGTCCCCCCGAGAATCCTTTGCAGTGACTGAGAAGTAGCACTAGTTGAATCGACAATGCTGTATCTGGCCAGCGTCGGCACCGGCATAGACTCGGCTGCAACACTCTCCAAGATGTCCAGAGTGCCGGAAATAGAGCCCCCAATCTGCAGTATCTCCAGGGCAGGATGCTTGTGACCCAGTAGTTCGAGCCGCTCGCCCAAGGTCTGAGCTTGCGCAAACGTCGCATCTTCCTTCCAGATGATTTCGGTGCAAAGGTTGTGATGGTTCGGGAGGAATGACTCGGTGGCAAGTGGCGTCTCCTGAAGCGCGGTAAGGTGCAAGCCTTTGATGACGACTTGGAGGCAACTGATCCCATCGAGGGACATTGTGATATCAGCCTTGGCGTTGCCGACACCTAGGCGCTGCGCTGTGGATACTCCTTTGAAGTGGGTGCCTTTGTCGTTTTCCAAATTTGAAGACACAAAGATGCTTTCGATAAAGGTGGGAACCATCGGCACACTGTCGATCGCGAACAGGGTCTGGATCATCGAGTCCAGAGTGGCTGGATGAATCAAGTGCGGGTACTCAAATTTAGCTGGCATCTTGGACCTTGTGTTCGGGATCTGGACCATGGAACCACAACTGTTGGCGTTCTTCCGCAACTCGACGATGTTTCGGAAGAGAGGGCCATAGTTCATGCCGACGGTGTCGAGCTTTTCGTACAGCTGGTGAGGAACCACCGCCTCGAGATCCTCCTGTTCCATGAACGTGTCATATTGGTCGGGTGTAGATTCATCGGAATCGAGATCGTCCCCGGGGGATCGCATGCTAACGTCATCGCGTTCACTTGCGGCCATACGAGCAGCTGTTGGTGCAGATGAGTTGGCAGGATCTGACGGAAGAGCTGGCTCCCCGGCGGCAGACATTTTCGAAGGAAATGAAGGGGACTTCAACTGAGTGAGACGCGGAATGGAGGTGTTGTAAAGGAGCTGTTGTGTTGTGGGATGGCAACAAGGAAGGGGCAACAAGGAAGGACTGGACGCTCCTACCTAAAGTACTGCAGTACGTCCAGGGGTAAGTTAGTGCTAAATGAGAACACTGCACTCAGCCAACAGTTGTTGAAAGATGACTACTTGCGACTACTTGTAGTTAGGCTCGGCTCTGGCGCAGCTCAGATTGAGCTCAGCCACCGGTCAACCAAGTGACTCGGACTGTTTGTGTACGCTTGTCGCTGTACACAAAGAAACATGAGCGTGTTTGTAACACCAGATCTGCACCGATGGAAGCGAGAGCCTCCACAGATTCCCATCGAAAAGATTGTCCAGCTTTGCACTTTTAGACTGCGTCCAGACAAGCGCGTTCGGTGGTCGAGGCCGACTGGAGCTTGCCAAGTCGCACGACAAGGGCACCGTAGACTGTGCTTTGTGCGGAAGTCTGGGGAGCCTAGGGTGTTTGTTAGACAAGGTAGAAAGGACATGAATTAAGGATTCGCGCGGAGTTGAAGGCTTGGTTTTCTTGATTTTGGGAGCGCAAGCGTATGTCTATGAAGTTGGTCTAACTAGGTTGTACTGTATACAATTTGTTGAAGTGTTTAAAAGAGTTGTTGGTCTCTTCTGCTTCAACATTGTCTCACCTACTGGGCTATCCCATTCTCCATCTAGACAGATGTATTGTAGTGAAACCGCAAACAACCAGTGGCATGCTGCTCCCAAGGACTATCCAGCAACTTGGAGTAGATTGCAAAAGACCAGGAACCAGCCACGTCGTCACCTTGATCACCGGTTTCCCGCTTGATGTTGAGCGCCACCTCCAAGCCATGAGCGGTCTGCGGCACGATCATGGCTTTGATGATGCGCACATCGACAAGCTCGTATCCTTTCAGATTCTCTTGCCCCGTCGCCATCTGCTTCGCGGCCTCCAGCACCATGGTCACCATGCCAGCCGCTGGGTACACGATTGTCTTTTGGACTTGATGGTCTTGGATCCAGGGGTTCTCGGAAAGGCGCAGGAACCCACGCCAGCGAGGCTCAAAGGGGATCGAGTCGGCGGTGGGTGCGCCTATGAGATCTTGGCGGGGAAAGGCTCGAAAGCGGTTGGCGACGCCGAGATGGGACTCGAACCAGTATGACTTGCTGTGGTTCCACGGGTACGATGGCAGATCTGTCAGGCACTTGATGTCGGGCCCACGGGGCTCGAAAGGGTAGAGGTTACAAATTTGAAGGGATTGGCCGCGCAACCACAAGTTCCCTAGCAAGTTGAGGAAAGATTCGGGGCCAGTCGACTGCTTCTCCAGAATGGAAAACAACACTGGCTTGGAGGAACGTTGGACGTCATCCAGAATGTCAATGGTGGGCCTTCGAAGCGTGGTACGGGGGCCGAGCTCGATGATCACGTCGGGGACGTCCACGATCGAGTTCATCATTCGTAGCACGGCAAACCAGTAGATAACGGTATCTGTCATATTCTTCGCCCAATACTTCCCGTCGAGAAGGGATGGATCGACAGGCTCGCCCGTCACGGACGAGAACATTGTAGCCTTGGCCTGCCTGCCTGGTCGAAGATGCTGGAGTGCTTCCTTGTAGTCGGCCTCGACGAGCTGCATGTGCCGGGAGTGGTAGGCGGTAGACACGGCGAGCACCTTGTGCAGGATTTTTCTCTCCTTGAGATCCTTGGCGATGGCCTCAATCACCGCACGGTCGCCCGACAGGGTCACGGAATCCGGACTGTTCATGCACGCAATTTGGCAATCATGAGCTGTCTTGTCCAAGTAGTGTTCTGCAACTATCGGCGACAAGGCGATAGCGATCATTCCGCCTTGGACGGGGGGCGTCTTTGAGTTGAGTAGGGTTGTACATTGACCTCGGTGGTACGCCACTTCCCAGGCCTGTTGCTTGGTGAGTGCCCCTGAGGCGTATGCGGCGGCAATTTCACCAGAGGAGTGCCCAATGACCTGCTGGGGACATATGTCCATGGACGCGAGCAAGTCCACCAAGGCTACCTGTAGTGCTGTCGTGGCAGGCTGAGCAATCTCCGGGTCGGAAATACGGGATTGCTCACTTGGTCGGTTGAGCTCTTCCCAAAGATTGAAGCTGCTGCGCAACTCGGTTTGCATGTACTCGGATGCAGCCTTGAGGCTCTTCAGGAAGACTGGGTAGATGATCAAGTCTAGGCCCATTCTAGCCCACTGTGCGCCCTGTCCCGGGAAGACAAAGCACAGGCGAGGCGTCTTGGCTGCTGACGAGCGGATGATCTTGCCTGGCTGGAATGTTTTCATCTGGGTTTGCAAGTCGGACTTGGAGCTGGCCACCACAAAGCCCTTCCACTCCATGGTCGATCGGCGGTCGCAGAGAGTGTACGAGTAGTTGCGCAAGAACGCTGCGTCATCTTGGCCCTGGTCTTGCTGCACATATGGCAGCTGTGACTGAATGACTCGAGTCACACCAAGCTTCTCACAGGATGAGAAGCAAAAGATGTTGGGTCGGGGCTCTTCGGAAACCATATCGTCTGTATCAGGGTCGGACGCGCGGTCGATAAGCATGTAATCTTCAGCGAGGTCTCGAGAGGCCCGATAACTCTGGGCGTCATCCAGAATGACGTGTGCATTTGTACCGCCGAATCCGAAGCAGTTGATGCTTGCTCGACGAACGCCGGGCAACGGCCACTCCATGGTCTCCATGGGCACCTTGACTTTCCACTTTGTAAAGTCAATGTCTGGATTCGGGGTCTCGTAGTTGATGTTCGGGGGGATCTGCCCTCGCTCGACGGCCATCACGGCCTTGATCAGGCCGGCGATGCCAGCGGCGCCTTCCAGATGACCAATGTTGGGCTTGACGGATCCCACAATGACTGGCGAGTCTTCGCTCCTGGTGCTCGCGATGGTTTCCGAAATGGCCTTGAGCTCACGCCAGTCACCAGCTTGTGTGCCTGTGCCGTGGCATTCGACGTAGCCAGTGTCCTGAAAGTCGAGCCCCGTGGATTCGTAAAGGGCCATGATGTTGGCCACCTGGGCCTCTTTGCTTGGAAGGGTGATGCCCGTGGTGCGTCCGTCTTGGTTGAGTCGTGTGCCGCGGATGACGGCGCGGATCGGATAGTTGCCGCGTATAGCATCAGATATGCGCGTCATGACGACGACCCCGACTCCTTCGCCTCGGCCGTATCCGTCGGCGCGCTCGTCGAAAGTGAAGCATTTGCCATCTGGACTCAGAAAATTGAGTGCGGTCATCGGCATCATGGTGTTGGGCGTCAGGATCAACCCTGCACCAGCAGCGATAGCCTGCCTGTTGTTAGAACAAGACAAAAAGACTTTGTGAGAATCTTACCAAAGACGTTTCTCTGCTTCGTAGGCTCTGCGCTGCCATGTGCACCGTCACAAGGCTGCCACTGCACCCTGTGTCGACCGTTATGCTGGGGCCATGGAAGTTGAAGGCGTAGGATATGCGATTGGCCATGATGGCGATGCCGTTGCCGGTGGCCGCGTACTGTGGTGCCCAATCTGGATCTCGAAGGCAGATCTGTTCGTAGTCTGAGTGTGTTAGCAACGCGTGGTGAGGACACCGCATGAGCTAGGACACACCCTTGACAAATGAACCGACGTAGACCGCGGCGTCAGTGCCTTCAACGTCCTCCTTTTTCATCCCGGCTTTTTAAAGTCAGTGCTGATGGCCTCAGAGGACATACAAGCAGGATTCACCATTTTCGAGGGCCTCGTAGGACGTTTCGAGTAGGAAGCGCTGCTGGGGATCGATAGCGGCCGCTTCATCAGCGCCGATATTGAAGAACTAGGTCTAGGTCAGCAGTGGTGCCAATCGTAAAGAAAGCTTCCATACAGGAGCATCGAAAGCTGCAACTTTTTCTTTCAGGAAATGCCCGCCCCGGAACGAGATCTGCTGACAGTCAGTCTGCTGCTGCCAACGAGATCGATAGTATGTGATTCTTACGCTTCCGAGTCGATCACCACTGGGGTGATAGTACCCGTCAATGTTGAGGCGATCTTTGGGAAACTCGGACCATTGCGATTCGCCCCGTTCAAGAACCTTCCACAGCTTTTCTGGCGAGGAGGCATCTCCTGGAAAGCGCACGCTGAGGCCGATGATGGCGATATCCTCCATTGAGCTGGGTGGTCTGCTTCACGGGCAGTAATCAATAGGGCGGAAGGGAAGCAAAGAGAAGCAAAGAGAAGTAGAGGAACAGCATTCCAAGTCGAACAAGGTGTGTGAAAGGGAAGGAAGCTGCGTTCGTGCGTGTTCGGAAAGTTCAAAGAGTGACAAAGACGCTGTTGCCACATAGGCAGCTTGCCCGCTGTGCAGGCAAGACGACTACCATGAACTCACATCATGAACCCACACCATCATCGCATCTTGGCCGCGTTTGATTTTCTTCATTCGACTGGTCGTGGGTGCGGTAATCCTACTGGCTGCGCCTGACCAGCAACTCATCTGATCGAGGACATGTTGAGGGACGCGATGAAAACAGAGAGGTTGCCGAGCAAACAAGTCCCCAGTGTATAACCTCGGGGTATATGCAAGATATACCGGTGCACGTTTGCTTGTTCGGAATTATTGGTATGTTTGCTTGGGCAGGCATCAATATTGCGCATGCTCGCATCGCAAAAGTCGGCCTTCGGGAAGCAAATCAGTCTTCTTACATTAGGCGTAACCTTGTAATCAATCCCCATACAGCGCTGGTCCGTCGTCGCCATAAACGGGATCCCTCTCGAACCAGCTCAATTCACCGATCTCCTTCACCTTTTCCTCGTCGTATGGACCCCCATAGCACATGTCCCACTGCTGGCTGTTGACAGGGTAGCTGCCCACCATGGCGAATGCACCGCTTTCATCGTGCAAGAGGCGATGGCTCACGCCAGCGGGTATGACAACCACATCACCGGGCTCGACTGTCGGCTCTACTCGGCCAGGGTTCTCTTCTCCGCCAAAGTTGAGTTGGGCGCGTCCGTCGGTGACGACCAGCACCTCGTGCGTCGTGCTGTGGAAGTGTGTCTTTGTGTACATGGAATAACGCCATTGGGGACTGACGACGCCGACGGCTGTCAGGTGCTGCTCGACGGAATACGGGTTGACGGGCTGTTGGAAAGCGCCATGATAGATGAGCAGTGGACGATGCGATATTGACGTGTTGGGGATAAAACCATGTGCTGGTATCTGGTGACGAGATGTTGTCAAGGCACGCAGGGGTGTGATTGATGCGCTCGACTTGGGCAACATGGTGGCTGCGGCGGGTGTTTGGCGTTGACAGCGGCATCTGAGGCTGCGCTGGACATTTTGATGTATCGGTAAGTAAGGATGGGCTGGATGATGATGAGTGAGGTCACTGCGGGATCTGCATTTGCCACCCAGTCTCCAACATTGACACCTTCAAGACATGACACTCTCAACACCACGACCCCAACTGAACCAAAAAATTTGAAGAGAAGACAAGTCAGGAAATCTAGGTCTAATTCTAACATGGACGACAAATATTCCGCCGAAAGCATCGCTGGTCATGATATACATCATCTCTCACCACCTTCGGATCTCTCCCCCTCAGGCCTCACCATCAGCCACTGCCTTCTTCCACGACTCGGCGATCGCTGTCCAGTATTGCTCAGCATGCAGCCTCATGTGTCCAACATGGCCTGAGCCCTCAAACACCTCGACGTCCACCTTCCATCCGAGCTGCTTCGCCTCGGCGGCATGCACCTCAATGTCCTCATAGTTGATGAGGTCGTCCTCCTTGCTGTACATGTACAGTTTCCGTGCGCCAATGGCCTCCCACTCTGTGTTGAGGGCCGCCTTTCTGCTCCACCCGCCCGCGCTCTCGCGCCCGGTCGCCTGCTCGACCAGGTTGTTGATAAAGAGGAAGATAAGGAAGATGCCCTGCGTGACGACAAAGGGCCAGGGAAAGAACTTGGCCATGCCCAGCGACATGGCGCGCGACCAGCGCTTCAGGTTATCCCATGTGATGGCGACGCTGCCGGGCGTCGAGTCCATGACGAAGAGGGTGTGGGGGAAGGGCCTGCTGTAGAGATCCTTGAAGCGATTGATGGTGGCGGCATAGTTGACCGCGCCCGTGTTGGACATGGTGTGGACAAGGATGCGACGGCGGCAGCTGTCGTCGTCCTGGGCGCCGTCCGGGAAGAGCTCCTGCACCACAGGGGCCATCTGCAGCGAGCGCTCGGCGAGCGTGCTGAACATGGCCTTGCTGATGGGCGAGAGGACGACAATCTGCTTGGCCGCGGGGTAGAGTGCCTGGAAGCCGTCGGCGTACTTGACGACGTGCTTGGGGACGCCGTCGCCCCAGCCGTAGACGAGCACGACGTCGGGGTGGTCGGGCGCGGGCGTGACGGCGGCATCGCCTGCGGGCTCCCGGACAAAGACCTGATCGGATAGGGGCTTGAAGCCGGGGAAGGCGGGTGCCTTGGCTGCTGCGGCTGGCATGGTGACCTTCTTGTGGATGCGCTGGCGTAGTCGCAGCGTGAGGAAGATGGCGATCAGAAGGCCGGCAAGGTGGCTCTTTTGCGGACGCCGAATGGACTGTGGGAGGATGGCCTGGACATTTTGCATCAGCGTCCGTGGTATTAATGTACTTGCGCCACGTGTGTTGGTCATTGTGAATGCGGAAGAAAATGAATGAGTGAGTGGGCGGATTGGTGAACCAGCTGGTGAGCAAAGGCTCTTAATTCGACAGGATCTCGCGCGCGCGCAGGGGGGAGGCTGGCTTACGTAGGTCAGGGACGGATTTTTAGGAATCAGCAGTAATTAACCAGTCTATAATAGTGGTAATCTTTACCAAGTACGCCTGTGTATATATATAGTCTACACGCGCAGTCCAACCAACCAGCTTAATTTTTTCTCGCCTGAACCAAGAAACGCGAACAAGGTGCTAACCAGAGAATGTTGAGTTTTCTCGCACTCGGACACGCAAGGACTGACTCTTACAGGCACAAACCGACGGGATTGATAAGTCTCCGGACGCCTGACGGAGAAAAATGGCTGTTTTAAGCAATTCGACCGGCGTAAAAGTGGGTGTCCGTCGCGGAATGCCGAGGCATCGCTTTGTTTCGATGTCCCAACAGTTTTCAACGGTTTCTTATGCGTACGTCATGCGTGAGGATGGATAACAAGCTTGAGCGACAAGAGTTATTCCATGCGCGGTCTTGAGCGTGGTGCGATTTTGTACCTGAACCTTACCATTTGCAAGACTGTTGATCTGACCCAGCAGAGACAGGAGTGATGCCGGGTAAGTCAAAACTCCTTGATCCCAAGGAGGTTTCCACGATCATTGTGTACATGCCAGGTATTCCAAAGCTCAAGGCGTAGTCAAGCTATTATTGCCACCAATTGAACCCCATTTTCGATGGTCATATCGTACGGTTGGTCTATGAGCCCCGGCCGGACCTCTTGCGGATCACCATGCATCTCGGAACCCTATTACGTGGGGACAGTCCGGCTCAGCGGCATGTGTACGGCGGACTGTCACGGGCTTCACAAGTCGCCTTGCCATTAAGAGTCCAACGATGCCTGGCATCGTATGTGAAGAACTTTGGTCCCAAAATTGGATCAATATCGTGCTGCAATATCTTCGAAACATATGAAGCTGGTGAAATTGACTCAAATACAACCAAAGCCCGCCAACGCGTTTGTACTACGGCAACGTTCACTTCAGTCATACGCATCAGATATCAAAGATAGATTCTCTCTCAACTCACTCATTTTTGCCTTCATTCCCAGCCATTAGCAATCATGCAAGGCATAGAGCCAGACCTAGGACCAGGTCAAGACGAGGCGGCAGACAGAAGAGGTCCAGGGTAGGCTAAAGACCATGATTTCCGTCAGGTTACTATAGACTGGACACAGAACACCAGGTAAAACACATGAAAGCGAATTTAGGATGGCGAACAGGTGGTCGTACATCAATCAGCCATCGTACAGTCACGCCAGCCGCGAACCTGATGCCGCTTCATGCACATCGGTACTCTATTACGTGGAACCGGTCCGGTGTAGCGGCTCCGTCCGGTGGCATCTACCGGCCCGGCCCCCGCATCCGTCCTCTTATACGTGCCTCATGCCATTGACGCCCTCAACACAAACGGCCAGAAACATCACAACCTCTTCCTTCTCCGCCCCCCAGAACACCAAAATGTCGCGCCTTACTGACTTCAAACTCCTCTGCTTCGACGTCTACGGCACCCTCATCGACTGGGAGACTGGCGTGCTCAACGCCTTGCAGCCCCTCCTCCTCTCCGCCCACAATGCCACCTTTACTCGTGGGAAACTCCTCACCGTCTACCACGAGTGTGAGGCTTCGCAGCAGTCTGAGACCCCGGACATGAAGTATCAAGACCTCCTGGCCACCATCCTCCCCCACGTCGCCTCGAAGCTGGAACTCCAGGCACCAAGCGACGAGCAGTGCCAGCAGTTTGGCGCCACCATCGGCCAGTGGCCTGCCTTCCCTGACAGCGTCGACGCGCTGCAGAGACTGGGGAAGTACTACAAGCTCGTCGTGCTCTCGAACGTGGACGTCGAGTCGTTCCGCAAGAGTCTGGCCGGACCCCTCGCCGGCGCGCATTTCGACGCCATCATCACTGCGCAGGACGTTGGGAGCTACAAGCCCGACCAGCGTAACTTTGAGCACATGCTTCGCGTAGTTGGCGACAAATTTGGCGTTACAAGGGAGCAGGTGCTGCAGACGGCGCAAAGTCAATTCCACGATCATGAACCTGCCAGGAAGCAGGGCATCAAGTCGAGTTGGATTTATCGCCCGGGCGCGGCCATGGGCAACACGGGCGGTGAGATTTACGATTGGAAGTTTGCGACGCTGGGCGAGATGGCGGATGCTCTGGAGAAGGATTTGGCTGGATCAGATGTGTGGACATTGGTTGATGGTCTCCCCGAATAAGCTCAAGAGCTTGTTGTTTTAGTCCTCGGAAAGCCTGTTCTTATCTCGAGATTGTGGTCCATGAATCTGTCTCAAGAGAAAACTCAAACTTTGTGTGTTAACAAGTATATATTCAGCGCTCGTCGCCCATTCACCGAGCTTGACTGTCATCCACCCGCCGCCATCAAGGATACCTTACCATGATGATGTTGCAACACACAGCCGCGCTGCTGCTTATACTGCTATGCACTATAGCCACTCTCACGCGCGCCCAGTGCACGCTGCTCGACAGCGTCCATATCCCCTCCGATCGGGAGGTCAGCGACTGGTTCACCAGAACCATCCTCGGAAAAGAGCCTGACTACTCAGTGCACTACAGCATCCCAGCCGGCCATCCATGGCACACCACGACGGTCGAAGTCTGCCAGGACATGCCAGACCCGGCCGTCTGCCAGGTCCTCCACTACGACGTGCCGTCCCAGTACGTGCCAACCTGGTGGAACGGGCCCTGGTCGGTCGCGTTCCCCGTCTGGCGGAAGCAGAATGAGAAGAACCACCACTGGGAGCTATTCTTTGGCAACTCCAAAGGGGCCCACACATTCCACAAGAAGGACTTTCGCTTCAACACTGTTGTCAACAACGGCACGCACGACCTTCACGTCGCCCACACCGTCCACGCCTGGTACCACAAGCCCCAAGGCAAGGAAGTCACGCCCACCCGGGCGAGGCGCGTCCTCTTCTTCGAGTTCCAGGACGTCTCCGTCCGGCCTGTCGTGAAGCGGGTGAACGGGGGTTCTGTGGCCGTCCTGGGCGATGTGCTTCTTCAATGGAAGCGCAAAGATTGTCGACGGCGCATACCCATCTTCCGCATCGACCTGATCCAGGGCGAGTATCTGCACGGCGCGGAGACGAGAATAACTAATTTCCTCGGTGTCCCTTATGAGCATCGCTATTTTGTCAAGGAGGAGGTCCAAGAAGCCGAAGTTCCTATCATGGAAGTGGAAGGGTCTTAGCGATGGGCTGGGCTTGGCGTGAAGGACAGCATTTACATGAACAGTGGGAATAAATCATGAGATTTTAGCTACAGGCCATGAACATAAGCACCATTTTTTTCACATTTGTTTTCATTTGTCATAATATCTGCAGACTCATAGCTGGAGGTGTCCCTCAGTGAGTGATTTCGGCAAGAACTAAACTCAGTGAGAGGTGGCCTTTCGATAGATGTCGACCAATCCCTGAGTAGACCACCCCCATCAGAGACCATACATCCAAGTCGTTCCCATTCTGTTCTCTCAATCTCTCATAAATCTGACTCAAGGCCTTTGACAGAAACCTTACTGTCTTTGGCCTTTCGTTTCTGTGTCGGGGCCTCCAAATTGCCATGATAATCCAATTTCTCTCCGACATGCTAATCACCCCAGAGGCGGTCCATCCAAAACCCCCGTCTCTCTGACATGTAGATCGCATTCTTCTCGCACGGTAACAAAATATTTCCTGTGAAAAAGACATCACTGTGTCTTTCTGCATGGCACGCCTCAATAACTTAAGGGTGGATGAGGTACAAGTTCGTGCCCATCTTGTCCGCATGGCCAAGGGTCTCAATGTTGACGTCCGCGTTGAGAGTGATTTCAAAGACGTTGCCAGTATCACGCTTCCAAGTCTTGAACATCTTGAAGACGGTGCCGCCCTCAATAGTCAAGCCATCGTACGCAGCGGCGGTGCAGACCATGTCGCGCGTCGTGGTCATCTCGAAATAGTGCATGCCACCGTCCGACTTGGCCTTCCAGCGAAAGTCCTTGCAGGTCCTAGCATTCTCGATACCGGCGTGCGCGCAGAGGGCGCGAAGATAGGTGTCAACGAACTTGCGGTATAGGGGCGTCGCATAGGGGTCTTTGCCACGGGACACGGGGGCGGCGCCAGCCTGGGGAGGCTCTTCTTGGCTGATGATGAGGGCGTCTGCGTGCTTGAAGTTTTGCGCAAACGTGTGGATGCGGTCGAGGCAGAGGCCGTCCGGGACGCCGTAGAAGCGGGAGCCCAGGGCGAGGTACAGGCATGGCACCTTGATGTTGGCGAAGAAATCGTCGCCGTCTTCAAATGTGCCATACAGACCGTAGTTGGGCATGCCAGGGAATGTCTCCGTGGCACGCGTGACTTGGGTGTTGAGGGATGCGAGGTCCGAGACAAGGGGGAGATAGACGCAGGACTTTTTCTGAGTCTTGAAAGCCTCGACATAGGGAGCGTACAGGGTGGAGTTAATTGCACCGAGATGAACGATGGCTGTGCCGCTGGGGAAGCGCTTGACGACATCAAAGGCGGTCTTGTTGATGATCTCAATCTCGTCCTTTGCCTGGCACGAGGCGTCGCCTAGGCCATGGAATGATACCATGCCGGTTGTATGCATGATTTCGTGGGGAAAATCGGCCTTGTCGCGAAAGGCTTCGGGGAGCTGGGCGGCAGCTTCATGGGGAGTTTGACCTTGGCCGATGGTGATGATGCCGTGAGCATCGGGCTTGCAGCCGTCAAAGATGTCGTGAAAGTGCATGGTGCCGTTGATGCTGACCTCAGGGTCGTTGAACGACTCTTGGATGCTGTGCGTCACCCCTAGAGCAGAGGGATGCGAGAGAAGGTGGCTTTTCGTTGTATCTTGAAGGCTTGACAGTCTCCAACGCGGTCCCAAGGGTGATTGATAGCAGGAGAGCAACTGTCTGGTTGGTATGATGGATTGCAAGAGGGAAAGAAGAGAATCCAAAGTCAGGAGAGAAGAAACGTCCGAGATAATCAACTGAAGTCCCGTAGGCAACAGGTTTCGCGACGATTCACTGCAAGTCTATGGCCACGGCGTCGTCAATGTGATCACTAACACTACGAGAATGGAAACACATGATAACAATATAGTACACTCTACGCGTGGGTGAGCGATAGTATTGTTATTGTGGTTGTTGTTTTGGAAACTGTTAAGGCGTCTGGGGACTGTAGCATGGGCCCGTGACGGTTTTGAGGGTAGCAAGTTGGTCGGGGCTACCAAAGGCGTTCCGGACAATGTGAGTTGTTCATGTTCACTTTGTGACATTCTGTTCCTTTTATGTTCGTTGCCGTTGAGAACTGTTGCTAGATGTCTGGGATGGTGTCCTTGTGCCACGTTCACAACTGTCCTGTCGCCCGCTCACAATGGCGGCGAACAAGAAACATGAATTATTGAGCAAGACTAGGCTGATAAATGTTGGCACGGGTGTTCACTGCCTGGGACGGACATCCGAGGTCTCTTTTGGTACAATATCAAAATTCCATTGCCGAGTGCATAGTCAAAAGCTGTTCCATGATGGCCTAGCATAGAGAAAATAGCTGTCGAGGTTGGAGGTTTCGAGGCTGAAGTATTGTCTGTAACTGGAGCGGTTGCATCGAGTTGGCCATCTGTCGTCCAACGCAGCATCCGTAAGCCTATACACGGAAATGCGTCTCGTCTACATGCTATGCTCACTGCAAATACTGTTCAAAAGTCCTAAATCGTGTCTACGTAGGCTCTGGCTGACAAAGCGCAGGCCTTGGTGTACAGGTACATGAAGCTTGCGCTTTGTTCGTTGCAGATCAGTGTATCAGTTTTCGATGCGCAGCAGTTTTACTGTCTGTGTAGTAGATTCATTTATCCCTTGTTGTCTATGGGACCTGTTAAGGCGGGGACACTGACATACTAGACATAGCTACCAACGCAAGGCCATTTGAGGCAGCCGGCGACATGGTCTTCCCTATGGCAAGCACCCTTCAAGTGAAAAGCAGTATTTCTATCGTCAACTATGTGCTATCTAGGCGGCTCATCATTGCTGCTATCGATGGTTTCACTATAAAAGGAGAAAAGGGGTTTTTACGAGTTCGGTGCTCATCATATGTCGTGCAAACTCCATGGAAACAATATGACAAGCACTATCGCGAAGTGATCAAAGAAGTAATAGTCATCTCTTGGCCACCCTCTCCCGATGGCTTATCACAAGAGCGACAGTCGTCGATCTATGCGCGTCGGTGGGCGACGATCTGGAGGGGCAGCAGGCATATCAATCCTAGCCAGCGACATCTAGTCAGCTCGGATCAAGGCAGCCGTGCGTGCCGTGGGCGCTGCCTGGCAGTGTCTTCCGAGAAGAAGTCATGTCGAGCTCGTTCCGTTCCCTGGTTGCCCGCACAGTGTACAGCTGGTGTGTGTGGCTGCGGTGTCCCATGATGATGAGTTCACGTTGGCTTGGAGCACTTGTGTACGCACGTGTCTGGGTTTGCAGAACACATCCAAAGCGTCCGCCCTCCGTCGTCAAAGGCAGTGTCTCTCGTAGCAGCACACCAACGAGGATTGCAGATCGCTCTGACCACCCAGACAAAGGGCCCTGCGTCAACGCCTCGCCTCCATCAGCATCTTGTGTATGGCGTCTTAGAGCCGACGCCCACGAGGCTTGGGACCCGTGCAGCCGACACTCGGCTCCGATCTGACAAAGACGTCGAGGGTTCAAACTGGACCCTTGGATTCTCGAGTGACGTCTAGGCCATGCGCTATGATGAAAGCTCCGAAGGATCTGCAGCGCGCGCCGCCGCCTTCGATCGGTGTTCCAGAAGGGGCCAAGGCCCCTCTGTCCCTGAAGGCTAGGTATCTTATCGATAGGCCGCCTGCTTGCGATATGTCTGCGATAGTCGGATAAGGCTGTGATAAGCAGGCAGCCAAGCGTCACATCTTAAGGCAAGAGAGGCCTGTGCGTGGCTGCCCTGGCCATCACACCGACAAGCTCATTTCCCCCATTGCATGCATGCAGGCAGGCAGCCGGCCTCAATAGCAATTCATCCATCACCTCGCAAGACCTCGATGTTTCTGTCTCTTTTCCAAACATTGCGGCAGCATCTGTAACACGCCCCGTGAACTGCCACGAAACACATGCGCGCTCGTTTATCTGCCGGCGTTTCCTCCCCAGTTCGGTGCAAACATGTTGGCTGCCGACTGATGATGAAACAAGGTCACCCATGGCAATAATAGGATCCTGACCAATCTCGCCAAAGACAATCTGGCCTGGCATCTCGTGTTCAGACTCCACGTCCACGGGTGCCGCACCGATGCTGCACGAGCCACGTCCGACCGACCACATGGCTGCATCCTTTCGCTCGCCTCCCCTCCATCGGCTGTTGAGTCTCTGAGTGCTGCGGCTTCTGACTGACCCTCCGACGGCTAACGGGCGCCACCATGCACGAACGACACCTCTCACTCCGCCGCCACGCTGAACCCCCAATGACCGTATCGATGAACGCACAATGGCTCCCTCCGCGTACACATAGAGTACCGTCGTTGAGGCTTGGTACACGTTGTTACGCCCTGCATTGCTGGATGTATAATGTATTCACCGGAACGCTGCTGCCAACATGCGTGACGACGACGCAGGGGATTTGATCCTGGCTGGATGCAAGTTGTGGCTGCCACTGATTGGACTTTGCGCAGCACAATGTCCGCCGTGTGCGACCAACAATCGCGGCGTCTTTCACTATTTCGTCCATCCCACGGGAAATCAGACATGTCATGCGCCGGGGGGGCAGACGCAATGGTGCCATCCATGATGGGCAAGGATAGGGAGGCGCCGATACGGATCGGTAACTGCTCAGTGGGCAAACAAGCCCATGGCCGGCCCTGGTCTGTTCGTCATGGATCATGGATGGCACAGATTCCCAGTTCACTGCCCATTCGTCCTCATTATTATTATACTCGCTTGGGCCTCATCCTCCCCTGGACTTTTTGTTCTTGTCCAATTTTCGCTTCATCTCCCATTCGCCTTGACTACTACACCTTCACCAGCTGTCCCTATCGCAGTGCGATACGTACAACATCTTCCATCTACCACTTACATTACATCTGGCAGAGCCACCTTTGACGAAGACTACTACATTCACACGTTCCCGCTTTTACCATTCAAGACGCAATATCGCAAGATCAGACAAATACGCCAGCTACCGCCAACATGTCGCTGAGGAAACGCCCCAGCAGCCGGCTGTCTCTGATGAGCACCCACACGTCCGCCTCCGCCTCATCACCGTCCACATCGCCCACGCGGTCCATGAGCGTACGACACTCCACCTCGTCCAGCCGCACATCTTTCTCGTCCGCCACCTCGCCCATCCACGTCTCGTCCATTGGCGAGGCCGTCGCCGCCGACCAGGCGCCCAAACTCACCACCCAGGCCCTGCCCACACCCAGCTTCCCCGACCAGCAGGGTCTGGCCTCGCTCGTGTGCGCGACCAAGATCGCCGCGCCGCTGGGCATTGTGGCCGGCCTCGTCATCGACGCGCGGACATATGCCATCTGGAACCCCTTCTGCCCGACGCTGACCGTGACGCACCAGCCGGTGTGCACGGCCCCCCTGCCCCGCTGCATCCGGGACACGCCCGACATTGATGGCATCAAGACGCTGCACACCACGCTCCGGGACGCGACGCAGTTCACCCTCGAGATGGTGGTGGACACCAACGCGGCGACGCGCAAGAAGGAAAGGCACAACATGCAGGTGACGGCACTCGAGCCGATCCAGCGCGAGGACGGCCGGCGGGGCGTGCGGGTCGCCTGGATGGTCCGGGGCCGCATGGCCAAGTTCTTCTCAGGCAGCGAGCGCGTGCAGGAGTTTGTGGAGGCGCGCGACGGGAGCGGCGTCGAGTACGTCTGCTGGGAGACGTACTACGGCCGCATGAGCAGCGGCATGAAGGGCGGGTACGGCCGGGGTCTGGAGAAGGGGTTCCGGGACGCCATGGCGGGCTTGCGGGACGAGGCCGAGAAGAGGGCGCGCAAGATGTCCGTGGTGCAGGAGTCGATACAGGACGCAGGAACGACGGCGTGAGGACAGGGGCGCGCGTGGGAGGGGGCTTGTCGTTTGCAAGGGATGGGATCGAGCGCGGCGTACGGATATATGAATATGATACCCAGAGTCACACACTTTAGTTACAGACAATAATCTCATCTGTCAATTCTCTAAATCTCATGCTTTCCCCCTATTTGGCCTCCGTGCCCCCGGTGGCCTGCGCCTTAAAGTACACGGTCAGGATGCCCTCGACGGTCAGCGAGGGCACCAGCGCCTTGACCTGCCCGTGGGCGGGGCACTCGTCGTCGTAGTACTTCATGTCGTCCATGCTGGCAAACTCGGTCTTGCTGACGAGCGTGTAGCCCTGCGAGCGGGGGTCCTCCTCGGCGGGGCCGACGGTCATGCTGAGGATGTAGGGCTTGCCGTCCTGGTCGGGTCAGTGCTGGTACTCAGTAGTAGGTGAGAGACGTACCCGCTTGTTCTCGGCGGCCATGATCTTGTACCGCTCCAGCATCTGGGCCCGGTCCCCCTCCTTGGGCATCTTGAACATGGTCACTCTGTGCACGCGTTCCGCCATTTTGTGTTCTGTGAGGGGTGGGCTTTGAAGTATGTGGATGCTGGTGAGTGAAGGTGTGAGATGGCGGTTGTGTAGAGGCGGAGCACGCGGCGTTGGTGATGGAGAGGATGAGCGAGTGCACGTGAGAGATTTCGTCAGCTACTCCAAGAGAACGTGAACAAAGGTGCTGACGATTAGTTGCAAAGTATATCCACAGACAACCCAAGTAAATGCCGTCTTATTTATCTTCCCACTTTGCCGGCAGGCCCCCTTCTCCTCTCCAACGTCCATGGTGTCCCCTCTGTCCATCTTCTCCCTCCATTCTCCGCAGCGGATGATGGGCAAGGCACCTCGACGGCTACTGCGGGGTAATCATTATCTAGTTTTATTCACCTGTTGGCTTCTTCATCTGGGACAAGCCGATGCTATCCAGGATTCTACAGGCGGAATTTCTCCGGGCTTCCTCGCGGGCTTCATCGTGCCACTTGTCACAAGCATCCAACACTGGACATTCTGAATGACAAACGCTCTGGTATCTTGATGGATGCTGCTCGCCAAACAAACCTCGGTCGTCATGCACGAGTTCCAATAACCTCTTCACCCGTCCTAATTACCCCATGCGGGCAGGGTCTGGCTCTCGATCGGCAGAACATCTTCCGCCAGCCAGAGGGCGAGCCGCCCATGCCCATGCCCCCTTCCCCCCCCTCCTCCCTAACGCGTGCGTTCGATACTACCTTTAACTATCGTAGACCAATATGCGCATGCATGTATGTGCCTGGGACGCGTGCAGTAGTGGTAGTTCGCTATCATACCCTCATGCGCCTCCACTCGCCGACGAGCTGGGGCTCGGCGCCCCGATGCGTCGCACGACAACCTGCATCATCTCTATCAACACGGGCATCTTATACGGCTTGACCAGCACGTCGTCGCACCCGGCCTGCTTGGCCTCCGTCACCTGCTCCGGTCGCGCGTTGGCCGTCACGGCGATGATGGGCACCCTGCCTCCTGACGCGCAGAATACCTCGCCCTGCGCCTCGAGCTCGCGAATGTGCCGCGTGCACGTCAGTCCATCCTGCACCGGCATTTCCACATCCATCAAGACAACATTGATCGGTATCGGTGGCTGGGGCTGGCCCTGCGCGTCAGGACTACCCGGCGCTTCACCATCGCCAGCCCCATTGCTGTTGCTGCCTTGCGCCCCAATCGTAAGGCCGGCCAGTGATTTGCGCAGTTTCTCGAGGGCCTCGATGCCATGGTTCGCCACGTCCACCGAGTAGCCCCTCTTGGACAAACTGCGCCGTGTAATGTGTTGGTTGATCAGGTTATCCTCGACCACCAGAATTCCGTCCAGGCGCGCGTTGCTGGCGCCGGGACGCAGTCGTCGCGGCACGCGCTGGCTCGAGAGTAGCCCGCGCTTCCACCCGGCCGCTTCCGAGCTCGAGTCAGAATCGCCGTTGGCGCCCACCGAGCTGGCCACCATCCTCGCTGCGGCCGCGGCTGCCTGTGCATCTTTGAGCGCCGTCTCGCTCGGCACGTAGGACTCGACGTAGAACGCAAACGTGGACCCGACACCCTGCTGGCTCGACACACCAATCGCCCCGTTCTGCAGCTCCGTCAGACGTCGCGAGATGAACAACCCGAGACCCGATCCGCCATACTTGACGTGGGTCTTGGCGCTGGCCTGCACGAACTTGTTGAACAGGCTGCTGCGCTCCTCCGCACTCAACCCCTGTCCCGTGTCCTTGACCTCAAAGAGCAGATACACCGGGTCAGTGCGGTTCTTCAGCGCCGGCTGCTCGTACTCGTCCGCCGGCTCCTTGAAGCGCGGGATGAACTCGGCTGTTGTCATCTCGCTGCCCGGTGGCTCCCGGGATCCTTTGCAGTAGATTGTCACGTTTCGGACGTTGCCCGTCTTGGTGAATTTGAGTGCGTTGGTGAGGAGGTTGATGAGGACCTGCTTGACACGTGACGGGTCCAGGTCGAGGTATTCGTGCCCGAGCGCTGTGTAGGATGGATCCACGACGGACGTGAGGACAATGTCCACGCGGCGCGCTTCTACCTCGAACATTTTGAGCGCATCCGTGACAATGTTGATCGGGTTCACAGTGCAGGGCGTCACAGCCAGAAGCTTCGAGTCGAGCTTCGACATGGTGAGAATGTCATCGACGATGCGCTTCTGGTGCTGGGCACATGTCTCAATCGTCTCGGCGTGATCAATGGCATCGCGCAGCAGCTTCTTCGCTTCCGCCTTCTTGGCCTCCTCCGCCTCTTTTCTCTCGGCCTGTTGTGTCAGCATGAGAGACTCGGTAGTGGTCGTCCCGGTCGGCAGTGGCGTGGTCACCCCCTCCAGCTCCTCGATCCTCGACAGCGACGCAATGATCGCGTCCGTGCAGTGAACAATGGCGCTCAGCGGGTTGCGCATCTCGTGCGACGTCATGTCAATAAAGTTCTCCTGCTGCCGCTTCGACTCAATCGCCTCCTCCTTGCGCTTCTTCTCCTGCTCCAGCTGCCACTTTTGCATCGACACGTCGCTGATGCAGCCCGTAAACGACTGGATCACGCCCTCCGAGCTCGTGACAGGCATAAAGGACGCCGACACCGACCGGGCCGCCGCAATGGCATTGCCGCTGTTGTCCTCCGCCGTCCACGTCGTCTTGAGCCGAATGTCGGCACTCTGCGACCGTCCCGACGTCCTCAGCCTGTCCAGACTCGCCTTGACTACCGGCAAGTCCTCCTCCACCACACAAAGCTGCCAAGGCTCGACATAGGTCTTGGTGAGGTCCACCTTGGGCAGTCCGCTGAGCTCCCAAAAGGAGTCGTTGGCGCTGAGCAGTCGCCCGTCGAGGCTGACGTCGTACATGCCGACGGTGGCAAACTCTGCTAGACGCTTGAGATTTTCAGCCTCCTGCGCCCTCCGGACCGCCTCCTCGGCCGTATTCTTTTGCTCCGTCACATCCATCAGGCATGTCAGCATGCGCAGGACAGCGCCCGTATCGTCCCGCTCGACCTTGGCAGACGCCAGGATGTGTCGTCCAACACGGTCGTCGTAGGGCGACGGCATGCCATCGTCGCCGCCGCGTGGGATGCGGAACTCAAACGACGTCACGTCGACTCTCTCCAGGTCTCTGTAGGCCTGCATAATCTTCGGCTTGTCCTCCGGGATCACGCAATCGAGCAGCGCCATCTGGTCAACACAGCCCTCGGGGTACCGCGTGAGACGGTGCCACGTCTCATTCGCAAAGGTTACGTTGCCCTTGTTGTCCACAAACGACATGCCCACGGGGATGAAGTCTGAAACGGCCATGAAGTTTTGGGTAGACTTGTGGGCCTGCTCAGTCTGCCATGCAAGCTTCTTTTGGAGCATGGCTGTGTTATAGGCGGCCTGTGAAGCTGCGTTGCGTCCGCGCCGCGCTTCCTCTTCGAGAAGGATGGTCGAGGCGAGGGAACTTGTGAGCTTCTGGTTCAGGAGCGAGATGAACTGCCTGTAGTCATTGTCGTACGGCCGTCGTGGATTCAGGCCCAGGAACAATATTCCCATCAGAGCTTCATCTTGTGTCGGCCTAATGGGCAGGATGACCGCGGCGTCGCACGGATCGCCAAAACCTCGCCACTCCAGGCCAGCCAGTAGCCTGTCAGGTAAGCTGTCGTCTTTGGTCTGTACCAGGAGCGCAATCTGCGCGTGCAGAGCCTCGCGGAAGATGGGCGACAGTCCCTCGTCCGTGTCCCGTAGCTCCAACGTTTCCGGCGCGATCGGGTGATTTTTGGGGACGCCGAGTGAGCCAGCCAGGTGACAGGTCTTGGGGCAATCGTACCGTGAATTCGAAGATTCCGCATCATCGTCCTCGTCCACTGAATAGACGAATGCCAATGGTACGTCATGCTCATCCCAACGCTCAATCTCTTCCAATATCCGCTGCCAGTATGACTGCACATCTCTTGCGAGGACTAAAGTGTTGCCCAAATCCACAAGCATCTTCATCCGCCTTTCCCATAACCTCATTGATGTAGTCTCGAGTAACCAGTGCTGGATTCCGACCACTTTGCGGTTCTCCACAATGGGTTGCAATGACCACTTGACATAGGTCTCCTCCAGATGCCCGTCCTCCTTTTCTATGAAGAAGCGCGACTCATCCTCAACCTTCTTGCCTCGTTTGCTTGGCGGTGCATTCCACAGGTTGTCGAGATCTTCCTTCAAGTGGCCCCACGTCTCCAGAACAGGCTCGCCTAGTAACTTTGGATGCCGCGAGCCACAAAACTTGGAGAACGCCTCGTTATAGATCGCCCGATACTCCGGGCCCCAGTACGTGGCAATAGCTCTGGAGTCCGGGATCGTCTGGTGGAACGCCTGTTGTAACCTCGTGGGCCACTCATCCATAGGTCCCAGCTTGTGCGCTTCCCAGTCCACACTCTGAATAACATGCAGGAACGGTTCGGGATCGGGTGTGAAATCAGGTGGTTGGAGACCAGGATCGGCTTCGGCGCGGAAGACTTTGGACACCCTGGATTCGTGTGGCTCCCTGGGTGGCGTAGCAAAATCAACGACGCTTGTGCTGTCGGTCTCTGGCGCATTGGACAGTGATCTGCCTTTGCCCTCGGACCTGATCTTGCGCGGTGGCTCCGAGCAAGGAGGCGTGTCGTTCCCGCTCATGACAATCCATTTGTCCAACAGCATGGTCCTCGTCCAATAAACACCCATGTATGTTATACAACGGTCGTGGTCAGATGTCTGCGACGGCTGGGGCGTGAGCACCCAGTCCCAGAATGGTACGTGTCCATCATTGCTCGTGAGATTGAATATCGCTTCCGACAGCGTTGAGCTACTCGCTAGTGCTCTGTTCTTGTAGACGATGTCTCGTATGGGTGATTGGCCCGCGGTGGGTTTGGCAACGATGAAGACCGGTCGCGGGTCGGCGTCGAGAATGCCTGCGGAGCCAATATTGGCGAGCCTAGGGGAAGACGAATCCATCGCGGCAGCGCCAAAGGAACCCTGCGTCAATGGACAGCCTCGTGCTCGCGCGTAAGGGAGGTTCGGTGTGCTCCATGGATCGAGGGTGCGACGGGTGGTGATGGCGACTGTTTGCGCAAGTCGTGAATGGAGGTACGCGAGCGTTGCTTCTTGCAGCGTGCTAGGGTCGGTTGGTACGAAGTGTTACTGGCATGCCATGAAAGCGAGCCGCAAGTGAGGCCGACCTGAACGAGGCAGGTACTCGCATTTACTCCGTAGGACGCAAAGGAAGAGGGAAAAAGTTTGTCGCAAGGGGATCAGTCGGGGATCGAGAGCTGTGCGCGAACTCGTGCGTCACTCAGCCGCCCGCTGGTTCTGCAGTGCCGGCGGTTGTTGTGAGATTTAGCTGGGACTGGAGTCGGGATTGACGGTTCCAGTCGGCTTGGCGCTGGACCCTTTGAAATTCGCCTTCCAAATCGACTACCCCAGAGTCCCAGACAGGTCCCCAGTTCAGCCGGGCGGGCGTTTCACTTACCCGGGTCCATTTTCAGAGTCCGAATCTGTCTGTATTCGACGGGCTTGTCGCGCAGAAGTTCATCGGTATGTATTGAACGACTATCCAGAAAGACTTCAGGTCGCTTCGTAGCTCTTGTATATGATACAAAAGCTGTAATGCGAGGGCTCACAGCGTGTGATGTGACAACTAGAAAAAGAAAGATAAGCAATCAGCAGCCAAAGCCCGATCCACCTTTTTTTCGAGACCCTCAAAACTGATGGCTACAACCTCGTTTTGACCATCTCTCTGCACGTTTGCTCAGTTTCCTTTGGGTTGATACATATCCTCGGGCTTTCCCTAGCTACTCTCTTTTACTTTCGAGGCAGCGTGCTTGAACTCTGCTGGCACTCCGACACATCGCTCTGAGTCTGACAAAACGCCCCTAGAGTAAGCGACGTGTCCTACTTGAGTTGAGAGCGCGTCTAACGGAGCATCAGCCCCCCTTACAGCTCAGCTACGTTACACGCACCACAATGGCGTTCAACATCCCCCCTTTCATGGACGCCACGCTCCAAGCGGGCTTCATGGGCGCTCTCTCCAATGTCCTGGCGCAGTACATTGAGTCGCTCAAAGTAGGAGTAAGCCAGCCTCTTGAGCACTGCATCTCACACACAGACACACTGACGCACGCACCAGGAGGAGCTTGAGATTGACTACATACCCGTCTTTCGCTTTGTGCTCTTTGCCGTTCTCACCACGCCCATCAACTTCTTCTTCCAGTCCTGGCTGGAGGCCACCTTTCCCTCGCGTCCGGCAGGCCCCCACCCCAAAAAGTCCGATGACAAGCCCAAGGAGCCTAAGCTCTCCGTGCGCAACACCATCATCAAGCTTGTCCTCGACCAGACCCTGAGCGCCACGTTCAACACCCTCGCCTTCTCCATGTACACGCGGGGCCTGCAGGCCGCCATGCACGACGCACCCAAGGAGACCTCCATCTCTAACGCAATTCGCTTCTGGAACTCGCCTGGCTCCATCAAGTTTGACGAGGTGGACTGGGCCGGCGTCTGGAGGGTGGCCTGCGATGAGTTCTGGGGCATCTACGTGGCCGGGCTGAAAGTATGGCCTGCCGTGGCCGTGGTCAATTTCACCGTGGTGAAAGATGTCCAGACGAGGAACCTGGTAGGCGGCATGGCCGGTATCGCATGGGGTACGTATATGAGCATGCTTGCAAACGCGTGAGCAAACTTGGGAGGTAGGAATCGTCGTCAAAGACGTGGCATACGGTTTCAAATCTGCAAACGACATATTCGCCCGATGTAGATGGGTTGGAGTACTTCGTAGTACATGTTTGGGTTACATGGAGGATATATAAAAATGTACATTGCGCTAGCGACTTGAGGATAGCATTCTGCAGTGACATCTCTGGAGTACCGCTTTGCCAAGAAGAACCGTATGTACCTATGTGTCTACGTGTCACATTATCACCACGTACTCTCGTAGTTTTGAGATCCGCAATGCCTAGCTTTTGCCCTGCTTGCTTGGTTGCCTCGACCATGAAACCCGCCGACCGAACCCTTGCGCCTGTACCGTGAAGTCCTCGCTGCTGGACCTGCGAGACGATCTATCTTCAGAGCCACCCCGGGCTGCTCACGCCCTGGTGAGAACCCACATGAAGAACAGCTGGACAATGTACGAGTAGAAGAAGAGAAACTGCGTGCGCTGGTTGCGCTTGGCGCGCGAATCGGTCTGCATCGGGCCACTAGGCTGCCCATTGGTTTCAGGAAGGAGAACATATTTCAGCGAACGAAGCTATCTTTGTCAGTGGCATGATGCAGGCTGCGCGCAGAAGGTGTACTCACCAAGAACAAGGCATTGGCTGAGAAGGTATAGGCGAACACCGCCCAGCCGATCCAGCCGCCTGTGCCTTTACCCCCATTAAGGATTTCCGCCACTGTAATGGTGACAATGATCCCGACAAACTTGTATCCCGAGTACGCGATGAGGTCGAAAAGTTGCGACTGGCTCGAAATGCTGAGGAGGTAGCATCCAAGCTTCAACGCGATGATCTCGACAATGACCACGCTCAGCCCCGTGGTTGCCGTGACACCGAGAAGCTCCGGGTTGAACGCGCCCTTGAGACCTGCAATCAGTGTCGAGAGGAGGACATAGGTAACCAGGCCCATCACTACAACAGTCAGCCAATGTGGCCCATCTGCCAAACCCATGTTGACTTACCTGGGATGTACATGTCCGGGCTGTTGATATCATCCCGAGGAGACAGATACCATCCCTCCTGCCCGTTCGCGCCGACGGCCTGCTTTCGCGACCAACCCTTGTGCCGCCAGGGGAACAGCACAAGAAAGAGCTTGTTGATAACGTACGAATTGGACACGTTGAAGTAGTGTTTAAGGGCCGCAACATTGACATAACGTCCAATCTGCCCCAGTCAGCCTTCATCCGCACTGCGCATCTCGCCTGGAAAACACACATTTTGCTCCACGTACTCCTGCCCCTGCTTGAACGCCGTCTGTCCAAACTGCGCCGCCACCTGCGCGGTGGGATCATTCATAAACTGGCCATATGCGCCAAAGACGTTCCCACTGGTGCCGCCCTGCTGCTGGTAGGGATTCCCTTGTTGGCCAGTCGGGGCATAGCCTTGCTGTTGTGATTGTGCGGAGCCGGGGGGCGGCGGTGGTGATCGAAGCTGCGGTACGGTAGAGACGTGCTGCGGGACGGGGTGGTGGAGGGGCGGCGATTGCCCGTATGTGTTTCGTTGCATCGTGGAAAAGCAGCTGGTGCAAAGCAAAAGACGGGAGTCGGCTGTGGCACAGGCGAGGAGATAAAGGTGTCGTCGGAAGCGAATGTGGTTCAATAATAGGAGCTGGACAACCAAGTTGGAGATGTGGCAGCAGCTGTGACGCTGGTGGTGGTGGTGGTGGTGGTCACTGGTGGGCTGGGCTGGCGGGTTGCGCCACGTCGGTCTGAGTCTCTGGGTGCCTGGCATGGCTGATCTTCGGATCAACCGATGACATGGAGCCGCCAAGCACGAGGTGTACAAGTACTTTGGACAGCAGCTCTCTGTCGTGTGAGTACTGTTTACCTCTATAGTCATCCCCGACAAACCTTCTCCTCATCTCTGAGGTCACACCCTAGCTTAGATCATTTAGTTGAGCTAGTTAGCCCTCCAACAGTAAGCATAACTCACTTCTTCACATTTCGATTGCATAGCAGAAACAAGCCATGGCCAAAGAGCAGCTCTCGCCGCAAGTGCAAATGGCCGCCCAATGGACGGCGCCAGGCGACATCTTCTCGGTGCTCTTGATTGTGGGGGCCGATGTGATCCAGCTCGCGTGTGCGGCAATGACAGGCGGGCCGGGCCTCCTGCCGACGCCCGTGGCCTTCTCGTTCGGCTGGGTGGCATATGCTATATCGGCCATGTTGTCGGCGCTTGGCGAGAGGAGACTGCTAAAGTGCCCACCCGAAGTCGAAGTCAAAGTCATCAACCTGGCATCGGGCTATGCGCGGACTAACCACTCGTGGCTGCTCGGCCGATTCGTCAAGACGTATCCCTTCTGGATGCCGACAAGCGTCCGCGCAAAGATCAAACCATCGCCCTCGCTGCCTCCGACAACACAGGGGACCGGCGACCTCCGTGCGGATCGTGTCGCGCTCTGCGTGGCCGTGTACCAATGGAAGAGTAGCCCGCGGCCGTCTCAGCCTTCGCGTGACTGGCTTTGGTGGAGCGGCTACGCGACTTCTGCGGTGCAGCTGGCCGTCTCCATGATTCCGCTGGTACTGTATAGGGACTGGACCATCATCATGGCCACGGCCGCGGGCACGGCGCTGTCGTACGCGTCTGCGTCGCTGCCTCAGTGGCGGCGCGAGAAGTGGCACGGCCGCCGCGGCAGTAGCAAGCCCGTGGCGCTCACGTCGGGTAACGGGTCCGTGCATGTCATCATCGTTGAGGGCGCCGACGAGACGTGCGACCTCGAAGCGCTCGCTGGAGGGCCGTGGGCGCAGGACTCGACCTACACCGTATTCTCGACTTCTCTGCTGGCCGTGCTCTGGTTGGCTCTGCTCATCAGCTGCACGGGCATCGCGGCAAACACGTGGTACCTGCTTGGTATCGGCGGGATGGGCATGCTGCAGAACATTGTCGCAGCGGCGGCGCCGCGGATGCCCGACGCGCTGGGCCTGCCGGTTCAGCTGGTGATGCGAGGTGAAGGGCTTGGCCATGATGGTGAGACTCTCGGTGTGGTGTTTGCCGAGCCCAAGGTCATGTGGGCGCTGATGGAGCTTGAGATGTGGCGCAAAGGCTATGGAAGATATCTCAGGGAGGAGTTCTTTCCGGGCGCGCTGCGCCAGTGGGAGCAGAAGTGGTGGGATTCGGTCGACGTGAATGAGCGGACTCGCTTGCTGGACGACGCGCGCACTCAGTGGCACAATGAGCAGCAGCGATTGGCACGTGAGGCAAAGAATGGGAAGAGTTCATAGATTGTGTCGGGACATAGGTGCGATGAGTATCAGCCGCCTGATTGCTATAGAATATACGATATTCTGTATCACAAAGACAAGACTGCAAAGCTGGTTAGAACTGGATAGATTGGAATAGGAAGACGAAGCGTGGTATTTTGTGCATGTGTTTTGGGGTTTCATTCTATAGATGGTGCCTGTAGCTACGATTAGAACACAGATCGATCATCCCAACAGCCATGCCATCTCTTCGCCTTGGAGTTCAGTCACATCATCATCATTCATAGCCGCCGTTCCAACAACAATGCCACGAGACTGCATACCACTCTGCAGCACCAGTAGCATAATGACCGGGTCGTGATTCTCGAGCAAGTTCGGCGGGACCTTCGGGAAGAGCAGCCTAGCCGATCCAGCCGGCATAGCTTCCTTCAGCCATATCCCCAGGTTGTCTGACCAGCTATACGGCAGCTCCGTCCACATTTGAAAAGGCTCACCGTGCCGGTTCAGCAGCTCCATGTGGAAGATCAGTTTGGCACTGTCCTTGTGCTCGCCATGGCGGATGATCCTGTTGACGCGGAATGTGGTCCACGAGCCGCTGAGCCCGTTCTCCGTAGCGTTATAGCCGTCGATGACCATACCCGTCAGGCGGGCGAGATACCGAGGAGCCCAAGAGAACGGAGGAGGGAGTCCACGCATGCCCTGGAGATGTGCGATCCGAGCCGCGTCTTGGGGCCGTGAACGGAGTATGTGCAGTATGGCATCCTCGTAGCCCCAGCCAGCCTGCCACTGCAAACTCAGCAGAGCAAACAGGCTTCGGGCGTAGTCGATGTCGTTTTCCGTGTTCCTGTCGGTGCAGCAGAAGGCCACGTCCGCCAAGGACACGCCTCGCGGGTCTGATGGGAGGAGCCGCATGAACTTTAGACAGATTTCCCGCCAGTAGCTGCGGCCGATCTCGTTCTGCTTTGCGCGGGAGTCTAAGGCGTTGACCATGTTTTGGAAATCAAGAGTGCCGGTTTTGGTGACAATGATGGCCTTTCGGGCGAGCTTGACTTCCTGATACGTCCACATACGCGTCAACCATCGGCCACAAGCCAAGATAGCCGCTACGGTACAGGCATCCTCAGAAGGGAGTTGCAATGTCAGAGAGTCAAGAATGATGACCGCGTCAGCATTCCTATAGACATGCACCAGGCTATTGACCACATCCCTCTTGAGCTCTCGCAGCATGTCGACATTATCCTCGTCTCCCCGAATCTGGGGCACGGCAAGCAAGTCCAGCCAGAACCAGTCGTACCCAGACGACGCAACGCCGCCAGAGATGATGCGGCTGAAATGGGCGTAGTCAAGGCCACGATAGTCCTGCTTGGTCTTCTCGTCGTGGAACTCGAGGCCCATCGTCTCGACCCACACATGCGAGATGGCAGCGAACCCTGCTAGGCGGATGCTGAAGTGGCCCCATCGGTTGACGCAGACAGCCATGCCCGACTGCGCCGCCTGACGGAGCAAATCCAGTGGGCATTTCACGAAGAACGACGAACCGATGGCCTCGTAGTTGAGCTTGACGAGGGCGGGCAGGGCCTCGGTGCGGACAGTCTTGGAGACGAGAGCCAGGGGCGAGACGGCGAGGGCGAACGTATTGGCGGCACCTATCATAGCTGTCTTCATGGCGAGCTCAGTCCATCGCCGGCTTCCTTCCGGCGCAGGGCGGCAATGTGGCCCGTGAGGCGAGAGCTTCCGCTCATTGATGTCGGGGAGCAACTTAAAAAGGGCTTCCACTTCGCTGGGCTCCCAGTGCCTGAAGTCGTTGGTGGAGCACATCCGTGACCGGTGAGGTCCGATCCAATTGTCACGCAGGACTTGCTCAATTACAAGGCATCGCGCCCTCACTTCGGCCTTGGCGTCCGACATTACATGTCACAATGGTCGGTCTCTCTTCGCCCATACGAACGCAAAGGCTATCAGGACGTAGCTGACTTCGTGAGTCAGGTCGAGGGCGAGATGAATGATACGGCTTCTCCCGGCAGGGGAGAGCAGGCAGGACAGCAGACCTGGTGTACCTCGAAGTCAGAAGCTGGGAATACTCGCTTGAGTCCTGGCCGGTGACCCTGCCTGGGAAAGCTGCTGTCAGCCCCGCTTTCAGCTGAGAGTTTGACCCGACAGGAGGCTGACGCTACACCAGTAGGGATAAGAAGAGGCTTGGCAGCTAAACAAAGCGGCGGCTTACTAGTGGATCGTGTCGAACGTCCAGTCCAATCAGTAACCAGCTTGCCACGTAGCCAGCGACCATCTTCGCAGTGATAGCTATTAGACCGCACTATTGGATGCAGTGCAGGTCTAAGGTTTTTCACCGAGGTGCGGAATAGTGTATTATGGCTTGTTGTGGCAGTACAAAGGTCAATTGTGGAGACTAGACTATTTTAGGAAGAGCCACACTAGACTACTGGTAGCTGGCGGATTAATTCTATTGCAATTAATATATTTCACTAGCAAGATATGTGGTAGGCAGCAATTAGCTACTTAGGTTCAGATTAGGGTGTATCAAGGCCTCGATCTAGATATTCTTCTAGGTGTTTTGCTACGCCAGGGTCTTGCGGGTAAGAGAAAAAAAAAGATGATGGCTCTTGTTAAACCGTTGGGCAATAGATTATAGACACTCGCGGTCGGTTTATGGGAAACGAGGCTCGATTGGATGAAACGCTACTCGGAAGAACTAAAAGTCCGGGAAATCGCGGAACTTGCCTCTTGTGTACAGAAAGCACTACGGAGTAGGAAGGGAGAACGAGAGAGAATCAATGAATAACAAGATCCCAACCGTAAAATCCAACAGCTCTGGCGTGTGACCTGCTATTGTCTTCCTCCATAGTGACGCCGCTACCTCGACTTGAGGATCTCATGCTCAGCTCCAGCCATACCACCTTCCACCACACCGAACCAGTGATACCATTAGCACACGACCGCGCCTTGGAGACAAAATGGATCACGTCTTCGAGATTCTGCGAATACCACAACGCCTCGATGACAATAGTTTGCCGCCCGCCACCCCTCGCCCACACCTCACTAATAGATGATTGCGTTAGATATGACACGCTGGCCTAGTCCGCGCCCCTTACGACTTACATACAGCGTTCGACAAGAGAGCGCTATCATCCGATATCATGGTCAGGTAACTACCCTAGCATTCCTAGGCACCGGATTAACCCTGATCCTATCCATGGGGTCCTACCTGGACTCGCCTCATCCTATGGGGGCGTTCATGCCCTTATTTTTCTTCATTCTTCTAATTATAGGCGCGTTCAAATTTGCCAAATCATATCGGAACTCGACACCAGAAAACGAATCAAGTAGCAGAACTCACGAGGATTGGCAAAATATCTTCATGCCAAGGCAACGACCAAGCAAAGAGCGTACGCTGCAACGCTACCACAACTGGCTGCGAAAGTGTCCTTATCTGCCTCGATATCCTCGCTTTGAGCGGCTTATTTTCACGGTCGAATTGGGCTTGTGCACTGCAGCGATCGTCCCGGCCACCTTTCTCGCAGTCCACTACGGCAGCCAGCGCTGGTTTCTGGCCCCCTTGATATGCGCATCGCTTAACTTGATTGTGGTACCACTCGTATGTGCCCACTATACCATGAACAGACTGTCTTCTATGTACATTCCTTGTGGCAGTGTGGCTCTTGTCGGCATTTCCCTGGCACTTACATTGAGTCCTTTCCTTGCCTACGAGAACAGGTTAGACAATGTCGCATTCTATGGTTGTATTATGCTCTCTACTATTTGCTGCATCCACTTGTAAGTGAAATCAGCTCTTCCCGTGTCTCTCTGCCTGACGGGCTAGTACTGAACGTTCTAGCACCCTGCTGGGCGTCTTTTTCATCAAATCAATGTACTCGACTCTTCTTGATGAGACACATAAGTGCTCGGCCACTGTGGAGTACCTTTTCTCGGTCGAAGAAACTGATGCTTGGACAATTCGTGTTCTGTGGACACCTTTCATTTCTGCATTGCATCACTCGCCTTATCAGGTACTCTGGCGGCGGTGCTTTCGCAACCGACGGGGCTCGTTGCAACTTTAGGTGACGGGACATTTGCTATGATCATTCTTCAAGATTTGGCTATAGCTTCATCAATCAGCATAGGTGCTTTTAAAAGTAGTCTTTGCAAGTAAGATAAATTATGTATCCTATTGAATAGCACACAACCTTCTGAAGTATCCTAGAGAAGCGCGCAGCGCCCTCAGGACAGACCTAGAACTCTAATGCTGTTATGTGCTAGCATTATTGGCCTTATACGTACTTCACTAATATCCCACTTGTTCATTGGCAGAGCCAATTATTGACCAGCATATAGAAATGTGGTAAGATGATTACGTCGAGCGCGAGCCTGGAGCCTTGGAGGCCCTAGAACAATACCTCAACCCATAGGACAGTCCATTGGCCTCCAAGTCACGTCAGCCGAATTCTTCTGCTGGCGCCATTACAGGACGCTCAGAAGTGCAATCCTCTCTTCACCATTGCTTAGGCCCTCACCACCTTGATTCTTTCACAGTCACTGCCAATCAACCCCAAGAGCAAAGAACTGGGAATGCTGGTATTAGAGATTAAGAAATATTGCATTCAGGACGTACACTTTCTCCCCCGTTTGTGGGACTATTACAACAGGAAGCTATCACAGACCTAGCGGAATAAGGTTACAAAAGCTACTTTGGACAGGGTGAATAGTCTCAGTCCAGCAGTTATGTTCCTCAAGGGCGACACAAGGCTCTTGCCCCGCTAGGGTGGGTGTAGTCCAAGCACACAGGTAGTCAAAATGATATTGATCTTGATCGCTCAAAGGTTTCGTCGCGTCCGAGTTGCTTTGGAGACTGATGGGTTTCGCGCCCTTTTGAGTACATATCATGGACTCATACTTGTGGCCCCCGGACACGCGACAAAAGTCGTCCAGCACCGCCAAGCCTCCGCAGTACTCCCTTATCGATAAGCCTCAATCTGGACCCTTGGGGCGTTGGCCACCCCCAATTAACGTGACCTAAGGAAGAAGAACATAGACAATCACTCCCTCGCCTGCTCGCCCAATCGTCTCGAGCGACCGCGCCGCTCGACTTTCCATCCTCTCTTCTTTGGTATACCCGAGTTCTCGCAAGAATGCTGGACACCTTTGAGATCCTGACCACGTCAGGCGTCGTCCTGTGGTCGCGCACATATGCCGCCGTCAACCCCTCGGTCATCAACAACTTTATCGCGGATACATTTATCGAGGAGAAGAGCGGTCCCGTGTCGCTGCGCGAGTCGCAATCGGCCTCGACGAACCCAGCATACAAGAGCGATCAACACACCTTGAAGTGGACGACCGTAAAGGAATTGGGTGTCATCTTCGTCGTACGCACCATCCCCCCCTCCATCCCTGCGCACCAAGATGTTTTGCGACTGACATAGGCTAGGTCGTCTACCGATCGCTCCTCCACCTCAGCTGGGTAGACAAACTCGTCGATAACATCAAGACGATCTTTGTATCTCTTTACGGCGAGCAGCTCAAAAAACCGCACACCACTCTCGTCGAGTGCGCCGGCTTCGACCAATACTTTGACCAGCAAGTGAACGAGCTCGACAAGACCAGCGCGCGCGCCAACGGGCCCCCAGTGCCCAATATCGAAGAGCCAGGCAACTCTGGCAATGTCATTGACAGTGGTGATGCCCCTGCCGCGCCGGGGTTGACCTATCGCGGTCGCGCGCTACACAACGGCGCCGGCACTGCCGACGTCGCGTCCACCGAGTCGACGCCCGTACCTACACCAGGCACATCGCGGCCTTCGACGCCAGGCGGCAGCAACCTGGTTGTCGGCAAGGCGGGTCCCGGAGGGAAATTGTCGCGTCGCGCGCGGAAAGCAAAATCTACAGTGCCTGCGCCGGTGTCCTCGGGGGACGATATCTCCAAAAAGGCAGCCAAGGGCAAGAAGGGGCGCAAGTGGGATGCCGACGGTTTCGCGGATGAGGAGGACGACGTGCAGCTCGACTACTCCTCCAAGAACGCACTCAACAGCGACTCGGAGGCCGAGGCGCCACTTGCGCGCTCCTCGGCTGTCGATGCCGTCGACTCGTCGACCTGGGGTCAGCAATCCAAGGGCAAGTTTGTCCTGCGCGATCTGGGCGACGAGGTGCACGACATTCTCGCATCGGCCCAAAAGTCGTCCTCGACGCCCTCCGACGCAAAGTCGACCGGTCTGCTGAACACGGGTGTCTCGGCAGTCACAGGCCTCTTCCGCAACGTCGTTGGTGGCAAGACGCTCACGAAATCCGACCTCGACACAGCCATGAAGGGTATGCAGGATCACCTCGTCCGCAAAAACGTTGCTCTGGAAGCTGCCCTGCGTCTGTGCGAAGGTGTCGAAAAGGAGCTGCTCGGCGTCAAGACTGGGTCGTTCGAGTCCATCTCCTCCAGGATCCAGTCCGCCATGGAGGCATCACTCACAAAGATGCTCACCCCGACCTCATCGCTCGACCTACTGCGCGACATTGACGCTGTCACAAAGCCAGGTGTGACATCGCTCAAGAAACCCAGACCCTATGTCATCTCCATCGTCGGCGTCAACGGCGTCGGCAAATCTACCAACCTCTCCAAGATATGCTACTTCCTCCTACAGAACCGCTACCGTGTTTTGATCGCGGCAGGCGATACCTTCCGCTCAGGCGCCGTCGAGCAGCTCGCCGTCCACGTCCGCAACCTCAAAGAGCTCACTGCCCGTGAGGGCGGCGGCGAGGTCGACCTGTACCAGAAGGGGTACGGCAAGGATGCGGCAACAGTGGCCAAGGACGCCGTTACCCACGCCGCGAGCAGTGGATACGACGTGGTGCTGATCGATACCGCCGGCCGACGACACAACGACCAACGGTTGATGAGCTCGCTAGAGAAGTTTGCCAAGTTTGCGCAGCCCGACAAGATCCTGATGGTGGGCGAGGTCAGTTTTCCCCCATCTCCTCTCGTTTGTTTTCTCTCCTCGTCTACGCAGCACTGACACAATGTACAGGCCCTCGTCGGCACAGACTCTGTTGCGCAAGCGCGAAACTTCAATGCCGCGTTTGGCACGGCCTCTCTGGACGGCTTCATTATCTCGAAATGTGACACTGTTGGCGACATGGTTGGCACGCTCGTCTCATTAGTCCATGCTACAAACGTGCCAGTCCTGTTTGTCGGTGTGGGACAGCATTACTCTGATCTAAGGAATTTCTCTGTCAAATGGGCGGTGGAGAAACTCCTGAGTAGTAGTACCTCATGAACGTCGTTCCATAGTTATCTTGCATAAATGACATGGAGTATTCGCGTGCAGTAACAAAAACGTATTGTGAGATGAGTGCAATCAATAATTATAATTATCTACAATGGGGCAGCAGCTATATCTGCTCCCTACAGTGCAATACACGCCATTGGTAACAAGCGACTTTGTCTCCTCGATGCCTATTTTCCTCCCGCGTTCCACCCACACTTCTTGAAATTCGACAAAGGAAATAAAATGGTTAAGAATAGTGTAAAAAAAGTTATCCTCCGAAGTGAAAGCGCTGCGCTGATTATGTCTTGGCTGGCGTACGTGCTCACAATCTGAAACTCAGGCGCGCGCATGCGAATGGTGTATGGGAGGGGCCAGTCTGTTGCTGAAGCCCTTGCTCGCAAAGAAAACTGACGTCCAAAATCCAGGGGGGGGTATCTTTCTAACCTTTTTTTCGCAATCTTGTGTAGGTAGATAAAAGTTGGCATATGAGCCATGACGAAAGAATTGCAAAAAGAAATCGTATAGTAAAAACAACACAACAGCCGCTCATTGTCCTCGAAGATGGAGATCTCACGATCACTCATCCACAAAGAAGCCTTCGTCATCAAAGTCCCCAGCTTGGGCATCCGAGTCGTATACAGCGGGGCGCATCATGGGCGGCGTGACCGGTGGCTCGTCACGCTGAAGCTGTGGTAACACTGCCTCAGGAGCAGGCATCTTTTCCGACTGGCGAACAGTCATCGATGTGCGACGTTCTTGGCCAGGTTGGCTGCCACTCCCGTGGGATGGATAACGACGTCCGGTGCTGCCAAAGGCTGTTGGCTGGGGCTTGCTAGCGACAAGAGGGCTTTGGCGAATACTCGAGGCCGGGGGCGTCATGAGTCCACCAAGGTGCAGGTTTGGGTGCTGGGGCCCAGGGCCAGCCTTTGACGGCGTGGCATTGCGAGAAGCCGCTGCCGAGTTGAGGCGAGCACGGCCGCTCATGCTGGTGAGGGACGAAGTGCTTCCCTTGCGCCAGCTACCCCATGCAGCTCCAATACTCTGAGCCACGCGGGGGGTCGCTGACTGGATGCTCTGCGCAAGGCTAGGGAGGTTGATAGCCGACGCTCCGTTCATCGCCCTCTCGCGCTCTTGCTCCTCCATCTGGAGACTGGCCTTGAGACGGATGGCGGCGTCCTTCACGCGGTTGCCGTCGACGTTCTCGGAGGAGAGTGCCATGATGATGTCTTGCAGGTCACCATGTCGGACAGCAAGGAGCTCACGCAACCAGCTGATCTCGTCATCCCGCTTCGAGATCTTGTTGGCGGCATCGGGGTCAGACTTTGCGACCGTTTGCTCAAGCTCCTCGATACGCTGCTCACGGGCTTGGAGCTGCTCCTGGAGAACCATGATGGACTCACGCAGAGCCTGGGGAGAGATCTTCTCGGGAACGCCAGACTGGGCAGAAATCGCAGCAGACTTTTGCTGGATTTCAGGGCTAGCAGGACCGCTGCGGGCATCGACACCAGCAGACTTGGCGGCGGCGGCGGCAGCAGCCGCTGCTTCCTTGGCAACTTCAAGTTTCTCTTCGAGGTGGGCGATGCGATCCTGGAAGTGCTCGATCCTAGAGGCAGAGAAGCTGAGACGCTCAAGCAGGCTTTGCTCGGTCTTGCTGTGCTCGTCCGCGGCAGTGCTACGTTGCTGCTCGTGGCGTGCCTGCAGGTCTTCCAGCTCATTCTGGTGGCTGGCACGGAGCTCGTCGAGCGCTGATGTCTTGGTGTTCTCAGACTCCTCGAGCATCATCTCGTGGTGGGCCTTGGCGTGATCGGCCTCAAGCTTGAAAGCTTCGAGCTGCTGGCGAAGCTTGTTGTTCTGCTCCTCGAGCTCTTCACGCACCATGTTGACCTGGTGGTTTGCAGCGTCGACTTCTGTCTGCATAGCCATGCGCGTCCTCTTGACCTCACTGGCGCCGGACTCACGAGCCTCTTCGTAGTCGCGGTCCGCTGCCAGCGCACGCTGCTCGAGCTTGTGATTCTCCGTGCGCAGTTCGCCCAGGAGAGTCTCAAGGCGCTCGCACTCCTTGATAGCACGCATGCCAGAACGTTCATTCATTTGCAAACGATCCATTTCCAGCTCGAGACGCTCACGCGTCTTGGCCTCGGCTTGTAGACGAGCATCGAGAACTTCCTGCCTGGCAAGCATGGACTGATCCTTCTTGATGCGGCGGGCATTCTCCTCGGCGATCTCGCGAGCGGCATTGCTCATGTCGTCCTGGAGAGACATGTACTTACCACGCCAACTCTCACGCAGACGTTCGTTCTCCTCCAATTGCGTGGTAATAGTATTGAGCGACTTCTGCAAGTGTTTGTTCTCCTCGACAGTGTGGGCAAGCTCACCAGCGTGGCGGCGAGCAGTCTCGTCCGAGCGCTCGGCCTCGGCGCGCCAGTGGTTGTTGTCTTGACGAACAGCACGAAGGTCAGCTTCAAGAGCGTTGACCTTGTTCGTCAGCTCAGCATGCGACTGAGTCGAGTTGGTCGAGTTGGCCTCCAACAGAGCCATCTTCATGTTCACCTTGCTGTTGGCCTTTTCCATGTTGCGGATGCGTTCGTCCTTCTCCGCGTTTGCCTCACGCAGGCGTTGTTCTTCCTCTGACGCGATGCGCAGCAGACGCTGGTTCTCAGACAAACGGTCCTCAGCAGAGCGACGATTTTCCACTTCCGCCTCGGTACGCTCCTCTTGATGACGAAGCTTCTCTTCCAAGTCACTGACCCTCTGGTCGAACACGCTCTTGTTGATGTTCTCAATTTCGATACGCGTCTCGGCATTCTGCAGTTGGCGTTGCAGATCGGTGGAAGTATCCTCGGCAGCTCTGCGGGCAGTGACCTCCTTCTCAACCTTGCTCTGCTCGTTGCTGAGCTGGTCTTCGAGATCCTCAACCTTACTTTGGAGTGCTTCCATCTTCTTGAACAGTTCAACGTCGGGATCAGCTGGCGGGGGCATTCTGCTCTGTACGGCATTCTCTATGAGGTTTTTAAGCTCATCGCCACCGAAGTCCGGCTTGGAGTTGGCAAGAACATGCTCCCGCATCTCAGTGATAACGGCGAGCAGGGCCGCGTTGCGGGCCTCCGAGTCATCTTCCGGCACAGCACGGGCCACGGTGGGCTGGGCTTGCTGGTGGGCTGTGAGGCTTTCCAAGACGGCGGCGCGGATTTGATCCATCTTACGGTCGCGACGGGGGCTCAATGAGCGACGCGGCGCAGGCTCGTCGTCTTCGTCATCGGCATCGCTCTGTCTGAGCTCTGCCGACATGCTCCTTCTGTCATGACGAGATGAAGTAGGACGGCCAGACTTGTAAGCCAAAGCATCCTGGATAGAGAAGAGTGCTTGCTCCAAGGGCTCGAGGCGCGAGGCCAGCAGATTCCCGACGACCTGGTTGACACGACCATCGAAGAACTGAGCGCGGCTCGCAAGCTTCTCGTGTTCGTCAGCAGAGAAGGCCTCCTCCCAGTCACTAGCCAAGGGACTTTGGGACTGCTCTGCTTCTTCGCCGACGGGCCAGCGCTGATCGACAGGATCCAGGAACGGATCTTCCAACTCGGGTGTCCGCAGCTTAGGCAGCTCCTGGTACTCGCGCGAAGCAAACTCAGTAGCATACTGCGAGTGAGGAGCAGGCGACTCGAGCTGGTGCGTCGGAGAATCGCGTGCCTCTGTAGCGGGCGCGGCCCTCTTGATCGAGTCGGTCGTCTTTTTAACTCCCAGCCTAGGGTCGTGAGCCATCTCCTCCATGATGGCATCGATCTCCTCAAAGGTCTGATCACCGTGCTCCTCAACGAGCGGCTCTTGCTCAACGGAGGGCAGGACTTCCTGCACGGGTTCAAGCTCAGGTGACGAGGCATCGGCAAAGCGGGAAGCCGCCAGGCCTTTGGGCTTGGGTGGTGGTGATGGCGACGCAAAACGAGAGGCACCAAGCCCAAGACTCTTACGCTTAGGTGTAGGAGACGCAGATCGCTTGTGTTGAGGTTCCTCGACAGCCTCTGCCGATGTCACAACCGAGGTGGCCGCCGCCGCTGGGGAAGCAAAACCTTCACCGGGAACGAAAGGATGTGCCGTAGCGGATAAGGAGGCACTGTGGCCAGATTCTTTGAAGAAAGAATCGTCACCAACGGGGCGGGCTTCGCTGAAGTTGCGCGCTTCGAATTGGGAATCGAACTCGAATGGCTTGTAGGTCTTGTCACCATCAGCGGCATCGACAGGCGATGACTCGGACGGCGCAGTAGTTGTCGCCTTGGTCTCAATGTGGTGATCAGTGCCAATGGATGACAAGGAGGTATCCGCGGGTGCGTTCTCAGGCTCTGGCTGGTCGTGCTCAGCTTCAGCTGCGGGTTCCTCGGCGATCTCATGGATGAGAACAGTATCGTCCCCGCCTTCGGGTGTATCCGACTCCTCAGCCTTGTTAGCCTCGCCCGATATCTGTTCACCTGTGGGCTCTTTCTCGGCTGGCTCCTGGGCTTCCTGGATTGTCGGTGTGCTGTCCTCAGGTTGGTTCGCAAAGAGGGGCACATCGTCGCCATCTGGTGCGCTGCTCTTGGCGCGCTTTGAGCGAGCATCATTAAGAGGACGGCCGTGCTCATCCTCATTGGCTAGATGTGCATCCTGACCTTCAGACGGGGGTGAAGAAGAGCGTCGGCTTGTTGGTCGAACGATAGGGATCGCTCTTGATCGCTTGGAAGATGCGTCCAGCTCGGCAGAGGAAATGCGGATGTTGCCAAAGATACTGGGACGAGAGCCATGGCCAACGTTCGAGGGCATGGGGCTGGTAACAGCTCGGAGGGGCGTGAACGCCGGAGCATCAGGCCTGAACTTCGGACCAGAGGAGGCGAAGCTGAACACATTCTGACCAGGTGCGAATGTATCGTTCTGTGCGCTGTCTGAGGTGTTGCCCGTGAAGGCAGGGATAGAAGACTCGCGCTCTTGGCGCGGCTGCACCTTGAGCTCCTCGGTCGCCACGTCCTTGACATCGGGAGCCTTTTCGACCTCGCTGATCTCACCCTCTTCCTTGGATTCGATGCTTGGAATGATGGGCTCTTCCGGCTTCGGCTTCTCGGGCTCAAAGGCGGCAGGTGGCTGGTATGGCTCTTGTATACCAGTATTGAGTACTGTCGGCTGGAAAGGCTGGCCTCCGAAGTTGAAAGATCCACTAGGAGTGAATGTCTTCTCGGGATTGAACTTGAACTCAGGAGCCTTGACATTCAGCTTAGACAGCGAAGGCTTGGTGCTGTGCGACACGCGCTGAGTTGTGCTGTCGACCCAAGGGTTGCTGACGGTGGAGGCGTTCTTCTGATGTCCCAACGATGCTGACATGTCGAAGTCTGGGTTAGGCGTGCCGAGGTTGCTCGGGTTCGTGTCGACCTCGTACGACTCATCGCCTCGTTGACTTTCAGGTATGCCATTCATAGGTGCGAATTGCTTCAAGTTGCCATGCTCGGCATTCTCGCTAAACGAATTGCCATCCTCATAGTAGTTGTTCTGCGTCAATGAGTGACCACGGCTATGCGGCCGGGGATGGTGCAAGACCATGGGCTTCCCAGGCTCATTGGCGAAATGCTCCGGAACAGGCTGGCCAGACTGCCTGCGGTTCTGCTGAGGGCTGTAATCCTCATGCTCAAGCTGGGTGCGGAACTGCTCTTCCAGATGATACTCTGCATCCTCAATCTCCGCTTGCACGCCGTCCTTGTTCACCTTACGTGCCTCAGGAGTCTTGGAGGGACTCTTGGAAACGCCCTCGTCGTCCTCACGCACCTCTTGCAACCTAGGCGAGGCTCGCATGGACTGTTGTTGCTGCAATTGCTGGTGAGGCAGCATAGGATATTGCAGTGACGCTTGCCTTTGGTGCAAATTGAATGCAGGACTGCCAGTCGGCTGCATACCGTCCACGCCAAAAGGTGATTGGGGCGACATCATACCATTGAGGTGAGCAAACGAGGGCGATTCGCTGCGGTCCATGCCCTGCACGCCTGGCCATTGACCTTGAGGATTAAACTGGTATGGTGATCCAGAAGGAGGGAAGGAGATGGACTGGCGTGGGTTGTATTTGCCTGGCTGGTGTCCGTAGGGTCCAGGTGAGGCAATGCCCGGGCTCTGAGCATTGAAGTGTTGGAAGGGGAACCCCATCGCAGACTGGTTGTGGTTGCTCGATGCCGAAGAAGCAGGCAGAGGCGGCGAAAATGGATTGAGAGGATATTGTGCGGAAGCCTGTCGACTCGGGTTGGTTATCGGCGGCGAAGGAGGCGCTGGGGGCTCCTCGTCAGGCATGGAAACACCCAGAGCGCGAAGCTTGGCTTCTCGTAGCTCATTCTCGTAGGTTTTCCAGGCTGTTGCCGTTAGTAAGAATCCCGTTGTCGAGAGCAAGACAAAACTTACCGTTCAGGTCTGGGAGCTGAACCTGGTACTGCTTCTGAGATCGCTCGTGGATGAGGTCTTCAGCCTGAGGCCAGTCCCCTCGACTTTGCGAGTCATCTGTCCCAGGGGGCTGATATCCTTCCACCAAGAGATCGAACCCGTCTGTGCGGTAGCCGAGTTCTCTCCATGAAGCGAACATCTTTTCAATCTCGTTTTGGCGCAGTGGTCTTGGAGCTTTGCCCGGCTGTCCCCTCTCCTCGTCCCGAGGTAGCAGGACCAGAATGTTCTTGCCATTCCAAGGAATCTTCTTCTTGATCCGGGGCGTCGATTTAGGTTCCTTCGGTAACGGCTTGTCCACCTTCCGAGTGGGTGTGGCAGGCAATTTCGCTTCGTCATTGCTTTCTCTCGCGGGAGTTCCTGACCTTGGGATTTCGTTCTGGGCCGAGGCAGCCTCCTGTGTCTCTCCGACAGGTGCCTCGGGCATGGCTGCTGTTTCTGGGGTAGCCATGGCGATGACTTTGCGCGTTCGTGGACTGGGTTTCAGTGTCTCGATGCTGGACGCGCCGCGATTACGTCTGCTAATGCGTCGAGCAGCTTCTTTCAATGCCGGATCAGCCTTTGGCGTGCGGTTTTGGTCTTGCTCTTGTTTCCAGTCCTTTTCCGAGCCGCTCAATGAAGAGTGCTCACTTTCACTTCCGTCGCTGAACCAGAGTCGAGGTTCAACGTCGTTTACACCGGACGTGTGCGTGCGGATCCAATCTTCTGTCAACCCTCGCGCTTGTGTTTGCCTTCGTACGCGATTAGCGAGGACCGCAGCTGCAGCGCTGATAGACGAGTTGGGATCGGCGTCGTGGTGTGCGTCGTCACCCTCGAAAAGCTCGGGTGCAGGTCGCAGAAACGGTGTGTCGATAGCCAATTGATGGAGAGGCGAGTCGTCGGAGCCGTCGTCGCTGTCGAGGCTGTCCGGCTGAAGATTGTGGTCGGAGCTAGGGTAAGGTGAGCCCCAGCTGGCCGTGCCAAAGTAGTTCTCGTCGTCAGCTGCACCCTCTGGCGTTCTCAGCAGCTCCTGAGCCCGCGCTGGCAGTGATGGTGCTGGCAGAGGCGGTAGAGCAGGCGACGAGTGAACGTCGTCTTGTCCGTCGGCAGTAGACGCGTCCGACAGAGCAGGTGAGCCAGCGCCGTCCCGTGCAGTAGCACCAGGCGGGTTGGTGGTGGGCGATCCAGGGGGCGACGTCGTAACGGGTCAAGTCGAGACACAACGCAGACGAAGTGGCAATCGTCTGCAGCTGAAGTCTCGGATCGTGCGTCCTCTAGAGTCGTTCGGGCGAGCTCTCCGGTCGTTTTGGAGAGACGCTGCGAGTTGCCGTACGGGTAAAGGGAAGGTTGTTGTTGAACGCGACGCGTGCCTCCGTGTCCTTCACCTCTTAGCTTGGCGGGCGACTTTTCCCCGTTGCTTTAATTTCAAGTATGGAGATAGGGGTCGCGGGCCAGGGTGCACGTCGAATTCTCGTCCTGTCGTGACTCGGAAGACTCGTCGCAGCGTCGGATCGACCAAGTAGCTCGTAAAAGACAAAGAGAATAGAGAAGCGACACTGATTAGTGAAGCCGGGGAACTGCACAGCTATTGCAAAACGAGGAAGACATCGATTCGCGCAGCTGGTCGGGTTCCACAGTCGCTGACGGGCTTAGAGCAACTGCTGGTTCACCAATGACACGAACAAGCGTCGCTGGAAATATTCGTCTCCCGATGATGGCTGGACGAGAGGATGGGAGACTTTTCCAGATTAAGAGGATGGAAGGAGGAAGGAAGGAAGAGAGAGATTGACAGGATGAGAGGTAACAGCAGGAGCAACGCCAAGCATGGGAGGATATGGCTGGGCTACAGCTTCACATTGGACGCTGGCAGGCACGACGGGCCAAATTTTTGGGCAGGTCACGTCTCCTTTCCCGGGGCTAAGGGGGACTTTGGGTGCTGCAGGCGGCTGGCATCGCTGGAGAAGTCCGCTGATGCACTGATGGGCGGCATCGAGTCCCATCATTTCACCCACGGGTCCAATCTGCGTGCGAGGTTGTGCCAGGGTGTCGCGCAGGGGTCTGTAGTGGAGAGTACTTGAGGTTGGGTGTGGGACGCTGCGGAGGCCAAGTACCTATCGCAGTACAAGACGCGCTCCGGTGGTAATTCTCGCGCAATGCGTTGGCAATGAATCAATGAACCCACTGAAAATGGGACCCTTCATCAACACGTTGCTCAACTGCATGTGAAGTGGCGTCACTTGGTCGGACGTGAACACAATAGTGAAAACGGAATCAACTTAGCGCTGCCCGTATGGACATGAAGAGACGAGATGATAGTAATCGTGATGGTTGCTGCCATGACACGAAGCTCAAGTACGTCACAACCATCCTCAAAGAAAAAAAAGAGGCCCTTCCGCCACACCCAGATCCTCGGCTCGGGCCTGGCGCAAACCCAACCTCCATTCCCGTTGTTGGCGCATTCCAGAACGGCACACAGCTCTCGGCAAGGTACACTATAGATACTCAGTTGACAGTAGACTTTGAGCAAGAGATGCGAGTCCAAGAGTTTGACCAGAATCGCAGCATTTGTTCTGCTTCACCTTATGCAAGGAAATCGGACGCCAGCGAACCGTCCAGGCAGCATGTGGCACGGATAGCGTGGTGTGGGCGAACAATGTCCAAAAAGGGCGGTCAGGCTTCGCCGCCGAGGGGCGGCCCGCACCAGCCTACCGTGAGAACCGACGAAGCAGAGCTGCTTTTGATACCAAACTGGAGCAAGCAATGCTGTAATTGGCAGGACACTCGAGCTTTGCTTCTCAACGCGGATTCGCTTGCATTCTGTCGAGCATGATGGTTCCAAGGGCGGCGTACGCATTAGCGTTACGAAATTGTGTTCTGCGAGCGTCTGCGTTGAATGACTCGCGATCATGACGACCATGGTGATAGCTTGAAGCCTATGGGGCATGCATGTCTTGATCGAAAGGAGCGACGCAAGATAGACTGCCAGTGTCGAGTAAATTGGACCGACGACACTTGTCAAACCTTCGAGTCGACTACTAGTTGCAGGGTAGGCATTCACAGAGGCATGTGAGCAGTTTCGACCAGACAACCAACCGATCCTCGAGTGGTGGCACGATAGCTCACATCATTGCTCCTTGTCGCTCGGGGAAGGGAAAAGAAACAAGCACAGAGATGTCTGACGAAGCAGCCCGGGCCGCCCTCACATATACTCGTTGGCTAACAGCTGAGTGAGCTTCAAATATGCTGATATTAAAGTAAATGTCTAATCTGATACCATGGACAAAACCCACGTACAAAGCATCGCTATGCAATTCTGGCAAATTCTTCATCTCCAGATCAGAAATCGTACGGGTAAAACAACATAAATAAAAAAAAAACCGGAGGCTTTGCACTCATCATCCTTCCCTCCTTCCACGCCCGCATGCCCACCACTTTTTAAAAGTTGGACGACGCGTTCACCGGCTGCGTGGGCGCGTGGTACCCCTCCAGCGTACTCTGGAACGGACTCTGCCCTGTGCTAGTCATCGTGCCCGACGCCGTGTGGCCGCCCGAGGTGCTGGGGGGTTCGCCCTTGTCGACCTGGGTGTAGCCGCCATTGTACTCGCCCATGAGGCCGGCGTCTTCCTCGGCCGCCCTTTTGCGGGCGCGGATGCGCCATGCGACGACGCCCAGGGCGCCGAGGAGGATGGCGCCGCCGACGCCGACGACGACACCAATGACAATGTTGCGGGTGTTGGTGGACATGCCGCTGCCAGTGCTCTTGTCCTCGCCGCTGCGCGGGTCGGGCGTGCTGGTGGTGATGGTGGAGGACGTCAGGGTCTCCTTGGAGCCGTCGGAGTTGGTGCGGGTCACGGTCTCGATGGCGGTGGAGACGACGGGTTCTTCGGTGGTTGTGGTCTTGTCTTTCCCATTGTCTTTGGTGCTCTCGGCAGTAGAGGTAGGCTCCGCATCTTTCGTGGTTGTAGAGGCAGGGGTATCCTCCGAGGTTGTGGTGGGTTTGGCCTCGGACGTGCTTTCGTCCTGAGATGAGGTGGTTTTCTCGGGCGTTTCCTCCTGGGTGGTTGTGGTCGTTGTGGCTACATTCTCTGAAGTGGTGGTGGTATCTTCTTCTTTTGTCGTGTTTGTAGTTTCAGGGGTTCCTTCACTCGTGGTGGTCTCTGCAGCAGGTGAGCTGGTGGGCGTGCTGTCGCCGCCACTGTCCGAGCTACCATCGCCGCTGCCGGGTGTGGGAAGAGAAGTGTCGTCGTCCGTGTTGCCGCTGCTGTCCTGACGCTCTTGCAGACCGTACTTGTCGTAGCGGACAGCGTGACGGGAGTTGGCTTGGGCGACGGCGAGGAAGCCCAATGCCACTAGGAGCAGCTTGAACATTCGAGTCGCGTACATTTTGGCGCTTGTGTTGCTGCGTAGCTGGATCGAACGAAGTTGGAGAGATCGTAGGTTTGCCCGACGGGCTTTGAGGGCGTGTGAAACGTCTCCTCCGTTTCAGGTCAGGTGATGGATGACTGGATATTGAGCTCGCTTTCTGTCGCCCAGCCTGGGTGATAGGCTAAGGGGTTCGAAGTTGGGAGCCGTGACGCGCGTCCAAGGTAGAGAAGACAACGAAAGTAGGGACTAGTTAAGAGAAAGAGAGGCTAGGATCGTGTGTAATCAGGGACAGCTATGACACAAGCGAGAGTGAAAGAAGATTGAGCGAGCGCAGGACAAGGAGATGGATGGAGAGAAGGAAAATGACGGCCCGAGCCTGACTGAGGGCAGCGTGACAGATGGAGACAGACAAAAAGCTCGTATCCATCAAGTTCTGGAGCTGACGCAGGCCCACCAAAAGGCTGCACAGGCCAGTTGAGGCTAGCACGCCCCGTTTTTAGGGTCGCAGTGACACAAAAAACGGAGCTCAACACCAGGCATAATGTTGCGCTGACGCTGACGGTATGTTTATTACAGCAGCATAATTCCTACGTGCATGTCTCAGAGCGCACCTAAATCGTAGCCAGAACTAATGCATTGGTGTTCTCAGTGTCATGCGTTATCAAGGCTGCGACAGGCACAGCCACTGCATGGATGGATGGGTGGACTGAGGCGCATGTCACGATGTCATGGTCCACCATGGAGTTCGTTCTCCTGAACATCATTGCATGAATGAGGCATGCTGATCCATGGCCAGAAATCCCCCCTTGGCCTGCGTAATAGTCTCCCCAGAGTCCCAGACATCGAGTTGTCCCTTTTTCATTGTGAGAATGCACTTTTCGATATCTAACATGTGGCCGGCAGCTAGTCGCGCACCGTCGGCACTCCATGCATTCCAGTGGACAACGCACATGTTTCCTGAAATAGCACCCTCGACCCCCAACCAGGCTTCCCAAACGTTCCAAAGGCCGTGAGAATCAATGGCTGTGGACTCGAAGCAGAAAATCTATTCGAGTTGCTTCATCATCGGAGGATTGTGCAAACAAGGTTAAGCTTAGGGGCAATCTGATAATCTTCAAAAGACCCGAGATCGAACTACAGTTTGGCACTAATGAGCAATTACGCAACTCTCCGCCAGGCGTCGCGTCGTGAAGTGGAGGGCACTGTAGCCGGGAGTGGCTGTGCTGTGCTGGCAGCCGCCGCTATACGTGCGACAAGTGTGCCACACCACATATCATATAAAAGAACGCAATATGGCACCTCTGTTCCAGGGCACTGTGTCCTCGAGGCTTAACTTGTAATGTATGATAATGCAACGCATGGTCATGGCCCGACCACGCGGGCTACGTAGCAAAACTAAAACCCAAGAAATAACTCTCTCTCCACGTAAGCATCAAAATGATGCACCCGCCAATGATCCTGTATCTGATCGTCTATGTGCATGTGCCAGCCTGCAAAAAAAAATTCGTGTTCGTCGTTAGAAGAGATGAAAGTGAAAACAGCCAAGGAGATGGAAGAATATCGCCTAGTCGTGCGAGAAACACAGAAAGACAGCGACCGCAAGTGACAGTGTGCTGTACGGACGGTAACAATCCAAGTAGTATGTGTGAAGTATGTCGATGAAGGTACAAGAGCGAAGACAACGCTGTCAGAGATGGGCAGGTTTCTGCGGACGATGCTTATGCTGGTACGCCTCTGTGCAGTGGCTGGCTATGAGTGTGGGGTGCACGCCCAGGGAGGCCCTTCACTCCAGGCCGGTGGAATGATGGCATTTGCCGCGCGGGTACAGGTCGCTGCTGTAGCTGTTGCTGTTCCTCCAGACGGGGCGACAAGAGTGGGCTCAGTGGTTGGCCCGAGGACCGTCTGTAGCCTTGCGGCACATGATAGTCGAGCCGCGCTCGGGGATCCTCGAAGTGAGACGCAGGGAGGATGGGGTACCCGCGTAGGGACTGCACTAGGACCAGGTCACAGTCTGGCCCACGAGGATCATGCTGAGAAGGCCATGGGGCGTACGATGGCGGCGGCGGCCGTCCCGACTTTGGCCTGCGCTTCTTCTTCGAACCGCGCGTGCGTATGCTGATAGGGGGCGGAGTCTTGGGCTGCTTCTGCGAATAACAGCTGACAGAACCAGGGCTGGCAGGTTCCGAGACAGTCTCAAGGAAGTCGGGCGCTGAAGACATGGTGCGGAGACGGGGATAGGCGTGGGGAGCATGAGCTTCTGGCGTCTTGGTTCTCGTGTGCGCTCTCCGCGGCGGTTTCGAGGGCACATGGGCAGGAGGCAGTGGCGCAAACGCCGCATCAAAGGCACTGTCGCCAGCGCTCCGACGTATGTTATCAATGCTGGACGCCTGTGCCTCGTACCCGAGGACGTAGTCTGGGAGGAAGTCGTCGTCGTCGTCGTCATGATCGGTCTGAGGTCTCACTTTTCGAAGAATAGATTTGCGATTGCCCATGGACCGACTTGAAGGCACAGATGGCGTGCGGTCAAGGTTGCGGTGTTGCGTAGTACTTTCCGAACCGAGAGACTTTTGTGGTCGGTGGAATCCGCGATGAGTCGCGGCATGTGGCGAACGCTCTCTGACTTCACGGCTCTCGACAACAACTTCTTTCGGCATCTGTGGGGTAGCTTTGAGGGAGAACCTCGCTGCGGAAGCCTCAAAATTGCGACTGTGCTCTTCGACTTTGGCACCGGCGTCCGAAGGCATGGATGGTATTCTTTCCAGGCTGTGTTGATCACCAGCGGCGATATTCGGGAGACTGCGGCGGCGGGCAGAGTTGACAAGCTTGGTGATTGTCTTTGCCTTGGTCTCCTCAGCGTCCAGCACCGTAGTCGGTTCGACCTTTACCTCTGTCTCCAAAGGTTCCTGACGGAAGCGGACTTCCGGCGATGAAGATCCCCGAGAGTGCCCGAGCTTGGTGCGGGATTCTTTTGCTTTCCTAGCCTTGAAAGAGCCTATGAAGCTACCGGTCCTCGAAATAGGCTTGGTCTGTGATTCTTCTTCTTCAGGCGCGACAATGGAAGGCTCATGCCCTGCTTCGGTACTAGGAAACTGTGCTGTCGAAGGTTGGTAGGGCGAGTGGTGTTGCAAGGTCGGGCGCTTCTCCAGCACCTGAGGCTGTTCCTGCGCCGCGTTTTGCTGCGCCTGCGCCTGTTTCGCCTGTTGCTGCTGCTCCTTCTTCTTCTTTCTCGACCCAAAGAACGATTTCAAAGACAGACTCGATCCGTAGCCACTGTCTGCTTTCGATGGCGGGCCTGTCGAGCTCGAGAGCGAAGACTTGGAGCCAGCTCCACTGACAGGGCGGGCCTCCTCTTCAGTCGCCGCTGGCTGCTTCACCGGCGCCTTTGTGGATGTGCGCTTCATCTCCAAGGGGGCGTCATTATCCTCGTATGAAGAGGGCTGGGTGACCGGCGTGAGTAGACTGGCGTCGTTGCCCTTGGCTCCATCGCTTGGTTGCGAGAAGGGTGAATGATTCGATTCGCTTGTCGAACTTGTAGACTGGCCAAAAGAGGCGACCAGCGGCGATATTGGCTTGGGGTGTTGGATTTCAGTAACCGGGGGATCATGATCCTGCGGCGCTGGCCCGAAGGGCGACGTTTCCAGCAGATTAATTTCATTCCTAGGGGTCAATCCGTCCCCAGGACTTGACACGGGCGTCCCATTCGTGACCCGCAACGAGCCGAACCTAATCGCACCCAGCGACTTGTAGTCGTTCTCCGATGGTGTGGCCACACGGTCGGGTGTGCCACAAGGGGGGCTGGGTAGCATGGAGTGCGGTCGGACCGTCGGCGGCTTCTCGAACGAATTGCGTCGTGACGGAAGGCTTTTTCGGTGACTCCGTTTCCTGGACATGGGAGGCTCTTCAACCTGCGGCTCAGCTTCGGACCGTGTTGCGACCCCAGGCGTCAGAATCGCTGAGCGACGACGCACGGGAGCGTAGAGCGAGACCTCGGGCTGTGAGCGACCTAGCAGGGCATTCATGGCCTGCTGGTTCGACCCGATCGTGGGCAGCGCCTCGGGAACATCTGGCTGACTAGTGACGGGCGATGCCACCTTCGCGTTGTCCGGGGTCCGACATAGGCGGTACTGGTTGAGTGGTGTCAAATCGTAGGTGCTCGCCCGGCGATCGAGACGGAGCTGCTCAAAGGACGTAACGGATGTCAATGGGCTGGTAGGAGCTTTATGCACCACCGATTTGGGCCTCTCGATGCCATGGAATGTTTTGGATGGCATCAACCCCGTGCTCTGACGTCGAGTGACCCTCTCCGGCTGGACTGTCGAAGAACGGAATAAACCAGTCCGTCTGCTCTCTTCGCCATTTGTCACCAGCTCAGCGTCTTCGATGATTGTTTCATTGACCCCTCCAATCATCGGCTCTTGCGCCTCGGCAGGCGGCGCGCCTGCTACGAGGTACGAATTGGAGAATCGTCCGATAGCTGGGGTTGATGCACTGGCGGGATGGGGATGATGGCCGGTCGTGGATTGCAGGGCGCCTGTCGACGATGCAGTGTGGTTGCCCACGCGAGGTTTGGAGAGCTTCTGGGGCGCTCGACGGGGCTGTGCCTCAGTCGAGGGTTGATTGCCCATTGTAGGGAGGAGCGTAGTATTATTATATCGATGTATTGCGGTAGTGAAGATGGATGGTTAATGGTGGCTCGCTAGGCGAGTTTGGCAGTGCTGTGTTGCCTACTCCATGTCTCAGTAGTCGCTAGAGGAATCCATTCTCCACCCAGACAATAAATGTGTTAAAAAAAATATAAGAAAAGGTATACGAGTACAACCTCGTAGTCGTCAACGAATGTAAGGGAACAAACGAGTGTGTAAGGTAAGGTAAGCAGCGAAAGAAGAAAGCAAGGTAAACGGTATGGTTGATAGATGGGGGAGGGAAAAGCGACAGATGGTGCAGAAAATGGACGCGCGCGATTGGGTTCAGTTAGCTCGACAGCAGAACAAGGCGGCAGGAGGGAAAAAGATGGGGATTGTGTGACATTCGCATTGGACGATTGGCTCCTGCCCGTTGAAACGGGCCAAAAACTTGGAATGCCAAATGCTGCGGCCCTTATCGCGCGGCTGCTATTCTCCGGAATGCATTTGCAATTTCATGTTTTTAGCGTTCATGTATCCGTACTATTTGATGTATCAACTACTAGCTGTTCCCGTCTCTCGACATTGATCGAACAAGTCTTGCAAAGTTCACGTACATGTACGATATGACCCTACCAGATGCAGAAGATGAAGATCGACCACGGTGATCTCATCAGGGGCAGGCTGTCTGTGACTGGCACTCTTGGACCTTGCTGATGCACTGGCCTTCTAGCTCCGCAACGTCAGAGCAACGCAATTCTCTACGAAACGAACGACACATCATCGGCGACCGCAATTTAACCAGATCGTCTGTAGCAAAGGCCTCCGACATCATTGCATCCGTGGGCCGTGATATCCTGCCCCGCCATATTATCCCCGTTTCACTTCCACATGCAGCGCCTCCAGTCGCCTTGGCTGCACGATGGCACAGGGGTTCTTCACTGGCAATTCGCAACGCCGGGCGACGAGCAATGTACAATTGCGGGTGAGCGCTGTGACTGGTTGGCGTTGCAAGAACACTGAACTTTCGGAGTGATTGATCCTCACGCCCGCGTATTCGGATTTGATTCATACGTCGCGTTCGCATCTCGTACGGACGGACACTTGTCGATGTTTGAATCAAATCGCGGTGGAGATTCATGCCTTAGTGCAAGTGCATGTCTTGCACAAGGTAAGTCAGCATTGCTTGGCGTCATTAGAGACTGTACAGTAGACAAACGCCTCGACGTCATTTTGATATTTGGACGCTTTCTTGGCTTCGATAAAATGACCCAAGCCCGAATTAATTATACTATCCAGAAATGAAATGACAACTCTCCACTATTATGTCCTGTACTAGTATGAAGTGGGAGCATGGAGGCCGAACAGAACGATAGTACGGAGTATGGATGGTTCGGTCAAAGATCAAAGTCATGTAACACTCGCCATCTCTTTCTATTATGAGGTGCTCGTGCAATTGTCGTACAAGTAGTACTGAAACTTCGATCACTCTCCAATAACATACTGACATCCATTGTCGCCAACCCAGACCTCATGCACTCGTCCCGCTTCAACGTCGACCCTATCTCCCACCCCATACTTGACCTTCTCCCGGCTCTCCTCTCTCGGGTACCACAGCGTCAGCTCCCCCTCGACGATGAGATGCGTCGTCAGGCCAGCATGCGAGTGTGGGGGATAATGCGCGTTTCTGGCGATGGTCAGCTATCTTGCTGTAGGGTAGGCCCATCGGCCAAGTGGTGGGTAGGCAGCTCCATGTGCTTACGGTCCATCTCGCCAGGTGAAGACGTGGTCAAAGCCCCAGGAACGGACTTGCTCCTCGTATTGATGTGTTGCTTTACCCATTGTGAGTTGATAGGTTCCTTCAGATGATGCATGCCGTGCCATGCCATCAGATGGATGAGGAGAATGCAATGCGTTCACGAATGAGTGACCTCATCCAAGCCGGGCGCCACACTTCATGTCTCCACTCTAATTATGCCGCCGCCCGTGACGGTCGCCCGACCGCCCCGACCCGTCCGTCTACGCGTGGTGTCGGCCCCTAGACTGTAATTAATTAATTAGCGAGTCATGGTCCGTCAGGGGCAGGGCTTCGTCGTGGAAGATCAGGGCAGACACCATGGAACTGATTTCAGCAATATCATCACCAACGAGTGTCCCCGGCATGAATAAGTTGGAAGCAGAGTTGATGGGAAAGCACCGGTTGGGCACGAGAGGACCGGGGTCAGGTTGAACGTCTCAACAGGGCCTGCGACGGATCAGGTCGAGCTCGCTTCATTGCGAGTAGAAACATTACTTGTGCCGTTTCGTTCATCAATAATTATCAGTACGTAGTATATCGTGATGGCGGGGCTCATGTGGCATCTGGAGAAACAACACTTCGCGCGGAACCCGGGTTCGCTGCCTGCAGGCGACTTCGCCACGATACGGCTGGAGGCATCAACAACAATTGAGGCAATGCACAGCCATACGCCCAGAGGCGGCACGCTCTTGGAGGGCGTCACAGCTCATGAGCGACGCTACAAGCTGTGTACGGAGAACACCGCAGACGTTTCGCGCTGTCCGAGGACAGGATTGGCTTCCCTTCAGTCTTCGTCGTGCTCGAGTCTGCTGCTCTCTGGCTGCCACTATCGCGACACTAATCATCTTTAGGGCTATGCTGCATGTTCCAGACCCCTGCCTTTGGGATGCAGACTGCAGTCAGCAATGCCCCCCGCGCCCCGTCAGCGCAGGTTTGCGAAAGAAATAGAGGCGTCCGTCGCCCGGTGGTTATCTTTGGAAGCCTCTCTCCTGTTGCCCAGCTTTTTGGACGTCATTGAGCAACGCCCGAGTCTTCGCTGGGGTCCTTGGATGTTGGCAAGCAGCACATGTCCAGGGCGTCAAAGAGGAGCACTCCAGCAGTCCATGTGGCCTCTGCCGTGTGGATGCCCCTGTCATCAGCGAGCCACTCAACAAGTTGGAGTCTGGACGCTTGGTTGCCCCGTCTTCGCCTGCAGCCTTACCCGTGGGGCGGGCGAGCGCGCGCAGTCAACGATCAACCCCGTTCGAGACTTGGCGGACTTGAGCTGACAATTAACTGCCCATCCATCGCCTCCGCTCGCTCGTCGTCTTCTCCCATTACCGTGTCTTGCGATTTGATTCCGACCCAATCGATTTGACAGTTCTTTCACTTTAACTGAGAATTGCTGCCCGAATACTCAATCGCTGCCAGTCCGCGCTTCGTGTGCGGCTAGACGGGGCGCCCTCGATGCCGCCGACCCAGCGAGAGCTGGATTGACATTCTCTACTGCGATCCGAGACGACCTCGGTCCCTCAAGCCCGCCATGTCACTGAGCTGCGGTATCCTGAGCCGTTTCCGCTCCAGAGATGACTCGAAAGACGGCGCGCAGCGATCCTCGCGCCTCCGCGGCCGCGTGCGCACCATGTCCATCTTTGGCCACACCAGAGGCCCTTCGCGCGATACCTTGGGCAACATGGTCAAATTCACCGCCTTCCCCTCCCCGAAGCCCGACGCGTGGAAGAAACCGACGTTAGCCAAGGACTTTTCGACTGTGAGCTCTTGCTTCAAGGACCCGACACGGACGGCGGAGATGAGCACGGACATGCAAAAGGTCCTTGACAACGTGTACGCGGATCTCAAGGGCGACGATGCGGAGCTGTCGAAGACCAAGTTCGAGGCGTTCTTGAGGAATATTCAAGGCGAGACCGCGGTGTCTGTCGAGCAAAGGGAAACCTTTGACAAGGGCGCCTTCATCTACACCTGGACGACGCTCTACTCCCGCGCTGTACGAGCATTGCCGCCCAAGGACCTCTCAAAGCCTCTGACCAACTACTTCATCAACAGCAGCCACAACACCTACCTTGACGGACACCAAATGGTGGGGTCTAAGAGCTCGCCTGATGCGTACCGCAATGTGAGCCTCACTCGCCATCATCGGATTTAGCAAGAGAAGATGCTGATATAATCGCAGGTCCTGAAGAATGGTTGTCGCTGCATCGAGATTGACGTCTGGAACGGCGACGCCGCCGTGATACCCACGAGCTCGAGGCCCGATAAGCTCGGCCATCAGCGAGGGTTATCCGGCATCTCAGGCAGCTCCTTGCCATTCGTCGCCAATGCCTTCCACGACACCGTCAACGACACATACAACCATCTCATTGGCGAGAAACCGATCGGTCATTCCCGCAGTGCGAGTTCGACCACTCAAGCGGTCAACCAGAGCGAGGACGTTTCACCAGGGACGAGTACTCTTTTCGCGCCCGACGCCAAGACCTCCATGGACAAGCTTGACGTCCAGAGACCCTCCTCGTCGAGACCACCCAGAGGCGAGCCCATTGTGACACACGGCTGGACGTTGACGGCGGCCTGTGGCTTCCGTGAGGTATGCGCTGCTGTCATGGACTCGGCCTTTGTCAACAACGACCTTCCCGTCCTCGTCAGCCTCGAAGTCCACGCCGACCACGACCAGCAAGAGATCATGGTCCAGATCATGAAAGAGGAATGGGGCGATGCGCTGATCTCCGAGGCTTTGCCCGGCTGCGACCCCAAGTTTCGGCTCCCTCAGCTCGCGGACTTGCGCAACAAGATTCTGGTCAAGGTCAAGAAGGCCCCCAGCAAGATGGTGAAATCCAACACAATTGACGTCCCACCCACGTCCTCGGCCATTGATGACACCACGGACTCGGAAGACGAGAAACCTCGACCCAAGCTGAACAAAGCGTCCGCATCAGACCCCACGGGCGAGGTCACCACCAGGCCAGAGGTCAAGGAGCCCGCCTTTCTCATATGCCAGTCTCTCGGCGACCTCGCCGTCTACACACGAAGCGAGAAGTTCTGCAGCTTCGACACCCCCGAGGCCAAGAAGCCACCCCACATCTTCTCCATCAGCGAGAACAAGATCCTCGACCTCAACGAGAGGTATCATCGCGAAATGTTCAAACACAACAAGGGCTTCTTTATGCGTGCCTACCCGGCCGGTCGGCGCATCGCCAGCACGAACCCCGACCCCTCGCTCTTCTGGCGCAAGGGTGTCCAGATGGTCGCCATGAATTGGCAATGCTTCGACGAGGGCATGATGCTCAACGAGGGCATGTTCGCCAACGAGCAGGGCTGGGTGCTCAAGCCACCCGGCTACCGCAGCTCCGATAAGGCGGTCGAAACGCAACACGATGCCGCGCCCGGCAGCATCCTGGACCTGACCGTCACTGTCTTTGGCGGCTTCAATGTGCCCACCGACGCCGTCGACGACGGCAATGGCCATGGCAGTGGCAACGACCTACATCCAGTGGTCAAAGCCGAGCTGCATGTCGAAAAGGCCGAGGACGACGGACAACGAGGCCAGACGCAGGGCTGTACCTACAAGCAAAAGACCCAGCCCGGGAAAACCAGCCATCCCGACTACGGCGTCAGCGGACAGAATCTCCGCTTCCTGGGAGTACCCAAGGTTGTCCCGGAGCTCAGTTTCTTGAGGTAAGTCGCCATTTTTCATTGTCTTACATATCTTTCCGCCTGGGGTTTCCGCGGACGTGGCCACATCCCCCGGCGAGATGCAGTCATTGCCGACTCCTGGGTTCCCGTGACGGTCGCACATGAGGCTATTGCCAGCCCAATCTGCGTTGTATCTGTGACTGCGGTGTGCCGATGTAGTCACTCGCTGTGCAACCCGGCTCTCTATCCGTGGTACCCCGACGATCCCGAATGTCAATCGGCACAGCAGATGACTAGTTTTCGTCAATCAGACGTGGCTGTTTCTGTTTCCACCCGAGAATCGGGTTGGGGGATCGGCGCAATGTTGCGCTTTGGAATATATTGGCTGACATCTTCTCGACAGACTGAAAATCGAAGACGATAGGCTCGTTGGCTCTTCCCTGCTCGCCTGGGCATGCATTCGGTTGGATCGTCTCCGCCAGGGCTATCGTTTCATCCAGCTTATGGATACTCGTGGGCATCCCGTTGATGGCGGGAAACTGTTGGTCAGGATTGTTAAGACCTTGCGATGACGGATCGCTTTATTTCGTGCTGCTTGTATATTCGCATTGGGACATAACAGGTCGGAACCCCCTGTCGCTATCATCATACCCGGGCAAAGGCGTTTGGTGTTTGGTGGGTGCTAGAGTAAGGTCGACGTATTGGGCCGTAGATATCGTAAGGCATCTATTGATTGACGTTTGAATTTGTTACAGCTGTGCATCGGGCGTGCTACTGTCCACCACAGCTGCCATTCACCGACGGACAGTGTGTTTGGTGGCTCTATCAAGGCCAATAATTCAAGCTCTGCTCGTTGCTCCCGACGGACATGGTGGCTTGCTATACCGCCAGTTTGGGCCATGGCGATTCTGTGCTACCGACGCCACGTTGTCGTACTTGTCATGTAGCACAGCATGGCGGATGCATGTGCCGTAGAGTTCTCCCTGGAACTTGTATGGACACCGCATTTTTGATGGTGGTATTGAATGCCATGGGCCATGGCTGGTGTCGGAAAGTGTTCGTACCAAAGACAAAGCATCCACAGGATACTCTAGAAGGTCCGTTCTGGAAGGCCTGATCTCATCTCGAGAAAAGAGACAAGATAGGGGACTCGCTGCAGGGCTTGCGTGCGCGCTTCGTGTGACCTCGCCAGTTAGTCAACAATAGGGGTGTTGGTGACTGCCCGCCGCGAGCGCACAGACAGAAACGCCCTACCCTCCACTCGACATCTGACGAGAGTGCACGCCAGACCTCATGGCTGTGCGCAGAATGTTTGATCTTTGTCTTGCTCTCGCAATGTGACAGGCTGGGATGTCAATCATAAAAGGCGCACGGTGACAGGTGCCAAGCCAATCAGCCGACCTACCCTCCCGATCCAAAGCCTGACCGGTGAACCGTATAGTTGGAACTTGTTGTCCCTCTTGGACGGGAAGTTTACGCGACCTGTCCCGTGAAATGAGGCGTCCGCAGCATCCCGATGCGTCGTACCGCTTTCTGTTTAGCGAGTGCTACCAAACGAGCGGAACGCGAACCTATTGGTGAGTTACTATTAGAGGAATCCAGCCAGGTTCTCCATCAGCTGTCACATATCCGTTCTCGCATCTTATGATAGCTGACTGGGCGCTATTGGCGCCTCTAGGACAGCGCTCGCGAGACGGACACGTACGAATAAAACCTCCGTCGCGGCGTGCGAACCAACGTGATGTGCGACATGCTGCAGATCATGCGGTACATTAGGCCTGGTCGATCGACGACGAGGGTCCCCAGCTTGTGGCTTGTTGAGACAAAGTGACAAGTCACGCCAACGACCTGTCACTTCACACCCCCTGCGCTGCCTGCGGTGACATGAGCAACGGCTCGTCGAGGTCCCTTGGGCCCCAAATTTCAGCCCAACACTCAGGTCAGTTATTTGACCGTCTCACACAGCGTCAAGCGGCCTGCCTGCAGGTTTGAGGTGAATTCGAAAGGTAACCTCTCCCGCTTCGACGGTCGTCCTCGCACCGCATGTGTGTGACTGGACGAGAACATGGCGTGATCGCGACAATACCCGGCCAGGACACAGCACCAGTGTTCTTATTGATTGGAGTAAAGATGATCAAGTCCGGTGCTTCCGTTTGTATGATAGCAGGAAAGCCGCACGGAACGGTACCTCGGATGTCGACGTTGGGGGGTGATCACGAAAACAAGTCGACATTGCGAGCCCCAACCCACCCGAGGGCTTGGCAGCGGTTGTCCGAGCGGATAATCCACCTTGGATGAGTGGTTAGATGATTATTCATCACTAGACGCAGAGGCAGCAACATCTTGAGAGCTGGCCTTGCTACCATGGTCGCGCCTGGTTGTTCGCGGACCTTGGCGCTCTGAGGAGACAGAGGTCCAGTCGTTGTTTGTCCTGCTGAGAGTGCAGTAATTGTAGTATTCCAATGCTGCTGACTCTAGTGACGGCGTGGGTCGAAAATGGAGGCAAGTTCTTGTGTGATGTGTGACAGTACAAAGTGACGGCGCCCAATCGAAGTTCTAGACTTGCAGGGGGGAACTGATCTACCTTATCATCTGATGGCTCAGGCCACTCCCACCAAGTTAGTGCGAGCTTCCATTGGACCTTTGTCAGAGCAAATCGCTGTATCTAAGGTAAGTATCTTACCACACTGTCTCTTTCCATTTCCAGTCAAGCAAAGAGGGCTGCCAATGTCTAAATGGCACCTGCGGTGATAAACACCCGCCAGAAGTGGAAGGCACCACATCCGTTCCAGCCTCACGGGACGGCACTGGCTGACAAGTGGGCTGCTCTTTCCCCCCACCGGACGTTTTGGAGACTGAATTGCGTCACGTCCAGATCTGATCAATTACCTTAAATTTTGGTACCAGGCATTGCAATACTTGACTGTTTGGTCGGCGAACATTGTCTTCTAGTCCCTACTAGGTACATGACTTATTATGGACCGACTCAATTTCCCATCTCTTCAGTTCGTGGCCTATCAGTGGCCGAATCAAGCGACAAACGAGATCTGTCAGATATCAGATTTGGCCCACCCCTGCTTGATTGACCTGGCCAGTGGGCACCGATCCATGCCCAAGGGTGCCATAGATGACAGACAGTCAGTCAACTCTGCCCTTCTTGTTGCTACGTCCGCATCGTCTCTGCTTCTGTTTTCCCTCTGCCCGCGTTTGATGCTCTCTGCCGACACCGATATGCGTTGTTCTCTCCACGGAAATCCGCTGGCACTGAGGTGTCATCTCGGCATACCCCAGGCGGTGGCGCACGTCCGCCTGCGCTTGTCAAACCGGCAGACAGGTCGCCCGCTCGCGTGGCCAGCGCACAATCACCACCGCTAAGCATCCGTACTACGCACTAGTGCCTCTCTGTCAGAGCGGTAGTGCGCGCGCTAGACGTTGGTGATGTCTGCCTCAGCTGAGACCATCTCCGGTTCGTCATGGACGCTGAGACTAGTGTCCCTTTGGGGCTCCGGTTCGTTCCCAATGGGGCGACACACGCAGGCCCACGCCCCAGAGTTCAGGAATGATCGCCGACGACACCTAACTGTATGAGGTAGCGAAGACGTGGATCATGTCATCTGGAAGTGTTTGCACCCTCTCTCATCAACGGAAGCAAAGCAAAGCCTTGGGACAGACGCCTATACTGGTGGCAGTTTGCTTCGTCCTGCTGGGCGTTGCGTTGACCGGTCGGTTCGTTTGACCGGTCCATGAAAGGCCATTTCCGCGCCAGCAAACATTCAGCGATATTTCTCTGGGAAGATCATTTATCACAAAACCGCTTACAGGAACGACGCAAACATTGAACAGCAATTCAAGCCGACCCCAGGCACCGCTCAACTCGCCAAGATCCACCCACACCCACTAGAGCACCAGTTTGCCCCAAGTTTGCGCCCATCTTTGCCGTATCAAAACATTCCCATCATTGCGCCCAGGGCGTTGCTCCCGCGCATCAAGCCGACTAGTAGATCCACGGCGCAAGTTCATCACGGCCACGGTGGGAACGGCTTTTAGTGGACTACGGCAAGACATTTACGCACACAAGCCAGGCTGCCCCAACAGCATGTCGTCGTGCCGTGTCTGAGATTAATCTGTTCCCGCTGGGTGAAGACAGAATGACTCCACCGTGGATGCTCACAGCTATGTTCTTTCAGCTGCGTGCTCTCCGATGAATCCGATCCACCGTGCTGGACGAGGCAGCTAGGCAATGGATTTCACCATGAACGGCGGTCAGCAAGCCTCGCACAACCGCGTTGTTTCAAGAGGGCAGTCGGCACGACGACGCTGGCGCAATTGGCCGTCGTGACAGGTTCACAGCATATGCTAGCCGGACGGTTAAGTGCGATAAAACGTGTCTGGCGTGTCCTCGCTAGCCTCCCGAGCGCATCTGTCGTTGAACCCTTGTGTTACGTACCGTCCAGACCCCGGCACCCAACCCTAGTCAAGATCGGACACACAGTCGACATTGCCTCAATTCTTGCCCGGACCCTGGCTTCATTGTACCTCGCGAAAAAGGTATATAGAGTAGATCCATCTCGCTGAGATACAGTGTCACTCAGTCCAGTACCACCCATCACCTCATCGATCTCGCGCCAGTCTCCTCCATCTCAGCATCTTTGGCTTCTCTGCTCTACATCTGCTACAGCTTCAACGCAAGACACAAGTGGCTACGACACGAACAACACAATGTCTTCCTCCGGCTTCATTCCCCAACTGCCTTGCGGCGCCATGCCCGCCGCCTCCCATGCAGTGATCGACTTCCGCTCGAACCCAGAGGGTATCCGCGAGCACGGCAGAGTAGGCAAAACCCATTCACACCCGCTGCTCACCAGCTCCGTCTAACAAGCATAGTCACCTGGCGTTCTCTGCCCCAACTGCCGCCTAGATGGACATGAGATCTGGGTGATTCCCGGCCGGAACTGTCGAGTCTGCAACACCGCATGCGACGCCGACCTGCCGCACCGCGACCACTCTCCTCACCACTTCTGAGCGCACGCGCCTCACGTTGACTTTCGCACCTTGCGCCGCATGCATGCTTCTTTCCCCCCTTCATTAGCGATATGGTGTTCGACGGTTACTTTGCTCTTCACGGGTCTGGCGGAAAGGAAAGCCTTGGAGCGGGGGCGGGCGCGCCCCTTTGGCGTCTGGAAATACTACAGCGGACCATGTAGCTCATGATACATACTTGGGAATCTAATTCAATGGAACACGATACCTTCACTCTTTACGTGCTGCCTTGTGTATACTACTCACTTGGGAGTTGCTGCCACTCGTCGTGAGCCGCGCGGTGGACTGGTGGTACCAGGTCGGCGGTACTGGACGCGCATCCCTTCTGCATGATCGGCCAACCGCATACAACCCCCCCCAGAAGGTCTCCCGATCGGCTCCAACGGTCAACCCAGTGCTGCCGACCCAGCCCAGCACACGGTCAGCTCAGCTGCGGCGGTTCAGGTGCACTGGTGGTGGCCACTCTGGATCTCTCCCTCGGCGCGGCGTCAAGTTAATTCAATATTGTTGCTCGGCTGGACGGTGCTCCGGTGTGATCACCGTGATGTGCGCTGGGGGCGATTGCTTGGCGCGAATTGTGAGAAGTGACAGAATCGGCCGGTCGTGGCATCATCATCAAACAGGCAAGCAAGCAGCAACGCAAACATACAGACAACAACGGACGGGCTGCACCGGTGAAGGAGGTGGACAGGAGCTCATCTTGGATAAATACTTTTAGACCAGCGCACCACTATATTCGAACCCCATTCATGTACGATCATCTCGTGAACGACGGGGCTATTTCACTTAGTGTCGAGAGGAAATACTGGACCAGCTGAATGATCGTCGTCTCTTTTGGATAAGCCCACAGGCTGCGAGACACGCAAGTAAACGGGCAGGGGTTTGTGGGTGGGTGGGTGGTGGTCACCAGATCTGAGTATGCAGGTACTAGACAAGGGGGGGTGGTCCTTGACGCCTTGTCGTCTCGCTGCGGATATATCATGGTCTGGGGCGGAGGAGGGATATCCTGGTCGAGACGGACCAGACGTTGCTCGATACGGCTGCGTCTAACGTGTTTTGGGAACGACATGACAGACGACCGGCCGTGTTAATGGCCGGGCGGCCAGCGAGCTCGCGATGAGCGACGAAGTTGAGGCTTGGCGGGAAGGGTTCCAACTTCCGGCCTGGTTGGTTACTAAGGTAGCCAGCTCTTTCGACTGAACTGTTTCTTCTCCTTGGCCAAGAGGCATGCTGTGCCTTTTGTTTTTCCAAGGCTGGCTGCGAGTCTGGGCAGTGCTGTGGCTTTGATGGCGCATTCTGCTATTTTTTTGTTTGGGTGTGCACGAAAGGATTTGTCCACTGGCCTACCCGATACCTGTCGTCATATGTCCTTGAAGCGCTGCTTCCTCGCCGTATAAATTCGTTTTTAGTTGCAAGGTACGCTGTGATTCTTGAATACCCTGGAGCCCGTTAGATCAACAGCACTCACTGCAAAACCACCAGCACAGTATTACCCTACCTTAGGTTGACGACTAACACGTCGGGTGGTCTGATAGGAAGAACCCCCAGTGAAACCCCGGCTTCTGAGTCACTGGTCCTCAGCGCGCATACAATCGTACAATCTGTCGAAGAACGAGTGGTTGTTCTCGGCGTGGAAGGCCACCTTAAGCGGCCAGAGATCAACAAGAGTGAGTGCTTTCCTCTCCGTGATGAAGATCCTTCTTACTGACACATATCTGGACGCTGTTTCTACTCGGGTCGTCCCGTCCGATATCCAAAGAACACTTGATTCAGGCGTACGACGAGTTAGCTTCACCAAGTTTGAAGTGAACCAGTGATCTATGAAGCCTTCGACTTTGAATGTAGAAGTACGATCAGCAAAATAGCTGCACTCAAGGACGCCAATCCTCGAGATATCCCTCGAGCTGCTCATGACGTTCCAGCGCATCCTTGAACGTGGGAACCTGTGCCCCGTTCGCAAAATCCTCATAGACCTTTCCAATGCTGCGCGCGACCATGGGTAGCTCAGCCTGCCAGTCCTCCCAAGTCCACTCCACATGCTCAACCTTGTCTGTCTCAAAGTTGTAGATCTCAATGGTAACGGGCTCCGAGTACGCATTCGCATGCAAAGCGGTGCCGCCGCGGGCCACCAATACCAGGTCACCCTTGGTGCCACTGATTGTCCATACGAGGGCAGGCTCACCGGCGACAGGCTGGCCCCGGCGGAAACGGAGAAGAATAGAGGCGTTTTCCTGGACTGATTCGGACTTGGGCATCGTAGCGGCCACGATGACTAAGTCTGGGACGTTGGAGATTACAGTGTCGACAATGTTCTGCGTTTTGGGATCACGCAGCTTGACCTCAGGTCGTTGCAACTGCAAACGAGTCTGGGGCTTCTCGATGGTTCCCAAGACGTATTGAACCTGGTCGAATACTAAAAACGATCGAATTAGCGAGAATTCTCATATCTGGACGTGGGACAGAAGACACACAATGCCCGAACCCGATGGTGTAAACATTCCCTCCAATAGACCGATCTGTGAAGTAAGAAAGGTCGCTGGACAGTACAAGGCGATCCATGGAGCCACCGGCCGCCCTGACCTCGCTACTCAATATCTTTCCAAGACGTCCCTGTTCGATGATCTCCTTGATCTTGACAACGGGCGGCGCGACCCGTCCCTGCATGCCCATGATCGTCTTGCTGCCGCTGCTTTCCGCCGCCTCGACAAGCTCCGTCGCATGAACTACGTCTTGTGCGAGTGGCCACTCCACATACACGCTCTTCCCAGCCTTGACACTGGGAAGGATGGTAGGATGGTGAACATCGACGCGGGTGCAGCACACGACGAGGTCAACATCCTGGTCGTCAGCGACGCTCTGGGGATCGCCATAAGCTTTAGTCGTGGACGGGAGGTTGTACGCCTTGATGGCTTGCTTGGCCGCTTCGACGCTCGAGTTGCATAGCGCGACGATGCTGTAACTTTCACGACCGCGAGGGGAGAGGAAATATGGCAGGTGGGCACTCGAGGCCCAACCCGTCTTTGCGCGACCACTGAGGCCGATGAGGGCGACACGCAACGGAGCCATGCTGGATTGTGGTACCTAGGAGCAGTTGGTACTACAGCAATAATGAGCTTGAAGGATTCATGTTGTATTTTTGGTCATTGCGACTTATAGCATGTACTTTATGAGTTTGTGGTGAGATCTTGAGGACATGGTCGCGGTGTGATTTCTCAGCTTCGATTTGTAATAGCGGGGGATTGATGCCTCCGTGCACGGCTTTATTCCAAAGCTGAGTCCGAGCATTGATCCTTCATGCTATAGATACATTGACCTGCGACACATGGTTGGCTGGACGTGAAACGATTCAATGGAGGACTGGAGCCCATCGGCATCGTCGTCAGTCGACTGCCTGCTGGGGTGAGTCGTGACCAACATACACACACACACACACACACACACAAGTTGGCCTACCGAGTACCGAGTACTGACATCAAATGGCAACAATTCACCTGCCAATCCCCATTTTCGATTTCACACAGGACATACTTTGGCAGCTATTTCACAAAGTTTACTTGCCTGCTACTGCAGGAGCTCCGCGTCTGCGTTTGGCGCCTAGGAAGGCCGTGGCTTTTCGCTGTTTGCCGTCAGACCAATTGAGTCAGGAGTCGGGACTCAGCCAGCTTCGTGACATCCCCGCCGCAACTGCGAAGTAGTATCAACAATTAAAACTTGGAAATATGGAAGGGTCCTTGTCTTTCTTGAGAAAATAGAGATTCGAGCTGTGTGAGTACTCATGGCAGAGTTGCCGTGACGAGCAAGGTACACCATGGACGAGTCCATCCGTATCGCCACAGCGTGTTCCGTGGAGCATTAATGGAGCATCGACCATGACACCAAAAACATGATTCAGGGAACAAATCCATGTGGCATATCCCGGGGACCAGGTTTGTTTGCTCTCAAGCTTCCTTGTCCTTGCTGACATAATGGCATACACCGCACAAGTGACAAGCCGCACTGGCAGTAGAACTAGAGACCGAAACAAAAATGGCAAGTACCCGACTCGCCGACTCACGTCAACTCACTGCGAGTTTGTGACTGACCTCAACTCGAAGCAAACACGCACCCTGGGCAATTGCCTGCCAATGCTTCAATCTCAGCAGCATGTACTCGCACAATGGCACTCATCTACCACTCAAACGCCCCAGGCCCAGGGCTAAGGGGCATCACAATGACCTGAGCTCGGTGCCCTGTCAAAGGTGTCGCTCCCGCAAGGTGAAGGTCTGCGCACGCACCTGCATCTCCATATCAAATCGACTGACCAAATACACAGTGCGGGGGCGAGTTTCCGAAATGTTTGAGCTGTGTCAAGGCCGACGTGCCGTGCATCATTGCCGACCCAACGGCGTCAAGAGAATACACGAGAGCGTATGCCCGACCCATCGCGTCACCTAGGATGCTTCTCCACCGCTGACACGTCCAACTAGAGAGGTCCACCATCTTCACCTGAAGCTCAGAGAGCTTCATTCTCAATTGAGGACCGCAGCTCCAGATAATAGGTTCAACAAGAGAAACGGCGTGCCTTCGCGGGGACGGGCCACTCATCCTGTTGTTCCCGCTTCTGGCAAGACGGGTCGCTACGTTGGCCAGGAGAATGGCGTCAGATAGGCGGATCAGACAAGGAAAATGTTCGTCTACATGTTCTCACACGCTCCTAGCTTTCTTCTGTCCAGGCTCCAGACCCTCTCGAATCCGTCTCGGCCTCGCTCTCTACAGGGACGCGGAGACGAATTCCCACCACAGCTCTCACGCTTCGAATACCACTCGCCGCATCCCTTTCCTTCTCACAGCATTGCCCGAGAAGCTATCGCAGAGTAGTAGGTCAACAAGCCATGGAGAACGACATGCTGGGAGAGGAGACCGCTGACAAGCCCGCCCAGCTTTCGAGAGTTTCACGTCGCCCATCCCATTCTGGACCACAGCACGCTACTGGCATGGCTCGAGCAGCAGCCAGCCATGACGGCAAAAGCGCAATCGTCCCTGACGGCTTCGGAGAAGAGAAGGCTGTTTCAGCTCAACATGGCCATGGGCATTGGTAGTGTGCGGCTCTACCGCGACGGGCTCTTCAAGCTGCACCCGTTTGGCTTCTTCACGGCTGCCCTGGAAATCGACCCCCCCGCTGCCTCCTGCTTCAACGACGCGGAGGGCATTGAAAACGTGCTTCTCATTGCTCGCTTTGGAGTCTATTATAATATTGGTGAGCGCGTATCCTCCTTTCAGGAGCGTTTGGCTGACAATGCGAAGGATGCTCGTTGTGGGAGCTTGGACGCCTTTGCATCCGCACCGCTGTCGAGCTGGGTCTTCATCAACAGCGCCCCGGTAAAGACCCGTCGACCTCGGAAGAATCAGAGAGGCACCACAAGATCATGTGGGAGACCTACCTCTTGGATCGTCTATCCTCCTTGACGCTAGGTCGACCATTCGCCATCAACGACGCCCACATCCAGGCGCCACTACCCACGTCTCTCCCCACGCCTCAAGGGGCATCCATGTCCGTGTTCAACTGGCTTGTCGACATGGGACGCTTGTCCTCGCGAATTCACCTCGCCATGGATGAGTGCAAGGCAGCCTCTAGCTTACCGCTGCGTGCCTCCAGATCGCCTGCTCTCGACAGCGCAGCCGATCTGGGGCAGACCTTTTGTCTCCTTCGCACGTTTCACGCCGAGTTGAGGACGCTGCGCGACCTTGCCCCTTTTGTTGAGGGCACCACGTGCCTCTACGAAGCGCGCGAGTTCTTCGAACTAACGTATCAGGAGGAAAGGCTTCGTCTCCTCAGAGCTGCCATTGAAGCCTTGGCCTCCAGCAAGAGACTGCCGCCGAACACTCTTCTTCGCCCGTGTTTGCAGGCGGCGCACGCGATCCTCAGCTCCTTCGCCGCGTTACGTGCCAAGAATCTCGTCACGTTCTCCCGGGCTAACACGCATCTCATCTTCATCGCCAGTCTAGTCATCGTGGTGGTGCTCAATATCCACATCCACCAGCAGGCAGAGGCGCAGAAGGCGACGGCGGTGGTCTCAGACGTTGATGTGGAAGAGTGGCTCAGGGACCTTGACGAAGAGCCACTGGATCCTGGCTCACATGAGGCTTGGGGTTCCCTTGACACGGCGGGATCCCTCCTCTCCTGGTTTGCCGAGTCCATGCTCGACATGGCCGTGTACAGCCATTTCTTTCATACTATCCGGCAGCAGCTGGAGTGCGCAATAGCTCGGCTTGCCAATACCGGGCCAACAACGGCCGCTACTACATCAGGTGCCGAGGCAATGGATGCAACGCCCTCGTGGATACCTGTTGATCTTTCGGTCTCCCACAACGCTGCTCCCCAAGAAGGTGGTGAGGTGACATGGGCTCAAGAGGGCAACGATGCGTTCAACTGGGACACGCAGCTCAATTTTGCCGAGGCCTACCTCAACGCAGGGCAGTACGGCGACATGGCGCCAGGGACGTGGCCGCTTGCCGACATGATGGGCATGGAGGGCATCGCCGCAGGCATATCCGGATTCGTTTGGGACACGGCGATCCCATGGCAAGGATCACCGACAGCCTCTATGGATCACTGAGGTGGGTTTACTTGTACATGTGGAATGCTACATTTATGGTCTAGCTGCCGTCTTGCCGTTGCACTTTGTCTGTACGAACTGGTACACCCCGTCTATCGCGCCGTTGATGGTCGCAATCTGCGTCTCGTCCGTGGCCGCAGCGATATGCGGCGTGCCCACGAACCTCGGGCTGCTCCATAGCCGTTCGTATCTCTCGAGTGTTGGAGGCTCCTGGACGTGGCAGTCGAATCCCGCGCCCCAGATCCAGCCCTGCTCCAGCGCCTCGGCCAGGTCGTCCTCGTTGACGATGCCGCCCCTCGCCGTGTTGATCAATATGGCCGTCTTCTTCATCCACCTTAGCTGAGGTGCAGAAATCATGTCTCTCGTTGCGTCTGTCAGGGGGACGTGCAGCGTGACTACATCTGCCGCGGCGAGTAGCTCGTCGAGATCATCGACACGCTGGTGCGGAATCTGATCCCACGCGCCGCCGCCCTCTTGGGGAAAGTATGGATCGAACGCGATGATTTTAGCTTGCAGACCACCGACAAACATACGGGCCACCGCCTGGCCAATGTGACCCATACCAACCACGCCGATGACCTTGCGGGAGAGCAAAAGTCCGGCGACAGTCTCCTTCCTGACTGCCTCGCCCTGCACCCTCTGTCGAAGAACCATCTGCGGCACCTCCCTGGCGACACTCAGGGCCAGGCACAGGGCCATCTCAGCCACGGCGCCGGCATTGACGCCTGGCGTGTTGCAGATCTGGACGTTGCGCCGCCGGCACGCCTCGACGTCCACCTTGTCGAGACCGACTCCCTGCTTGCCGATGACCCGGAGCTGCGGCGCGGCGGCGAGGTCGTCGTCGGTGATGTAGTAGTCCTTGATCAGGATGGCCGTGGCGCGGGAACGCCACTCGTCTCCCTGGGGGTCGCCGTACAGCACACAGTCGAAGAGGGACTGGGCATACCGGACGGCCTCGGGGTGGAAGTCGCTGAGGATGTAGAGCTGGGGTTTGGGAGCGGGTTGCCCCGTGCTGGGTGGCGTGTTGGAGAGAATGGGGCTCATGCTGGGTTGTGGGAAGTTGACGTGAATCGCGTCGTTCAATCTGCCTGGTGTCTGTGAGCCTAGGCACCCTCGTAGGGCGGCACGTCGGCTTTTACAGGATCCTTGAATCTGGGGTTGCCAAGTGAAGTTGCCGGGCCCTGGGGAACTGCGGCACAGAGTTGGGGGTGGAGCGGTATCCTCGCCGGATGTCCGACGGAGATGACTCGGCAGCTGGCCGTCGGACACCCGGCGAGAGTGAGCTCTATCACAGTACTCGGATGACCCAGGCATGCGATTGCTGGTCAAAATCTATAAGACGGTGCAATGGAATGGCATATATCGACAGCGGCCCAGCTACAGTGGCACAGAATGGCCAGCTAGCTAGAACCAGTCATTCACAATGGGCAGCATAGACACCAGCATGCTCTCCAACGCCCTGCTGAACAAGGTGGCGGCCAACGCAGTCTGCAAGGTTGGTTCCCAGGCCCTCTGCCAGTACACAATGATAGCTTACTTTTCTCTCCAAGGCTTTTGGCATTCGCCTCGTTACCAACCCAGCCGTGGTCCAGCTCGCCCAGAACGGCGGGTTCGATGCGCTCTTTATCGATCTTGAGCACTCGACGCTGTCCATAGACGATGCCAGCCAGCACTGCACGGCCGCTCTGCACATTGGCATGACGCCGTTCGTCAGGGTGCCGTATCAATGTGGAAACGGCTTTGTCCAAAGAGTCCTCGACGGAGGCGCCATGGGCGTCGTCTTCCCGCACGTCCACACTGCCGGTATGTCGTCCTCAACCCACTGCGATGACACATAGCGACTGACAGATCCCTCAGACGACGCCATCGCTGCGGCTTCCATCTGCAAGTATCCCCAAGACGGCTTTGGCACTCGCTCCATGACGGGTCAGCTACCCCTTTTCGGTCTGAAGCCTACCCCCGTCGCCACCATTGTCAGCGAGAGCAACGCGCGCGGCTCCTCCGTGCTCCTCATGATCGAGACACGCGACAGCATACAGAATGCAGACGCCATCGCCGCCGTCCCTGGTGTTGACGTGCTGCTCATCGGCTCCAACGATCTGTCCATCGAGCTCGGGGTGCCGGGTGAGTTTACCAGCGTCGCGTTCCGGTCCGCCCTCGAGACGGTCAGCGCTGCGTGCAGGAAGCATGGCAAGGTCTTTGGTCTGGCGGGTATCTATGGTGCTCCTGACATTCATCGCTGGGCTCTCCGGGATCTTGGGGCCAGGTTTATCCTGGGACAGCAGGATTCGGGGCTGTTGGCGGGCGGCGCCAAAGGCTGTGTGGCAGAAATAGAAAAGGCGTTTGCAGCATAGGGCCATACACGATAGAAAACATGTATACGTGTCATATCAAGACTCTTTCCATGTCGAGACGTGAACCACCGCGGCCGTCAGCTGTTGAAGGTGTATAGGCCCAACGTCCTTGGCACACGACGTGACCGCGTCAATGTGATCCTGTAACGACTCGTCAAGTTCCCCCATCTGCTGCTTCGACAGCGCCACCAGAAAGCTGCGAATGTTGAGTACGATGGTCCTGTATTCATGGATACGGGGAAACTGGCGACCCACAACATCCAGCTTCGATATCGCGATGCCCAGCATCATATCGAGTTGCCCATACTCATCGGACAACACGACATGGTCCTGGGAGCCTCCCGTGCCGGCGCTGCGCCAGGTCCTGGGATTGTTGAATGCAGGCCAGGCCTGCCCCGGGCTCTCGTAGAGCGATGCGCCAAACGCCGCAGGAGAGAAATGCAGTGAGTCTGCTCTGGCGGTGCCCTGGCTTCCACTGTTCTGTCCCCCTGCTGCCAGTAGTCGGATACGGACGGCGAGGCAGTACAGGCAGGCCAGCGCCATGGTCACAGCGCTGTACCCCGTCAACAGGGACAGGTAGGATCGACCACTCATCCGTGTCCGGTTCAGGCTTCGTGCCACAGCAGTGCAGATACTAGGCAGCTTGAGCCTCGAGACCCGTCTCTGCTCGACTACCCATCCATCAGCTGGCCAGTGCCGGAAGCACGCTGCGAGTCCATCACTGCTGGCGTCATCAAAGTCAAACCCCGCAAGGAGCTCACGGACAGAGATGCGCAGGACGAGCGTGTTGTACAGTGAGGTCTGGAAGAGATAGCTGCTACGGACCAAGGGGTCATCGTGCGGTGGGCCGCTGGTCCGCCAATGTAGCGCCCTGCCCAGAAAGTGTTCAAAGTCGCTGGCAGTGCCTCGGCTGGGACGCGTGGTGCTACTCGGGGTGTCGCTGATCACGGAGGCCAGGAGCATGGCGTATCGGAACAGATGGACGTGGTGTGACTCTTGCGGGCTCATGCTGTCGTTCCCTTGCACTGAGGAGGGAGCTTGCGAGTCCCGGGCAAATAGCGCTGTGTCTTGCTCGACATCATCTGCCATAGCATCTGGAACGGGCGTGGTGATATACGACGCATCGATACTCAATGGTCTGCCCAGCGCTGCGCATATGAGCACGTCAAGCAAGTAGCACCCCCAGAAAGCCCATCTCCTTTGTAGCAGCTCCGTATGCGGTATGGACAGGACCGTCTTGGGATCCTCACGATGGTACCCGAGGGCAATACACTTGTTCATAGCGAAACCAATGAGGTGCCATGCGGATCCGGCGGTGGAACAATGGATAGCCAGAATCACCAGGAGTTGCAGGCACTGGACAATGTCCACGCCGTCCTCTTGGTGGAAGACGCGGTCCAAAACCTTGAGACTCTTCCCCAGGAGGTGCACAGAGACCCAAGAGCCCTGCGAGATGGGGTAGCTGTCGCTGACGAGCGGGACAATGGCGATGACCGCGTAGGCCATGAAGATGTGCGCAGGGTCCCGGGCCAGTGTCTGGCGGTACCTGGCCTCGTCCGGGGCGGCGATCGCCTCGATGCCGCGCTGGACCTTGGCGACGGGCAGACGGGGAAAACGAAAGTCCACGACGTCGAGGTAGGTGCGCAGGGCCTTGTCTGCCTCGTCGCGCGCAATGTGCAGCCGCTGCGTGGCGCCGGCGGGATGGCGAAGATAGCTGGCGATGCCGTCCCAGAGGGAACCCACGCGCGAGGCCGTCTCGGGGTTCCCCCCGTACGTCTCGGTGACGCCCGCGATGAGCCGCGAGATGGACAGCTGCTTGAGGAACTCGCCGTCGCGCGTGCAGGGTTCCGCCATGGCGCTCAGGGACAGGAAGGACATGTTCATGCTCGTCGGAGGAGGCGCGAGGGCGTCCGAGTCGGACGCTGCTGGCGAAGGGCTCTGCTGCTGCTGCTGCTGCTGCTGCTGCGTCGTCTCCGCCTCGAGCTGGGCCTCGACGGCGGCAATCTGCTCCAACAGCAGGGTCACGTACCCCTTGCGGGTGACCTCGCTGTCCTTGCCCTGGATGACGGCCTCCTCGCGCGACGAGCTGCGGCAGAGGGCCCGGGCTAGGCGACACGGTGCGCAGAGCGGGATGGTGCGGTCGCAGCGCTGTTTGCGACGGGAGCATCTCTCGCAGGCGAATGCGCGCTTCGCTGCTGCGTCCGATGCGTCCGGCGACGACGAGGGCTGCATTGTGCATGGATGTTTACATGCAGTGTACAGTCTGCGATCGGGCCTGGAGCGAGAGGGGAAAGGTCAAGGGGGGACAGAGTCAGACGGCGTCTTAGTTGGAGTCTTGGAGAAGCGGTCAAGTCGGCTACATGGTCTTGAGTCATGACAGGCGAGCACTGCTGAATGCTGAATCCCTGATATTCAATACGACTTAATATTGCGGACTATGTTCAACCTGTGCCACTCATCTTCCTGTATATGAATCCTAGATTCATCGCACTTGGCACATGCACTCAGCTGGAGGCTCATCGGCATGCCTAGCTCGTAAACAGCCTCGCTTCCGTCCCGTAGATCGAGGCCTCCTCTGCCATCTTCTTGTTCGCCCTCGTCAGATCCCACTTGAGGAAGAGGCACGTACCACCGCTGAGGGCGGCAAACACAATCAGCAGGATCATGGCCATCATATAGCGCGGCTCATCCTGGTCACGGAAGAAGTAGGGGCTCATAATATTGCCCAGCTGCGCGAGCACGTTGATCATGCTCGTCGCCACCGCCTTCTTCTCCGGTGTCTGGTTCAGCACGCTGGCCGCCCACGAGTACACGAGCCCGTTGGCCGCGAAGCAGCCCGTCACGTACAGGAACGAGGCGACGTAGCGCGCGGGTCCGTTGAGGGTCGACACGGAGATGATGAAGCCCACAATGGAGAGGCCCATAGGGATGGCAATGTGCAGCGATCGCTCGTTGCGTCTGTCGCTCGACCAGGAGACAAAGAGCGAGGCGAGCGCGCCGATGAGGAACGGCGGCGCTGTGCAGAGTAGGGTGATCGTCCTGGACCCGAACCCGAAACCCTTGACGATCGAGGGGTAGAAGTAGTTGAAGCCATACGCGGCGTGGTTGCAGATGAGCATGAAGATCTAGGCGGGGTCAGCAAGGGGGAGACACGCTGTGCTGGAAGTTGAGGACAAGACTCACAAAGGTCCAAGTGCGATAGTCTGTGACGGCACGACGGAATCCCCACCAGACAGACCGGTTGCTCTCCTGGACGATGCGGTCCATGGAAATCCTCTGGTTTGCCACACGACGCTCCTCCTCTGTGAGCAGCCACTTCTGGCTGCCCGTGTTGGACTCGGGGAAGTCAGGGAGTAGGAAGAAGGCGAGGAGGGCGAGGCCCATGTTTACCGAGCCCACGATAATGTAGAGCCACTGAGTGACGGGTCAGCACAACGTTTGCCAATCGTGTGAAGCGTGTCTCACCTTCCAGCCGGCGAGTCCGTGGGCTCCGTCAAGTTCGGCAAAGACGCCAGCGGCAATGAGACCCGAGAAGGCTGTGGCGATCACGAGACCAGAGTACAAGATGGCCATGCGCAGACCAAGCTCGGCCTTGGTGTACCAGCAAGAGAGCAGGAAGAAGACGCCGGGAAAAAAGGGGGCCTCTGCAATGCCCAGGAGACATCGAACGGCGATGAGCTGGCCAAAGTTGTGGACGGCGCTCGTGCTCGCGGAGACGACGGACCAGATACAGGCCCACACGGGTAGATAGAGGGATGGCCGGACACGGGTGAGAATCATGTTACTCGGGATCTGCATGAGCATGTATCTGTCGTGTGTCAGCCAGTCAGTTAGTCAGCACGCCCCCAGAGGCACGACGCACCCAGCGTTGAGGATGGACACTGCCGTGCTGAATTGGGTGCCAGTCAGGCTGAGATCTTCGACGATACTGTTGAGTTTGGACTGGCTGTGCAAAGTCAGTGGGGGAGTTCTTCCGAGGCAGCACAGAGACGTCTGACGCACGCAATGGCCGTCCGGTCGAGATAGTTGAACAGGTACAGCAGCCAGATGATGGGCATCAGCGTCATGTCCAGCTTGCGCACGACGCGACGGGACACGGCCTGGAAATGCTCGTCCACGATGGGCATGTCATCATGACCCGAGGGCTTCTCCAGGTTTGTGTGGACAGTGTCGAGCTGCTCGAGCTGCGCATCGTGGTCGGCGGACTTGGGGCGTGTGTCAGTCATGGTCGGCAAGGCTTGAAGATGAAGATTGATGACAGGTGCCTTCTGACCATGGATTGTGCGAACTTCAAAGGTCTTTATACAGCCCGCCGGTGGGAGAGGGAGTCTGGGGCCCCGTCTACAGATCCCCAATCAGCCAACATGAAGTCTGGGGTCGGTATCTCGGCTCCCCTGGGATTCTGGGGTACCAACATTCTGGTAGGGGAGAGCTGATTCACAGCAGACCATTGCGAGCCGACATATCCAGCTCATGGGCCAATCGCCGTGTCCCCGATGGCCAAATGCCTCGGGGAAGTGGGTTCTGGTGAAGCTACTCCCTCGCCCACTGTCCGAAGCCCCATAGTGTGTTCGGGGCGGGCGCGCCGACATGACAGAATATGGAGCAATGCGGCGAAACAATCCTCGTGTTCTGGTCGTAGTAGTCCGGGGTCATGATGTGCACTGGACAAAGGCAGGGCTCTGGGTGACATGACTCGAGCACACTGTTGAACGTCTCACCTCACCTAACAGCTTTCATAAGTATAATATTTTCCAGTTGAAAAGGAACTATATAGTCCGTACGACTTCATAATCATGTCTGTTCAAACGAAACAGGAAGTCAACATCATATGCTTGCAAATATACGCTCAACAATTCACAGTCTAGTCCCGGGCTCGTCTCATCAACCCGCCCTGGTATCTACAGCCTCGCGATTCCAAACCCTTCACCGGACCTCCGAACCCCCAGCATAGATCTAGAAATGTTCTTAATAGACACTGCACCACTAAGCCCCATGGTGCGCCATAGCTCCCTCTCCAAGATATTCAAAACAGCCTCGACACCCTTCTGCCCGTCATACGCGAGACCCCAGAGGGCCGATCTCCCCAGGAGACACAGATCGGCACCGAGCGCCAGTGCCTTGAACACATCAGAGCCGCGCGTGATACCGCCATCAAACAGAATGGGTATCCGGTCCCGCACGGCGTCGACGACCTCGGGCAACGCTTCCAACGTGGCAGGGACGCCGTCTAGTTGGCGACCACCGTGGTTCGAGACAATAATAGCGTCCACGCCGGCCTCGACGGATAGAAGAGCGTCTTCTGCCGTCAACACCCCCTTGAGGATGATCTTCATCTTAGTCTGGGCCCGGAGCCAGGGAACGGTCTCCTCCCAGGTCAGCCTGGAATCGGTGAGTGTGTCGGGATGATCGCGGACGACCTGGGCGGCCTCCGCTGCCGTCTCTGCGTTGAGAATGAGACGGCCCTTTGAGGCGCCCCCGCCCTTAATCGTCGTCAAATTGGCCATGCTGAGGTCCGACGGCAGTTGCAGAGGCTCCCTTCGCTCGTGCAGCCGATTTCCCATGAGTGGCGTGTCCACCGTCAGCACAAGAGCCTCGTAACCGGCCTTTTCAGCGCGCTGGATCAGAGCCTGTGTGATGGACCGAGAGCGGACAAAGTACAGCTGAAACCACGGCATTGGATATTCTGGCCCGCGTGTGGGCAGTAGTTGGGCCACGTCCTCCATGGATGTCGTGGCGTTGGAGGACAGACAGACATTTGTGCCAGACGCAAAGGCTGCGCGTGCCATGTCGATCTCGCCGCCGTGTCCGACAAGTTTCTGGTATGCACTGGGGCTTATGGCGATGGGGATGTCATAGTGCTTCCCGAAGATGGTGGTCGATGTGTCGATGGTCGAGACATCTCGCAGGATACGGGGTCGGATGACCAGTCTGGGAGGGGGATGCGCGTCAGACAAGTTCGCATGGGCAGCAGAAAACTCACTGGTCGTAGATGGACTCGTTCCAGCCGGCGGTGAGCTGCTCATCAGCGCCATCCACGTAGTATCGCCAGACGGGTTTCCGCAGGCGTCTCTCAGCGATGGCCTTGATCTCCTTGACGGTGATGGGTCGAGGGTGTACGTCGCTCATGATGGAAAGCTGGTATCATTTGTCTGAAAAGGAAAGAAAAGTCAACCCAGTATCAATGAACAATGAACATGAAGAAAATCGACTCATGGTGCTGCGATGGCCATAGATTCGGGCGCCGAGCGACCATCGGACATGGCTCCCGAGACCAGGCCGATGCGCCCATTGTAAGGCCTCGTATTCAGACCGCGACTGTGGAAGGCTTCCTCCCCGCTATTCAAGCACTTTGGTATTGGAAAGAAACCTGATCCAACTCAATTGCAAAAGTCGCAAACGTTTATCCAAGTGTCTTCACACAATGTACATATAGAGCTGTCCGACGGCCAAGGGAGCGATACCGCTAATACCTACCCTAGACAGTGTATGAAGATTTGTCCTCGTAGGTATCTCGATGCATATTGGCCTTGTTTAAATGTATAGATCGGAAAATGGAATTTTCAAACGCGCCCGTTAATGTGCTATGTTCATGTAAGGCGGTTATTTTGTTCTGGCCGGGTTTCTTTCGCTCCTCATTGCCTTTGTCTCATGTTTCGCGTGTCCAAAAGGGATCGAAAAGTCCGTCCACAGCCATGCGATGTAATGGACGATACCATCCTAATAAATCGATCAAACTTCTTTGAAAGTTTGACCGAGGCTCAAAACTCCAAAAGTACTTTAGTACGGAGCACTCGCTCCATGATTTCGAGATAGGAAAATCTACAAGGCGATCGTGAGATTCGTGAGGAATGTTTGGGAGAAAAGACAGGGTCTAGGGCCTTTTCCCCACAAACCTTGTGTTGACCCCCGCTGGAGACCAAGGGCGCTAATTCCAGCCCAAGAGCTTTCGTTTTCTAACTTCTACCTTAAACGGTCATGGGCCAGAAGCTGTCGCAATGTCGTGGTGAGGACGGCCAACAAGACAGAGAGCCATGTGTCCTGTTGACTCGGAAGACTCACCTGGTTCGGTATAGTGTATGATGCGATCAAAAGCCTCAAAGCGAGCTCTGCTATGTAGGACAGGAACGGGTTTCGATGAATTCAATCGGATCCCTGCGTCTTGCCAAGCCTCGGTACTTCTTGAGGAATTACGGAATGGGGAAATGAGCTCGCCAGGGGCTGGGGAGAACCAGCTAAGCGATCGCGGCATATTGAGTCTAACCTTAATAATAATAATAAGCAGCCCGTCCCGCCGGGACAATGGTAGTAGCTACTATCGTCCTGTCTCAGCCAGTTCGTGTCAGTGCGAAGCCTCAGACACAATGAGACTCGGTGCTGTCATTCTGGGCCTGGGCGCCTTGTGCGTCGCGAGCCCTGCACCGCTCGACAAGCACAACGACGTAGTCAACGCCTTTGTTAATGGTGTCATGGGCGGCGTGGACGATGTCGTCCGTGGTTTGTTGGGCCATCTCAGCGATGCAGTCAACCGAGGTGACAGAGACGAGGCCATCGACATCCTGCACCAGATGAGTCCCTCCAGGAAATCTCTCAAGAGCACGGAAGAAGCCATTGCACGATTGCAGGCGATTGCGGCAAGCAGCGGCAAGGATATTGACATTGTCGACTATGCTGCCAAGCTCGTTGCGAATGGTCTCATCTCCGGAACGGTGGACGGTTTGTTCGATTACATCGATGGCTTTTTCTCAAAGGAAAGCAGCAACAACAACGAGTAATCATTGGTGCTCTTTACCTAAAGAACCAGACATAGCTAACAGCAGCCAGTAACCCATCTCCGCCCAAGAAAATCTACCCAAAGGCAGATTCGTGCGATCCTGCATACTCGGTGCCGGAAGACGACTTGCGATCCGCCATCTACATCCCGCCTGGCTTCACGTACGGCGAGAAGCCCCCAGTCATCCTCTTCCCCGGCACCGGATCCAATGGCTACACGGCTTTCAAGGGCAACTTCATCCCGCTGCTCACCGACGTCGACTGGGCTGACCCGGTCTGGGTCAACGTGCCCGGCTTCCTCAACGACGACGCCCAAGACAACGCCGAATATGCCGCCTACGCCATGCACTACATCGCCGCCATCACAAAGCGCGACATTGGCATCATTGCCTGGTCGCAAGGAAATATTGACGTGCAGTGGGCGTTCAAGTACTGGCCGTCTACCCGCGAGGTGACCACGGACCACGTCGCCATCAGCGCCGACTACAAGGGCACCATCCTGGCCAACCTCCTCACCCTCAGCGGCCTCATCAACAACCCGAGCGTGCTGCAGCAAAAGGCCGGAAGCGACTTTATCAACACCCTCCGCGCAGATGGCGGTGACTCGGGCTACGTGCCCACCACGAGCATCTACTCGGGGCTCCTTGATGAGATTGTGCAGCCCCAGTCCGGGACTATTGCGTCCGCGTATATGCTCGACGAGCGAGGCGTTGGCGTGACCAACGCCGAGGTGCAAAAGGTCTGCAAGGGCGGGCTGGCTGGTACTCTTTACACGCACGAGAGCACGCTTGCCAATCCGCTTGCCTTCGCGTTGGCCAAGGACGCGCTGACGCATTCTGGTCCGGGCGACTTGTCGCGACTGGATCTGGGAAGTGTGTGCGCGTCATATCTGGCGCCTGGGCTGGGCTTGGACGACTTTTTGGTCACGGAGAATGCAATTGTGATTGCTGCGCTGTCTTTGGTGACATATCTACCCAAGGCTGCGGAGGAGCCTGCGCTCAGAGGGTATACTGTCTCTCCACCGCAATGCAAGCGGGAACAGCCATTCTCAGCGTGAAGTGGTGGTTTTTGGGTATTGAGGCTCAAGAGACGGTGGAACTTGCGGTATCGCGGTTGCTGAAAGCTGTGGTCTTCCACCACGTTCATTGCACGCCCTTCTTTGTTTACATGAATCAGGGGTAGCCTGTTATACCAGGCCAGTATGATAACTATCGCCATTGTAATGTTGGATGCGGTCAAACAAAGCCAATTAGGTAGCATCGAAATAATTCAAATAATATTCTTGATAGCCACTAATCTTTCATTCAGATATCTCGACGACCAACTTGGTGCAGCTGACTCCCTTGGTCATCTGGTTCAACCCAGCATTGATAGCCTCCAAACCCTTTCCCACGAGGGTCGGCCCAGGACTCGGCTTGATGATTCCCTGGGCTAGTTTCTCACTGATATAAGTCCCAAACCAGTACTCAAACTGCTTCAACCCTTCCTTCTCGTCCATGGAGGGCATCACAAATACAGTCTCCACCCCATCTACGCTCTCTGCATGCGGCGGAATCAAAGGAGCCGAAGCAACTTTTGCCTTTTGCGTTCCTCGAGTTTCTTTTCCCTGGAATGAAGGCACGAAAGCCTTGAGAACAGCCTGACAAGCTGACAGGTCACCGGTAGCGAGGAAGCAGTGGCGTATCACAAGCCCACGCTCTTTCGCCGTCGTGACGATCGTGTCCACCACTTGCGGGTCCTTGTAGTCGAAAACACAATCTGCCCCCAAAGACGCGACGTAATCCACATTGGAAGCACCAGTTGTGGTGTAGATGGCTGAAAAGGGCGAGTTGGGGTCGTCTCGCAGCAGGCTCGCCGTGTGGACGCCCATGGTCCCGACACTCGAGGAGGCGCCCCAGACCAGGAGGACTTCGTTCTTTTCAGAAGAAGGAGGTGCCGTAGCTTCACCAAGTCGAGAGATTCCCAGAATATCCCATGCACAGAGCGGTACCTGGACAGCAACAGGTAAGGTCGCTGCGTGATTCCATGAAAGTCCGGTGTCGGCAAGAGGGATAGCATGCTGCCACGGGACTAGATATTTCTCCTGAAACGCGCCATAGTTCTCATAACTTGGCTTCCACATGAAAGCAGAGTATGCAGCGACGCGCGTCACGCCGCGCTGAAAATGAGAGGGCACCTCCTCACCAACATCGACGACAAGGCCTGCGAGGTCGAAGCCCAGGACGGCGGGGTGTTTGGGTATATAGAGTCCCTCGTCTCGCATGCGAACATCCGCTGGGTTGATGGCGACCGACTTGACGGCTATGAGAAGCTCGCCTGGTCCTGGCTTTGGGGTCGGGCGATGTTGGATTTCAAAGGGTTGACCCTTGGCAGGGGACACGGCAGCACGATGGGTTGCCATTGCGAATTGTAGAGCAGTGGGGGACTTGATGTAGAAGATGTAGTGGAAGTTTGATTTGAATCCGGTTTAGAAGAAACAGTACTACTTTATATGTAATGCTGAACGGTCAACAGAGCGTTCAAGTGTTCAGCCAAGGCCCATGACTGTCAATACGCGCCAAGGGGCTCCAAGTACAGCGCGACCAATCAGCGGCCTCTGTATCCGATCCACGGCTAGCGTGGCAGCCTGTATCCGAAAGGGGGTTAGTCTGTCCTAAAAGGGGAGGCCGACGTTAGCTCTAGGGTAATCGCCATTTCACCAATCAACCATTTCCCGATGCTCAAGTTTCAACCTCCCTCCTGTCCGCTCTCACAGCATGGAGCATCCCCCAACGCTTCTTGACTGCCACTCCTTCTGCTTGAGGCAATGGCTGCAAGTCGTGGTAGGGACGACTGCCCTGGCCGCCAACCCTCGCGCCGATCGCGGTATGGCTGTCGAAACTGCAAGCTCAGGAAGCTCAAGGTTCGCAGACCGCCACTGCACGATGATCCATTGAGCTGACTTGGCCTGCTTCCACTCCCGCCATCAGTGCGACGAAGAAAAACCCCAGTGCAAGAAATGCTGCTCATTCGGCGTCCTGTGCAACTTCATGCCGCAACACGGCGACCTGCAGCCTGTTGCTGCTAGCAAGAAGCCTACCTTGGTGGTCCAACGCAAGGTCCAGCCTCAATCACCAGTCTCCAGTCCCATTTGGACATCTGACGAGACTTATTCCTATCTCCTGAGTGCGAAATGTCAGGACTTCATCACCCGCTATCTTGGTCGCAGCCTCATCACCCCGGATGACCCTGCCATGGTCCAAGTCAATCATAGGATGCTGGGACTGGCTTTTACCGTGAACATGCACTTTCACCAGAGACACTAGTTCCATGGACTAACGTCGGGCAGAACCCATTCCTGATGCACGCGTCCCTTGCCGTGGCATTTGCCCACGATCGCTACCTAGCAGCCTCATCACACGGCACCAGCCCACACAACGTGCAAGAATGCTACCACTGGTCTCAAGGTACCGCCCTCTTGCAAGAGCGTCTAAAAGAGCCCATTCAACCCCAAGATAAGGACGCAATCTGGGGTACTGCCGCTGCGCTCGCCATGCTCTCCTTCGCCTCTCCCGACGTGGACACGCCGCAAGACTCTTGGCCTCTCCAGTCTTATGGGCGTTCTGATCTGGACTGGCTGCGGATGAACGAGGCAAAGGACTCGCTGTGGCACATTGTCAACCCCCTCAGACGGGACAGCCTGTTTAGCGTCCTGTCGGCGACGTATGCCCAGTTGCATGCGCCTCTGCCGGACAGGGGCGTGGATGGCATCCCGCCAGCCTTGGCAGCTCTATGCTGCCTCACAGAGTCGTCTACTGTGGACACCAATCCGTATCTTCATGCGGCTCATGCATTGGCACATGTCTTACGTCTTCCAGATAGTGAGGTGACGACGGGCATGGCACACCCTTTCATGCGCAGCATTCGTGATGCTTTCAAGGAGCTCCTCCTCGCAAGGGACCCCATTGCGCTCTTGCTGCTGTATCTCTGGTATCGCAAGGCGAGTCGGACTATATGGTGGATTGCACTGCGAGCCAGAGTGGAGGCCCCTGCCATCAGCTCATATCTACAGCTACATCACGGAGGCAATGCCATGGTGCAAGCGTTCCTCCCTGGGGGCGCTTTTGCCGATGGAATGTGAACTTTCTTTTTTCTATTCTCACATATTCATACCTGAGGCTGCCGCTACGCATCCCGGTCATACTCATCGATCACACTGGCCGGCTTGCTGAACTTGCCCAACGGCTTATACTCCAGATCATGGAACCCAAAGCCTTTAGGCCCGCCTATCTCGAGACCCCTCGCTGTCGACGTCCATTTCTCCGATGCCGTGATGCCTATCACGACAACAGGCAGGCCATATCGGTAGTCCTGCGTCCCCAACGCCTCGCCATTCTGCGCATCGAGCACGGTGACTAGATCGGGCACGATGGCCAAGATCTCCTCATTACCGTCGGAATACACCTTTTTGGCATAAATGTTCTCATTCTTGAAAGGAATGACCAGCTTCTCCTTGGAAGCATCCGTCTTCTCGTCACTCGTCGATTCGATGGTCACCTCGCCATATGCGTGGCCCATCTTCAGCACGCGCTCCACGCCGACAATCTTGCCCTTGAAGAGGACACTCGCCGACTCGGCGCCACCCACCTCCTCGATGATGGACTCGGCTACAGTGTCAATGGTATTCGTGCAGCGAGATAGCGCCACGGCGCGACCGATACGCCATGCGAGAGACATTGTGTTCTTCACGACCCATTTCTTGGTGTTGGCACCGCTCACGGGGCCCTTTGCGCAGCCAACGTGCGAACCCATCTGCGACAGCGCCGCGCGTAGGGCACGTTCGGCGTCGAGCTCGGTGGGTGCCTTTGTCATGAAAATGATGCGGCCGTTGCCGTCCGAAATACACGTGGGGATCATCGTGGCTCTCTTCTCATAGACAACCGGTGTGGTCTGCCACGAGACTGGGTACGCGCGGCCCATCCAGTCGCCATCAATGGCAGGAATGTCCAGAGCGTTGGAGGCGCCGATGATGAGACCCTGCAGACCATTCCCACCGCCAATCTCGAGTGGGACCACGGCGTTGGGGGACTTGTTCAGGAAGGCGTACAGCTCGCACTGCGATTCGAGTATCTCGTCGCCGACGGGCTTCTCTGTCGAGACCTGTGGCGAGCCCTTGGCACCACCGCATGCGACCAGGTCATCGTCTTTGAGATCGTCAGGGGAGATGACTCGCAAAGTGACGCCCTGGCGGACCATCTGTCTCAAGCGGAGGAAGTGCTGGTATGGGCTACCACCGCCACCGGTGCCCAGGATGTAACATCCTGTCGAGATGAACTCGAGATCCGTCTCTGACAGCAGCCAGGTCCTCTTGCCAACACGGGGCCTGTAGGTGCTGATAGAATCCTTTGTGTGCACCAGACTTCCAGACGAAGGAGCCTCCTCTCTCGATATGTCGCCATGATTACCGTCCGTTTTTGACGCAACATGGTCTGCATCATCCGCAAAGTCCCCGTTGGCTACATCCATGATTGGTGCCGACTGGATATCCGTGCGGGAGTAGTCAAAATCACCCACTGCCTTGACGATGATCCTCGACTTGTCCGCAATATACTGCAGTGGGAAGCTCTCCATCTCTGCGATTGTGACCGTCTCTCTCAGCGCACCACTGGTGACAGCAACCTCAATGGCTCGTTGTGACACGGCCTCCATGACCTCGGTCTTGCTGCGCGACTCTGTGCTCTCGACTGAGTCAATGACGCCACTGACACGCGCTGTCGCGGCACCGATAGCGTTGGCGACGCCAGACCAGTTGGGCTTGACAACGCGGCTCGCGCCGTTCAGAGAGTCTGGCGCGATGACCGCACCGCCGCCCACGAGAACGACAGGTATAGGGTTGGGCGATGTCTTCATCGTGTCGACAATCTGTTCAAGCATCGCCTTGACCTTGGCCTTGAACTCGGGGAGACTGGAAGTCAGGGCGTCCTGGCCATCTACCTTGCTGCGGTCGCCAATATCGACGGAAGCATCGCCCAGGACGGTGTAGTCCGTCGTCGTGGGAGTGTTACCGCCAAACACGAGCGCCTTTTGACGAATCTGATAGCCTACGGACTCGGGCCCAACGGTCAATCTGCCAGTCTTGTCTTTGCTGACGGTGGAGCCACCGCCGAGACCGATACTTCTCACATCAGGGTAGCTAAAGTTTGTCCTCACGCCAGCAATCTCGCTGTAGGCAGCAGCCTGTCTGGGGAATCCGTTCTTCTGTAGGAGACCGACGTCGGTGGTTGTTCCACCGATATCGACAACCATCATGGCCTCTTTGATATCCTGATTCTGCATCAAAAAGGCAGCTCCGCGCATACTGTTGGTGGGACCGCTTGAGAAAGTTCTGATCGGCAGGCGAGCTGCCGCGCTGGCAGGGATGATGGTACCGTCGTTCTGCGTGATGAATACAGGGCAATGCAGGTTGAGCTTCTGCACGGCCGTCTGGAAGGAGTGGATTGTCCTGCGCGCAAAGTCGAGGATGGACGCGTTGAGGATGGCAGCGTTCTCCCGCTCAAAGAAACCAATGTTGGCCACATCCTTGGAGCAGACAACGTCAGCTTCGGGATAGACGCTCCTCACAACCTCGGCTGCCGTCTCTTCTTGACGATGAATGACGTCGATGGGGCTGAAGACACCGACAATGGCAATGGATTTGATGCCCTTGGCCTTGATGGCCTCGACCTCGCGCTTGACCTCTTCGACGTCTAGCTCCGCGATGAGACCGCCGTCAATCTCCAGCCCGCCCGAAACCAAACTGCGGTGACCGCACATAATGTCCCGTAATCTCGGCGGCCAGTCGATGCCAATGGGGATATCCTTGGAGAAGGGGCCGCATAGGCGGATGACGCCGACCTTGGCCAGACGCGACTGGTCCATTTCCACCACGGCGTTGATGAAATGCGTCGTGCCAATGGTCACGCTGGCGACGTCGGTCGGGTGAATGGCAGAGGACTGCGAGAACATGGTCTCGATGACATTGTTGATGCCATCGCTCGGGTTCTTGGTGGTGCTGGATTTGTGGTGAGCGAGGATGCCGCGAGACGGTGTGCTGGCTTGTGCGAGGTCGAGGATGACGCCGTCGGTGTTTGTGCTGGTATTGATTGTCAGTGCCAGGGGTTCTGCGTTTGACCGACTTGCCTCGACCGAGCAAGCTAGCGGGCAAGCAGAAAGCAGCCCTCACGTACTCTGTCTACCAATACCTCCATCTCACCTGCAAGTGGAGGGGACTACTTTCAGTATTGGTGAACAGGGCTGCTTGGACATTGGTCTGCTCTACATTGCTTCTCACAAAGGTCAAGGGAAATGCATCAGAATGTCTCGAACTCACCCACCGACGTCAACGCCTATGCGCAGAGCTGAAGATGCTGTCGCCATCTCGGCTGGATACTCCAAGACTCGCGTTTAAAGACGAATGGTATTCGTGTTTCTGGATAACACCAGAGCCCAATCACCGTACTCTCTCCTTGGAAACGGGCGTCAGATATGAAATAGTCCCGGGACGCCCTTGATACATCCAGGTCGCATTGCGCCGAAGTCGGTCGGTCAAAAGGTCCCTTCTCGCATGCTGTCGGAGTGGGCTCCGATATGTGGATGAGTTCAGCCCAATCGACGTACGACGTTGCCGGATCTCGTCACCTTAAACGATGGAGATGCCGTCGATTATTCCCGTTGATAGAGCGGGGACTCGTTCAGTAGCGCCTCTCCATCAATACCTTATCATCCATGTCCTCAACGCTGAATGCTGCGTATCGTCGATGCCGACGAGGGACAATTCACTCCTCGATGCGCTCTTCTGCTGCCTTATCACGGCTTTTACCCGAGCTTGCGGGGGTTCAGGGTCCATCTTCGAGGGATGAAGCTCCATTATCCTGCCTCGTTTCTCCTTCTACGGACAATAAGCATCTCCGCGTTTGATAAGCTGCCATTGGTAATGCCGCAATACCGTGCTGCGGCTTTAGTCCAACATGACCAGGGGGTTGGGTTGATGGTTGCTTTGACAAATCATCCTCCCATGAGCCAGAAGGATCAATCGCCAAGCATGCTAAGTTAGCTCGCGTGGCATTCGGACAAAGGAGTCCGATATAGGCATACTGTCTCCCCATATTTGATAAGTCGTGTTAGTAGTCCCAGGGTCTTGGGTCTCTGCCAATCCGTGGTACCAAGGGACTGGACTGGTCAAGCGTCCTGCTCTGGTCAAAGGTGATAAGAAGCCTGATGGCACCCTCTTGTCGATCGTCACAGACCGTCAAGATCTCTCCTCCTCTTGTAACGGATCACGCGAAGCGACGAAAAACATGTCTGTTGTCCGCAGAATCAGGGACGCAGCCGTCCTCAAGGCTGACGAGTCACGCCATGAGGAAACTACAGCATGGTGCAACCGTGATCTAGTACCGCTCCCTCCGTCGCGCCGAACCTGGGGCTGGTTCAACTACTTTGGCGCAGCGTCTCTGTAAGTCAGACCAAATCAGACAACGTATCTGGGTCCGGCCGTTGCTGACGAGTGAGCACAGGGGCGCACTCAACGTCTCGACGTGGCAGACACCCAACACCTTCCTCACTCAAGGTCTCTCCGTCGGCCAGGCCATGGCCATCATTGTTGTCTCGCGCCTCATTGTCTCCATCTTCACCTGCGTCATCGGCTGGATCGGCCTCACATGGCACATTGGCTTCACTGTGCAGAACCGCTACACATGGGGCTTCCGTGGCGCCTACATCCCCCTGATCCAGCGTGTCATGCTCAACTTTATCTGGAACGCCCTCCAGTGCTGGAATGGTGGCAAGCTCGTCACCGTCGCGCTGACGGCCATCTGGCCCTCTTTCAGCACCATGAAGAACACGCTGCCTACCAGCGTGCCCACGACAACCAGCGAGATGGTCGGCTTCACCATCTTCTGGCTCCTGTCCGTGCCCTTTCTGTTTATCTGCCCCGAGCGCTTCAAGAAGCCCTTCTTTTTCTCCTCGCTGGGCTGCGGGCTCGCTATGTTCTCTATGATGGTCTGGTCCCTCTCCGTGGCCAAGGGCGTCGGTCCTATCTTTTGGAAGGGACAGGACGTCCCCGCCACCTCGCGCTGGGGCATCTCCTGGATCATGATGGCGGCCTTGAACCAGGCTATCGGCCAGAAGGCTGCCGGCATGACCAACGAGAGTGACTTTTCGCGTTACGCCTGCAACAGGTGGGGGTTGATCGTCGGCACGTTTTCCGTGCAGTGGATCATTGGTATCATTGTCTCGATAGCTGGCCTCGTCACCACGGCGGCTTGCCAGAGGATCTATGGCGAGATCTTCTGGAACCCACCGGATTTGATGATGGTCATGATGGACAGCGGGCACGGCTCCTCCGCTGCACGCGCAGGCGTCTTCTTCCTGTCCGTCGCCTTTGGCTTCGCCATCCTCTTCCAGAACGTCTGCGGCAATGCTGTCGCCGGTGGCATCGACCTGTCCGGTATCTTCCCTCGCTACGTCGACATCCGCCGAGGCGCGCTCATCACTTTCATCGCCACGTGGATCATCCAGCCCTGGCAGCTCATCAACCGTGCCGCCACCTTTGTCACGGTTCTCAGTTCCTTCTCCGTCTTCCTTGCCCCTCTGCTAGGCGTTATGGTTGCCGACTACTACGTTATCCGTCGCCAGCGCATCAAGCTGATTGATCTTTACCGTCCCGAGAACTCGGACTACTGGTACTCTCACGGCTTCAACTGGCGCGTCATCCCTTGCTGGATCGCTGGATGGGCGCCCACAATCGGCGGTCTTGTCGCCAGCGCTGGTAAAATGACTGGCGCCCCTGATGCTTTGTTCCAGATTTACTACACAGCCTTCTTCACGGGCATGGCCATCTCTTTCATACTCTACTACAGTCTTGTGCTCGTCTTTCCCGTTCCAGGAGCTGGCGCGTTCGACCTGTACGACGACTGGGCGACATTCACCCCCAAGGAAGCTTCCGCCCTGGGTGTCGTGCCGAATGAGAACGCAGAGGAGTTTCAAGATGTGAAGTTCGGCCAGTCTGGGTATGCCAAGCGTGGTGAGCCGACATACGTGACACAGAAGGAGACATGGAGGGATCTGGAGGCGGATATGGGAAAGGAGAAGCCTGTTGGTCAGGTTGAGTCAAGGACGGTGGTTTGAGATGCAGAGGGAGCGATACTCGTTAGGTACCTGCCTGGTAGGCTATAGATTCCAAATTGAGGCATCTTCCCTGCCACAGACGCCGTGTTGGTGCTTCCTATCTAGATCACTGAAGCTTGGCTGCTCTGGCTTATTTCTTGATCGAGTAGTACATGAAGTCGACAAGGCTGACTTCGTGTTGGTCTTTCCAAGCCCAATGCACGGGTTTGGTCAAGAGCCACGGGCAGTTCAAAGAGATATAGGAGTGTGATATACTTGCGCGAACAATTGGAGGACCAGTCAGACTGAGTGACCATAGACCGCTACCTCTTGCAGCAACCATGGAGAACATTTCAGCCATCATGTAAAGATACGCAAGATTAATCGAGTGCTCTCAAGCAGTCTCCTTTGGCTCTTGTCGAGAATCCGAGGCCTGGAATCGATCTTTCCGTCCGAGGGCGCCTGCGGTTTCCGTGGTGTCTGTCCACGGGCACTGGCACCTTCCAACGCATGCGAATTACTCTTGCCTTGTTGTTCTTTCCGTGCTTTCAGGATCCCCTCGGAAAGTGCGATACTTGCGTTTGTGATGACTATATCATGCGTGCCCATCCTCCAGTCTCCCCTCCATCGTCTCTTCACTCTCCTTTACCAAGACATCATCACGGCCGCAGCGTTCACATCTCCCACCACAGCATCGGCTCGTTCTGTTTTTCCTCCAGTCCAACCATCTCTTGTTTTGTCTTGCCTTCCTCCTTCAAGTCTTTATTACTGCATATCCACCTGGTCGGCTGCACCGTGCACTTGCAACAGTCCAGTCTTCTTCACCCTATACCTCGTCGGCCTCAGAACCGCATTCGGTCATGTCATCATCGGCCTCTTGTGCTTTTCATTTCTGAGCTTTGTTTTGCTCTCTGCGACTCAACTCAAAGGTGAGGTCCCTCGTGATGAATGCAAAACTTCCATGGCCTGAGCCTGCTGGGCGAAGATGACAAACAAACAAACAATCTGAAGGGAGCTGTACTCACTTAGCCTGCGGAGTGGCTAAACTCCCTTTTATACGATTTTTAGGTCCGATCCCGAGCCCCGACAACCTAGAACCCCAACAACTTGCTCTCGAATCAACCGTTCCAAGCTCGGCCGGTCTTTGATGGTGGGAACCTTGTCGGGTGGATGGACAATGGGCCGTGGGATAATGTACATTCTTCTCTTGATTTGAGTTTGAGTGGGATGTTTCACTGGAGCTAGTCTTGGTATTTGATTGACAATGTCGAGAAACATCAAGTTGCCTTCCTAATGTCGCTTCGTGATGTTGATGCAGTGCTCGCGAGATTAAATGTACGTGGGCGGTTGTCCATGTTGTTGTACTTGGCTTCTTGATCGCTCAACAGCAGGCTCGCATTCACATGCCTTGTACTGCAGTTGGCAAATCAACTATTATCAGAGCGATGTGGAGTGTACCTTACCTTAGGTTCTCGTAGCGTGAAGACTGTCCCTTTTCTTTGAAATTCCCTTGTGCGTTTGGTTTTGTCCCAAGACTGGGTCCGCTACCGTTTTTGAGTCGGCATCAGGGCCTCCCTACTTATCTTTAAACAATGTCAGTACATGTACCATGGGCGCATTGGCGGCTCCCGTCAACCACCGAAGGAGTCTGCTGCTACACGATGAAATGGAACTTGGCCATGATGAGTGACTTCTCCGAGGCACATCACCATTTGCAGAAGTTGAGTTAAGGACATTCTGTCAAATATCGACTACCAGCATCAACCCTCAGTTCTTTTGCACCTTCATCTGCTCTAGCACAGCCGCATGGTTAATGTTGTGGGTGGTACCTCTCTCCTTGACTATCCTCGTGACATGCTCACCTCTCACCTTCATCACCGTTCTCAAAGGCTTGGGTAGCGTGACAAAGCCCTCCGTGCAGTCCATGTCGTCGACGACATGCCTCTGACCTGTATCCTCGCGGATGCCAGCCTCGACGTCAAAGGCCCACAGCATGCGCGCCATCTGGATGAAGAGCTGGTTGCGGGCAATGATACGGCCGGTGCAGATACGACGACCGAATCCGAAGCCTGTCTGCGGCAGATCCTTGAGGGCAGTCGTGTTGAGACCGCAGGCGTCCACGGTGGGAGGTTGTGTCGTGTCGCCTGTCATCCAACGCTCGGGGTCGAAGGAGTTAGGATTGGCGCCGAACACGGACTCGTCACGACAGATGGCAAAGGCGTTGGGCAGAACGATGGAGTTGGCTGGGATGCGGTAGTCCATGTACGAGTCCTCCGTCTTGATAAAGTGCGGTACGCCACCCACGACAACAGGACGCCATCGCAGGGTCTCGCTGGCTGTGGATGCATGTCAGCCGCTGCATGATACAGCACAAATCACCCATGTAGTCTCGGGCACAGATGGGAAAAGAAAGGTGAACAAAGTTGCCACATACCGATGGCATCGATAAAGGCCAGCTTGGGGCGATCGTCAAATGTGGGCATGCGATCCTTGCCCACATCCTCGTCCAACAGCTTCTGGGCCTTGGACACCCATGTGCTGCCACTGGTGATCCAGGCCACGATGAACCAGTCGAGCGCCACAGTGGACGTGTCGAGGCCTGCGTCCGCAAGGATGCCCAGATCAAAAGCCAGTTCTGTCTTGTCCATGTCTTTGCCCTCGGGCGAGGCCTTCATGTACTTGCTAAAGTTCCAGCCGGGGTTTGACAAGCCCTTGTTCAGGTTGCCTTCGTGGAGGTTACACTCGAGCGCAAACAGCTCATCAGCCTCCTTGTTCCACGGGGCAAGGAAGCGAGGCAAGCGGTTGAGGGCGGGGATCGAGTCCACGAGGTAGGCTCCAACCTGGCCTGTCCTGGCAAACTCGGCCTGCACCTTCTTGCCGTCCTGCAGGGACTGCTCGTGGCCCGTCTTGAGGCGATAGCCGTAGTTGAGACAGTAGATGGTGCTGGCCATGGCTCGCTCGTGGTGATGGTGAAAGTCGACACCCCTCTCGCCATGTGTCTCCATCTCCGTGATCTCATCCAACAATAGCTGCTGGCTCTCCAAGTCCTGAAGGGGGAGATACGTGCTGGACGCCTTGAGTGTCAACAGGGGCGCCTCCATCTTTTGGTGCAGCTTGTACTGGTCATTGTACTGTCACAGCAGCATGTGCATGCCCCTCGTCACCAGCTCGCCGGCCATGACCATCCTGGGACGATCCGAGTACCTGGCACTCCTCTTACTGAGCAGATCGTGCGCAGCCTTATGTGTAGACAGGATGATGAGCGGCTGTCCCGCCATGCTGAAGTGCATAATGGGTCCATACTCCTTGCTCATGTGATATAGGTGCAGCCATTGCAAGCTCTTGGGCAGCTGGTGAATGTTGCCGATCACAGGCGCAGGCTTAGGATCAGGAGGCAGTGACACGGTACTACTGGATCGCTTGCCTAGCGGGGAGATGAAGTACAGCAGGACAACGGCGCCCACGAGGACGGAGGCCACCGTCGAGGTGGAGTACGCCATGATCCACGATGACGGGAAAGGGACTTGTCTCGTGCTCGTGCACGCGGGTAGCTGGCGATGAAACAAGGCTGATGATGCAAGCTCGGACACAAATTGCTCGCATAGATGAATGTAAGCACGAAGAGAGGCGAGAACTCGAGGGACTCAAGCGAGGAAAGGGGGCATATGCCAGTGTCTGCTTGGCTGCCACTCGGCCATCGGGGCTGATATCACATTTCATACCCCAAAATATCCCTGTACGTGCATCACCACGCCCAGGGATCTATCTCAAAGCTTGGCTCCCCAGCTTTAGACCGCGTTGCAGATCTCCACGGTTGGATACATGTAGATGAGGAGGATTGAAGCAGCTCAATTTCGCCTGCCGCGTTCCTTCCAGTCTGGTGACGGCCACTCAGACGACTCTTCAAAGGTATCACCCACAAGACAGGACGCGGCACGGCGTGCTCTGCGGAACTCGAGCACGTCTCATTGCTTCTTCTGTTATGCAGTTGGCAGGCGGGAGCGGCGACTCAGCAGACAGGGTGTCTTGCATAAGCGGTTCCGGGGGAGGGACAGGATACATCCAGCGAATGGGCATTGGCCATCAAAAGCAATAATATGGCAAACTATGCATGAAGTATGCTCCGAGGACCGGGGGGTTAACCATTAATAAGAATCCGGCCCGCGATACGTAGTATTCGGTTCTTGAGGGAATAGCAAAGCGAGATGCAGCCTCAGCGATGGCTTTGGCAAATCAGCCAATTCAATGATACATGGGGGACCAAGGGCTTGAATAGCGAAAGGGATCAAGATACGTACATCGCGATGTATGCCTGAGTATCCGTAGTCCGTAGTCCTTAGTCCGTACAGTCCTTAATTGTGGTCTTTAATCTCCTGACAAGGGCTGGGGTAATCCACAGGGCGATTAACTCTAAAGCTCTATCACCATGAATCCATGTACGCACAGGCACAGTGAGGCCCAAGTATTGGCCAAGTGTAGATCCCTTCCTTCGCGTCGCTCAGCTCAGAGTTCGCCATGTGCTGTGAGCGATCACACCCTTCATCATATGGCACAGAAAGAGTCATTGGACATGAAGCTGACCTTTCCTGCGTACCCTTGGAAACCAGAAGGGACTCGTTATTTACCCGACTCATAGATGTACGGAAGAAGCCCCCTCTGTCGGGTCGACAATGTTGTAGTTGGTCGTACACCTCTACAACAAGTGACCCTGTCTCAGGGACGTTTCCTCTTTTCTCGGCAGCGGACGCCAGGGATAGTCTACACTCATCTCCCTGCCTCGGTCACCGGTGACGACGACGCAGGCGCCGGGATCAGGGAGCCTCAAAAACGAGCGAGCCGTGGATGGTGCCCGTCGGCCCGCTATGGGGCTGGTTCCTTTGTCCTTGTGTCAAGACTCAAATCTGCGACTCCAGTGCTTATGCTGAGATTCGTGGGCTGGGTGGCAGTCTTGCGATCGCCTGCTGTATGCTGTCTTCATCAAAGTTGAACTTGCCTTCAGCGCCTGCGGCCTGTCTGTATGACTTGCAACCTTTGCTGCCATCGCCTCGATTGGCTAATGTTGGTTACTCGTTGTTGCTTTGTGAGACATCACGCAGCACAGCTGCTTCGGCCTCCTGACGTCTCATCGCCATCCCTCCGGGGCGGAAGCGCAAAAGAAGTAGCTGATCGGCTGGCAGGGTTGGCTCGAGTCCTTCCAGGGCCGAGTCCTTTCTACTTATACTTCTCGACGGCAATGTGGTTTTCTCTCCAGGTTGATGTGAGACAGTTGCCATCTATCGTGTCAGCGTCTGAATCCTTTCCCAATTCCGGAGAACGCTGAACGCGATGAAGTTGTTCACATGTCTAGTTCTAGCTGGCGCTGGTGGGTGGACGGCTCTGGCGCAGCCACAGAAAATGCCTGGTTGTGCGGTACGTCTTGCAACAAGTTGCTCCCCATCTTCTGTTGTTGATCAACATATTTACATCCAGAGAACTGACTGGCCGTGCGTAGGCCGCTTGTCTAGGCCAATTCCTCCCAGATTCGACCTGCGAGGCCAGCGATTCAAAGTGCGTTTGCGCCGACACGGAACTCATGTTGGGCGTCGAAGGTTGCACTTTCAGCAGTTGCACCGTTGTTGAAGGCTTGGGTACGCAGGTTCTCCCTATTTCATCCGTTGGCCGTGATTTGCTGACCTGGCACAGCCGCCGCCAACATCACCAAAACCATGTGCAACGAGCCCGTCCGTGACAGAAGCCTTGTCGCCCCTATCGCTACAGCCATCTCAGGGTTCTTTGCTCTACTGTTCATATTGTCGAGGGTTTATGTCTGCTACACCTTGGAGGAGTGGGCCTGGCAAGATTATTGCGCCTTCGTGGCCATGGTAAGCGGCTTGAACCCAGCCCCTTTTCCGCAAGGGACGTCCACTGACACCGACAGGCCTCTTCGATCCCAATGGATGTTGGCGAGTTCTTCAGTGGGTACTCCTAGTTCTCTCGACACGCTCCCACTGTATCTTACGACACTAGTGATGCACTATGGCATGGGCAAGGACGTCTGGACCCTGGAGGAGGAGCAGATCAATGAAGTTGTCAAGGTATGTCGCCGGCTTTCCAGGACCTGAAGAATGCAACGAACTCACATCACCAGTGGACATGGGTTACCCAGGTCAGCTACATCCCAGCGATCATCCTGACCAAGATGGCCATCATTGGCATCTTCCTTCGTGTTTTCCCCGACGAGACCTTTCGCAAGGTCTGCATCGGCACCCTGGTCCACTGCGGGCTTTTCCTGGTGTCGACGTTCGTCGCGACAATACTGGCTTGCGTTCCGGTCTCCGATGCGTGGATCGTGTGGTCTGGCAAGGCCACTGGCCTCTGCTACAATAATACTGCGTATTGGTGGGCGCACTCAGCCATCAACATCTCGACGGACTTGTGGATCCTGGCCCTTCCCATATCGCAGCTGCTGAAGCTCCAACTGGGTCTCAAAAAGAAGATCCACCTGATGCTGATGTTTGGCGTGTGTATCATGTAAGTATAGCCGCTCGACGTGTCGCAGATTCGCCCGCTGACATCCGCAGCATCACTGTGATTAGTATCATCCGCTTCTCCGGGCTCCTCCAGTACTCGTTCACCACGAACCCGACTTACAACAACGTCATGGTCGCGACCTACTCTGTCGTCGAGTGCAACGTGTCCATCATGTGTTGCTGCATGCCCGCGGCCCTCGCCCTCCTGCGACGCACGTACCCTCAGATATTCGGATCGGCCAGTGGCTCTTACGAGCGCAGCGATGATCCCAACAAGCCACGCTCGCTCATGATCTTTGGTGGCAGTGGCCGAACTCCCAAGGGCAAACGTGGCATACAGAAGAGTGTGACGAACACCGTCAGTTACGAGACCAGGCCAGACGACGGATCGGACCAGCTCGAGTTGATGGATGTCGAGGGTAATAGGCTGGACCGCAAGTGGAATGCATGAAGCTCGGAGTCGTACCATGAAGCAAGGTCAACTGGCGCATTTCGATTTGGGATAGACACAGACCATGGTAGACCTCAAAAAGGGCCACTCTTATTTTCAACAGTATTAATTGTTCGGCCGGACCTTTTGATCCGCCCTTCAATTCGTGGCGCTGGAGAGAGAGTGAGGCACTGGGAGACACTGCTTGCGTGTTTGGAAATATGAGGCATGTTGCGCGCTTTGCGAGGACAGCCCGGGGCACATTCCTCGACTTTCTCGGATTTTTTTTGCCTTGAAAAGCCAATATCGACATCTTCAACAAATACAGCCGTGGTCATCTTGCGAATGCTCGTGGGGCCAATGCTTCACCCACGTTGTAAGAAGATGGGCCCGTACCTATGTCATCGCGCCCCTCGAAATGGAGAAAAAAAAAAAGGCATCTCCAGCCGTCCGGACCATCGGCCCATGACGTTTTCATCACAGACAAAGTGCGTCTGACGCCCACCCGATGGCCCGACGCCCGGCACCCGGCAGGTGGCACGGGACTGGAGGCAGCAATGCACACGGAAGAAAGATAATGGACATTTGTTGTTACTTGTTGTTGATGCCAACGTCAGTGAATTGCCGCTATCAGTGCTTCAATTGCAGATGGACAGGGTTGGTCGCACGGGCTGGTCGGTGATCGGCGAGAGGTGCAAGACTCTTCCTGTCTTGGCAGCTTCTGCGTCTCATCCTTATATCCACGCTGATATCCAATTTTGTTAGATTGATTCGGATCTCCGCGCCTCGTCCAGGGACCTCCAGTCGTCTTGGATTGCAGGCCGTGTCCAAGGGGTCGTGTCGTGACATGGATGTCGAAACCAGCCTGTAAGCTGTTGAAGATTTGAGGAAAAAACACTGCTAGCAGGGCGCCGGGCAGCGTGAGACACCCACTGTTAGTGGCCAATGCCAGCCATTCGACCCCTCCGCGGGGCAAGCCTGTCAGTGGCCGTTAGCGGCTCGCAGGGGGGACATGAACCTAGCGTCGAGCGAATGCACAGCGAAACGAATTGGCCCTTATCGGAAACAACCTGCCCAACACTCCATGTTACTATCACCGCCGTCCATCCTTGGATTTGAATATGCAGTGAGAATTGGAAGCATGCAGTAACGATGTCTTGTTGCTGGGCACTCAGCATTGATGCTTGCGGCTTGTGCATTGAATCATCGGCTCCAGTCCGTTGAGCACGCCACAATGCCTACGCAAGCCACGCTTACGAACGTCTCGGCACTTCAAACGAAACATCTCGAGAGTCGAGCAAGATAGTCAGGGGCAGCAGATCACAGACAAGGATATCATTCAAGGGGCCAGCGAGAAAGATATTTAACGGCTCATCATTCCCTCCAGCCAGGACATGCCTTTTTTTCCTTGCCATTGCCTTCGCCGGTTGCATGTTCACGTTAGTAACAAGCTAAATAGCTCCCGTCGTCACTTCCTTGACTGACTCTTGCTTGCGTGCCCGTTGCCCGGCCCTCGTTTCGTCGATTGCGTGATCATCCGCACTACTGTCCAATCAGGCGCGGCGCAGCCACAAGAGCTTCATCAGACTCTTCATTGCCCTACAGCTGTCCGATCAGGTTGTCTCTAGGTACTTGGCTCATTCTGCTGCTGCTTGCTCTGACTTCTTCCTTCTTTCCCTCCTCATCATCCTCACATTCATTCACAATGGCCAACACTCCCCACGGTGGTGTCCTCAAGGACCTCTTCGCGCGCGATGCCCCTCGCTCTGCAGAACTCGCCAAGGAGGCCGAGTCGCTGCCCGCCATCACATTGACCGAGCGTCACCTCTGTGATCTCGAGCTTATTCTCAACGGTGGTTTCTCTCCTCTTGAAGGTACGTGTCCCCTTGCGCAAGCCCCCCTTGAAGATGGCGTCCTGGCGGTGGGCGGGAAGACGACAGGCATGGAGGGGTCAGTGGTCCACAGTGGCACCCCCCGGGCGATCGCCCGACGCTGAGAGTCAACCAACCCAGCCACGGCCATGATTGAGGAACGGGCGCAGGAACAGCAGAAAAAGACGGTGAGCTGACAGGCGATGCACAGGTTTCATGACCCAGAAGGACTACAATGGTGTCGTGGAGGACAACCGTCTGGCCGATGGTGCCCTCTTCTCCATGCCCATCACCCTCGATGTCAGCCAAAAGGAGATTGACAGCCTGGGCCTCAAGGAGGGCGTCCGCGTCGTCCTGCGTGACCTCCGTGATGACCGCGACCTGGCCATTCTGACCATCGAGGACATCTACCAGCCCGACAAGGTCAACGAGGCCGTCAAGGTCTTTGGCAGCGATGATGACACTCACCCCGGTATCAAGTACCTCTTCAGCACCGCCAAGCAGTTCTACGTCGGTGGTAAGCTTGAGGCCATCCAGCGCCTGGAGCACTACGACTTCCTGGAGCTGCGCTTCACACCCTCCGAGCTGCGCTCCCACTTTAACAAGCTGGGCTGGCAGAAGGTGGTCGCCTTCCAGACGCGCAACCCCATGCACCGAGCCCACCGTGAGCTGACCGTCCGCGCTGCCCGCTCGCAGCAGGCCAACGTCCTCATCCACCCCGTCGTCGGTCTCACCAAGCCCGGTGACATTGACCACTTCACCCGCGTCCGCGTCTACAAGGCCATCCTGAACCGCTACCCCAACGGCATGGGCGCCCTCGCCCTCCTGCCGCTGGCCATGCGCATGGGCGGTCCCCGCGAGGCCCTGTGGCACGCCATCATCCGCAAGAACCACGGCGCCACCCACTTCATCGTCGGCCGTGACCACGCCGGCCCCGGCAAGAACAAGAACGGCAAGGACCACTACGGTGCCTACGACGCCCAGATCCTCGTGCAGAAGTACCAGGAGGAGCTTGGCATCAAGATGGTCGAGTTCCAGGAGATGATCTACATCCCCGACAAGGACGAGTACATGCCAGCCAACGAGATCCCCGAGGGCACAAAGACCCTCAACATCTCCGGCACCGAGCTGCGCAACCGCCTCAAGACCGGCAAGGACATCCCCGCCTGGTTCTCCTACCCCGAGGTCGTCAAGGTCCTGCGCGAGCAGAACCCCCTGCCCCGCGAGAAGGGCTTCACTGTCTTCCTGACCGGCTACCAGAACTCGGGCAAGGACGCCATCGCCCGCGCCCTGCAGGTCACTTTCAACCAGGACGGTGGTCGTCCCGTGTCCATGCTCCTCGGTGAGACGGTCCGCCACGAGCTGTCCCAGGAGCTGGGCTTCACCCGCAAGGACCGCGACCTGAACGTCTCGCGCATCGCCTTTGTCGCCTCGGAGCTCACAAAAGCCGGCGCCGCCGTCATTGCCGCGCCCATTGCTCCCTTTGAGGACGCCCGCCAGCAGGCCCGCGAGGCCGTCGAGAAGAGCGGCCCCTTCTTCCTCATCCACGTCGCGACACCCCTCGAGTACTGCGAGAAGATGGACCGCAGGGGCGTCTACGCCAAGGCCCGCCGTGGCGAGATCAAGGGCTTCACTGGCGTCGATGACCCGTATGAGAACCCCGTCAAGCCCGACCTGGTGGTCGATTTTGAGAAGCAGAACGTGAGGTCCATTGTGCACGAGATCATCCTCCTGCTCGAGAGCCGTGGTCTGTTGGATCGTCTGTAGAGGAAAACATAAACAGAAGAAGATAAATGCATAGACAGAGGGACTTGACAATCACCACATGTGATTTTATGAGTGACGGACTTGAGACAGCAGTGATGAGACTGAGAGGTCCATGCAGCCCGCCCGCCGCATCGGACACCACATGTGCAGAGCTTCATCAGATCATGGCCTCCCCACAGACATGCATGCATGCGTTATCCCTGAATAGCGTGCTGGGCATGGACAGTGGTCAATTTTGCCGTGTAGTCAACCATTGCGTGCTGAGCGTGAATGGTGAGGTTCGTCATGACATGAGCCACTGACACGAGCACGTTGAAAGCCAGAGCAGTCAAGTTCTGGAAGCCCAGCCCAGTCAGTCCCTTGGGCGCCTAGGGATACCCCGCCGGGAGCTCCCTGACCAATCAGACACCTCCGCTGCCTGGTTCCAACCCCCAAGAATAGCCTCCACAGCCTCTAGCGGTCACAGTCACAGTCATACAGCCGCCTCCAGTCCCGCCTAAGGAAAGGGCTGCCCTGGGGACTGGAACGTCCCGTCCCTTCTGAACCAAGGCTTAACGTTGGTCGCCAATGATTAGCTACAGGGAGAGAACCTGAAAGAGAGCCATCTTCGCGTCACATCACAACCAGCATTTCTTGAACTCATCCTTTTACCCTTCTCCTCTCTCTGCGTCTTTCCTTTCCACGTTTGTCCCAGACTACTTTGTTCTCTTACATTGCTACCTCCACCGACACACCATCTTCAAGCCACCGCCATTCTCGCATTCCCGTCCTGCGAGCTCCCCCTCACATCACATCATATCGCCCGGCCCAATGACTGCCCAACATGCCCTCCCGCGAACATGACGACGACACTGTCGATCAGCAGGACATCCAACCCGAAGTAGCGGCTTCTACCACGACAGCCTCCCATCGAACATCGAAAGACAAGGGTGACAAGGACAAGGACAAGGACAAGGACAAGGAAAAGCACCGCCGCTCTCGCGCAGACCGCAAACCCTCAGACCGTGACAAGGACCGCGACCGCGAGCACAAGCGCAAGTCCTCGCGCCGGGAGAAGACTACGGGCGACGCGAGCGAGGTGTCTGGCTCAGTGCGGAAACACCGCAGTCGTAGGGACAAGGACGATGACGGTGCCAGTCGAGTCAAGAGGGCGAGCCGCACGGCATCGGCCAGCGACCTTTTTGCGGGCAAATCCTCCGTCTCTCTAGACTTGCCCCGCATAGCAATGCCATATCCCACATTCAGCAAGGCACACAGCAAGGAGGCCGTGCATAGCAAAGAGGACGTGTCAACAGCTGGGCGCTCAAACCCATACACCCCCGATACGACCGACGTCGGCGGTGAATCACGATGGGAAGGGGCTGAAGACGAGGAGCAAGACGAAAGACGGTCCAGAAGCGCCGAGTATGAACGCAGGACCTCGACGTCAAGAAGATCGACCCGGCCGCCTACACCGCCAGATACCGATGTGTCAGCCGACAAACGACGCGACGATGCTGCAGGCGACGATAACGCCTCGAGACCAAAGAGCAGAACTTCAGGTATCTCCAGATCGGCCTCCTTGCGAGACGAGAGGTCGAGACTGAGCGGCAAGTCGAGGTCCTCAAGCCAGGCCACTTTCGTCAAGGCACCGACCAACAAATCCTACGAGAAGCTGCGCACAGAATCAAGGCTCTCCAGTGGCTCCCAGCGTTCTGCTAAAAGATCGTCGTCGGTGCGCTACCACGAAGGACGTGAGGGGCCTGACTCGTCGCCCTCGACACCCCAGGACGAGTCACCCCGCACACCGACACAGCATGCTCAGTTCTCACCACACGTATATGGTGGCGCACGACCGGAGCCCGCCCCTACACCTGATTTTGAAGGATCAGACATCGATATCCCCTCCAAGACAGCGACGCCAGCGTCAGGTGCACCTCCTCCACCACCACCGCCGCCCCCTCCGCCTCCAGCTATCGACATCCAGGACCTACCACGTGTGGACTACCTACTGCAGAATGGCGGCCTGCCGTTTGCTGTGCACAAGAGATTCTTCGAGGTGATCCCGCGCCAGCAGGGGCAGGGCATTGAAAGGCCCAAGGCGGACGACCTCTTCAAACCGTTCGTCACGCTTCTCGACCAATACAGCAACGTCCTTGACAGACATGGCTCAATAGCCGTGGCAACTGGCCATCGGTCTATTGCTCGCCGTCTGCTTGACCGACTAGAGAATGTCTTCTCAAGAGATCTTCCCCCTCACGGCTGCTCCTGTGTCATCTGTGAGCACAGAGCGCATGAGATCCATTGCGGTTTGACCTGGGGTGACGTGTTGGAGTGGGCGAGCGGACGCATTGAGCTACCACAGTGGCCCCCCTTCAACCTGGCAGAGATCGGTCTGAAGGCAGCGGAGATTTCGGCGGAGGAGACGCCCAACCGCCCACGGTCACCCGTCAAGATGGATCCCGACATTGACGAGCAGTTCAGAGAGCACTATCTACGCCAGTCCATGAAAGTCCGCTCAGCTGTCGACAAGTGGCTGAACAAGACAGCCGATACCCCTGTGCCTCCGCCGCAGGATGTCGACGATGAGACACTTCAATTCGCCATCCTCACAAGCCTCGACCTGGAAGACCGACCCTACTTCAATGCCCTCATGGCCGGTACCCGCGACGTTCGACCAGCGACACGCGCACCAACGCCCGCCAAACACCTCAATCGCAACGACTTCATTGTCAAGACTGGGCTTTCTCTTCAGCGCCTCTATCGTTTACAGCAGACGCCCCGTGACGCAGAAAGTGCCATGTACCTCATCAAGAACCAGCATACCCACGACCTCCTCGTTACCCTCTCCAACATCAACAACTCCGAATGGGAGATTCTCACTTCTGGCCGTTTCGACGGCTTCCTCTGGTCCGGCGCCGATGCCGCCGACGGAACATACACGCCTGCCTTCCCGGACTCGCGCGGTCCAACGCCTCTCTCCCGCGCGCCCTCCGCCGCCAGCGTCCGCTCGAGCACCATGTCGCCATACTCGCGTGGTCCCACACCAGCCTCCTTTGTCTCGCTCACTTCCACCAATACCGCATCTGGTCGCCAACCTGTCTCCAATGACGAAGAAATGGAAATGGCCGTTATCGCCGAGATTGAGCGCGAGATCTATTCCGGCATGGAGCAACTCGAGGATGCCTTTGAGAAACTTCACCTCCAGGCCGAGACTGTCCGCAACGCCCTTCGTCAGCGCGGCGCAGGCCTCATGCAAAACTTGCAGAACAGAAGGAGAATCGACGTCTTGCCGCAACAGGGCCAGACGCCCGCGCCCGGTGAACGAATGCCGACGCACTGGGACTTTGACGGTGGTGAGAGCGAGAGCGAGTGGGGATTTGGCGATGATCTCGAAATCAAGCCTGACGATTCGGCGAGCAACATTAGTAGCTCACGACACAGGAGGCCCAAGAGGCGCACGGAGAGGAGGACGCCAGCGCCGATCGAGGAGGATGACGAAGAGTAACGCATTGCTGGACACGAAACAACTTTCAGAACAGATATGTTGGATGAAACGCACATTTGAGCCTGCCCATGAATCGGAGTTTGGGGGAGGCCTGTCTCTTGAGGGATACCATTTGATTTGTACAGCAGCATGTCAGAGACATGTATGAGATGAATGCAATGACACGTACGAACTGACCCCAATGTGCCATTTCTATTTTTTTGTTCTTATCATCAATGACCTCGCAAGCCACCCTTGAGCAGCTGCTCGACATTACTCGCAAAGCCGTCTGCACCTCCAAACTCGGCGATGACCTGCCGTATGTCCACCTCTTCCACTGTTCTCCGCCTGCCAACGAGGCCGATATTTCGTGTGCTCGGTATTCTCAACGTCTCGGTTTCCACCTCCCACCCACAACGCTCCATGATGTGCCTTGTCCATTCCACCAGACTCGCGTACGTCGAGTTGCCCTTGGACTTGTCTTTTGGGGGCGGGTGACGCTGTCTGGCGCCAGAGAGTGCGTGTGAGCAGCAAGGGATGACCACGAAGGGGCTAGATGATAGGGTTGCGAGCAGCGGTGTCCAGGGGGTAAGTTCATCGGCGTGATTGGATATGATAAAGGTGCCAGTCGGGAAGACTCCGTCATGGGTCGTCGCTGGATCGGCCGGAGACGACGTGGTGGAATGGACAATGGAGGGCAACAGGAGGCGCTGGGCGAGCGACGATCCCGTGGGCGACGCAGAGCATGGGGAAGCATACTTCTGCCATGATCCGCGCGACCGGGCGTCAAACCCCCAGCCAGAGTATCCTTCTTGATTCAGGATGTGCACCAACAGGCCGTTGCCGCAGCCAATGTCGACGAACCCGGGAAAGGGCTGGTCCCGGTACATGGCCGTCCACATCTCGATCAAGAAAGCCGCTATGCCGAGGTCTTCAAAGACATGCTTTACTGGGTCGGTCTTCTCGTCCCATTCGCCAATAAGGGATCTGGCATACCTCCCCTTGAGCTCGGCGTATCGATCCTGGAACTTGACCTGTGGCACGATCAAGTCGTGCTGAACGCGCTTGACGTAGCCCTTGGCCACGCCCTCGCCATGTTTGTGCAAGACTTCCAGCAGATGGTAGGCGATTCTCTGCAGGTTCTTGTCCGCAGCAAGGGGGACGTCCACCAAGGGCAGGAAGTGGACGGAGATGAAACCTGCACCCGTGGACGCGTCCCATTCATGGTAGTGCGCTACGCCCCTGACCTTGGGGTGATAAAAGGGGTAGTCCTCGACAGAGTCAACGTGCGGGATGTAAATGACCAGACTTCTGATGAGGTCCTCCTCGCCTTGCGAGGCGTGTTGGTGGAACGTGCAGGTCTGGTTCATGGGGGCGTCCCGGAGCGTATTTCTGGGCACGAGGGTGCGTACCAAGATCCTCGTCCTCGGGATGTCCTTGACCTCCCTAACCCTAGGTCTGCTCTCGTCTTCGACATCCCCAATGCACGCGGGCGATGCGGCGTCATCGTACACAATGTCGGCGCGGAACAGCCACGACGAGTTGATGTTGGGGTTCTTGATGAGGTTCATCATCTTGTCAAAGAAGATCTCTGGCGAGAATGCGCATTCGTGACGGCACATTTGTGTCCACACGTCGCCGCACATGTCTTCAAACGCTGGCGGTGCATCTGGGGCCACATAGTCAGGCGTAAAGACCATTTTGCCTGCTTCCTCTGTCTGTGATTTCAAAGTCTTCTTCCGGACACTAGCCAATATGGTCAATAAGTGCCAGAGGCTTTTGACAGCCTGTAGATAGTTGCGCTCTTAGACGTGACGATCCATAGATCTGTACTCGTTGTACGTAGCGCAGTTCGTGGCGAAGCTTTTTGCAAGGCTAACTGTACATATGTCAACAGCCAATCATGGGACCGGCGTCTATCGAAATACGGCAAGGCTATAATGGTGTTGCACAGCAGGACACCATCGTCCGCATGCGCGCGTGAGAAGGCGAAGCGGGCGGGTATGTGTCACAAGGCGCGTGCACTGGAGGGGCACCGATCGATACCAGAACGCGATAAGGCATTAATGACTGTAGCTACGGCTTCACCGAAAAGGCGCACAAGAAAGAGAAGAGCATTACAGCACGGCAGGATTGCATGTGCTTGCTTCGTCAATTTATCAGAAGCACTAATTACGAAGCGCTGTGTCGAACTGGGCGCGGCGTATACTTCAGGGTATTGCATGCTGCCTGAATTTTGAGGCATTTGAGGGCAGCGGGCTGTGTGTGCTGTGGGAGTGACGCCAGATGCTGTGCAGCAGCGCAGCAGGTGCCGACCGTGCAGCCTTGAGGCAAACCACAGGCCGCGAAAGTGAGGTGGGTGGGATTGATTGCCCCTCCTTCCCTCTTTTAACTCTGCCCCAGTCTCCTTTCGATTCCTTTCTCTTCCTCAGCACCCGATCTTCGCTTCTGCATCCGCACCATCACGACCACAGACCTCTCTGCAACAAAGTCAGTATATGCACTAGATCGCATCAACGCGCTGCATCATTCTAACATCTTCTTCAAAGGCTTTCGCAAACGCATATTCAATCACCCTCGATACATACTTCAGTAAACCAAGCGTCACAGCCAGCGAGACAGAAAAGTCGGTCGCTACTCCTCCCACCTCTCCGAAACAACACCCTTTTCCCAAAGTCACCCGAGAACTCCGAGTTTATGTCCATCGAAAACCTCAAGTCCTTTGGTAAGTCCAACTCCACTGCCTGGCACTGCATGCGAATCCGTGCACATTGCCTGCACCGGGGCGCAAGCGCACAAAATCCCCACTGAATCGTCTGAGCGGTCTCTGTGCCTGCCACCCGGCGCCACCGCCGCCCCCGCGCTCCTTTGACAGCACCGACGCTAACACATCTCGACAGACCCCTTCGCCGAAGCCGACGAAGACACCGGAGAGACCAAGCAGGCGCAGAATTACATTCATATCCGTATTCAGCGTACGTACCATACCCCAGCCCGGCCCGTACATCACGTGGTCAAGCTCGGAGACGCCGAGGTCGCGCGACACCAGCTGACATGTCACAGAGCGCAATGGACGCAAGACCCTGACTACAGTCCAGGGTCTCCCCAAGAAGTTCGACCAGAAGAAGATCCTCAAGGTCATCAAGAAGAAGTTCGCCTGCAATGGCACCATTGTCGCGGACACTGAGATGGGCGAGGTAATTCAGCTTCAGGGAGACCAACGCAAGGACGTTCAGGAGTTCCTCACGGACAAGAAGGAAGGTCTAGGCTTGGATGCCAAGACCATTAAGATTCACGGTTTCTAAGCCAGACCTGTTCCGTCGTCTCGCCAGTGGCATCCCGGCCACGCTTTGTTGGCGATGAGGGCGTCGGGACAGCGGCTTCTCGGGCTGTGTGTGCAAGTACTTCCTCGGGAGACTTGAGCTGTGCAGGCTACGGGCCTCCATCCCGGACAAACTCTCCAGGGCGACGGGCACGTCTGATCGATCACCTGTCTCGGACGGGTGGTAGGCTGGAAGAGTGACGGGCGGCGCACGACAACGTATTGACCCGTGTCGGTTGCTGGCAGGGCGACGATCCTGGAGGGAGAATCAGGATCGATCTGCGACTGTTCTCTCCCTGACAGATCCGGGCGGGGGCTGGACTATGGGCAAGTGGACACCACCATGGGCTGCCAGTCATTCTTTGCATCTCTGGGCAAGCCCAAACAGTAGTCTAGGCAATACGTAATAGTTTGCCAGAAATCAATACTATAAGCGCGTTGTTTTTTATCCCTGAATCATGTGCATTCTGCATTGCAAGAAAGGTGTCTTGGAAGACGTCCAGCATCTTCTATGTGAAACCCGTACGACCCAAGGTATCGTGTTCTATAGTGACGCCCCAACGCCTTCGCTCTAGCATACTCTGAATGAGGAAAATGACCTGCCATCATAACTCCCGTTGTTTCTTCTCAATGGTATCTCGTACATGCTCTGTAATTCGCATCGTCTCGTTCCAGAAATGCTTCGTCTTGGTGACTACGGGCATAGCAGGGTACTCGGGCTGGTACGTGTACATGTGCACCAGCAGTGTGAGCATGGTGATGTAGCTCGCAATCGAAAACACGTTAAGCGATGTAGACGTTTCTTTCCGGATGTTGATCTTTTGGTGCGTGATGTGGTAGCAAACCGTGAGTGTCTGGGACCCCATGTTAGCCGCCAAGGATCAAGGAGAGGGGGAGGGGGGGTAGGCCGTACGGTCGCAATGCCTATCCAACCGGGCAAGAGGAGTCGCGTGTCCTGGAATCCGCCGGCTAAAGAGAGCACGATACTAGTGATGTAGGCGTTGACGGCGTTGATGGCGAGGAGGCGGACAATTGTGGCCTGCGGTGTGTAGTTTATGAGCCTAGGATGTGTCAGTTCCCGCACATGCGGCAGCCAAGAGAAGAGACGGCCAAGAGAGGCGCACCAGCGTGACATGAGGCAGTCCGTGAAGAAGAAGCTCAAGTAGCCGCTGGCAAAACACCAGACGCAGCCCAGCACACTTTCTGTCCAGGGCGTACTCCTACACCTCGCGCCTTGGAAGGGGAGGTCATAGCCCTCCTCGCCTACGACGATTTGCAGCAGCCGCAGGAGCAGGTGTAGCGCTGAGGGCGTGCCCCACCGTATGGCAGGCAGTATAGATCCCAATCGCAGAGCAAAGAGCCAAGCGTGCCATTGTGTCGGGACATTCAGCATGACGGCGACGCGCGGGTGCAGGACGGACGTGGGCTTGGGCGCAGACTCGAATGCGGCGCCTCCATCGTGGGCGGCGGGTCGAGGGGACGTGGACGACGACGTCGCTGCCGCCGACTTGACAGGTGTGAGGGCGTAGGCCGGTGGTGCCGCTTTCTCTGGTGACAATGGAACGGAGGACGCGCGTGTGTGTTTTGGGCTGCGCGCTGGGGTGGAGGACATGATCTTGTCCCTAGGCCATCGGGGACCCCCTTTTTGGGTTACGTTGTAAAGAGTGCGATTTGGCGATAGTACGGTAGTGGGACTCGATATTGCGAATGTGGGTGTGGAGAAGGAGATGACGATGGTTTTGGTGGGACAGCAGCGGCGCTCGGGGGACTCGGACCAGCGCACCGACATCCTCAGGTACTAGCTGGCCAGTGTGGGCGGACCTACCCTGAACAAGTACCTTTCTTTGGCCGTCGATATTCAATGCAGCAGGTTCAGCTATGAAACCAGGCTCTTTGACTGTATTTATTTCACTGTGAAGCTACGAGTAGGTTATTTGGCGCTTTGCTGTTCTGTATGTCACTGCTATCTACACACAATCTACCTTGCAAACGTATTTGCTAGACAACTGCACTCGTCAAAGATCCATTGCACGGTCTTAAAACAACTCAGTAGTGCAGCTCATAATCGAGACTCACTTTGGCCCTCATCTACGTAACCTTTTGCATACGATATGCCTCGATCAAGGATCAAGTGCTGCCCCTAAACATTGAACATTCCCATGAAGCAGATGAGTCCCCCACAATGAGCTAGTGGTCAGCCCTATCGGTCCAGGCAAGCAGGCGGCTAGCCCCATGCTCCATGTCGTTCTAGACTGCAGTCGGCGGACTCGGTTTGAAGATCATGTCATTTGCCATGCACACTATCAAGGTCGTACCTTGTGCCCCCGTGAAAGCCTTGTGAGAACTGCAACTACACGCCCTCACAATCGGTATCCTCAATTCAAAGGGTTTGACGCGTCCATTACGATCCGTTTTCCACTTGGTTGTGCCATCGCTTTGGAGAAGCGCGCATTGCATACCGTCGTGCGTCAGGGAGAAGTGTGCATCCTTGACTCGGTTACTACCTAGAGACAGACATTTATTAGCTGGCAGTCATTTCTGAGGCCACCACTTCGACGATAGTCTACGCTCAGTTCGTTCACTGGCTGAAGAATCATCGCTCCCCACCAGGGCCACCACAGCGTGCGCGTGACGAGCCGGCGCTGCATGAGACATGACTCACATGGATGATGAGGCTCCCACGAAGTTAACTGATGCCGATCCCCGTTCTGAACATATAAAAATCACAGAAAGATCCTACGGGTAAGTGCGTGCGAGCGTGAAGTCCAATGAGCAAGGCCGCAAGACCCTTCCCAAGCACCCGAGAGCGAGTGGAGCTCGAAAAGTCGCCACGCAATATCAAGTCTCTGAGCTCTGTCTAGAATGTACATGTAACATTGAACGTTTGTGTCATGTAGGAGTGCGTGGGAGTTTCTTCGTTGTCTCAATCTGTAGAGCGCAGTGTCTCCGTAGGCTGTAGATCGACGCTCCTCTTGCAACTCCTGCGTCTTTCAGGCAACGCAGACTGATTTGCTCATGACAACAGATCTCAGCAACTGTAGCGAGCCTGGAGCACCCTGGAAGGAAGCAGATATTTTGAGAAGATGGATATGAGGTGCACACATTTCAACAAAGAATAATATGCAGGCTGCTTTTCCTACGTTGTGCCCGCATCACGTATCAGAGATTCATAAGCCTGGCTGCGTATGTTGCGAGCAAAATTTTGCCATCATGCGGATTCAGTCTTCGATCCACTTCCCTGACCTTCAGTTCGTCCACCTGTGGCTCTGAGGCTGTAGACACGACGTAGATGGACACAAGCATAGAGTCCAGCCATCCATATTCTTCTGGAACAGACCGTAGTTGGCATTCTAGAGACTTTGGACACATGTTGAACAAGCAGCAAGTTGACAAATGGAGAGTAGATACCTCAGGTATGTTTTCAGGGTCCATGTTTTCAAGTCAGCAAACTCATTTTGTCCCAGGCTCATGGGCCCAATCAGCAACTACAAAGACTACATCCACGAGAGCTTACAGTGTTGCGTGGAAACGGTTCCTCCTCACCACGATACCGGCCTTATAGGCCCAATGCTCACCGATGAAGGACCTTGTTCTTGCTTTGTTTATCATCCGATGCACGAGACTCGCCCTCCATCACGAGGCCTGGAGTATCCCAGTTAACACTCCTTCTACAACAGCGTCTCCTCGCCCTCGTCCCATCTCAGGGGTTCCAAAGTTCACCGCCAGTGGAGTTTTGCGAGCCTTGGCCGCCCGAGTCTCTCGCCGGGGGGGAATCTTTTCTGCTTGTGAAGCTGTGACCACATCCACGCGTTGCATGCCCCCTCTCTTCGTCCTCCTTCTCCTTCTCCTCCTTCTCCTCCTCTTCCTTGACCTTCTCTTACCCTTCCAACCCCCTCTCTTCACCTTTGCCTCTTCCTCCTCAACCATCCACTATCCAAATCTTCACTGTCTTCTAGCATCAGAACCTCGAAGCCCCGTCTACTCGAATATCTGTTCAAGGTATCCCCTCAAGGCTTCTTGTTTCTCCTATACTTGCTGTCTTGGCTGCTTGAGCTGTTGTTGCTTCTCTTCCCTCTTGGAACCTTCACCACGTCACAACAGTTCAAGCTTCAACTTGCCATTGCCAGATCCACTCCTAGCTGAAAGGCTTCACAACCAGGACCATACTTCTACATCTCTTCTTGAGCTACTCAAAGCTGCCTGATCACATTGTAAGTCACCATAGGCTCAACTATTCCCGCCATGTTCCCAGCCGTGCCCTCTTTGCACGCAGTCGTCGTTGCTAATCCGCTTCTCAGATGGAAAATTATCGTACACCCAAGGGAAAGGTCGAAGGGATCGATTTCATGGGCAAGAGCAAGTCTTTCGACGACTTGCACGCGTCCACCGACGACGGTACTAGCTCGGGCGCCAATGTGTCCTCTGCAAGCTCCACGACCGGCTTGCAAGTCCCTCCTCGTGGTGAGTTTCTTCCTTTCCTCTCTGAACTGTTCCAAGAGTTCTTCGCGAATCATCACCAAAAGTCTATCTGTTTGTTCTTTGAGGCGATTTGTCTTCCCTACTGCTTTCGCTGCACTGGCGGTTATGCAATTCCGCAACTTCTTGCTGAGCCGCGATGGGTGATCTTCCTTCGTCGGTCAGGCCAAAACACAATTTCTATTCTTTTTCTCTACAACAAGCCTTTTCTTGTCGTTTTTTCTGCCACCGAGATCTTCCATAGAGAATGGAGAGGAACCTGTGCTCTCCGCGAGCGCTGGTTTCGACACTGTCCCTGTTGGTCAATCATTTCACCGCTGTCACAGACAGTAACAAAGTTGCGGTCAAACACTCCTCCTTGATGAGCATACAAAAAGTTCTTTCAGTTTGCATGGATCCCTCAAGAGTGCCCAGCACTGTTGGGTTGTTGCCTTCATGTTTGCCTGGACATACAAACGGCCACACAAACACCACGGAAGCAGCAGAAGCAAACGCAATTTGCTGCAAAGTTTTGTTTCATGTGCCTTCTGGCACTTCTGAATCATTTTGACCCCCATGCACTTCTTTTTCATGGTCTGCATCGGCTCAGACCACGGGATGCCCATGACAAACAAACCTCCAGTGCCGGTCAAGCTTCGCTGAGAAGAAGACTGAATATCTGGCTGTGGTCCAAGGGTACCATTCCAACTTTCATGCAAGTGCAGAAAAGTGCAGATAATGTCTAGCAAACATTCTGACGTGCACGAATGTCCACAGTTGCTGCATAGGCCCATAGCGTCCCTGCGTCTCCAAGTGATGGCACGCGTCAATCCGTGGATTGGAAACTAACATTTGTCAAGGATCATCAATCAACTTCGCCGGTCGAAGCAAGAAATCTCGAATCAAGCCTGATCAGAACCTTCGAGCGGCTCGCTCATTTTCCCCATCGAAGACGTAAGTATTTTGCATGTGGCTGTTGTTGTTGTTGTTGTTTACATCAGGAGAGATGACTAACCGCTCATAGTTTTCCAGCAGAAAATCGCTACACCAAGCAGCGCAACATGGAGCACGCGCGCTACGCAAATTCGGAAAACTCGGGGTATGCTACTTCAGATCAACTCACAACTACACTCAACTGACCTCGGCGGCAGCACTACTTCGTCCCATGCTCATGGCGGCGCCCACGACCCCTTCGTAGATCCCGGTGACAACGACAGCAGCGAGCGCACCTTCGAAAACGAGAACTCAGACGAAGGATACCAGGTCGTCCGTTCCCGTGGAAATACCCACGAGATGCCGCCTGGCACTTCCCTGGACGCGCAGACGATCTACCGTCCTTCGGCTTGTGCCTTTGTAGCCAAGTAAGTTCTGCAGAGTTTACTCCAACTTGGGTCCAGCTCTAACTCTACATAGCCTCAACCGCGAGGAATCTGTCGACACCCTCAGGGTAGAAGTGACCCGAGCCTTTACACGCTTTGGCACGGTCTTCGTCAAGATCCGTCGTGATCCCCACAAGGGCAACCCGTATGCGTTCTGCCAGTTCACGGTCCGACACTCTGCTCTGTTGTTTTTGTTTGGCCCTTGCTGACCTTGCCTAGACTGACGAAGCCATGGAGACAGCTCTGGCCCGTGGCCGAGGGTTGTATATCTGCGACCGCCCCTGCCGCATCGAGCGGGCCAACGCCAACTGTAAGTCACCAGTCTAGCCTCTGAATTGTCTCCGTCTTTCACCTGACAATGCCTGTGCATCCTTCCGTAAGGTAGTCGAACAACATCAATAACATTGCAACAGGCAAGTGGGTCGTCATCGATGCCCTGAACTCGCGCATCACTCCGCGCGATGCCATCGAGGTACGCGATCTCATGCGGAACTTTGGCGAGATCTTTGAGGTCGAGCGCCTGTCATCCCGTCAGAAACGCCAGCTCGACGTGGTTGACGGACTCCTCGTCATCTTCAAGCGTTTTGAGAAGGGACGGGATGTCAAGGTACGTCGCTCTAGTTATATACAGTAGTCGAACCACAACACTGACCCATTGACGTACCTTAGTCTCTCCAGCTTTCACTTGGAAAACGATACCAGATCCAGCTCTATGAGTCTCGCGCCGACTCTTACGCTCGCCGCGCACTGGATCCCATGGAGCAGTACGAGCAGGACTCGCGTTCCGCTTGGGTCGGCAACTTGGCTGGAGGTGTCACCGAGCTCGAGCTCGAGAACGAGTTCGAATGCTTCGGCCAAGTATACCAGGTCGACCTGCGCCAGAAAATTTGGTTTGACGACGACGGCCGCCCGATTCCCGGTAAGTTCTGACTTGATATCCGACATGTCGTTTCCGCATTCTTCGTCCAGGTCGCTTGGGTGCTACTGAAACTTGCGCTGACCTTGAGATAGGCCGGGAGGGCGCATTCGCTTTCATCGTGTTCCTGTCCCCTGATGCAGTCGACCGCGCAATCGAAGGAATGGTAAGTGTCGCACTTCTCCCAACGGCACACTCGATGGATCTTGACTGACACACTGCAGAATGGGCAGCCTTAGAAAGGCCGCACACTTACAGTACGCCGCCGCGAGTCTCGCGCTTTCGAGGGCACGGGCGGTTATCGCGCCCCCAACGCCGCTCGAACTGCTGGGAACCGTCCGGTTAACGCGATTGCTGGGCCGTCCACCTTTCCGAACACCATGCCGGCTACGCCACCCTCTACACGCTCTCGTCGCTTTGACGAGTCCCGCTCTGGTGGCTATGGCACTGCTGTCCTGACGCCCCCTTCTCTGGGCGCCTCGCGGATTCAGTCAGCTCGCCAGGACAATGCTATCACTGCAACAACGCCTTCACACGGTCCACGTGCGACGGCTTCCTCGCGAAGGTACTCAACCCTTGATTCTAGAAGGACGCGCGGGTCTGTGTCTCGCTCTTCCCGAGGCGACGTTCGAGACGCCTTCCCTGCTCTCGTTGAGGAGCGGGATCGCAACACTGAATCCAAGGGAAAGACGCCAAACCGTCTAGCTCAAGTGGAGTCTGCTCCCAATGTTGCCTCTTCTGAGGAGCCGACTGCGACTTCAGCGACAGTCACTGCCAATCCACGTGCCCAGGAAATAGTCCAGGAGACGGGCCATGAGGCCACGAATTTGCCTGGTAGTTTCCCTGGTCCTCCTGCGCTGCAGCAGTACGGCATCATGCCTGGACAGGGTGGTTTCATCCCATTGGATCTCTACCAGCACCTCATCATGAGCGGTTGGCTGCCGCCTTACCCCGGTCCTCCACCTCCTCCTCCTCAGTAATGAGGCATCGACGGTTCTCAACGAGTAGTACCCTTGGGATCACCAGGGCTTGATCTATCGCTTCATTTTTGCTGGACTCACTTTTCACACACTCATTCACGATTTCCTTTGTCTAGTTACCTGGACTTACCTTCCACACACTCATTTACGATTTCCTTTGTCTAGTTACTAGACCAGTATGTTCTTGGCTTTGCCGTTTGTATCTCCTTCAAGAGGTGGCCTTTCGTCCGTTATATAGGCTGGTTTCCGCATTTGCTTCGGTTGTCAGAGTAGAAAATCAAAACACAGACATAAGGGGAGATGTACCCCAACAAAACGTGCTCCCTCGTGAGGTCGCGACGTGATGATGTCGAAAGCCTTGGCTCATGTTCCCAAACAGGAAAGGCTTCGAGACCCAGAAACAACTGGAGGCAAACCCGAAAAGGTGCCTGAAGTTAGCGTGCGTGACCGGAAAATTAGGAAGACACACAGAAACACTTTAAAGTCGCGCGAATTCTTTTCTTGTTCCTCATCTTGCTTCACGAGATCTCCCATCCCAACTACTTGCGAATCTGACAAGATCAGATTGATCCCAGGCATTCACCCTTTACATTAATTAATACACTCTCTTTCACCGATCGGGCCACGTTCATCATGGGCCAACCCTCGTTCGAGGCGTCCAACGCCATCATTTACCTCACCTATGGCGCCTTCCTGTACGCGCCAGCATTCCCAACGCTTGGAGGATTGAGGAGAGCTGACGAGATGCAGTGTCATGGGCGTCACCGTAGCCTGGCGTCTTAAGGATAAAAGCAAGGATAACTTCTTGTCCGCCAACAGGACGCAGACTGGTACAACTTCACCCACACGACAGACAGCTCCTCATCGCATGAGCTTTCTCTCTCCCTGGTCTCGGTCCCAACCCCCATGAACCTGGCGTGCTGACTTCTCGCAGCCTTCCCTCTGGCACTCAACTTCATCGCTTCGGGTGAGTAGAGCAGCCTTGCTCTCGCCAAATCCAGCGGTAGCGACCAAATCAGCGATTTGCCACGAGGGGTATACACTGTTCGAGTAGACCGCCGCCACTATGCGCGCGACAAGGTTCGTATCAGCAAACCATAATCTTTGTGTTCTCGTCTCCCTTCTCTGCTCGCTGATTGTACAGAGGAGGGAGGCGAGGATGCGGCTCACTACGGGCGCTGATTCGACGTGACAGATGGGTTTCCCACGCTCTCCGCAAGGAGAGTTGGGGAGACTCGTCTCGCTCATGGACGAAGAGGCTGAGATTGTACCGTCATACTCGATCAAGTTAATGCTTGCGTGGGAAACGTGCTGCCGCTCCGATGCCATTCTTTCCCCCTACCAAAGATGTTGACATACTAACAACAGCTTCAGCACTCGGATCCGGTATCCTCTTCTCGTATCCCGAGCTGGCGACCATCACCGGCGTACAGGGCATGATCATCTACTCTCTCGCGTCCGCCCTGCCGATGCTCTTGTTCGGATGGCTGGGTCCCATCATTCGACGCAAGTGTCCCGAGGGCTTCGTCCTGACCGAGTGGACTAGACAGCGCTATGGCACAGTGACCATGCTGTACTTGAGCTTCATGACGCTGGTCACGCTGTTCTTGTACATGATCTCCGAGCTCTCCGCCGTGGGCCAGGTCGTAAACTTGCTGACGGGTCTGGATGGCTTGCCCGTCATCATTGTGCAGGTGGCTATCACCACCATCTACACATGTGAGTGTGATCATTGATCGGGTTGGGCACGTCTCAGGACTCTTGCTAACGACATGACAGCCATGGGTGGTTTCAGGATCTCATTCCTGACCGATGTCGTGCAGGGGACCATGGTCGTCGGCCTTATCATCATCGCCTCTATCACTATCGGCGTCAAGGTGGACGTCAAGCCCGAGCTTGTCCGCGACTCCCCCCTGCTCGAGCCCTCGCTCCTTGGGTGGCAGCTCATCTACATCTTGCCTGTCGCTGTCTTCACCAATGACTTCTTCCTGGCCTCATTCTGGCTGCGTGCGTTCTCGTCCAAGACCGACAAGGATCTCTGGATTGGCGTGTCCATTGCTACCGCTGCGTTGACCGTCATCATCACCCTCATCGGATCGACTGGTCTGATCGCAACCTGGTCTGGACTTTGGCCCGGTGATCCGCCGCAGCTTGGCTCTGTGGCCTTTTTCTCATTGCTCGAGGCCCTACCGGCTTGGGTCGTCGGCATTGTTTTGGTCATGGTTGTCAGTCTGAGCACGGCTGCGTTTGACAGCTTCCAGTCTGCCATGGTTTCCACCGCTTCGAATGATCTCTTCCGCAACAAGCTCAATATCTGGGTCATCCGTGGGCTCGTCTTGCTCATCATCATTCCTGTCGTGGTACTGGCGCTCAAGGCACCTTCCATCTTGCAGATTTACCTGATCAGCGATCTTGTCTCGGCCGCCACTATCCCAATCCTCTGCCTCGGCTTGATGGATAGTTTCTACTGGTGGCGCGGCTTCGAGGTCGTGGTCGGCGGTCTTGGTGGTCTTTTCACGGTCTTCATCTTTGGCACCATCTACTACGGCAGTGCTAAGCAGGGCGCCGAGCTTCTCATCATCCAGAACGGCTTGTATGCCGACGACTGGGGTGCCTTCGGCGCGTTCGTTGCCGCTCCAGTCGGCAGCTTCATCTGGGGCTTTGCCGCCCTGGGCGTGAGGCTCGCGTTCCAATACGTCATGGCCAAGAGGCAGGGGAAGCGATTCGATGCTCTGGACCGCCCCGAGCCCGAAGCACCGGTTGCCCCTGTGGCGCCCGTGGGTGACGAGGTTTCTCAGGAAGACAGCGTCGGCCCCAAGGCACCTGGAAAGTTCTTCTGATCAACGGCAACCGGTTGACGACCGCGGAGCATCAAAAATGGTGATGGGAAGGCGATGAGGATTGCTGCTATACAGGATGCCTATGTAGTGGCAAGGGGGGGGATTTCGGCGGTGATGGATTTGTTTGTATCTATGTCGTACATGATGGGTTTGGACCAGGCAATCAATGCTCTCCATATTACCTGCAAAAGCCCGTCGTTGGATAGTACAGTATGCTTATACAATATACAGATGGTACAGGGAATCCCCTTTCGCTCATGCCTTGGCCTTCTTCTCCTCAGTAGGCTTCTTGTATCCTATTTCTGAGCCGAACTGCTGGAGCAACCGTTCGTTGAAAGAGGACTCGGCCTCGTTCCACGATTCCAATGTCGTCGGTTTCGTCGTCTGCCAAATCCTCCACTGGCTTACTGGCAAATATGCACCCCTGCGAAACTCCCTCCTTACCACCACGTACTCCAGCACTCTTTGTTCCTTGACGTCGTCGCCCTTGTGAAGGCGTTGTATCGAGGAGATGGCCACGACAGCCTGCTCGCCCATGAGGAGATCATCCGTAGGGCTGACGTTTGTCGCCATGTAGCTCATCAATCGCGGGTACAACCAGCCTTTGTTGAATTCGATCTCGAACGACATCGTCTCGCCCGGCTTGCGCTTCTGAATCGCATGGATGTACTTCTTCCCGAACGCCGGAGTGGCTACCTTCTCGATCGTAGCCACGTCCCCTGCGGCGAACGCTTCCAAGAGATCTCGGTATAACGCTTGCGCGGCCGGCGGAATCCTGGACTTGTTCATCTTCCATTTTGCACGGCCAAAAGTCGTATCTGCGCTTTGCCATTTGAGGACCAAGTTGGAGGCACAGACTTGAGCCCAGGCTTTGAACCGGAGCCATGAGTATTGGAAGAACTCGGGGCCGAGATATTTATGTATCGGAAGGGAGACGAATGTTTCTAACAGAATCTGTCAGCAAGGAGGAGAATGGCAGTAGTGGACTGATCCGAGTGCGTACTGGGAAACAGGGGCTGCGTTCCCAACTCCAGCTGCCTGCGCACCATGTCGGCATTATGCCCTGCGAGTGTGAACCCATCAGTTTTCTTGGTCGGCTTTTCGAGGTGGTCTCTTTTGCGGTTATGGAGTCTCAGCATTCGCCTTTCCTGGTCGGGCGAACGAGTGTTGTAACGGACTTGGTTGAGCGGGGGGAACAGCGGGCGCCGCAACGGCACAAGACGAGTGGTGGACGACATGGCCAGAGGTAGCAAGCTGGAAGACGAGAACGGGGAGGAGATGGTCGGTACTACCGGGTGTGTAGCCCCATGCTTGGTTCGGCTTGGGGATGGGCGGGTTTGGCGTCGCGCGTGGAAATATTTCGAGATCGCCATGTCGAGGCGGAAGAACTCCGGTCCGCGATTGGGACAGGGCGAGCGGGTGTCAATTGGAAGTTTGACCGTGCATTGTCGGCTAATTCGAACCACAATACTGGTGCAAATCACCTAACTCCAACCATAGCATCATCGCGAACCAAGAGGCTCGAGGAAGTCCTTCTCTGGGGAGGATAGCGTCGAATGAGCTGCGCGTGCTCACAGAAATTTCCTGAGGCCAACACACACCAGAAATAATGCGCGCGACTACACAACTCTTGAACAAGGGCGTCTTGGGGCGAAGCTGGGACGAGCTCGCCCGGCGCACAAGCATTGGTTCGTCGCGCATCCTCACTTCTCTCGTCTCGACTGACACAAGCAGCTTTCAAGCTCGAGGCTGTAAAAGGACCCCAGGGCCCCCGTCCCCTATACGACTTCAACTCACCCTCCGCCATATCATCATGTATTCTCATGTCCGACGCTACCATCGGCGGCTCCTCCGTAGCCAACCTCGACCTTGATTCTCCCTCTTCCACATCATCACAGGCCTACGCCCGCTTCCATGGCTCGATATCTACCGCTCTACCTTCCGACAAACCAACCATCCAAAGAACAGGCTACGCCGCTTTTCGCACACCGAATCAACATCCAACGCTCTTGGGGCGGTCGTACTGGGACATTGATCCCTACACATATCTGGCCATGCGCATAAAGTCGGACGGCAGAGCCTATTTCATCAACGTACAGACAGACGGAGTGGAACCGTCAGATCTCCACCAGCACAGACTATTTGCCTCACGGCCGGGGGAGTGGGAGACGATTCTTATCCGGTGGAATGATTTCGTGAGGACCAACTTTGGCTTTGTGGTCGAGCCGCAGACGGAGCTATTACGACAAAAGGTCAAGACCGTGGGCATCGGCCTCACGGATCGCAAAGAAGGGCCATTCGAGATGTGCATTGAAAGGATATGGGCCACAAATGATGTTGAAGAAGGAGACACCATCGTGGACAAGAACAAGGCGATGAGCGAGGCGCCATCGGTGGAAGGGCAATTACGGACAAGGAAAGGCGAAAAGATACACTGGTAGCCTCGAGCGCTGTACGATTTGCAGGACGTGTGTATCATATACTCATGTATGTAGAACCATAACGAACATTACGAACCACCCGAGCTTAACACTTCAGCAGTCTTCTTCAGCGACACGTACGCTGCGGCATAATCGGCCGCCAGCTCCATGTCCCCCGACAGCTTCATAATCATGGCCTTCTTGGCCATCATCTCGCATTGTTTACCAATGTCCTCGATGCTCGAGTAATAGTCGAATGCCTTGTTGACGGCCGCCAATGCGGCGGTCATATGCTCCGTTCGCTTTGTGGACTTGGGCGGCTCTTGTCCTGCGAGGCCCATCCACGCATCCGCCAGATATGCGTATAGTTGGGCTACCAGGAGCAAGGAGTCCGTTTCTATGGCGCGGGGGATGACGGCGATGAGGATCTGACTCGCCGCGTCAAACTCGCCAAACGAAACGAGGATGCTGGACAACACGCCCAACGCGTCCCACAACTGGAGGACCAGCCGTGCGCGCCACGCAATGTTGACAGCGTTGATCGCAACGGAGAATCCTCGTTGTGGGCGTCCAGCTAGACTCAGCAGCTTCACCTTGCGCAGCAACATGTCGACCCGGAGCGCAAGATCTCTATTCTCCTCCCGGAATTTTGCCAGAGCCGCATTGGTCTTGGTGAAGGCACCTTGTATGTCCCCCCGCTGGGTGAGGTATTCAATGTGAAGCGAGTCAATGAGGCACGCCATCTCCAGACTCATGTCGTCCGTTCTGGACTGTAGCAGTTGATACAACAGCTGCTCAGCTCCACGAAGGTTGTTGTGGCGCAGATCGCGTTGAAGCTTGAGGATACCCCGGTACTTGTACCATAGCTGGCTGGTCTTGAGCGATCTCAACGAGTTCTCGTCGAGACTCTCCAGTGCTTGAAGGCCCTCGTCATATCGACCTTTGCGCACGAGGCCTGATGCGAGCACCCAGGTGTGATTCAGCTCGTCGTCAAAGGCCGCATTACCCATGTGGCATTGCAAGAAGACCTCGCTGACCAAGCCAGCCAGATATGCAAGGCCAGTCCTGTCCCAGTACGCAGACCAAAACAAGGCCTGCGTCCCCATCACTCCTTTCACGTTGTATTTCAGGGCCAGGTGTGAGCTTCGTACCATGTTCTCCACAGCAGTGGCTGTACTCTCGCCGTTGAGCAAACAAAGCTTCGCTTCGCTTAGCCACACTGTGCAGTAGAGGGGCCACATCTTCGCGTCCTTTGCGTTGACACGAAGATAGGCGAGGATCTTCCTGCTCGTGCCCAGAACGCCGTTTGAGTCGTCGTCACGGGATCTCAACTGGCTCACGAGATATGGTCTGGATTGTTCGAATTGAAAAAGCCAATTCAACGCAAAGTTGAGACACCGCATGTCCTTGTTTTCTCTGGCGGTAGTGACAGTCTCGAGCATCGCCTCGTATGCCTCTTTGTAGCAGCCAAAGTCCGCCTGGAGGACTGCGTGGTTCATCAATCCGTATTGGTACGAGCTCTGATGCTCAGAGTGCATAGCATAGTCGAAATATCGATGAAGCAGATCGAAAGCAGTTGCGTAGTCGCCTGCTTGCCATGCATTGAGGAAGCTAGCCCAGTTAGCATCTCTGGGGCAGACATTGACTTGGACCATACTTCAAGTAGTGTGCTAGACTGGGTATTGAAACCGATTCGCGCAGCAGTATGTCCAGCTGCTGTCTCAAATCCGGTGCAACTCTGGCACCGTACTCTGTCATACGTCAGCGCAAAAGTAGAGCATTCAGATCCTGGTAGCGCACTTTGCATTTGCTCAATCTGGAACTCCAGCAGAGCCTCGACGTCGCTTGTACTGACTGGCAGGGCACTTGCGTGCTCTCCAGCCAGTATGCCATCATAGGCTATGAATGTCAACCTGGACACAGACTCAGCATCCCATTCTTGCCCCTCCGCTGTGGAGAGCACTTCGTCGAAGCTCAGTCTTTCGAATCCCGGGAGCTTCCGGCGTAGGTAGTGAGCTGTAGGCTGTCTGTACTGCACGAAGCTCTTCCACAACTCAGTTGTGTCGTGCCACTGTAGCCGCCCAAGCTCGGACCCTACACGGCGGATGAACAGGCCAAAGAGTGAGTTTCGCGAAATCTTGATGCCCACTTCGGGTTCTGGGGTTCCTCCTCCTGCTTCGTGTTTGAGCTCCTTTGCAGTTTTCGCCAGTAGCCTTGGAAGGTTGGCGAGAAACGCGTGCATCGCATTGAGGGAGTTTAGATCCCACATTTTCCCCAAGAACTGATCCCACAGCCGCCTCCCTGGGAACCCCATCAAGAACGGGTAGCTGCCCAGAAGCTTCTCAAAGTCTTTGATGGACACCACGAGACTGATCGTTCGCTCTGCGTTGGCCCATGCTGACTTGTCATCAGTATTGCACGAGCGGTTGTGCGTGTCGCGATCGACCAAGTTCGATGTGATGAATGAGAGGACTGGCAGGATGGCATCGTGCGGGATGGCTTCCTCGGTGTAAAGCTCTATGAGTACGAGCAGGCCGATCTTGGCAGGTGTGAGGTAGCGAGCCATGTTTGAAGAGGTCGCCTTCACTGTTTGACCAAGTTCATGGCTAGAATTGGCGACGCGTCGGCAGTCATATGTATCGTTTGACGACCCTGATGCTCAATGAGACTCTGATACGAAAATTTATCGCCAGTCAGGTCGTACCTGAAAGGACAAGTCTTCGTTTGTGATTCCCGAGGATACTGTAGCGTCGCGGTTGATGAGCAACCGCGATTTGTGGTAGGCGCGATAGTCAACGACTGGAGCTGCGTGAAACTCGCCTACCCGATACTCAAGACATCTTCCAGACGAGAATGGACACAACACGTTCAGTAGGCATATCTGACGGGCAATGCTAGACTAGAAGGCAGTATTGAAATTAAAATAAACATTTTTTTGCCTTGCCAATTTAAGTCATACATCAGAACTCAGTGCTGTGATGCCGAGACAGCATCCACACCAGAGTTGGCCGGGCTTTTGTGCATGGAACTGCGTGCCAATATCAATTGATACATCCTCGAGTCATTTCACACATCTTTCCTCCCCATAGCGTGACGAAAGTTCACATAGAGTATTCACGAGAAGATGTTGACACCGCACGCGTACTTGCACAAAGGGAATATAAATTCATGTCCAGTTGGGACATTCAAAAGTTTGCTCCAAGAGCATCTCTAACATCCGCCTAGTACCAATGTCCTTCGCTGATCGGAATCTGCTTTAGACCTTGTCTTTGCGGTGGAAGTTGACGTCGTCGTTCCAGCTGTCTGGGTTAGCAAAAGTGTTCCGCCTCGTTGAGCTGCTGCCCTGATCAGATGCCACTATCCGAGGAAAAAAACTTACAAGAGAGTCTATACAATCGTTAGTTCATGTGCCATTGTAATTCAGACGTTCAGTCTTACCTTGTCGCCGTTACCCCACTGGTAGTTCTTGGTGCGGATGTTCTGGTAAGCGTACTCGGTGCGCTCCTCCAGAGGAGGCATGTGGTCCCAGTGGCTCCAGTGCTCGTTCCACAGGTAGTATGCGTTGGCTCCAGCAAGCAGAAGGCAGGGAGCAACACCGCTGCAGTCAATGTCAGCCTTGTTCCCTTTCCCAGTCCATGTCGGTCAAACTCGGCATCTCGAGTATCGTATTTGAGCGGGTTTTGGCAAAGCCTCGGAAGGCGGCGGTGGGCGACATACTAGAGGGAAATCTTCCTCCACAGCTCTGCAAACAGTCAGTATGCGCTTCTTCGGGATCAATTGGCTTCGGGGAGCGTACCGGTGGTGCCCTGAGCGTGCTCCTTGATGTGCTGGCGCTCATTGATGAACTCGTTGGTGCTGGCGAAGCGACGCTGGGCGGGAGCGCGCAGCTGCTGGGTGAGGCGCGGCGTAGCGCGAGAGACACGTGCGGCGAGCATGATGGCGGATTGTTTCGATCGGTGGGCGTTGTCGAAGTTTGGGTAGCGACGATAATATGAGGTGACTTGAGGTCATTGCCGAACCGAAGCTTGAAGGGCTGCGCAGGGGTGCCTGAGCATTGAGGCAGCAAGCCCGTCGATCGCACGTGACTGCGCGGGTGCAGCGCGACCGAGGGCGATGGCAAGCCCGCGACGTGGGGCGTCTGTTTGGACATGACGCCCATCGTTGACGAGTCTTGATCAGCACTGAGCGATTCTGAAGGCTCACATTCGTGTGGGCTCTCTGAACATTCAACTCGCTGCAATCTCGACATCATCGTCGCTCCGCGCACCTATCACACACAGTCTTTGATGGCGAAGTCTGCCGTGTTGCTGGCACTTCCTCATGCTTGTGCACATGGCGTCTGTCTGGCTCTCAGCGACAGTATTGCCAATATGTGAGGTGATGATATGAGTCGTCAGACATCATGGGTTTCCGCATTACAACATGGAATGGTAAGATTGTTCCACTAAACCACGGCATCATACTGACTCCAATTTAGTCAATGGCATCAGGTAGGCCAGCATTTGCCGGAACAAAATGATACCTTGTGAAGCTTACGCAAGCTTAGAAATCCGTTCGCCTATCCTCCATGGAGAGATCAGCGAACATTTCAGGTATGCCGAAGCTGAACAAGCACAGATCTGTGGGACTGAATGAAGCAGGCAATGTTCGACATCCTCGAAGCAGACATTGTGATCATCCAAGAGACAAAGATCCAACGCAAAGACCTCCGCGACGATATGGTACTGGTTCCGGGGTGGGATGTTTACTTCAGCCTGCCGCGACACAAGAAGGGTGAGTGCTGCCAGGCGCTTGCGTGGAAACAATAGTTGACAAGTCAGGCTATTCTGGGGTCGCAATATACACTCGCAACGCTACTTGTGCGCCTATTCGCGCCGAAGAAGGTGTAATCGGCGTGCTCTCGCCCCCCAAATCCTCGACGAGCTTTCGCGACCTCCCCAAGGATCAGCAAATTGGCGGATACCCTCGGCCAGGACAGCTCTCAGGCGTCGTAGATGAAGCCATACTCGACTCCGAGGGACGATGTGTCATTCTCGAATTTCCCGCGTTCGTACTGTTGGGAGTCTACAGCCCAGCAAATCGAGATGAGTCGCGCGACGACTTTCGAATGGGCTTTCTGGAGGCTCTGGATGTGCGAATACGCAATTTGGTTGCCGAAGGCAAGGAGGTCATTCTGACTGGTGATCTCAACATTGTCGGCTCTGAGCTGGACTCATCGAACGTCGCAGAAAGTCTCAAGAAGAACGACATTACCATGGAAGAGTGGCAGAGCCTTCCTTCTCGACGTCTCTTCAACCAGTTGGTTTTCGGTGCCACGGTCTCAGGCAATCGAGATGAAGGGCGAGAACAACCAGTGCTGTGGGACCTTTGCCGATGCTTCCACCCGACCAGACAAGGCATGAACACCTGCTGGGACACCAAAAAGAACACCCGTCCCGCGAATTACGGCAGCAGAATCGACTACGTGCTCTGCAGCGACGGGCTCAAGTCCTGGTTCGTGGACGCGAATATCCAGGAGGGGCTCATGGGGTCTGACCATTGCCCGGTGTATGCCGTTGTCGCGGACATTGTGGCACGGACCAGCAGAGACATCCCTTTGCTCGACATCGTCAACCCCCCAGGGATGTTCAAAGACGGTCAGCGCCAGCGCGAGTGGGGACAGAAGGACTTACTTCCCCTGTCTGCGAAGTTGATCCCCGAGTTCGACCGCCGACAGAGTATCCGCGACATGTTCACCAAAAAAACAAGCAATGGCCTGAACAGTTCGGTCCAAACACCAACGACGCAGTCAACAACGGCCCCGCAAACTTCGCTCGAGGAATCAGTAGGCTCAGACTTCAGTCGTATAAGCAGCAATGGGACAGCCGTGGAGTGTTCCATTGCGAAGAAAAATGGTCCGAGCGGCGATGCTATACCTGCTGCCATTAATAGGAGCCCCAAGCAGACGACCGCACAGAAGCGTTCTGCAGATTCACCTGGGACGGCCGATGCAACCACAAAGTCGAAGCGAAGCAAATTGATCACTGATAATGCAGCCAAGAACAAGGTCGCACCAGGTCAGCGAACTCTACAGGGGTTCTTCAAGCCCAAGCCCACGTCGTCTACCAAAAGGGAAGAGGATGCAGCCTCTGTCACCAACAGCACAGTACCGACCTCCCCTGCGCAGGCGGCTCTTGCATCGACTGTAGCCCCCACCAACCGCTCACCTGCCAAACACAAGGAGGGTACGCCACCACCGAGGTCCGAGCTCGCAACGCCCGTCGAATGGCAAGAGAAGGTATTCGACCCCATCGAAGCGAAGGAGTCCTGGTCAAAGCTCCTTGGGAAACGAGTGGTCCCTCGATGTGAGCATGACGAGCCCTGCATCAGCCTCCTCACCAAGAAGCCCGGTGTCAATTGCGGTACGTCCACGTCCACATCCCCTCCTCGGCCCTCGTCTCCGCATTCCGGATTTAGCCTTTGCCCTACCCCCATTGTCGACAATCCCACTCCCACGCGCAGGCGCCACAAGACTAATTTTGACACTAGGGCGATCATTCTACATCTGCCCCAGACCACTCGGCCCTTCCGGTGAGAAGGAGAAGGGGTCTGAGTGGCGCTGTGGCACGTTCATATGGAGCAGCGACTGGAACGGGTCGTCGAGCTAGCGAGAACTTCGAGAAGGATTCCACAGTCAGCTCAAGATCTTAGAATGGCTGTGCGCCGACGGTAACTTCGCTCGCCATGGTCCACAGCATTCCTGGGATTTGTACTCGATTGCACCCCAGCGTCAGGAAACGACTGCAGAGCTGATCACGACGGCCAGCGTCTTGGAGACTGGCACTCTTTCAAAAACGAATAGTCATCAATAGGAATAGTGTATTCAGTATAACGCCGTTACAAATGCAATGCTGTGCTCAAGGTACGAAGCTGACAATCAACCAAAAGCTTTTGTTTCCGATGAATTCACTACCTCTGGTAACATATCGTCGTCATATCCTGCCTCAACATGAGCTGTTGCTGGATGCTTGTCGTTCTAAGCTGGCCATGCAGACATTTGCTTGTCGACAGCTTTCCCCTTGTCACATAAAGGTGCCGGCGTGCTCTTCCGCGTGGCCGCAACTACGCTTTCATATCAGACCATTTCCTTTTTCGGAGTTTTCGTCGTTGTGTACTTGTAATTGGGGTAGAGTTGTTTGTGCATTTGGTCGGCTTCTCTCGCTTTATTCTGCCAACATTCTTTCTCCTCGGCTGGCATTTCACGCCATATTTTGGCAATCATAGTCGCTGTTATACATCAGCTACAGTCCTTTGCGTTTTGCGACTCAAACTCACAGAGTTCACCTGCCGTGACCCCAGGCATCTGCACGCTCAGCTCCTTAGCCTTGGCTTGGCGAAACAGGATCCAGCTGTTGGGAGGTCTCGGTATACGAGGCTTCACAATCTCGCTGGCAGCGGCGACCGGGTTTTCAGTTTCGACTTGCTCGATATCATGAGCGTCCAAATTCAGGTACTGCAACGGGTCGAACTCATCTGCACAAGATCAGTCACTTGGCATGCGAAAGTCGGTATGCTAGGCTGGCGTACCGCAACTATGAACAGCCACGCCAAAAGAGTCCATATTCAGACTTCGGTGGGATGGTTTGGGACACATTCGAAACTTGCGCCGGGGATGGTCATGATAAACAGTAACCTGTTGTTGCACATTGCGGCTAAGGGCTCGAGTTAGTGCTTGCGGTTCCTTGACCTTTCCAAGATCAGGGTTGGGTCCTACCTGAAGTTGGCTGCTATTTGCTTGACAGCAGGCCATTCAAGAGAGTCAGGAACAAATAGGTGTACGTCTTGATGTAGCGAGTCGATTACGAATGTGATTTGAGGTTCACGCTCAGCGGACTGCATGTGGGAAAAGGCATCCATGTTGATGATCAAACTAGGAGCGGAGAAGTATTTGTTGAGAGACTCCGCGAAATCATGGAAAACAGCGAGAGTGAAACAAACAGACTCAAATGCGATGTTTTCAACTGATGTCGACTCCATGGTCAAGTGCAGCTCAGGTGGTGTTCAGCTTCTGTGTGACCTCATCCCAGGCGAGAACAATCGTAGTAGGCCTTAGCATTGTTCGGAACAAGGCTTTTAGAAACCCGCCCAGATGTTCTGATTACCTTGCTAACTTCTTCAAAACACGTACGTGTTGTGATTTTGAAGCAGCATGGAGAACACGCTCAACCTCGCCCCGTTGTGGGAAGCCCAACAAATGTGCGCAAAGCACCACGACCAAGCAGTTTTGATCGGCCGAATTGCTCTAGACACTTGCTTAAATTTGAGTGAGAATGAAGCTGATGATCTCTCTGGGCCTCTGGGTACGTCTTTATCTCCACGAAGCAAACAGTACTGTGTTGCTAATAGACTCGATATTGCAGACATTGCAGAAAAGGCAATGTCAGTCATCGATAGTATCTTCAAGACTCACACCAAGCAAAGCTATATCCTTGGGTCCATTGAGCAGCAGAGTCATCGTATCTGCGCTGGCGATCCGCTGATACTTGTCAAGGCCATGATGACAGTCTGGTCATCGAATGCATCGCCACTCATCACCAGGGATCTACAGGAGACGTCTGACTATGCAACAAGCATCATCAACTTGGGCCTGATTTCCATGCTCTTTACTTCGGAAAGGTGGACGACATTGGGCTCGCAATGGGAAGCTTTGAAAACCAAGACACTCCTTGCGAACGCTGCGGTCTCTTTGATTTTTGCAACCTACTTCATTTCTCAAGCCTACGACGAAACTATGCATCCATACATCGAGGATTACATCGACGGATCTCAGCCGACGAGCATTCAGATTTTCCTCAAGTACACATGGAGGGTGGCCCAAACGACACTTCCACAACGATCGCCAGGCAATCTATTTGGCCTCACGAGTGAGGATATGAAGATTTCTCCAAGCGGCAAGCGTCTACTTGTGCGTGATGGAAGTGACACCTGGGATGATCCGGTATATTGGCATCCTGGAAAGCAGACGATAGGTTCTCCATGGGGCAAATTCCATCGCAACAAGCATCAGCCAACGTTTCTGCCTACTAAGAAGTCGACACTTCCCCATACCATGTACCGACTGCCGACATCCTCCGTTAAGCTGGCAGAAACATTCGAGGAGTACTACGAAGATGTCGAGCTGAAGTTGTTAGAGGTAAATGAATGCTTCTGCATCCTCTTCACTATGTTCCTGGGCTAATTCGAGGACCAGACTGAGCGTCAGATAGCTGATGTTTCCGGCGAGACTGCTGCAGATCAGTTTCATCGACTGGCTTCAGCGAGCGGATCAAGCTATCCTGATGAAGGCATTGATGAAGATGTGTGTTTTCCGCGATCTGGAAACGTGGAAGTGAACTGACAGTATGCAGGATGCGGACGAAGTTTACGAAGCGACTCAGGAATACAAGAACAGCGTTTCTTTGGTAAGGCATGCAGACGTTTTTGAGGACTTTGGCTGATACCTACAGACACGGAAGCCAATTTTGGACCTCAGAGGCCATGCGACTTTGCCATTTTTAACAACGGCGGCCAGAGCCCTCAGGTTTGACGAAGAGCCTGAAACTTTTGAGGATGATTTCTGGGTGATGACATTTGGTGGCGTGGAAGCTGGAGAACTAGATCAATGAGCGGACAATGTAGTTTTCCGCACAGCAGTGCAAGTGAGCTGAAAGTGAAATTTACCAGCGAATGCTCAACTAAAGTGACCATAGGGGTGAGCTCTGCGCCACATGCTCAAAGTGACTGGGGGCGCCAAGCTTTCCTTTCTCTCACCTCACCCCGGCACCAACCATTTCCTTCACACCACTCTTTTACTTGGATGTTTTAATGCACACTCCATCTCTGAATCTTTCCATTCTTCTACACCTCACCACGCATACTCTTGAACAAACCATTCCACAACTCTACCATGTCGTCCAGGTCCCAGATTATCGAGAGTCTATCGTTGATTCCAACGGCAGAACTACTGAATCATCTTGACGAAGACACCCTCTTCTCTTTGTCTGAACAGTACTGCAAGGCCACCATGAGATCACATATCACGCAGGATCGCGACGCGAAGCGCTCTCTTGAATCGAACGCTGTTACCGTTCCGCCAACGCCAAAGACAAAACGCCCTCTGAACGGTTTCATGGCCTTCCGGAGTGAGTACCACTGAGCGAGCTCGATTTGAAGCATTTTTGACAATTGGTTTTAGGCTACTACCTGAAGATGTTTCCTGAAGTTCAACAAAAATCAATCTCCGGCTTTTTGCAATCGCTCTGGAGCCAAGATCCGTACCGAAACCGATGGGCTTTGGTTGCCAAGGTCTACTCATTCATACGCGATGAGATTGGCAAGGAGCGCATACCTCTGTCGAACTTTCTCTCTACATGTTGTCCGATCATGAAGATCATTGAGCCCTCAACATACCTCCCAATGCTTGGCTGGCACATCACTGAAGTGCCTGGCGGCAACTCCCAACTGATCCGCCACGATTCTTCCGTGGGTCCTGCACACGACGAGCTTGAGATACAGAACTACCCGCGTACCGAATTCGATCTCCTCTGTGCTACCTTGAGTGCTGGATTTCTTCCCACCCATAGCTCTCGCCTCATCCAGAAGCTGAGCAGCAAGCGCAGCTGCATGATCGATGCCTCTTCCCGAAGCTCCAGAAAGGGTTCAAAGCAGGTGTTGGCTACCAAGTCGAAATTCATTCACACCATACAGAAGAACCCCCTCAAGGCAGCTCAGGATGTTTTTGCTTCCTCACAAGATGACTCTACACTCCACGAGACCGGATATCGTGTGCTGCAGGTCGACAGCTTGCAGAATCTTGACCATCTGCCACTGAACTCTTGCGAGCCACCTAAGCTTTTCAGCTTCCCAACAACACACGCACACATGGGCTTTGAGACAGATGCCATGTTCAACTTCGAGCAGATACCGGAACATGATTGTTATGATCTTGGCGATCCATACGAGATGGGCAACATCACGAACTTGACAGGCGCGCATGACACCCAAGGTGAGGGTTTCATTAGCATTCGCTAGGCTAGACTAACCTTTTCCCAGGAATTCATTTACACCAAAGCCCTCCATTCTCACCGGGGCTCGATTTCCAGCAGCTCTTCTGAATAATATGGCGATTGGGAGTTGCTGATTTTACAGCGATGCGTCTTTCATTGTTTTATCTTAGGTGCAGGATGTGGTCGGCGTTCAGGACATTTTAGAGGAGGACAAACTCGTCCAGGCTCCCACGAGCCATTTCATAGCGGGGGATATCATGGTTTGCGTATTTGATTTCCTACACGCAGGAAGAAGTGTCTTGTCTCGCGGCTCGGGTTCATACATGACGTCTTCACGATCAATCATAGCTGTATCAACTCAGTTTCCTCTTCCATGTTACCCAAATCCAAGTTGACGATGAACAGGCTCTCCTCTGGCCAGAAAGGTGACCTGACAATGAGATACCGCAGCTCGTCGACTTTGAAGGACGTCTAAATCGGGTGGGGCTGAGGCAGCACGCTGCACCCAATGCGTCCTTGAGCCTGCAGACGTCACAGGGATCAGGGATTCTTGGATCAAGTCTTAGTACTAATTGAGAATAGTCACCCACACCATACTCCGTACAGCAAACCTGCATGTCTGCGGATCCTTGTTGTGTAGACAGACTGATCCACCGCACCTACATACAAAAGGGTCCTATGAAAAGACGAGTGGCACTAGATTTAAGGCCTGCTAGAGTCTAACTGCTCAGAGCAAGACCAGACACAAGCTCCAGTCGCTTAAGGCCTGAGATGGATGGCCTGGAAAGGTCCCCAAGCGTTTGCTGCGCGGCGAAGTGATTGCGCTTATATTGATGTCTTTGGCATCATATCGCGCATGGCGCTGTTTTGCTATGTCTCCAACCACAGTGACGAAGGGCACTCTTAGAAGCTCGACCCCAGCAATCTACACAGTGTTTCCTCACTACAGGCCCCATGGGGACAGTCACTGGCAACAGCCATGGCATGCTGTAATCATTCGTCCAGCATGACGCCAAGATTGGAAGGTCCCATGCCTGCCCTGCAGCAGATAGTGTCCAGGGTGAAGCAAAAAAAGTACCGGGACGTGTCAACAGGGCCCTCACACCACAAGAAAGGGCACCAAGACGGGAGGGGCACCAGCCAACTGTCGATCAAGTATGCGCGCGCGAGGGGCAGAAGCTAGAACACTGCCTGTACTCCTCCGTACGGTAGTCTCTCGAGAAGCTTGGACGTCGAGGAATAGACCGGTCATGCGCATCTTTCTATCTCTGTCTGTGGGTTTGGGGGCGGCTGGTCCGTGAGCTCGCAGGGCTGGCGCGACGTTGTATCAAATATGGCCTTTGCGCTAGGTGGGCTTGCAGCTGCAGCAGCTGCAGCAAGCCGCAGACTGACGAGTCGCACTAACAAACAACTCTGTTATTCTTTGACACATATCACAGCTCCGGGAGCGCTGGGGTTGGAGCAGCCTTGCGCAGCTCGTGGCTTGCCGGACGCTGTTCGGCGCTGGAGATGTGTCTTGCTGCAGATGCCAGGCCCGTGTCTGCTTGGACTCTTGCCATAGGCACGCGGTGGCTGGCTCATACTGCGTTTCTGCGACGCTTTGACCCATTGACGATGCTTGGACAGCCGATCCGAGTGTGGAAAGAGAGGCGAGCATCGGCGTTGGGGCCCCGGAGGCCCCAATCTTGTCCGTTTGCCCACAGTGGCCTTATTCGAGGATCGAGATACTAATTGGCAGCATCATTAGCTCACGCCAAGCTCCCTGTCAAAGGTTCATCCAACTCAGGGGCTAGTTCATCCCCTTGGCACCCTCTCTGCACACTGCACGGCGAAGCACGTGTTAGCTCCCTGCGTGGTAAACGTGCCTACGCTTAGTTTAGGCAGCACTCATACTACAGTGTCCATCGAGACACCAGTCCTGAAGTGGTATCCAAAGCGGCTACTAACGATACCTTATGTATGCAGCCTCCAGTCGCTTGCGATCATACCATTTTCCCTTAGGCGCCTCCCTCCCTCCCTCCCTCCCTCCCTCCCTCTCCCCAGCTGTCAATCTGGGCTACCCCTGTCAGCGATCGTGTGTGCGATCGGATACGCGACCGACAGCTGACCAAGCTTACTTACTAGACCAGACTAGTAGAGGCTCCATTCGTCGGCAAAGCAGCAAGGACACACCGGGGCATTACCTGATTGCGCGACAGCGTCGCCGGCTCACTGTGCGATAGTTCCGCGGATCCACTCACAACCTCACTACTGCACCAGGATTACACCCTTCCCTATATGCAATGCCGTTGCTCTGGCATCTGCGGTGCTGTTGCCCTGTTCATTAAACGCAGTATGTCTCTTTCAAGTTGGGAGTCGTGCTCATGTTGTCAGAATGTTGGTCAGCCTGATTGATCCAGTGATGGCGAGATGATGACAACATCATTCCAAACGACACAACTGGGGTCAAGAATGCGCTTGGCAGGGGACATGTTGCGCTCGTCAAGCGCTTTTGGTACCAGGGCAGGACTGCGTGCTCCTTACGTACGGCGTCTGCGGGCGTCCGGCGTGACGAGCAAAAGGGAAAACGACGTGAGTGACGAGGCACTGTGCGTGCGACTGCAGGTAGGCGAGATCACCTGGCGCGGGCGAGACGATGATAGGTCCGAGTAGCGCAACTCGCCCAGTTAGGGCCGGTGTTCTTCTCCGATTCGTGGTGCCTCGGCTTCGGAGCCGAAAGTCCTGCCTCCGGATCACATCGTCATGGGGCGACAGCCGGTTATTCCCATTAGCCAAGGCGAAAAGGAAGGGAAGGGAAGGGAAAGGAAAAAGCCAATTGCCAACAGCCTCCGTCCGGCGGTCTGGCAAATGGGGGCAACGGCCGGAATGCTAAACTTCCGTAGCTCGGCTGCAGCACGCTTATCACACCCTCAGAGCCGCCAGAACTGGGGGAGATCCATGTCTCTCACCAGAATATCATGCATGGTTCCGCAGGGGTCCAAAGTGACATGTCCGTACCGAGCGCCCTGTTCTCCAATGACGCTCTGGTGATTCGCAACATCCCTGCCCGGAAGACGCACGTTGGTGCCGTTTGGATTCTGACATACTACCCACACTGTCATGTTCAAGCCGTAGTAGGCCTCCTGCCAACAAGCGCCAGCCAAAATAAGCCTTTTCTCGTTTCCTAATTAGAACATGACGATGGTGTCTCAGCCGCACATCAACGCGTGTTGCCCAGAAAGCAAAGAGACTGTGGCGTGAAGCCAATCTTCATGTGGGCTCTATGCCAATCTGCGGAATGTTGACACTCGTTCACAGTCCGTATCCAAAGAGCAACTGCCTGGTAATCAGTAATAGCACCTATTTGTTAGCTTGACCTTGTGCGGCGTGATGTGTACCCGTTGCGGCACCACACGTTCTGCACAACCATCGCACGGAGTTGCCGAGCAGGCCTTGAGCGGCCTGTCCATGTTCCTGGCAACGGGATACCTAATGGGGCATGTGTGAGGAGGAGTAGTACGGATACCAACTTCCAGGAAAGAGACCAAACGTAGGACAGGGGCGACAGATCACGTATGGTAATGAAGGAGGTTGCAGTATTCGAGAGATTCGGCGGTGGACTCATCGTGTCACAGTCACACTGCGTTTTGCCAGCCTCGCGGCACAAATAGAAGCAAATGTGACGACATTGGTTGTACTGCACTGTACTGCCACAGCGCCAGGCTTTCCCTGTAGAAGCCGAACACTTCCAAAACATGCATCTCCAGCAGAGGACCCCTTGCACCGCTCGTCAATACACGTATCACAAAGACATGTTCTGAGACAGGATGGTATGGGTATACACAATGGTTTGTAACAGAGAGAAGAAAAATATAAAGAGAGCAACAGATCCAATCTTTGAGCCTCGCTCAGTCTTCTTGGTACGAAATCTTGCGCATCTCGCCAAGGCGGTGTCGAGCCGAAGCCAGAGCGTTTTCGAGTTGGAGAATCTCCACCTGGGAAGAAGAACCGACGTTAGCCACTGAACAGGGGTAAATAAAGAAGAAGGTGCTTGAGAGAGGTAGGTAGGCAGTCCATGGGGGCTGAAGTAAACTTGTCTGTTGGCGCTAGCGGTGATGGGGTTATGTGAGATGCAATGTCACAGTGTGGTAGCCTGGCGAGAGACGCAGCTCTGTATGTCACTGCACTCGAACCAACAGTCCAAGTTGAATGTGACCGTCCGGACATGATGCGCCCAGAGAGGGGGGCTCAGAGGCCCCCTCATTTCTGCCACTGTCGACGGAAATACTTTGCCCGCCAGCGACAGGCGGTCGAGGCTCGGTACCTTGATGAAAGCGTCCGGAGATGCATGGGCCGCGTGGCGGAATTGTTGGACTTACCTGCTGTTCCATTTCCCGCACCTTGAACTCGTGTGAGCCGAGCTTGGAGTAGTCCACCTGGTCGTCATCCTGGTTGCGCTCCTTGATCATGCTCTGCACCTGGCGCACCAGCGCTCGGCAAGCCGCCCCGACAGCCTTGCTGGCCTGCTCGAGGCCTTCCTGGCTCTTGGACATGAATCCAGCCTTGACCCTGGACGCTGCCACAAGCTGCGCCGTGGAGGCCGCGACGTCGTTCGACGCCACAATGAGCTGCTCGGGGCTGTTACGATTGCTCAGCACTCCGTCTGCAGTCTCAATGAGCGTGTTGGTTGAAGATGCCACAGCCTTGGCCGCAGAGATGAGCCCTTCGGTCCAGCGGTTGTTCTTCTTGTAAAAGGCCGTGCGAGAGGATGAACCTCGACCAGCCTGCACAATCTCGTCCTGTGTCTTGCTCGCCGCCTTGATGAGCTGCGCGATGGCGTTGGTGATGGCCGTGGCCGCATCCAGAATCGAGTCGTGCACCTTGAGCTCGTATGTCGAGTAGCCGTCGCGAGGCTTGTTCTTGAGTTTCGCCAGTCGCTGCGCTGCTGCTGCAATGGCGTCCGCAGCCTTGTTGAGTTCGGAGTCGACGAGGTCGCCAAGATCGCCCTTGTTCTTGGTCAGGTTGCCGAATCCAGGGGCAAACGCCTCCACCATCTTGTTGAGCTTCTGCAGGTTCATCTGCACGTCGTTGTTGCTGTTGATGACCACGTCAGTCTTTTGAAGGGGGTCCATACCCTCCAAGCGGAAGCTCTGTAGGCCTCGGAAGAAGTGGATTGTCGACAGTGCAGACTGTCGCGCGCCGCCCATCAACGTATCGGTCTTCTTGTCGTCAGTGGCGAGGCGACTCAGACCCTTCGTGTTGCTGCACACATCGGCCACGGACCCGGAGAACACGTTGACCGCCTTGATCAGCTCGGCGTGTGTGCTGTTGGGGCCATCGGCGATGAAGTTGTTGAAGGCAGTGGCAAACTCCATGGCGCTGGCAGAGGCCTTCTCAATCTGCGACAGCACGTACGATGGCGAGGCATTCGAGTTACCGGCCTGCATGGTCGAGTCCATCTCATACAGCGCATCGTCAACCCTCGAGATTCCGGACTGCAGCACGGAATCGATAATGTCGTTGATTTTGTCCAGATTGGCCATGATAAGGGCATCAATCTGACCGTCCAAGGCCTGGTCCGTTTCGCCCTGGCCGTTCTTCAGCTCGTTCAGTTCGATCAGCGTCTGGTCCATGCCAGCCTTGTACACCTCGAGCTCTTCCTCCTTGTCGCGAAGCAGCTGCTCAAGGTCTGAGCTGCCGTCGCGGGCTTGGCTTTGAGCCTCTTGCAGGGCCTTCGACTTGAGGCGCAGGGCCTCCTCTAGATCCGCCATCTCGCGGTTGTACTTCGCTAGCATCGTAGACAACTCGTTGCCCTTGCTGCGCTCGAGGTTGTCCGCGCGGTCATGGGCCATGCGCAGCTCGCGCTGCAGCTTCTCGAGCTCGTCCTTGCTGCTGCCGGTGGATCGGTCCTTGTCGTGCAATGCACGGTCGCGTTCACGGATCATGTCGGCCAACTCGAGGTTCTTCGTCTTGATCTCGCGCTCCAGCTTCTCGCGCTTGTCAATGGCCTCCTGCGCGCTGGCTGCCTTGAGCTGCACGGCCTTAAACTTCTGGAGCAGATCTAGATGCTCCTGACGAAGCTGAGAGTACAGCTTGGCCAGTGACTCGTACTTGGTACGCCAGGTGTTCACCTGCTCCTGCAGAGCCTGGATCTGCTCGTCTCTGCTCGACATTTGCTGGCCAAAGCTGCCCGATATCTGGGAAAGCTCGCCTTCGAGGGCTTTGACACGCTGATCGTACTGCTGAAGCATCAGCTGGTCTCGCTCATACTGAGCGCGAGCGTTCAAGTTCTCACGCTCAAGCTCAGCCAAGCGACCCTGAGTCTGCCACTGAGCCTGCTGCGCCATGAGAGCCTCCTGCTCCCGTTGCTGCTGCTCGGCCAAACGTCGCTGCTGCTCCTCGAAGTCGCGCTGGGCCTGGAGTTGAGCCTGCTGCTGAGCGAGAAGTTGCGCTTGCTGCCTCTCTTCCATCACGCGCTGCTGCTCTTCGTATTCCCGATTTTGCCTATCCAGCTCGCCTTTCCAGAACTCGGAAATTTCACCGGGCTCCTCTGTCTTGGGTTCCACAGGTGGTGTTGGTTTGCGCTCAATCTCCTGCTTCGGGCGTGCCGGCAGGGCGGGTGCAGACTCGTCGTCGCCTAGCAGACTCGGGGGATCTTGCGGCAGTTTAGGGATCGGGATCAGACTGGTCAGGTATCGTAGGTTGGAGCATTCGTAGTAGAACTTGACCAGGCGGTGATGCTGGGCATCGTATCGCTCTCGTAGAGGCTGCAGAGCGTCATCGTCGCCAGTGACTGTGCAATGTGAGTGGGCGACTTGCATGCGCTGCTGTGGGTGACCTACTTGAGTGCATAGCACGTAGCATGCTGGTGATGAACCTGTAGATGCCATAGCTCTCTTGTACCAGAGGTACTAGCGCCGAGATTCGACACTCGTTGTTGCCAACATGCCTGAAGTGTGAAAAGATCAATTTCTGGAACTGCTCAATCTTGTCTTGGAGTGCCATGAGGTCGGTGATCGTCTCGTAGCCTTCGTTGGGATCGTTGATTGCCTTCAAGCTGATATACTCCTCGTACTCGAATGTACCGTTGAACTCCTGGTGCGCATGGTGGAACGAGAGCTTGGCGAGGATGTAGTACACATATTCGTGGATCAGGGGACCGTAGCCGCGAACACCCTCACCGTTCACACCGCGCTTCAGGCTGTCGATCCAGTTCCGGTGCGCCATTGCTTCTCGAAGGGCGACAACATGGCCTTCTTGCAGGACGCGATGTATTGTGATCAGCGCTTTGAATGTTTGGACTTCGTCGGCAGCAATCGGCTGGCTACACTCGGATGTCAGTGAAACCTCGACGCTGATTGTTGTCCCGACTTACACCTTGACGCCGGCCCAGAAGGCCTGCGAGGATTTGTGGTCCCATGTGTAGACAATACATGCGCGCACATGCTTTCGTTTGGGAGAGATCTCCTCGCCATTTGTTGCCTTTCGAATGTTGATAGCGAGCTCCTGATCGGTCCTGATGGCGCACAGCCGTTAGCGGGGTTCACGGGATAGTGAGCCTTGGAAGAGGCAATTATAATCATCGGCATACTGGGTATGTTGACCGCTCCGGAGGGACGTCATGATGGGCTCCTGGGACCGCAAGCCTCGGGTTGTAGGAGCAACGTTGAATGGAGCCGCCAGGATGTCGCGGGGAGAGTACAGGCACGAACGCCCTGTACCTTGAGAGGGCTGAGGCGCAGCTTGAAAAGGTTGATGCACCCAAGTATGCGTAAATGCGAGCGAAAAGCACAGCTGCAGAGCGTCGCAACGCTAGAGGATGACTGTTGAAGAAAGCTGTCGTCAGCCCTGACGAGGCGTGTTAGGAGAGATGCGACAGCTCCGTGGCTGAGATTCATCAACAGGCAGCCACGGCGTGGAGCTACATCATGGTGGAGCCCAACTGTGCACCGAAGAATTTCCGCGCTAGCATGAGACGATTTCAGCCTGACGAGATTCAGTAGAGTTAGAACTCCAGCGTTCGCTCTGCCGATAATCAGGCTGTATGGGATGATTTACGTGAATGTGCTCTACGAAGTCTACTACTCTCAGCGACGCAGCGTCTTGCGGGCAGATGTGAACAGCCTAGCCTCCCAAAGTGCACACCACGCAGTTTGCAGGCAAACAGCTGCCGCATCGTCACGACCGATGCGTATCACATCTCTCTCTTGCCACATCTGCTTGGGGGTCACTGCTGCGACGGGGGATTCCCAAGAGATTCTGTTGAGGGGCCGAGCTTCTCATGTCTCGTCTGTTATCATGCAACCGTCCGTCGAGTCACTTTCGCCAGACACAATTCAGACTTGTTAAGTGTCACCGGGTCATATTTCCCTATAGACCTCGAAATGCAGACCCTTGCCATGCTCATTTCTTTCCCATCCGGACGTAACACCCCAAGAAAAAGAACGCGAGAACCACAGTTTTTCCGAAAATCTCCCTTAAATCGTCGTCTCGTAAGGCAGGGGAGTGAGGGTCTCGGGAGGGTTGTCGGTCAACGACAGGGTGTGTGCCGGGCGAGGCTGGGCGGGCTGACGCTTCACCTCGACGACGGTGCCGTTCGCGCGGGCCTCCTTCTTCTTCTGGGCGTTCTCCTTGACGCGCTTGAGGAAGTCGTCGCGCGAGCCGGAGGGGCTGACGTGCTCAATCTTCACGTTGATGCGCTTCTCGATGTAGCGGCCCCAGACCTTCTTGTAGATGATGACACCGACGGAGGTCTTGGTGACGTTGTAGACAACGCCGGTCTTACCGTGGTAGACCTTGAAGGGGAGACTGTTCCATATTGTCAGTTTTCCTGTCCTCCTCGTGTGTTGTTCGGCGGGGGTTGTCCATACCCCTTCTGCACAGCACCGTTGACCTTAATGTCCACGATGTCGCCAACGCTATCCAAGTTGTCAGTATTTCGCTCTCGACTCGATTCGATCGACCGTGGAAACTGACCGATACTGGCGCAAGTAGGTAGACATGTTGATCATACCCTTCTTGCGGAAGTCCCTGCTGAAGGCATACTGCGATATCAATTAGTTTTCGACATCTTCGGCATCGTCAATTCGAGGGCAAACGTACGCGGGTGCCCGCACGCTTTCCGTATGAGTGACCCATGGCGTCGGTATTGTCTGGTGGCCGTGGGGAGTTGTCGTGATGGTCGTGAACAAATTTGGCGTGGAGATGGCAACTTCAGGCCTTCACTTGGTGTTGTGGATTTGCTCTGCGGCGGCGGGCTTGTGCGGGCGGGAGACCAGTTAATCCGAGGAATTTTCCCAGGATATTTTTCGCAGAGGGCAGAATGTCGTAGGGCAAGAGTCGCACTTGGATTTCTTAGGGCTGCGGCTAACAGCCCCACGTGACCCTGCCGCAGCTGCTCAGCGCCAAAAATTACACCCCACAACCTCGCGATTTCTTGACCCTCTGACGAAAAGTTACTTCCGCACGACAACATCACCAGGAGCAAGTCAAGTACGTTATTACGCTGCCAATCCATCTCGCGACATCATCTAATCATTCTTCAGGATGCCTCCTCGCGCGTACTCCAAGACCTCGCGTGTCCCTCGTCGCCCTTTCGAGGCCGCTCGATTGTCAGTATCACCGGCCACTGAACAAGAGCTTGACTCTGTTTAAGTCGATTGTGACCTCGAAACTGACCAACACCACAGGGACTCTGAGCTGAAGCTCGTTGGCGAGTATGGCCTCCGCAACAAGCGCGAGGTCTGGCGCGTCGGTCTGACTCTGTCCAAGATTCGTCGTGCTGCCCGGTACGTGTTGCTCCAGGCTGGCCTCGAGATGGGTTTCGCTAACATGCGGTGTAGTCAGCTCCTCACTCTCGACGAGAAGGACCCCAAGCGCCTCTTCGAGGGTAACGCCTTGATTCGCCGTCTCGTTCGCGTCGGTGTCCTCGACGAGTCCCGCATGAAGCTCGATTACGTCCTGGCCCTGAAGATCGAGGATTTCTTGGAGCGCCGCCTCCAGACTTGCGTCTACAAGCTCGGCCTTGCCAAGTCCATCCACCACGCCCGTGTCCTGATTCGCCAGCGTCACATCCGCGTCGGCAAGCAGATCGTCAACGTTCCCTCGTTCATTGTCCGCCTCGACTCCCAGAAGCACATTGACTTCTCCCTTACCTCGCCATTCGGTGGAGGCCGTCCCGGCCGTGTCCGCAGAAAGAAGGCCAAGGCCGCCGAGGGCGGTGACGGTGAGGAGGAGGAGGAGGATGACGAGTAAATGCACCACCAAGCATGAAATGTGTTAACGGCTTCCCTTTGAGCCCGGGCATGGGGCAAGGGAGATACCACTTATGGGTTACGGTTTCTCGTCATAGTCACGGCGTTCGCCAGAGGAAAATGGAATGATTTCGCCAATGTATTGCATGTGCCTCAACAATGTGAATCGAAATGATGTACTTGACAAGATTATGTTGCTAGCTCGTATGCTACAGAAGCTCATCCTTGCCTAACATGTTCGCCATGGGATCATTTGCCGCCGTCCTCTTTCGCCTGTACTCTTCCATCTCTGCCTCGGAGACCCCATTCATCATCTCCTCGCGCGTCCTTTTCTTTGACGGTACTGTCTCTTCATCACCGCCCTTGACGTCGCTCTTGTCCTCTGGGGTTTCGGCCGGCGCCTCCTCCATGAGGTTGGCACCAGAGCGCTGGATCTCTGCGGCTTCCCATGCCTTCTTGCCCTCCTCGCCTGTGCAATAGCTGTTCTTGACGAATGAATGGCAGCACGAGTAGCCCCATTTGAAGTTTGACCACCAGCTGCCCCATACTGACGTGTGATTGTTGATCAGCACATCCTCGGTGTACTTCGACTTGGCTTGTTTCTTTGGTGCGCCCTTGATCAAGCCAGCCTCGTCGTACTCAACAAACTGTTCTGATTCCGTGACCGCCAGCTTTCGCAGGGAGGCTGGCATTGATTTGGTGTTGCCTCCTCCATACTTTTCGAGCAGGGCCTTCTCCTTTTCTGCACGTTTCCTCTCGGCCTCTTCCAGATCTTTCTTGCGGTAGTACTCGCCCGCTGTCGGGTTGGCTTGTAAGTGTTGCGAGGTGTCGCCCGACTTCTCTTGCGCCTCCCAGGCATACCTCTGAGCCTTCTCGAAAGCGCCCGCGTCACCCGATGAGCGAGTGAATCCTTCCTCGGCAAACATATCTGCGGCCTTGTCCTTTGTCGCGCCACCATCCACCAAAGCGCGAGTTTTCGGATCGTATTTGGCTGATTCGGTGTCAAGATTCAAAAGATATTTTGCCGTGTCTTCTCGTAAGCGGAGCTGTCTTGTTGCTGTGCTCTGATGTTTGCTCATGTCGTTCTCTTCGGCATACTTGTCTTCGTCCTCGGCAGTATCCCCTTCGCCTGGCTTTCGCGCTTTCTTGCGCAGCTCTTCCATTTGGTTGAAGTCTTCGACCACATTTCGGTAGTCTTTGGCATCGTATCCGTTCCAGCGGTCACGCTTCGCATCCCAGCCAAGCCTAACATCCTGGACGATTTCGTCTGCTTGTATATCCTTCCCTGTATGCTTCGCACCCTTTGCTCGCGGCCGACTTAGGCAGTCCTTTGCCTTGTGTGTCATAGCACCGCAGTTTTCGCATGCGCCTTTGCGATACTTGGTTGCGGCTGGGCCAGCTTTCCTCCCTCGATCGTACCATTGTGACTTCTCATCCTTGCGCTCTCGTCTTTGATGTTGCAGGTAGTCGTTCTCATCTTCGCCGTCGATGGCATAGAATGGCTTTTTGCTGATGAAGGAGGGAATGTAGATGTTTTCCTCCTTGGAAGCAGCTGCTGGTTCAGGCGGAGGTTTGTTCGGCGGTGCTGGCATTTTGATTGGCGTGAAAATGAGAACGAAGAGTAAGAAATAGAGTCTTCTGTTGACTGTCGAATACGCACTCGCCTGTTGTTTTGAAATAGTTGGACGGGCGTTTCTTCTTTGCCGCGAGGTTAGCCGTAAGGTAATCTTCGCGCGAAGATGGGAAAGATAAGTGACTTATCGCACGTGATCTCGCGACCATCCGCGTTCCGCCAGTCGCGTCATGCTCGCCTCAAGCGCATTGCGGTTGCATCTCATACAGAACCACCCAAATAACTCGACGATCAGACATGCGCTGATCGCCGGTGCTCCGATGGATTCACAGAATGAAGGGTATAGACCTTTTCCGGGTCAGAATCAACTGCATCGACCATTATCAAGCGTCGCCCACCCGTTATGACCCTCAGTTCCGAAATGATGTGCGCCCATCGCAAGTGTCAAAGGGCCCAAAGGTTCCGGTGGTGAGGGTCTTTGGAGCCACCGAGACTGGTCAAAAAGTGTGTGCTCATATCCATGGAGCGTTTCCGTATCTTTATGTGGAATACGATGGCGGCATGGGCAAGGATGAGGGTGAATAATTCCAGCTGCGCTCAGTTGTACAAGCATTAGCTAACGTGCACTTAGTCGGCGCATTCATATATCGCCTTCACTTGTCCATCGACCATGCCTTGGCTGTCAGCTACAGACGTGATCAACATGGAGACGGCGCTCGGTTCGTAGCGCGCATCACTCTGGTGAAAGGCGTGCCGTTCTACGGCTTCCATGTTGGTTACCGATGCTTCCTCAAGATCTACATGTTCAACCCCATCGTCATGAGCCGACTGTCGGACCTGCTACAGCAGGGTGTCGTGATGAAGCGCAAGTTTCAACCATACGAGGCTCACCTGCAATACCTTTTGCAGTTCATGACGGACTACAATCTTTACGGCTGCGACTATCTCGACACACGAAAAACACATTTCAGGGCCCCGGTTCCTGATCACGATGATGGTGTTCACTCCTCTCACATTTGGCACAGCCAGTCTGTGACCCCCGACCAGGTTACCGATGACCCTGCCCTACCCAGAGTCAGCCACTGCTCAATCGAGGTGGACATATGCGTACAGGACATACTGAATCGCAAGCTCATTCAAGAGCGGCCTATTCACCATGATTTCACGGAGCGCGCCAATCCTTTGCACAGCGATGTCAAACTTGTATCGAGCATGGCGGGACTGTGGAAGGATGAGACAAAACGGCGGCAGCTGCGGGCAGGCGTCGCGAAGAAAGGCAATACGCCATTCCCTCCCGAGGTCTTGGTCACCATGTCAGCCGACCCACGCCAGTCACAGCCAATGGGGTGGGTTCATGAAGACGAGTACCGCGACCTTATCAAATCTTTGATTGGAGAGGAGAAGCAAAGCTTGGGGGAACCAATCTCCTTTGATAATTTCGCCCACACGTTGAGCAATGGGGACGAGATCAGGACAGTTTTCCAGTCTGTAGAAGATCTCTACCCCGCAAACCTGCTGCCATTACTCGGTCTCCCAGGCAAAGATGCAGACGATCAGCTAGACCCTACTGGGAGCATCGAGGTCGACGAACAGAAAGTAGTCCGGGCGAGAACCGGCGATGAAGACTTCTTTCCAGAGGATTCAGACGAAGAGGCTTTACGAGATTTGGTGCCCCATGGTCCCGGTCATGGAGATGTTGAAGGAGAGCTTATAGCGGCGGCTGGTACTGCTTCTGCTTCGGGCGGGAATAAAGCTCTGGGTGAGAACATCAAAGGGGTCTGCGCCAGTGCTCTCAAAACCGGCCAGATTCCCAAAATCCCGGTATGCCAGGAGCTTCTCGACATTGCGGAGGATGAAGGCTTGGTGGGACGAATCCGTACAACTGGCGACGATGTGTCGTCGATGACGCCTGCACGAAAGCGCAAGGGATCTTTCACCATGACGGCCTCTATTTCCAAGAAAATCAGGCCAACTCCTGTCACGCCAGCTCCTGGATTCGCTACTGCGCCTAGACCCAGCCAGAGCACCGGCTTGAACAAGCAGTCGCTCAATGCTAGCCAGTCTGGAATGACGACTACTGGAAGACTAGATTTCGCCGTTGTCAAGGATCCATCAGAAAACCTGCCCAAATCGCAGAGCAGCCACGCCAGTCTCACCACGCCTTCTAAGAGCGACGGTGCTACTCCACGAAAGACTGTGACCTTTTATCCACCAAGCTCGTTCGCTGATTTGGGGTCACCGTCATCTTACGGGCTGTCGTCATCTTTCCAACAACTAGACGGCAAGCAAGCGCAAGGTCACCTAGAAAAATTGCAGCGGTCTCTTGCGAGCGCTGCCAATGGACCTCAGCTATTTGTATTTGCTCAGATCCCGCCCGAGCCTATGTCAGCTAGTTTGACCGCACTGGATGATCGTCTGCCGGACGTTGTCTACCAAGAAGCCCATTACAGTAAAGAGGCAGATGTTCCATCGCGGACACGAGAGTACGCAGGGCGTGAATTCAAGCTAGAGGGCAATACCCTGCCATTTTTGCCTGACTTTGACCCGAGCGGGCTCACCGTTGGGGTACATTCTGGGAAAAGGGATCAGCCCATGGACAAAGCCGCGACGAAGCTTGCGTACGAGCGCCAGAGACAGAAATGCACGTTGCGGAATTGGGAGTTTGCAGAGCCGCCTCCAACGTACGACGAGGTGGCACAGTGGTGGGATGAGAAGGGTGCTACGGCGGTGGCGCGACAGAAGCAAAAACACAAACTTTTACCAACGCAGAGACGCTACTTGTCTCAAATTGAGGGTCCCACGCCAAGGAATAAGCATGGCTTCTCGTATACGCAGAAGAAGAAGTCGACAAGTGTGCAGCATGAGGTTCAGTACATGAGCACCATGAGCATGGAGATCCATGTCAACACCAGGGGCAAATTTGTGCCGAACCCTGAAGAGGATGAGGTACAATGTATCTTCTGGTCTGTCAAATCGGACGAGGTCGCAGCCAACAGCCAGGATGCGGCCGACGACACAGAGTCTGGCATGATTGTCTTTTGCGAAGGCGGTGATATGATACGGCGCATCAAGCAGCAATGCAAGGGGGAGGTTGTCCATGAAAAGAGCGAGCTTGACCTGATGGTCCGCATGGTTGAAATTGTGCGAACCCATGACCCAGATGTTTTGACAGGGTACGAGGTCCACGGGAGCTCATGGGGCTTTCTGATCGAGAGAGCTCGCCTCAAGTATGATTACAACCTCTGCGATGAGTTTTCTCGCGTGAAGACAGAGTCGCACGGCCGATTCGGGAAGGACGCAGATCGCTGGGGCTTCACAACAACGTCGACCATTCGTGTCACTGGTCGACACATGATCAACATTTGGCGTGCTATGCGCGGCGAGCTAAACCTGCTCCAGTACACAATGGAGAACGTGGTCTGGCATACTTTGCATCGCCGGATCCCCCATTATTCATGGAAAACGCTCACCAGCTGGTACGTCAGCGGTAAAACCCGGGACTTGGCCAAACTACTTGGATACTACCAAGCTCGAACCAAGCTCGACATGCAGATCCTTGAGGCGAGCGAGCTGATTCCCCGAACCAGCGAGCAGGCTAGGCTGCTTGGCGTGGACTTCTTCTCGGTCTTCTCGCGAGGGTCACAGTACAAGGTCGAGTCCATCATGTTCAGGATAGCGAAGCCTGAGAACTTCTTGCTAGTGTCGCCCAGTCGGAAGCAGGTTGGAGGACAGAATGCGCTGGAATGTCTGCCTCTCGTCATGGAACCGCAGAGTGCATTTTACAACAGCCCCTTGCTCGTCCTTGACTTTCAGAGTCTGTACCCAAGTGTCATGATTGCCTACAACTTATGCTACTCGACCTTCTTGGGTCGCATCACCAACTGGCGCGGCATGAGCAAGATGGGCTTCACCGAGTACAAACGGCAGCAAGGTTTGTTGGCCTTGCTGGAGGATTACATCAACATTACGCCAAACGGGATGATGTACGTCAAAACGGAGATTCGCAAATCGCTGCTTGCGAAGATGCTCACGGAGATTCTGGAAACGCGCGTGATGGTCAAGAGCGGCATGAAGCAGGACAAGGATGACAAGACCCTGCAGAAGCTCCTCAACAACCGACAGCTTGCCCTCAAATTACTAGCCAACGTCACCTACGGCTACACGTCCGCTTCTTTCTCTGGTCGAATGCCGTGCTCTGAAATTGCGGACAGTATCGTACAGACGGGGCGCGAAACCCTCGAGCGCGCGATTGCCTACATACACTCGGTAGAGAAGTGGGGTGCTGAGGTTGTCTACGGTGACACGGACAGTCTGTTCGTATATCTGAAAGGCAAGACGCGCGATGAAGCGTTCGACATTGGCAATGAAATGGCGAAGCAGATCACCGACATGAACCCCCGCCCTGTCAAGCTCAAATTCGAAAAGGTATACCATCCCTGTGTCCTTCTTGCCAAGAAACGATACGTTGGCTACAAATACGAGAGTAAGGACCAGGTCAAGCCCGAGTTTGACGCCAAGGGTATCGAGACTGTTCGTCGTGACGGCACGCCGGCCGAGCAGAAGATTGAGGAGAAGGCATTGCGGTTGTTGTTCGAAACCGCCGATCTGAGCCAGATCAAGGAGTACTTCCAGAAACAATGCGAAAAGATCATGCGTGGCACAGTCTCCGTGCAGGACTTCTGTTTCGCCAAAGAGGTCCGCCTGGGGACGTACTCGGACAAGGGGCTGCCCCCCGCTGGCGCCCTCATCAGCACAAAGCGGATGCTGGAGGATGCACGGGCCGAGCCGCAGTATGGCGAGCGAGTGCCGTACGTCGTGATCACGGGAGCACCAGGGGCGCGTCTCATTGATCGATGCGTCGCACCTGAAGAGCTACTCCGCAACCCCCACTGGCAGCTGGACGCTGAGTACTACATCTCCAAGAACCTCATACCACCACTGGAGCGAATCTTCAACTTGGTCGGTGCGAACGTGCGTGGCTGGTACGATGAGATGCCCAAGATCCAGCGGATCCACCAACACGGAGGTGGCCCGCGCAAGGCGACGTTGGAATCCTACATGAAGAGCACGCACTGTGTTGTCTGTTCTCGTAGGTTCACTGGCGAGGGCGGTAGCACACATCAGGCTCTGTGCTTCTCCTGCCGAACTCGCACCGATGCCTCCGTCCTTCGACTACAAAACAGGCTCAAAAGAGAGGAGAGACGATACGAAGAAGTGCTGAGCATTTGCAGAGGATGCTCGGGTCTAGGCCCCTTGGAGGATGTCGCTTGCGACAGCAAAGATTGCCCAGTGTTTTGGACGCGCATGAGACAGCTGGGCAAGGTCAGGCAAGAAAGGGCTGTGGCGGAACCTGTCATGAAGGGGCTGATGGAAGGGGTCGATCGATTAGCGCTGGACTGGTGAGCAGTGGTTTCCATCGATTGCTACCGCTTGCGAGGTGCAGTTGCTTTCAAGACCAATACGAAGCCGAGTCTTGCCCATGTTTGCCAAATTTGCTTGCCAAGTTGCTTGCGATGTCTAGATGACTCTGATCTGAAAACGGTGTCATCTTCCCCTGAAGGCTAACTTTGCTTCTCGCTTCAGTCGACGCCCTGGCCTATGGGGAGTCGAGATTGTACCTGTGCGTTTGTATCACCGAAAACTTATTTTTCTTGATATCAGACAAACTTTCTGGTTAGTGACTCAGCGGTTGGCCCTCAGAAAAGGTTTAAGTACCTCTTCCCAGTGCTTTCTTCTTCCTCCTCTTTTTCCCTTCTTCAACCTCTTCGTCTTTTTTTTTTCTCTCTTCTTCTTCTTCTCTCGACTCGCTCAACTTCTCTGTATTCGAGATGTCTGCCCAGTCCTCCCCCGAAAAGCAGCCTCTGGTCCAGCATAGTGTGCTGGACCAGAAGCTGTATGGCAGGAATGACGAACGACCTCCGCATCTGTATCGGACGACCACACCCCCCGTGGTCCATGAAGATGCCATCACCATCGGCATGGCGTCCCCGGATATTCCCGCGCTCCTCGAACACGAGGACGACTGGTTTCTGGCGGATTTCTACGCCTTCAATCTACTGTACCGTGGGCTTGGCTCCCGGCAACTTTGGTTGACCGCTGCGGTGAGTCAACTCTTGAACATCTCCAACTACAGCAAGACAGCTGCAGGGATCAGGCCCAATATTCGATCGAAGCTGATGGCCAATACTTACTTGATACGTGGTTTCTGCCCTTTATGGGCAAAACAGGCCAGAAGTATTGACCAACGTCTTTGATCGAGTATTGGGGCCAGTTCCTTTCGCTGTCCTCGTACGGTCGAGACAAATTGTTTTCTATCATAAGACTAACTCTTTCTAGGATCCCAACGAGCTCGTTCGACTGTGCAGGCACCTTGTGGGCAAGGCCAAGGACGATTCCCCCGAAGAAACAACCGGCCACCTGTTGCACGGCAACCCATACCGGGACAGGAAGGTCGTTCTCAGCGAGTCTCTCATCAAGTCGGGAGAAATCACGATGCCTGAGGTTGTGGAGCCTGCCGCAATGCCGGAGCGCTGGCTGCGGGAAGTTAAACTCGCGTCCAAGGAAGCGGCATCGCGAAACGTTCCCCTGGTTCTGCTGATTTTTTGCCATGGTGCCCCGGATACGACCTTGGAGCTCAACTATCACTGCCCAGAGCTGGAAGAGAGCGACGCTGGTGCCCGAGCTACCTCTGTGGTGACCGCGGAGCAGCTACTCGAGGTCCTGGATCCGGACTGCCGCACCACAATCCTGTCCACGGCTTGCTTTTCCGGCTCTTGGGTGGTGGACATGTTGGGCCGCAAGGTTTCGGGATATGACCCCAATGGTCAGGCAGTGGTCAACACGACAATGCTGTCGGCTGCTGACTATGAAACCCAGTCTCTGGCATGGCCGGAATCGAGCTCCCTAGGTCGTTCTTGCGGCTCGATATTCGCGAGCACTGTGATCAACACTCTGACATCCTCAGCCAATCCATACCTCGCAGACACGGAGAAATCAGACACCCCTGAGTGTCTTCAACCCGCCAAACCCTCGGAGGAACAAATTGAGACCTACAACAGCTACTGTCGCTCGATTATGGACAGTTTATCCGCAATCAACAGATTACCAAAGGAGCATAACTTCACATTTTCGTCTCGCAATGACCAGTGGGAGTTGTCGTGGCCTGACCTTGTTGGCTTGGAGCCACTGCAGGCTACCTTTCGAGAGCGTTGGGAGGCATTGGAGACCGTCACCTATAAGGGCCCTGAGAGCATGCTTGATCTGGATCCCAGAGCAAAATTTCCACCTGGATTCGACACAGCAGAGTCTATATCATCGAAATCTCGAACCGGCAGCAGGTCGCATAAGGCGCTGCTGAACAAGTTCGACCGTCTCGCAGCGGCCGGAGATACTGTCGAGTTAGCCAAGCTGTTTCTGCAACACTCTTGTGTCGATAAAAGGATTGAGGCTCGCACGGATAGGAAGGTCTACAACCTGATCTGCCAGACGGCTGGCGTTGAGGCGCCAACTGGCTTCCCAATGTTCAAGGTCGACGTTCTGCACGCCATCAAACTTCGATGGTTTTTGGCCTACGTTGCGGACTGCATGATCCTCGCGTATCGACTGCCGGCCCCCTGCGGCGTACGCTGTCTCACGTGGGAGTACAGACCGTGGCTGTCTATGGTATCCGAGAATGTCTCTGACTGGGATGTTCGCAAGAGACGTATCAATCGTCTTCTAGAGGACAAGGGCGGCCTTCACCCACCCGTCAAGTCATTGCAAGGCGGCCGCTTCCCGCGCTTCCAAGATTACCTGGTCGCCGCCCTCATTGAGGCCAAGCTTTCGGTGGAGCGTGAGGAGTTCATTGTCGACAGTATGTTCAAGAGCATGAAGGTGTTTGAGAATACGGCCGTCGAGAAGGGCCTCAAAATCTCGACCAAGGACCCCAATCTCCGCCAGCCACTTCGCACCTGGTTCGGTGCCATCAACCGTCGGGCGCGCTCCCTGTCCCCAAAGAAGAAGTCGCTCTCGCCAGACCGTCGTCGACAGCAAGCTCGCTTTCAAAAGCAATTGAAGGGCCGCAGTCGGGCTTCCACAGCCTCATCCCTAGGCGCTGTCCCAGAAGTGGCTGCTCCCACTGGCGCTGAAACGCCTCCGCGCGCTGATCAGGATACGGAGATGGAGGATACGTTTGCTGATAAATTGAGTATTGAGCCTGGGTCTGGTCGTGATATTGAATAGAGCCAGCCAGAGAGAAGCCTTGATTTGGCCATGTGAGCTGGAGTGGTAGGCTCAATAAGCTCGGACAACTATGCAAGACCGAGATACATATGTAATGAACACAATGCCCGGCTCTATTGATCGGAGGTACTATTTGACGATCCCGCCACCGTGACAATCATTACTATAGGACACTCATCCCAAAAGAAACTCCTTCGCTGTGTTGTCAAGGCTGAAATAACCACATGTCTATCTACATCTTCCTGTCGTCTTCGGTCCCCTTGTCCGCTTCCAGCGGGTCGGCATCATGGTCCAGCCAGCCCGAGTAATCATCGTCTTCATCAATGACCGGCCGTGCGATAATGGGGCTCTTGCCAGGACTGATGGAACGAAGACTTGGTGTCTTGGCTGAACTGGCAGGTCGAAGAGCTGACCGTTTGGCTGGGCCGGTCGATCCTGCTGAGCTTGTCTTTGTCAACTTGGCCGTGTCGTCCGCGTCTACGGCTCCAGAAGGCTCGGTTTTCTCGGGACTGGTACTCCGACTTCGAATGTCCTCCTCGCGGCGAGGAGCTGGTATCGTTTCTTCCACGGGGGTCCTGGAAGTGATCTCATCGCCCCAGTATGTGTCCTTCTCTTCGACCCCCGGCGTCTCATCGTCGTCGGGCGCTTTCACGACCAGCATGCCCATCCCAGCTGCCTCGTTAGCGTCCTCCACGTCATGGCTAGCTCCTCTCCGCCTTCTCCCCGCTGGGGGAGGTGGCGGGGTTATATCGTGGTCTTTGTCCTCCGTCTCCGCTGGGGATGACTCAGATGCCACAGGTTTTCTCTTGGGCATATTCACCGGACCAATCTTCGTTCGACTATTTGCCGGCCCAGGTAACGGCGTTCCTGGAGGTGGCAGTGGTTGTCCTCGACCCATGGGCTGCGATAGGTCCACCTGCGGGTTGCTTGGTCCCTCGCCACTCTTACGCGCCTCCTTTTGGCGCTGAATCGCATTCCAGCCCCATTGGCGAGCCTGCACTGCGGCATTGGTGACGGCAGCGAGTGTGTTCTTCTTCTGGGAGTTCACGCTAGATGAGTCATCCTTGACCGAGGGCAGCGATGTATTCGAGTTTTCGCGGCGCAAAAAGAAGTTCCGTCCAAGAGAGCCGGCCTGGTCCTTGAACGATGTCTTTGATGAGGCTGGCGATGCAGGCTCTTGGCCATCAAGCCCCCTCATGGACGCTGACTCTGATGATGAAGTGGTATTTCTGCGTCCAGGCGGCGGCATGGGGATTTCGTCAGACTGCTGTTCAGACTCCTTGTCTGCTGATGAGGCAGACGAATAGCTCAATGTTGGCGCTACGGAGGCTGGCTTTGATGGCGTACCACTTGGTGTAGTCTGCTCTTTAGATGCTTCTTGCGACCTCGATTGCAGGGCAGCCATGTATGAGCTTGCATTGTCCGTAGCAGGAGGGGATGACGGCTTGAACAGCTCCGCATGGGCAGCATCTGTCCCGACAACTGGCTCAGTGGCGCGTGGCGACGACACCGGTACTGGCACTGGCTGCGGCTTTGTCTCGAGACTAGTCGACGAGGCTGCTGGTGAGGGCTGCGCCGAGGATTTCGAGATCTTTCTCCCAAACAGTCCCGTTGTCGTCGTCGATCGAGCATTCTCCGTCACCAGCGGGAGGCTGTGACTTTTCTCAAGCGGTCTTGTCTCGTTGATCAACTCGGCATTGTCGTCCACGCGGTCCACTGCGTCAGCATCGCCCGTCTGCGCGACGATGCCCTGCACGTCGCTGCCTTCCGAGACAACGGCATTGTCGCCTTCGAAAATGCCGCCTCGCCAAGACTTGTGCTCAGTCTTGAAGAAAGGCACATCGTCCCAGAATGGGTGGACCAAGGTCTCCGCAAAGACTTCTTTGATTCGGTTCTCGATCTGTCGCAGGATGAGTGTATACGTGATTTGGCGCTGGCTGACAATTGGCTCAATCGCCATCTCCATCTTTGGCATCGTCTGAAAGGAGAGCCAGACACGGTTGCTCGGTGGCGGCTTGATCTTGAACAGCACATGCCCCTCGATTTTCTTCAGCACGACAGCCAGCACAAGGTTGACTTCTCGAGCCTTGAACCGCGTGCCAAGGTCAATCTTCACCGTGGCCGCGACTTCGAGGCGAAAGTTGCCGGTGTATTTGACGTCTGCCTCAATGACACACTCTCCTTCCACTGTCAAGTCCTTCAGCCGCAAGTTGTTGAACATGGGCGCCGCGTCGCCCGTGTCAATCTTCTGAATGTTAATATTCGTCAGGAATGTCGGCTTCTTGACACGCGCAATCTTCTTGGTGATCTTCTCCGAGATGAAGCTCTCGATATCCGCCGTGCGGTGCACGCCCAAGAATACCCTCCCAATCAGAGCATTGAGCCACCGGGAATGCACATTGTCCTCCGTGGAGTGAAGCTTCTGGACTAGCGTGATAATGTTCTTCACCTCGAATGCCTTTGGTTTCGGTGGGACATTGCCCGGATCAGTGGCCCCAAACGTCTGCTCCTGGTTCTTGAGCAGCGCGTGGTAGAAATCCTCCTTGGCAGAACAGTTCTCCGAAAACAGGTAGAACGGCTTCGACATCTGACTGTCCGCCGTCATCTCGGGGCCGTCCTGCTTTCGTGACAGACACAGTGCGTTGCGCTTGATCCACAGCTCGCCCTCCGGCGTAACATCGCCTCCCGAATAGACTGAAATATCATGATGCGCGAGCGAAATCACATGCCGCACTTCAATCTGCTCCTCGTCGTCGAACAACATCAGGTGGCCATGCCTCAGCACCACGTAGAACACGTTCCCCGCCTTTCTGGGCCGCTGGCTCATCGCGCTGTTGCCGCCTCCATTGTCGTGATTCCCAGGCACGGATGTTTTTCGATCAAATATGGAACGATACATGGTCTGGTAGACGCTCTGACTGGGTGCCGCAACAGTGGCGCTGCCCACCGGCGTCGAGCGCTCGATCGGTTTGGCGTTGATGCCCATCGGCGTGTATTCTCGACACACGGCAAAGTAGCCAGCCGTGACCTCGGCAGAGTTCTGCTTCGCCTCCTCCTTCTTTGCCGCATCGATAGCAGCTTTGTCGTCCCCGGGCTGCACGAGATCGTCGGTGCCATCTTCGTCGGGTCGTCCGCTCGCGTCGAGATCTGTTCGTTTCGGCCAGGCGTACAGCGTGTGCAGGTATACCGTGATGAGAACGAGGGGAATGAACGTGATGCCGCCTAGGAGGTAGGCCGCCAGAAAGGCTGACCAGCTCCCCATGGCTATTGTCATCAAGTCAACAGGTCGGTCGTCGGCCAGCTGCGTTGGTTGGTGGGGTCGTGCCTCAAATGGAAGAGAACAGATAAACAGAGCTCAAGGCAGGGCTGAAGTTAATGAGCGAGCGAGTGGGAACGCTTTAACAAACAAGTCAACATGCTGGGGAAAACCATGCCTTAGACAAGCCCAGCTTCATACTGCATTGGGATGGTGGACTGTGGGAGATCGCGAAGCGGGACTGGGGCCGCCGTTCACGGGCAGGCGCGGAGGAGTGGGAACTGTCAACTGGCCCTCGAGGCGCTGTGCTGTGCTGTGCTGTTAGCCTTACGTCATGTGAGGACACTTGGCCAAACCGGAGTATTGGCTTACCCTATACACTTCTGCACCACACAGATACTGTCACGTCTCACCAAAATGGAGAAGGGGGCCCAGTCAGCCCCTTAAAATAACAAACAAACAGGAGGGACAGGCAGCTCAAAGTATCTCGATTCACCTCAGGGGTTAAATAGCAATAGTAATCTTCAGACGCCCGACAAGCAGTCGCCCGTTCGCCCCCACAGAGTAAACTAATACAAGGCCCTGCAAGAAAGACGACGGTTTCTTCATACTGCCCTGCAGTGACAATCCCTCAGACCACCAGTGCTATATCGCTGGTATGTCCGTAAAGAGGCGCAGAAGTGAGCAGTGTAGTACAGACAACAACAAGTAAAAAAAAAATTGCGCAACCGTGCGCAGACAACGATGGTGGTTCAGTTGGCTTGGTGTGTGTAGGAGAGAGGTGGATGATGTATGATTAAGCATCGCCCGAGACGGATGCGATGAAGCGGAGAACAAAGACAGGAATAGAAAAGTCGTCAGTGTCGTCAATGTATAGTCGTGACAAGAAGTGAGTTGGAAATGTCTAGTGAGTGTCGACTGGGGTCCTCGCAACGAGCAGCAAGCCTGCCCGATGGCGAAAGTCCTGTAGTTGGGATGTTGTCTTTAGCTTCGGGATCGGAACGAAGCCATGGGCGCGTTCGATGGAGGGTGATGAGCCGCAGAGTTTGCGCCACGCTTTTTGATAGAGTGATGGTGCAGCTGGCCAACGTCATGTTTGCCTACGGAACAATTAGTCAATTGCGGATGCTCAAAGAAAGTCAGTACTCACCATCGCAGCATGCGCGGACGTTCTCGAGGCGGTCAGCCTCCCTATCCTGCCGCTCAATCATCTCACGAAGATCCTCTGCGCTGTCATGGACCTCGCTGGCCTCATAAATGCTAGTATCGGGAGCTGACGCACGTCCGCGGAAGCTGCCAAAAGTGCCAGAGATTTTCGACCCCGACGATCGGAAGAGCTTGTTGAGGGCGGAAGGCCGTTGCGCGGGCGTCCGGGGCGTCAACGTGGGCACATTCATGGAGTAGTCTCCAGCTGGCGACTGGTTGTGCGTGGTTCGAGAGTTGTACGACGAAAGTGAGGGCGGCGCACGCGGCCTTGTCCCGTTTGCTTGTCGCTGCCCATACTGGGGGTTGAACTCATCCACGTCCTCCTGGGTAATGTGATGAGCCATGTCCTCAGCGTCGTTCTGTCCATCGACGTTTGTCCTCATCAACAGATAGGACAGGGAGTTGAACCATGTCTCGTGGCGCTGTCCTGTAGTGCAGGTGAATTTGATGGTGCGGCCCGGCGAGATGATCACCAAGCTCTTACGGTGGAGGCCTGGTGGCATTGGGTTATCGTCTGTCACAACACGGACAGCTTCAATGGGCACACTCTTGGCCTTGAGCTCGCGCGACCCAGCAGTTGCCGGGTCACGGTCGCTCCAGTACAGGGTGCGCGTGTAGGGGTGTACCCAGAAGTACCGGCGATGTCGCTTCTCCGACATCTCGCCACGGCCTGTCTTGCGCGTGTACTTCCACAGGTACTCTCCGATCATAGTCTGCGTGATAGCCTGGATCATGCGGGGATCCGCATTGGATCCCAGACCAGTAGGATCCACCATTTCCCCAGGACGCATGTTGAAGCGTGTGTCAAGCTCAGAGACAAACGACGACACGGACGACTGCCTGGAACGTGCAGTCAACCTCGTAGGTGAATGCGAGACGCCCAGCTGCTGTCCCTGTGTCGATGTGCTTCGCATTCCCTTCAACGTAGGCACGGCGCGAGCTGAATGATTGGATGCCGGCCTGGCGCTCAGACTGGGAGTGCGAGGGCGGTGACCCTTCATCGCAGAAGCAGGCCACATAGGAGGGCCCATATCCCCCTTGGGCCCATTGGCCGACCCAGTGCGTGCTGCCTCGATGAGTTCGCGGTGGTTAGTGGGAAGAGGGGGCGCGTCCTTGACCGAATCACGGCCGCTGGTGGCACTGCCAGGCCGGATCAAAGCGGTCCCTGCATCAAAGAAGCCGTCAGTCCGCTTAGGGGTGGGGCTACCGGTGCGTTCCTCAGCAGGACGATGGATGCGGACTGTGCCTGTCGTGCCTGGTGTGCCGACACTGCTGACCGAAGGATGTTTGGTGTGACTCAAGCCAGATCTCGATCCAACGTTGAACAGCTTATCGATGGCTTCCGCAGTGAGCGAGGTTTGCGCGCTTTGGTCACTGAAAACAGCCGTCTTCTTTTGGGGGTTGCGATTTTCGGCATTGCCCGAGATCTCCCTGAACGGCTGAGGCAACTCCTTGGTTCCATCCTCTGTTCCGGACGCTTGTCTAGTCTCATTCTGAGCGGCTTCGGGCGAGTCGTCCTGGTGAATGTCAAAGGCCGACACCATCGATCTGTCTGGCGTACCAGTGCGTCCCTTGTCTCTTGGCATGATGAAGGCCTCCCGCCACGGGCTCCTAGGTGTAATGGGCCTGGTATCGACAGATTCAACTGAAGAGAAGCCAAAGTTGGGCAGCTCGTGGATTTCAACGGGGCTGACGGGAGTGACACCCTCTGCCGCGATTGGTGACAGGATTAACTGCGGAAGCGCCGGTGGCAGTTCTGCAAGCGGAAGAACACCGTGCGTAGCAATTCCAGAGAACCCGAGCCTCGGTGGCAGGGGCTCAGGATCCGCCACAGGTTCCACGTGCTGTGAGGTGAGGCCTGTGAATGCAAGTGACTGCGGATGAGGAGGAGGGATTTCGGGCTCGGCGACGGGCTCGAGGTTCTCGGAGCGGATATGGGACAACGTCAAAGCTGGTTGAGGAACAGGTGGCTCTTCCACAGGCTCGACCTGCTGCGACTGAAGAATGGTAAAGCCAAGTGCGGGCTGCGGCGTCACGATTTCGGGTTCCGCACGAGGCTCCCAATCTTGCGATTGAATGGCCGACATGGCAAGCGGGACCGCTGGAACGACGACTTCAGGTTCGACGATTGGCTCCACGTGTTCGCTCTGGACATTTGTGAAGTGAAGGCTAGGCAGGGCCGGCTTCTCGGGCTCAGTAGGTACTGGCGCTGGAATGACTGCCGGTAGTGCCACGGCTTCTGGCTCCGGAGCTTCGACGGGCTCGACTTGTTCCGCACTGATGACGGACAATGCCAGAGTGGGCAGAGGGACCTCGGGCTCGGCAACGGGTTCGACCTTCTCGTTGACAATGTTTGACAAAGCCAGAGCAGGGGGTACGATCTCCGGCTCGGCCACTGGCTCGACATTGGCGGTCTTCATTGCAGTGTATGCAAGCTTCGGAGCTGGCGGCTCCGGCTGCTGAATAGGCTCAATGTGCTCAGAAGAGACGGTCGATAGGCCCAAGGTTGGTCGCGGCACGACTGGCTCAGCAATGGGCTCGACGTGCTGGGCAGAGACCGCGGAGAGGCTGAGGGTGGGGAGCACAACCTCTGGTTCGGCCACCGGTTCCACGCTCTCCGTAACCACCGGCGTAAACTCCATCGCGGTAGGAGTGTGTTCCTCTTCCCGTGGCTCAACGTGCTCGGCGTGAACATTGGAGTAACCGAGCTCAGGCTGCGCAAGTACCGAGGTCGGGGGCACAGGGAATGCAGCCAGCTTGGCCTCCATGTCCGGGTCATGCTGAGCCCCGACATCACTGTATGAGATTTGAGAAAGAGGTCGAGAATCGCCCGTGGCAGTGGATAGCCATGACACACGCTGAGGGTCCGCGATCACAGACTGCATCGACGTGGGCCGTTCAGCATGGCCAGCTGTGAGGTTTGAGGCTGGAGCGAGCGCGGGCAATGAGGTATCTTCCATAGGCTCAGTCATCATGCCACTATCGACCATGAGAACCTTGGGAAGTGTCGGCACGTCAGGCACTGGCGAGAGCCGGCGACGGATCGAGCCAGGCGTAACCGATCTAGCGCTCCGACGACTAGGCGTTCCGTTCCCGACAGACTCTTCGTCACTACCAGCAAAGTCTTGCAGCTCGGCAAACAAGCTCTGGCCACCTGCTTGTGGGGTGCCACTGTAGTTGCTGGCCATGCTTGTGGGGCTGCTTCGTAGGTTCGGTTCCTCGCTGCCCTGGCGGGAGCTGCGGTCGAACGGACCGCGATTCAGGAGGAAGCGGCTGGATCGGTGCGAGTGAGCAGTGCCCGTCGGTGTCTTGGCCTCGTACGTGTCTTCCTCCTCAGAAGTCGCTGTGCTATGGATGGACGATTTCGACATGTGTCGTGAGAGACCAGCCGGTAAGCTCGGTGGGCGCTGCATCTTGCCAAAGCCTCTGGACGCTGTCTCCGTCTCAGTGGCGGCGCCATCGTCGCTGTCAGACATTTGCTCATTGGTCGTCTGAAAGTCCTCCGTCTCCGTCGCACGCTCGTTGGCTGTCTCAAATGCAGACTCGCTGGCCTCGTTGGCCGTATCGAAATGGTCGGTCGAGTCAGGCGCTGAGAAGTCGTCTCTCGTCTTGGTCGCGGGACTGACACTGGCTGAGAGGATACGTGGAGACAGCTGTGCCTGATCTTCCCACTCAGGGTCATCCATGAAGATCTCCTGCTGGCTGGAGCGGAAGCTACCGAGTAGGCGAGCATTCTTCTTAAGATCTTTGGATTCGGCCTTCTTGCTTCGCCTGTTGACACCGCTGGCACCGGAGTCAGCTCGCTTTCTCTCCAGGTCATCACGGAGATCTTGGATGATGCGGCGGAGCTCGAGCTTCTCGGTCTTTTCGCGATGGATAAGGCTGCGTTGACTTTGAATCGTGCGTTGGGCATGTTGCAGAGATGTCTTCATCGTTTCCGTCTCGAGCATAGAGTGCCTGGGCGTCCCCTTGATGGGTGAAGGGGGGGGAGAGTGCTCTGGGGTAGCATTGTCGTCAGCGGTCTCGAAATCGTCCTCGCTCGTTCCAGACATGTGATCTCGCTCCAGCGCCCGTCCTCGTTGCGTCGAGAACGCTTTGGCGAGCTCCGTGTTCTGGTTGGTGAGATCATCAATCTTGCGCTGCATGACGGCACGCTCGCCTTCGGCCATGACCGCGCTGCGCTTCGCCGTCCCCAGTTCGATGTCATGATGCTTGATGGCGGCGGTGTGCTCCTCCACCAGCCTAGCATGAGACAGCTTGACTTCGTCCAGTTCCTTTTGGGCCGCAGTTTTCTCTGCATTGGACGTGCTCAGTGCCTGCGTGAGCTTCTTCTCCCGGTCGGACGCTTCACGTTGTTGAGTAGAGGCCTCCTGCATACGCGTTTCGAGATTCCAATTCTCCTCCTTGTACCGATGCTCGCTCTCGTCCAAAGTCTTGAGCCGCTGCTGCAGGTTCTCGGTTTCGATCTCAAGGGTCGACTTGTCATGCTTGAGATCGCGGACTTCCTCGTCCCGGTCGGCAAGAAGAGCCTGGAGATTACGAACTTGAGCAATGAGGGACGTGCTGATCTCGGCGGCAAATTCTATGTCGTGCACTCGGCTAGATGGTTGGTTGCGGATTTTCCTGTTCGGCACGCTAAGCTTAGTAGGCGAGCCGGTAGCTTGACTCTCAAACTTGGACGGGCTAACAGAGCGCTGCGTAATGGTCAGTAGCGAAAATCAGAGTTGGGAGCATGGAAGACCAACCCTGCCGCTCCTCGCGCCGTCTGGCACATGCGGAGATCCTGAGCCAGCTTCATTGCTAGGCACCCTCTGCTTGGGCAGGAATGCTCTCGCCGAATCTCGTGCCAAGTCGTTGTACTCCTTCTCAATGTCCACCAGCTTCGTCTTCAGTTCGGGACTCAGATCTCCCTGCGCATTCAGCTTCTCTACTTCTTGTAATTGCTCCGTAAGCGCCTTCCGTTGGTTCACTAGCGCGGTGCCCAGCTTGCCCGCCTCGTCTAACCGCCGGTCTGTCTCCGCGAGATGAGCCTCCAAGGCGCGTTTCGCCTGTAGTGGAGACGAGCCCGGCCCCGCTGTGAAGAGATCATGATCAAAAGTCGAGAATCGGTAATGGGCTGTTGACGAAGGCGCGTCGTTGGACACAAATGGGTCGTCGGAGCCGGGGGATGTGTCGGTACCAGGTGCGGGCAGATTAGGTCTGCTGTCGGGGCCAAGAGAGGCCATCGTAGACGTCTGTGGTTGAGACAATCGGGACAGACAGGTAGCCTGTCTAGACGCGCCACGAGACCATCAACGTCTGGTGCCTCGGCGGAGTAATTTGCGCTGTCGATGGGGGTGCCACGTCCGCGATGTTTCGGTTGATCGAGCGTGTCGGGAAAAGGTGGCGGTCGAAAAGATGCGCGGGCAGAGAGTCTATCGGCGTCTCTGTCTTTGAATTCAAGGAAGAAATTACCCTGTCGCACGAGACAAGATGGCCGTGTCGTGTCGTGTCGTGTTGTGACGCCTGCTCCCTTGCGTGGCAGAGTTACAAGGTGTCACTTTCGTGTCAAAGACAGCCTGATCCAATTGAGATGCTCCCAGCTGGCGGAGGACCAAACAAAGTACCGTTGCTGCGCTCTTGCAGTGGCCTCACACGCGCTGCAGGGAGAAGTGACAAAGATCAGCTCTAAAGCTCTGCGTGAGCTGTGATTGAGGGAATCCACAAAGTGGGGGCCCGTGAAACGGTCGAGGACAGCTTATTATCAGCAAGACCTGCTGCTGGAAGGAGCGAACCCTGAATCCTGTTTCTGAACCAGAAGTTGGGACGGAAACTAGACCAATGCTAGAGTACTAGGGCGCAAAGTGTGAAAATGATCGCAATTCTCGGCGGTTCGACGAAACTGTTGAGAAGGCGGTGCAGCAATTCTCGAGTAGTCGTCCCTTGCTGGAATGTAGCCCTGCAGCAACGCGCGCTCTCCCTATCCGCAGTAATAATCGACAGTGCTTCGTATCCTGCGGGATCAGGAAATGCTCCCCTCTTCCACAATGTGATTGACTTTCGGTAGCGACGCTTGAGATCGAAGTGGTCGCCCCGTTCCTGGTGGCTCTCGATAGACTTTCGGCGGCCTGCGGGACAGCTCGAAAGGGTTGCACTCGGACGTCCAGACCAGGCCAGTCGTCGCGTGTCAAATTCGTGTGGTGGTGACTGTAGACGTGCGCGCGTGCATGCGTGTTCCACGTAGCGCTGGCACCAGCAAGCTCACCTGGCAACTGCTACAGCCGAGACGTTTGCGAAAGAGATGAAAAGAGTGACAATGAACAAGAAAATAAAGATTGGTTAGTAGAAGTGGCGTCTTTGTAAAAGAGTGACAGGAACAAAGAAGGGATGGAAATGTTGTAGGTTGGACAAACTCCCATGTCCGTGAGTTATTGTGAAGCGCCGGCAATTGGCAATGCATCCATCAAATTTTGAATGTCAACAAGGATCGCATGAGCGCTATAGACCGCCGCATTCCTGCGGCTGCAACTGGATACTGGCGCAGGCAAGCTTCTACATTGTCCGCTCGCATAACTGCTGCCATGAACGGTTTTGCCTGAACACTGCATGGTTCAACGTTGGCCGAACATTCTCTCTTTGAAGCGTTGGCGGAGCCAGTCGCTCTAATTATCTCAAATAAGTTCACACAAAGGCGACCAGTGTCGGCGTGTCGGTGAGGCAGCCCCTCCAGATCACCGGGAGAAGAACGCGATCCTGGCACAATCACGATGGGGACCCAGACAGTGACTGAGGCACCAGCCTTCTATGAACTACTACGTAGGTAGTCTAGTCACCTGGAAATATCCATATCTGAAATTCGATCACCGTAATCAAATTGCGCTGCCTCACAATTCATTAGTCCGTCCCATCCCTCGTTGGCTCCCTTGCTGAACCCTCACCGCTGGCCCGAGATGCCTACAAAAAGTTGTGTTTACACTTATGCAAGAAAAGAAGCTTCGGACCGTGTTCCATTCCGTCATGATCCACCGTCCTCTGACGAGAAAACAAAATGACGCGCTCGCATAACCCAGCTCATTTCGGCGAAAGAAAACAATACAGGGGTGACCCCAGCCAATCACGCTGTTGAGTGTTCACTTGAGTTTTAACATTTCTCGGCAACGATGCTGTCAGTCACGGCGGCAAAAGATAAGGTATTCAATCACATGCATGAGCTGATCTGGTTCGAAAGATGCAATCATGCAGTTCATCCATTCGTTCTAGGCTCGCTGGCCACCTCCAACGCCTCGCGGGTATCATCGCTATATAGTCTCGCCATCCTCCTGGTCACTGACTTCCTCGCCAGCGTCAATCTTCTCCTGCCTCCTCTTTGCGGCCTTTTCTCGTTTCCTTTCGAGTAGCTTCTTCAACCTCTTTGCCGAGTTGAACACACCATTGGTCCCCGCTCCACACGCCGCACAAGTCGGGTCTTTCCGATACCGCCGCAGCGCGCACGGCTCACAGAAGTAATGGCCACACCGCGTGACGACAGGCTCGCGATATGAGTCCTTGCAGATAATGCATTTGAAGGGTATTTTCTCAAGAAAGGCGTCGTCCTCAGCGTCGTCGGGGTTCTCCGCCTTCACGTCGCGATTCGCAGAGGCCACGACGGTGCCGCCCACGTTCTTCTTCCCTTTGGTACCAATCTCCCACTCTCGGTCGAGCTGCCAGCCCTGCTTGACGTCCTCACGCGAGTGGAGGTAAATACATGCGTCGCCATAGCCGCAGAATCCTGTCTGCTTGTAGTCCTTGCATACGTCGGGCTTGAAATCGAAGAACGTGACAGTGCGGACGTTGGTCGACGCTTTCTGGGGTCCCACTGCTCGCTTCGGCGCATCTGGGTCCTTCTGTATGAACGTGGTCTGATTTGCGAGACCTTTATAGGTGCCATCTGGCGCTGTGTCCTTCTGTGCCTTGGAAGTGCCCAGTAGGTTCTTTGCGGAGAGCGCGCCGTGGGCGTCTTCGTCGTACCAGTTGCTCTGCTTGGTGGCATCGTTGGAAGAGGCGATCGCACCCCTGTCGGCGGCATATGGTATGGAGGAGGTTTCGGTGGTGCTTGTGGGTTTGGCCGAGGTGGCTGTGACGCCTGCTGCCTTCTTCCGCCTTTTGACACGCTGCCCAGACTCGTCTTCCGATGATGAAAAGTCGCTGTCGGAGTCCTTGGGCGGTGATGGCTCGGGCCGCTTTCGTATGTTCGCAGTGCCTTTTCGTTTCTTGAACATGGCCACCGGGGCCTTGAGAGCGGCAGCTTGCTCCGTGTCTGTCATGTTCTGTTGCGTATATGTCTGTGGATGGTGATGTTGAAGACCGGGATTCAACTCGGAACATTCTCAATCGTTAGCAAATGACCGGAATTGATGCTGACTAACGTGGATCCAGTGGCTTCCAGTGGCGTTTGTCAGCTCGTATTCCACTTACCCTACGTAGCAACTGTCTCTTGCGTTTCGTTCACGTGTCTGATGCCCACGGTGCTGAATTGTGTCTTTGGCACCTGTAACTGACCGAGATAATATTGGAAACTGTTTAGAGAGCGGTAGGACCCATTTTTCTGCGCTTTGGCGGAGGTAGTCATTTCTCACAGGTTTGCAAATAATCCACATAGCAGTTCATTGTGTTTTTTGATCAGCTTTGAGTTAAGTCAGCAAACAGCAAAGTGGAAGTCTACTGGAGTGCGGTGCACGCAAAATCAGCTACCAACACTCTTTGTCTCTAATCAACAGCTCATAGAAAGTCTGATACCAATATAAGGCGTTGACAGCCTTTCGAACGAAAAAGAACCCGTCGTAGTCGCTACGTCATCAACAGTGATTCTAGATCCGGCCCAGATCCGGCCCCACAGCGCTGTCACCGAGCCGGAGCTACACTCAGGCTGCCATGACTTGACAGCTCCGACAAGCGACTGGGCCGTGCGCCCTCTCTAGTGATCGCCTGTGCATCTTGCTCGGCTGTCAAGACGTAAAAACCTATAGACAAACAGTCATCTAGTGCGACAGGCTCATTCAGAAGAACTTGAACATCAACAGCGCTGAGTACCGCGCCTACGCCAGCCCACCGTGCCATGACCCCGCCGCAGCTCAGCGGCCTTTGGACCCTGAGCTTCAGCCGTAGATAGCAGTCACCCCGCCAAAGCCATGTGATCCGGCCCTGGATCAGTTGCTCACACCTCCAGTCCAGTCACGTACGTCCAACAGATCTGGATAAAGCTTACTCTCATCCGGCTCTACCACGTAATACACGTCAAACTACCATTCACTGTCCTTATATATCATAGACCCAAACACAACCAACAAACCGCATCCTCCCCCCACGCAAACATCGACAACCGACTTGCGCTCCCCCCGCCGACCATCATGAATTACATCAAATCAACCGTCAACACCCTCCGCGACCGGTATACCCCCGTCTCCCACACGTCCACCTTCCGGGCGACCGGCCAGATCACGCCCGAGGAGTTCCTCGCGGCGGGAGACTACCTCGTCTACAAGTTCCCCACCTGGTCCTGGGCCGACGCCGACGACCCATCGCGTCGCGTCGCCTACTTCCCGCCGGGCAAGCAGTTCCTCGTCACCCGCAACGTCCCCTGCCACCGCCGCCTCGACGACGACTTTGCTGGCGACGCGGGCCACGAGGAGGCAGAGGTCGCCGCCGGCGACGACGGCGAGGAGGGCTGGCTGCGCACCGGCGGCCTCGACTCCAGCCAGCCGCTCAAGAGACAGCAGGTCCGCACCGTCGACGAGGCCGGCAACGCAGAGTCGGCCGGGCACGACGACGACGACGATGATATCCCCGACATGGAAGACGAAGATGACGACGACGCCATCATCCCCTCCTCCACCGAGCAAAAGTCCTCCGGCCGACGCACGTACACCCTCTACATCATGTACACACCGTACTACCGCACCCCGCGCCTGTACCTATCCGGCTACCTCGCCAACGGCAGCCCCCTGCCCCCGGCGGCGATGATGGATGACATCGTGGGCGACTACAAGGACAAGACCGTGACGCTCGAGGATTTCCCCTTTTTCGCCAACGCGATCAAAATGGCCAGCGTTCACCCGTGCAAGCACGCACCGGTCATGAAGTCCCTGCTCGACCGTGCCGATGCCGCCCTCCGCCTGAGGCGGGAGAAGCTCAAGCAGGGCGAGTCCGGCGGCCACGCGAGCAAGCAGGGCCTCGAGGGCTTGGTGGACGAGATTGACAAGCTGGATGTCAAGGGCGCGCAGGAGGCTGCTGACAAGGAGGAGTGGGAGGACGTCGGCGGAGAAGCTGGCGAGGACGCTGAGGTTGCCATTCGCGTAGATCAGTACCTGGTCGTCTTCCTCAAGGTGAGTGAACAAACAGCCCGTGCAATACAGGGTTACGCTAACAGATTGCAGTTCATGGCGAGTGTAACGCCAGGTATCGAGCATGATTTCACAATGGGCGTTTGATGTATACAGGCTGCTAGGGTCAGACACTGTGAGTACTTCTGGAGTATCGGCGTTGCCACAGGATAATATAGGCTACTACTAGATGATAGCCGACCGGGTTGTCGAAGCCGCCAGACTTATGATTTCACTCAAGACGTTATGGGCATAGGCACCAAAGAAGGCGCCTTGTGATGTATTTCGAACTGATCCTTGGCCTAACCAGAAAGGACCCTCGTGGTGGTCAACCAAAACCCCAAGCTTACTCCAAAGAAAATAACACCACCAACACCAATGTGGTCGCTGTCATAAAGCAGCGACAAAAATGGCACTCAACAGCAGAGCTGACCTTGTTGGATGGCCTCCCGACGCGCGCTTCAAAACAATCTGGCAGCCTCGCCAATGACAAAAAGGCCAATGCGTGACGCCTAAAACATGCTCCTTCTATCTTCGTGCTGTGCTGTGCTGTGCAGGAAAAGGAATGAACTGCACCTCTATCGGCGGAGTTGTCGTCATGTCAATACAGAAAAGGAAAAGTTTGATGTGTGGTTCGTCTGCGTCGTCCTCAGTAATTGGAGGTGGGCTGTCGAGAGTTCTCGGGCGTCTCCGTCCCTTCATACATCTCGTTTGGAGAGTTGAGCGACGACTGCTGTATCCTCTTCAAGAGACAGTTGATGGCAGACCCTGATATCCGTCTAGCCTGCCCGCTGGGTATTTCAATTCCCGAGCCGGGCTGCCCAGGCCGCCCTCGTGGATTTGACTCATCCCCGGCCTCGCTCTACGCCATTCCGAAAGGTGCGCCAAAGTTGGTTGTTGTTTTGAGCTTCAGAGGGACATCGCCTTCAATAACCTTCTCACTACTGGCTTCGGCAATGGGGTCGTCAAGCGTGGAGGCGTCAGCATCGACATGGGCGACACCTCGCCGATGCGACGGCTGATCGTGTGTCACGCCGGATTCCTCGACATCGTCTTGGCAGGCGCGCATGACGGTGGGTAGCGCATCGACACCTTGGCTGATGGGCTCAAGTTTTTTGTTGACTCGGTCCCAGAAGATTTCGTCTTGCGCAGGGATGTTCTTCACCATGAGCGGGCCTTTCAGGCGCTTGTCCTCCGCCGCCTCCAGCAGCTCATCGTTCTCCTCGTCAGGAGCGTCGACATCATGGGAAGGCTGCGTGTCGACAGGAGGCTCCACCACAGCAGCGACCACAGTTTCATCGGGTTTCTCGACATGCTCAGGTTCCGGCGCTGGTGACGGCAACCCCGAGGAGGGTGCTGTGCCTCCCTCCTGCGTGCCAGCGGCCTCTGTGCCGGCGACACTCATTGTTGGGAAGAGCGAAAGCGAGTGGTTCGGCGTGTGACCGGCGTGCATCGTAAGCCGCCGTGTCTCGCCGGCTCGCAAGACTTGGATTGTTTGATCTTTTGACGACAGCCGTTTCGCAATACCAGGATGTTCGGCCTGGGCTGCATCCCCGGCTACGGGTGGTGACGTGGCTGGCGAACCTCTGTTGGACTCGCCGAATGTGGGACGTTGCAGTGCAGTGGCCCTGAGCGAGATGCCCTCAAGCTTGGGATCAACTTCGTGGATGTCTATTGTGGGCACATTTTCATTCTCCTCTGGAATTGTATCCTTGTGCAGAAAGTCTCTGGCCGTGCTAGACTGTGGTTGCATCCGAGGATCGAGAGGGACAAACGGCGACAACTCGGGCTGACCTGTAGGCGAAGTCCTCGAATGACCGCCATTGGGACTGAAGTGATGAGGTCGTCGAGCCGCACCGTCGAGACCAGGGGGCAGCGAGAGAGGGTCGACGGTAGGTTGCTGACTCTGATGTGAGTGATGCTGGGATAGTGGGTGCCCGATCGGTCCCGATTCGACTGATGTATCGACACTGCTACCTCGTTGACTGGCCAGCGGTGACATGACGCCGGTAGCCTGCACGGTTTGCGCGGCCACGCTCCTCAGCGTCTGATTCTCGCCCTCGAGGCGTTGGATGCGTTCTTTCAGCAGTTGATTTTCCCGCAGCATTGTAGCCTTTTCATTCTCCCATCCCTCGCGCACCTCCTCCATGATGACGCGCTCTTCCTGGTACACTTCCTCTGCGCGTCGGCGATTGGCCTCGAGGTAGTTTCGTTCGGCTTCCCACGCTTCGCGAATGAGGGAATTTTGCTGTGCCAGACGCTGGACGAGCTGGTTGTTGTTGCTATGCGCGTACGGCAGGTGTGCGGGCTGCGAAGTCGCATCTGCGGAGATGGACCTGTAGAGTGACCCAGCGCTGCTGACGTCGGGAGAACTATACTGGTATGGTGGTGGACCGGCGCGACCATGCACAGCCGGTACGCTTTGGTTTCGATATTGATGGTTGGATGCTTTCGGTAAATTGCCCGACGGTGAGTGTGGCAGATTGCTCTGATTATTCGGGAGGGCGGAAGGAGGGAACCCGCTCGGTAGAGGTGAAAGGAACGATGCGACGTTGTTGTTGGTACTGGCTGCGTTGTAGCGATTGCTGTTGAGCGGCGGTGAGGTGAAGTGATCAAATGCAGCAGAGGGCAGGAACGCGTCGGAGGCGAGCTTCTGGTTGAAGTTCCGACGGGTGCTGTTGTTGCCGTGATGACCTGGACGGGCGTCGAGATGGTGGTGGTGATTGAGCGACATGGAGACGGCGGCGGCCGTCATTTCGGCTTTTTCTGGGGCGCGGCGCACAAGGACGCGCGCGATGCCATGAATGACCGGAATGCAGAGGCAGATCGGTGACTCGCCGGTTCAATTCTATTCGCTGCAATGAACGAGGTCGCGATTGTGGGAATAGCCGGCAGAAATCGAGGTATGACGCAAAGAGGACTGACTGGACCTTGGAGAGAGAGAGAGATAGGGGACGGGACGGCAGGTTAGAAGGGCCTTTTACCTCACTAGAGCAAGGTACCAGCTAGCTGGCAGTTGAATCAATCAATCAATGATCGGGATCCAGGATCGACAAGTGCTCGGGGCCAACCGAAGGCTTGTTGATAAGAAGACGCGAGCTTGCCGCAGTTATTCTTTCCTTCTGACGTTGCTCTCGTGGCTGACTGGTGGCTGGCTGAGTGCGGCTTGTAATGGTGTACCGACGGTCGGCTGAGTCTTATTCTGTGTGACCCAAAAGAAGCATCAAGAGCGGCACTTGATCAGCTCAAAAGGGATCCAGGACGACGCAATGAGCTGCGCCAAGCAGGGGAAACTGAGATCGTGCCGCGTTGAAATCTCAAGGCAAGGGGATGATGGATGGATGCAATGCGGCCTGATCCGTTGCGTGGCGTGCTGGATGGAGGATTCCTTTGCCAGCACTGGCGGTCACTGCTAGATCAGACTAGCAGTTGAAGGCAGTGGAGCTTGCGCCAGGCACCGCACGAGATGGACTGCAAGGTGAGTTGTCGCTTGACCGGGCCTTCTGGTCTGATTACGCATATGACAGTAATAACAGTAGGTATCTGTATAGAGTAATACTGCTGGGCGAGGCGAGGACTGGAGCCAGCTGCAGGTCCACGTCACGAACAGCTGCAGCGGCCGGGCGGTCAGCTAGGGCTGGGACTGGGTGCGTGGCTGGCTGGTGGTTGGAGATGGAGTCGGTGGACTGACGGCGAAGAAATGTGAGGCAAAGGACAAAGGGGGAGTCAGATCGCGCAGAGGGACTGACGAGCGGGATAAAGAGGAGACGACGAGGTGATCGTCGTCGTCTTGGCTCGGTAACACGCGCTCGCTGGGCCGTCGCTCCCTCTCTCTCTCTCTCCCCCGTGTTCAGGGTCTCGTCGTCGGCTCTGCGGTACGTACGGCGGCGAGCAGAGCCAATTTGTCTCGACACGCTGCCGCTCATTGGACGGGGGGCTCGTCGGCAGCACAAGACCCTGCATCTTTATTACATGTA